TTAGCTTAAGGAACCAGAATCTCTCGACATTGAATTGCGGATACAGAAAACTCATCTTACTGCTTCTCATTCAGGTCAGGCTGATAAAAAACTATCGCTCCTCCCGCCATATTGTGGAAGCTGCATCTTCTATCATTAAAAACAATACAAAGCGGTGCCAATCAAAAAGCATTTCCGCTGAAAACTCTCAAGGATCTAAGGCAAGTTGTACTTGTCTCTATGACAAATTGCATCATTTAATCGCTACAGGCTAATTTTTTTCATTTTTCCACCCAGTATAGATTACTGTGAAGGAATGCCACAACGAGGAAGCACAGTGTGCATTTGTCATTGACAAAATAATTGAAATCACTAATGATGGCTCAACACCTTGTTCTTCCCATGGAGATATTGCCATCCTTTATAGGAGGCAGGTCAGTCTTTTTCCTTTCCTTATTGACATGTTGTCACAGTTTTGAAAACTATAACATATTTACATATGTGATGGTAAATGACGAATGTACTGATATTCAGTTGTCAGGTAAAGTCTTCCAAGATGCGTTCCGCCAGAGAAAAATACCATTCAACGTTCATGGTGTTGCTTTCTACAGGAAAAAGGTAGATTGCCTCATAAGTAATTCTTTTTTTTTGAACTGTTGCATGATCTCGTATCTCAATGCTTGACATTGACAGAATGACAGTTCCTCCCCATAATTATCTTAGCTTTACATGTTTCAGACAATGAACTCCATCTAAAAGACGTAACACATATATATTTTCAGGTTGTCCAAATCATTATGGCCATGCTGAGAACAACATTATCCGAATGTGACGATGCTTCTTATCGGCGAGTATTTAAGGCATTACTTCCTTTTGAGAAAGAGGAAAAGAAAAGGGTTTGTACCTGATTTTCTATGTTTTACTTTTTCTTTCTCAGCTTAAGCTTTAAATTGCTTACGCTGTTTGTAATTAATTTACTTACAACCATCTGCAGGTTATAGAATATATTGACAAAATCTCCACTAGTAGGAAATGCAGCTTCATTTCAGCGGCTAGTGATATCTTCAGTGCCAAGATTTCTGGTACCTTCAAGAGGTATTGCTTGATGAATTCATTGAGAAAGTAATATTTAATACTGCTTTAGTTTTAAATCTGAATTGAGAATATTGTTTGCTCCTAGGCTCATTAATTAGGACATAATACAAGTTTTATCATACAAATGTTTATGCTTCTATTTTTCTTGATGCATACTGGAGTGATAGATATAAGTCGTTTTACCACCCAGATGTAGGTGACATAGTGCGCATCTACATATTCTAAGAATGGGATGCTGCAAATTTTATTCTCACAGTCTTGTTATTTTAGTTCACATTTACTGTAAAGCTTCTTAGCTTCGTTTGAATTAACCGCAGGAACCAGCTTACCCAGGGACGCAAAGTATTGCAAACTCTTGGCATGATAGAAAAGCTGGTTAATAGGGTAAGATATTTGTTTCCCGGTCCTTTATGAACTCATCCATCATTAGGTGAAATAATAAATGCCACTAATGCCTTACATCTTAATTATTTGCAGGAGCAATCACTTTCAGCTGTAGTAACATGTGTGGCAAACATGATACCGCAGGTAATTAGTTTTTCTGTCTCAGTTCCATTCTTGTAAGTGTATAGATATCATGCTTATGAGCTTAAGGTAAAAGTTCCACTGAAATATAATTTATGAACACGTTACTTTAATTAAAAGATTTACTGGGTCTTTCCATACAAACTCTTGGTGCCCGTGCCCATAGCTTCTTTTTATCACGCTTACGTTCTCATGTTGGTTCAACTGCTAGAAATACCTTCTGGAGAAACGAGCAGTTGTGGATAATGATGGAGGAAAACTGCTAAACGAAGACAACGATCTTAGATCTGTAAGTGACTTTTGCTCTTCAAAAACGTGGATAATAATTTTTTCCGTGCTTTAAAAATATTTTGGATGATTTCCTGTTTCCAGGTACTCCAGTTCTTAATGGATGATGTAGCTGAATTTATTTCCACTCATTGCCCTACAACTGGAGGAGAAGCGGATGCAATCAAAGAAACGAAAGGCTGCAATCAACTTAGTTCATTTATCAACTATATCTCCGAGCGCGAAACTGAAAATTTTCGATCAAGAAGACATGACAATGAAAATTCTGTCACATTGACCACCATTCATCAGGTTTTTGTCATCCAGTCATGCAATCCACAAATTCGTATTTATTGGTGTTAAATTAGCTGCTTCAGGCAGTAATGTAAAATATTGGCTGATATCTCCTGTACGTCTTTATGCAGTCTAAAGGTTTGGAGTGGGACGTAGTTTTCATAGTCAAGGTATATAACATTCTCTGTTGACTTCTTTGCCGGGTTATTTGCAGTTATGGACCTAGCATGATATGAAATACGACTTATTTTATAGAACTAATGAAACAACAAATTTAACAGGCTAATGAAAACGAGATTCCCCTATTACATGAGTCTAACGGCACTGCATCAGAGATTGGAGCATCACTCGAGGTATTACTCTTCTCTTTCCTGAACTATCTCATTGAATCTCCACCCACTTTCCACCTCTGTGAACGCTACGAAACTATATTTTAGCACATTGTTTGTTTAAATTGTAGGAAGAACGTCGCCTTCTCTATGTTGCTATGACTCGTGCTCGCAAGAAATTATTTTTCTTGTACGTGACAGTGGATTCGAACTGGCAGGTTAGTACTACATATGATGTGCAAATTTTTCCTCTCTAAACTTTGTCTCTGACTAACGACCTTCCATCCAGGTGCTCCAACCCTCACGATTTCTTAAAGAGATTCCAGGCCATCTTCTACAGGTTCAAATCTCAGTTTGCTGCAGTTTTATGCATGAGAATATGAAAGCACTAATAAGAACTCACAAATATGTCTTGACTTTTGTCTTTTATTAATAGGGAGACTTGAGCGTAAATGACTGCAGAAATGTTCATCACAACCTTCCAAACAAGACTGAGCAGAGCGTCTCTTTCGGAACAGAAATAAAGCATGAGGAAAATAAATCAAATGATAATGATGTGATGAACATTCAAGTAGATGATGCTACCAAGGAGTCAACAGAAGTGGCATATGGACTCGACGGGAACAACTTCCTTAAGAGGTTACGTTCTTAAAGTCCACCATAACTATCTAATTTGTGCTCTGTTGTTCTGCTTCATCATTCAAAGGTTTTTGACTTTTATCCTCAACAGGTTTGAAGTGGAGGTTAGATCAGTTGTCTCTCACTTATTTCACAACTGGGCCAAGAAACAAGCATTCCAGGAGCCGAAGAGGCTGATTGACAAAGTGAGTATCGTATACTCTGCAACAGTTCAAGTTCAACAGTAAGCGCCAAGCAATGTTCTTAGCTTACCTCATGTCAATGTTTTTGTACATGCAGGTAAGGTTTGTGATTGGTGAACGTTTGGCCATTAAGAAGGAGAAACACAAGGTTGTATACCTCTCTAATAAAATTTGGTCTCGTCTATATATTTATTCATAAACAAACCAACACAGTAGTTTTCTTGTTTCGTTACTGTAAGTTTATTTATTAAGGCCTACGAAGCCATACAGAGTGCTGGAATATGCTTTGGTGACTAACTGGATACTGTGCTATTTGTTAGGATGTCTTACGAACACTTAAATCATCATTGACTTCCGAAGAAGCGTTCCAATATGCAGAACATGTAAGCATATTATTCCAAAAACACTGTCACACACTAATGAGTTGATAGAACTGAAAACTGAGATTGTGGTGCTCATGTCATGTGTACTTTGGGGATGTCAGGTACTTAGGTGGGAACAACTTCCTGCAGACACACGGGCTCATATAATGCGCGAGAAACAGGTAATACTTCTCTGTTTTGAGAAAGCAAGAAACTAATAGTTAACTTAACTCCACAAAATATGATAATATTCTGTTTCAGGAGCATTTCCAAAAACTGAGAATTGAAAACTCAATGGGAACTTCGGAAGCAACGAGTAAACAGGTAAAAGCACCGTATGATTTATCCAACGTTTGTATAATACTTCAGTCTAGCTTTCATTTTAACCAACCGAAAATTGAAAGATTGATATATTTTTCGTATATGTTTTTGAAATGGCAGATTGCGTTTCTGCATAGTCTAGGATGCACGGTCGTCCCAACATCACGTCTCCATGCGTCACGTCTGATCGAACAGTACAAATCACTATGAGACTCTTGATGTATTTATAGTCTCAAACTGAGACTGAATATAAACAAACAAAGGAGCCCTGTAACGATCTCGATTTCCTGATGGAAGGTCAATCGAAAGAAGGTATATATATATATATATGATTTTCATTCGCCCAATTACTTGGAAGTTTGAAACAAACAGTTTATTGTATCTCTCTTAGTATATATTGTCCTTAATGCCACATTTGGAGGAGTTTGTGAGATAAAACTCTCTTTTTTTGATAAAATGAGAATAATGTACAGGAAAAACCTACAAAATATTATTTATATATACTAGATTTGGAGAGCATTACATTTTGAATATGAAATAAGAAATAACTATTATTGTAACACTGAAATGCACTCAATGTGATGCATGGATACACCATTTTCGTTGTTCTGTAGCAAACGGACAACACCATTTATTTGATCATAGTATCATCACCATTGGTTATAGTACTCACATGACCAAGACAAGAAACGAATGTGATCTACAGAATATTGTATTTCCATGAGAACACTCACTTTTCCTTATGTCCTCAAGTGGCCAACTAGTTTCTTAACCATAGCATCGGATTGGATCTTTGCAACCTTTCTCAGCTGATTGCCTGAGACCCATCCGACCTCCTTTCGCCAGGTATTGCTGGTGGTAGTTCTCTGCTCTGTAGAATTTCGTGGCGGGAAGTATCTCAGTCACAATCTTCTTGTTCAAGATCTTCTCCTGTTTCTCCACTGCTTCACGAGCTATCTTCTCTTGCTCGTCTGTGTAATAGTATATCCCTGATCGGTACTGCGTCCCCACATCATTCCCCTACTCAATCAAACAAATACGTCAGCACCATATGTAAATGACCTCAACAACAATCCTAGATTCATCCTCAAATACACAGAGCGTCTAATCTCACATCACAGTTACTGATTCCAAATGTAATTCAAATTGAGATGAGATAAAGTCTAAAACTTTTGAGGGTAAAGCTATGACCTGGCGATTCAAGGTGGTTGGATCATGGCGATCCCAGAAGACATCGAGCAAGCTCTCAAAGCTGCAATCTTTGGGATCGTACTGAACTCTAACGACCTCGTTGTGTCCCGTCGTGCCCGTACAGACATCCTCGTAGCTCGGATTGTGGACGAGGCCATGGCTATAACCAACCTCGGTCTTCGTCACACCAGGGACTCTCTGGTAAGCTAGCTCAACTCCCCAGAAGCAACCGGCGCCGAATTGCGCGAATTGCTGACCTGGCGACGGAACATCATCGTCGGGTCCTTGGGCGATTGCGGCGGAAGCCGGGTCGGGTTGGGGACGTGACCCGAATCCGAGCCTGTTGAAGAGGTTGTTCATCGGGGATTTGTAGACGGAGATGGGTCGAGCGGTTTTGGGGAAAGGGCAGACGGGTTTGGCTCTAGATAGAGGGAGCGCGGCTTTAGTGAGAGAATGGAGGGGTTTAGAGAGAGAAGCGGCGGAGATGACCGGAGGAGAGGCAACGAGAGCCAGCATTATCGAAGGGAAGGGGGAGTGGAGTGACGTGGGAAAATTGGAACTTTAAGAGTTCGGATATTTTTCTATCTTAAAATTTTCATTTTTTACGCTCGAATTTGTCGCCACTTTTCTAGAATATTGCGGAATGATAATCTGTAATACTTGATGTTTTAGAGTTTACACATAAATTAAGAAGTAATTAATATTTAACTTTTTCATTTTAAATAATTATCCGCCAATAAAAATTATAGATTTCTCTAATGCAACATTTATTAATAAAAAATAACTTTAAAAGCTAAAAACATAAATACATGAAACAAAAAAAGAAAAGTTTAAACATCAAATATTAAAAAACAGATGGAGTATATTTCAACTCTTTTATATTGGTTGAGAATTGACACGCTCACAAAAATACTCATGTTTGATCGCGCTAAAGTAGAAAAAAAAGAGTTAATTCTAACAGAGAAGGTTTTAAGAGAATTTAGGGAATTCAATGATAGAATTCACGTGATCAACGAAGTAGAAGATGAAAGTTTTTTTGAATTTTGGGAAGCAGTGGATGCCAATTCCATAAAAACACCATAATTGATGAGACCATGAGGATCTCAACTTCCAAGAACTTCAAAACAAAATTGCAAAGTTAAAAAAAAAAGCATTATTGACTGTGTGTGAATTCTTGAAGCCACAATCTGAAAAGTACAAAAAATGTACAATGGAAGTGTGTCCATTTTTGGTGAGTGGTACTTGGTGAATGGTGCAGGTTCAAAACTACTTGGAATGATCTCCAGCAGCATGGATCAAGGGCCATAACAATATTGAAGAAAAATATATATCTAAATTTTTTGTTCATTGTGTTTAGCAGCTTGAAATGTGATCCATCTGCTAGAAACAATTTTTTTTTTCTTTTTTATGTCATTTTGTCTTTTGGAATTGTGTTCATGAACGATTTGTGTCATTGAGACTATTCTGCCAAATAAAGAAAGTTTTTGTCATACTAATTACCATAAACATCTTGAGCTAAGTTAAGTTATGCCTCAGTCTCCAAAGAAGCGCACTCGGAAAAATGGAGGATGTTTAGAGATCATTTATTGGATCATTAATGTATTTGGTCGATTGGTAACAACTAAAAATACCTTGCTTAACGAAACCTTACATCTGTTAACACGAAAGTTACCTTATTTTATTAATGAAGTTCGAAATTAGTTTTTCATTTGCTTAGTTAAGTGCTGTTGTTCTTCATAAAGCCACAATCAGAGGAGAAACAGAGTACATACATTATATATACATATGAAAGGCAAACGGTTTTATGCATTTTTCATCATAATTAAGATAGTCTTGGCTTCTTGGGTTTGGAAGGAATTTACGAAAGGCCCGACCTCATATAAATCAGCCCAATACATGGTCCGTTTCGAGTGTACGTTCGGTTCAGTTCCAACGCCACATTCAGAAGTGAGACAAGAAAAACAAACGTGTCCTCAAGTAGACCCCTCTCGTTTACACATGCAAGTGCTGCATGGTGACGCCATTAACACGTGTCGTATATTGCATGATGACGCCATTGACACGTGACTTTTCTCGCCTCCCTTCTCATCATATATCTATTCAATTTAACACTCGCAGCTATTCCAACACATACACACATCCGATCTCTCAAATTTCGATATCTCCTTTCTCTAGTCAAACAAGAGCAAAAAATGGCGGACACAGCTAGAACAACTCATCACGATATCGTCGGCCGAGACCAGTACCCTATAGTGGGTCGAGACCGAGACCAGTACGGCCTCCAGTACCGAGACCAGTACGGTCGTGGTGGTGACTACTCCAAGTCTAGGCAGATTGCTAAAGCCGCTACTGCTGTCACCGCCGGTGGATCCCTCCTTGTCCTCTCCAGCCTCACCCTTGTCGGAACAGTCATTGCTTTGACTGTTGCAACTCCTCTCCTTGTTATCTTCAGCCCAATCCTCGTCCCTGCTCTCATCACAGTAGCTCTCATCGTCACCGGATTCCTCTCTTCCGGTGGGTTTGGCATTGCTGCTATCACCGTCTTCTCTTGGATGTACAAGTAAGCACTCATGTCAATATCATCATCTAGTTTGTTATGCCTCTGTCTATATGTAAAGGCGTTGTGTATGATATTGATGCATGGATGTGTGTGATGGTGATGAAAAGGTATGCAACGGGAGAGCACCCACAGGGATCAGACAGGCTGGACAGTGCAAGGATGAAGTTGGGAAGCAAAGCTCAGGATCTTAAAGACAGAGCTAGCTACTACGGACAGCAACAACATACAGGTGAGCACGACCGTGACCGCACCCGTGGCACCCAGCACACCACTTAAATGACGATGTTGTTGTCATCGTCACAGTCCAATAACTCCGATGTCGGGGAGTCGAGGTCAAGAGGAATAAGGTGTTTAAGAATTTGATAGGGGGGGGATAATAAAAGCCGATATCACGAGTTTGTTTCTTTTTTTGTTATAAATAATGTTTCAAGTGTCTTTTCTCTTGTCAAATGGTACCATGTTTTTTTTTTTTTTTTTTTTTTTTGCTTCTTGTTTTCATTTTGTAAACGTTGTTGTGTTGGCTCGTTTGTAAGTGGTTACGTTTATATGGATAATGTTCTGTTTTGTGAAACTTCATTCCGTTAGGTGAAACTTTCGATATTTTGTTATGTTGTGGACTGCCTCTCGGATGTGCCTGATGGGGATGTTTAAGACCAAATGAAGGACTTCCTACTTATGCTGAATTAACCGATTGGAATTTTCAACTACACCAAGTATATTATGTTTACATGTTTTGCTTAATTTAATTGTTAATTTTTTTAAAAAAATCTTATGTTCCTTAATCAAAACATCGATTTTTTGTTGCTAAATTAACTTCAAACCATAACCAGTGTGTTATTTAGGAAACATAAAATTTCTAATGGTTTGATATGTTTCATAAAGTGAAAGCAGTTTCAAGCTAACACTCAAATTTGTAGAGGCCAATACAAAACACTCAAAATGGGGAATTGGAGCTTCTGTTGATAATCTGAAAAGTGACATATAGTGGAACAACACGTATAAGCACTCGTGATAAGACAAGGGAAACAAGATACACCACCATCTTTAATAGTATAGATGTATTGCTTTATTACTTCCATTACACAAATTATTGTATCCCTCAGAATCTAATCAAACGTGTATAGCTTTACCACTTCCATTAAACAAATTATGGTATTCCTCAGAATCTCTGGATGGTGTGTGTCCATCCCATTTTTTTATTCATACTTGCAGTTAAAAGTCACAGACAAATTATATTTTGTGTTGTTTAGTGTCTTCCTCACAAACAACATAATTCTTGAACCAGAGGAAGCTAATTGGCATTTTTGCATCTTTATAAATTGTTGTTGGAACAAGCTCTCTTAACAAAGAACTGAAGTCATTAGCACATACATATATAGCAAGTAACTACATGGCAACCCAAACTTTCAAAAACAGCAGGTTGCTTCATTGGTCACCCGGAATTAGCCCTGAATAGTCGAATTAGAGTTTTCCCAACTTCAGGGGATATAATACATTGGATTCGGAAGTTTGAAAGACCTCTCCGACATTGCAAAACCCAACAAATCACTCCATTGATCACCTGAATTGCCTCTGATCCTATACCCTTCTTTCACCATCTCTTCCCTCTTCTCCGACTTGTACACGGTCGCCGTCTTGCGCTCATCATCCGACGACCTGTTCCCATTACACACCAAATGAAACCGTTAGATCATCCAAACAGAAGATCAAACAATGTCAAGTTATCAAGAATTAGATACAAACTTAATTATGAGCTACATCGTACCTCAGGATAAGCTCGTCCCAGTTACGGAAACCGGTATTGAGGAGGTTCTCGACGGTCACAGCCCTGTGGATCTCTCTCCGCCCTGTAAGCAGGACAATTTTGTACCCCAAATCTTTAACCTTTTGGTAAAGTTTCAAGCTTGGTGCTATGGCAGGTGCAACACCTTTCTCCACCCACTTATCAAACTTGAAATGATCAAAAGCTTCCAACCTGAAAAATTCCCAAACAGAAATTCAGTAAACGAACACAGATTCACATTTAACAGTTTCTAGATTATCTTGTAGATGATATCAATTGAAAAAGACAGACGACCCAAATCTCTAGATTCATCAATATAAAATTATTATTAAAAAAGAAACAATTTTTTAGCGATATTGTTGAGGAGATTGAAGAGAAATAATTACCCACAACCGTGTTCTAGATAATACGGAAGATTCGATAAGAGAGTCTCATCGATATCGAAAATCCAAATATCTTTCCCGTCACCGGCAAATCCGAAGCTGCTCGCGTAAACCATAGACTCTTCCGAGACTCTCTCCAGATCGACGACGTAGCCTTTACCCGTCAGGTAGTTTTTCACGTAATCGGCGCATTCCGTCGGAATCGTTTTCCACGGCGCGAGGTTGTTCGTCTCCGCCGCGAATCTCCAGCTCGTGCAATGCACATTGACATTGTCGTTGTCGACGCTCTTGAGCTGGTGGGACTCGAAGATCAACGGCCGCGGAAGGAGGTGCGGCGAGCTGGAGTTTTCCGACGAAATCGCGAGCGCAAACAATGTCGACAGCGCGAGGAGAATCGCGAGAATCCGCATCTCGTATATTGCCGGAAACGGAACGAATCGAATGGAATAAAAAAGAGCTCAGAAAATAATGGTCGTCAATCGTCAATTGGGAAATTCGATTGTAATCTAATGAATCTTCGGGAAACTCAATAAGCGAAATCCGAAGAAAGGAGAAATTCCATTCTCCAGATTGAAGATAAATGGAATATAAGAGGAACCCTAGAAACAGTACAACCTTTCCCCTCAAATCCTTTTTCAATGGAGAATATGAGAAAAGGTACTGTTTCCTTTTGGGGCAATGAAGGAAGGAAGACGAAACGAAACGACCAAAAAGAAAAGGCAAAATTAAGGTTTCGGTTTACGATATCTGGAGGCAAAATTAACGAACGGATCCGAATATTCCTTAAATCCTAATTAAAACCTTATAATACCGTTGCTAATCAAATTGGACCGTATACTTCTAACTTTATACAAAAAGAAGTGGTGTTAAAAAATAATACACTGTTTATACATTTCCAATGAGAAATTCATGATTTAATTTTTAACCGAACCCACAAAAACGTGGATTTAAAAGAAAAGCCAAAGATACAAAAATACAGAAGGAATGTGGCCTGAGAACATCTTGCCGTTTTATATACTCAGAAGAAAAAAAACGCTACACAGTTTTTGGCTTTACTGAAGTCTAGACCTCCACTCCATGATGGCTGAGTAAAGAGTGTAATTAGGCAAAAGGTTCTTGTTGTGTAACGGCGAATCCGTCATCGGCGACGTGTCGTGCTCCTCAAGCCACTCCTCTATCGCACGACGGTCGTACGTGTATCCATCAGACGCAACGCACGGCTCATTCATCACGTCCTGCACAACATAACACAAACTCTCACATTTTCATTACTTCAGTCACACGTAATCAATGACGTAAAGAACAAAAGATTGCATAGTGTTATACCTTAAGTAATGGGCAGAGGAAATGAGTAGGAGGCTGTTTAGGCCCACCTGAAAGTGAATTCCTTGCCTTCTCAGCTACTTTCTTTAAGCTCTCAAGCGCCGGAAGAATCTGATTCTTCAAATCAGGCCTATCTTTCCCACGCAGCTCTGTACAACACAAAGCCAACGATGTCAACTCTCTAGTTTCTTCAACCGGCCAGTGACCAGCTTTCTGATCCAAGATCTTGAGAAACTCTTCGTTACTATCCATCGCGCTCTCAACGGAATGTGTCAATGCAATAGCAGGCTTTCCAGTGAGAAGCTGAAGAACAATCATTCCAAACGAATAAACATCTGACTTCGACGATATCATCCCCGTGCGTTGATACTCCGGATCGATGTAGCACAACGTTCCCACAGGGCTTGTCTTCTTGTAGATTGTGAACTTAGTTGATAAAGGATCGACTTGGACCATCGTTGAGAGTCCCACGTCTCCTACTTTGCTGACAAAGTTGTGGTCTAGTAAGATGTTCGCCGGTTTTAGATCACGGTGGATGATTGGTTTAGGCTTTGATTTGTGGAGGAAGACTAGAGCCGCTGCGACTTCCCAAGCTATTCTAAACCGCTCGAACCATGGGAGTGGAGGACTGTTGTTGACTTGGAACAGCCTGTCTTCCAAGCTACCGTTTTCCATGTACTCATAAACTAAAGCTCCTTGCTCCGGACACGCTCCTAGAAGAAGAACCAAGTGTGGATGCCGAATCTTGCTCAAGATTTCTAGCTGTTCAACAGAGAGATAATTGTAACTTCTTGCTTCTTATAAAAGAAAAGACTTATCCACAAGATTTACCTCTTGTTGGAATTGTTTGGAGAGACCATTTTCAGCGGAATGCAAGACTTTGACAGCTGCGGTTGTATGATGAAGATTACACTTGTAAACAGCTCCGAAAGCTCCCATTCCGATCTTCATCTCGTCTGAGAAAGACGAAGTGGCGGCGACAATATCTTCCCAAGAGAAGTGCTGATATTGCAGCTGAGGAGACTCAAGAGTGCCTTCAAGCTTCTCTTTCTCTTTTGCATCACGAGCTGATTTCCTCTCAGCTTCTCTTCTATGCGCAATCTCTCTCTCCGCTCTTTCTCTCATGCTCTCTGCATCTCTCCTCGCCTGTTCAAAGTTCTGTTTTTCCTTCTCCGCTAACTCTCGAGCTTCGTACTCCTTTAGCTTTAGCTCTTCAAGCTTTATCGCTTCCTCTAACCTACGTTGGTTAAGCTCACCAAGCTGAAACGTTTTGAGAAACCATTGAGCACAAAACTAAAAAGGTTTCATCAAAATGCAAAGATATATAAAGATTATCACCTTCCGAGAAGCATCATAGGTTTCGGTTTGAGCCACAGCATACATTTCTTGGACGTGTCTAAGCTCAGCTCTCAACTTCTCAATCTCAAAGTTTAGGTTAACCTGGTTGTCTGAATAAGACTGTTCACTCAGAGCATCAGACATGTTGGAAGCTTGCTGAGAAGCACGAGAGTGAGTGTTGTTATCGACCATCATGCCAGTCCAACTAAACCTAGTACCAGCATTCCCATATTCACGGTTGCTAGAAGAAGAGCTCATAGCTTCTTTCCTCTCCTCGTAATCTCTAACACGAGGAGTCCAACGCGACGTAGTATCAGTGCTGCTTCTGTTGACACTCGAAACGTCTTTGACTTCCTCTGCATCCAAAGACATGCACCTTGTTTCGTCAGAGCCAACAGAGCTTGTTTCCATTGGAACCGATGCTTGTCTTGCAACTGTAGGGTGGTTTTGCGATCTCCTGACCGGAAGGGAGAGAGCACGTGACTGAGATTGAGAGTCAAGTGAGCTTGACATTACATCTGTTGATTCTATACGACAAAATGGAGGAGAAAACTTAGTCCAATGAACACACCATTTTTTTAGTAGCATATTCACACACAAACACATTGATGAGTCATTATGAACCTGAGGTGGGACCAGAAGAGCCGCTTGTGGAATCTGTTCTTTCACTACCATCACTTCTTATAGTTGCGTTTCCATCTGAGTCTGATGGTCGGACGCATGATAGTTTTCCTTTTGAGACAACATAGACCGTACAAAAGTTTGGCATCAGAGCTGATATCGCCGAGCACATATCAGCTCTCCTGGAATTTGTTCAAAGCAAGATTCATTGGTACAAGAAACCAAAAATAATAAAAGGTGAAAAGCTAACACCACAATGTACCTTGAGAAAAAACTACGAGAGGAGCCTCCTATAACAAGTCTCTCTATCGAATGCTGAGAAACTTCTTCAGCTATTGCGGCTGCTACATTATCTGATTCGAGTACAAGAACTTCAACTGCAACCTTTCATTAAGGTAAGAGATTCATGAAGCTTTCAGGTTTTGATCTTAAGAAAATAGAGAAAGCAGATAAGATAACTGTTAAGCGTATACCAAAAGACAATACCTTTCTCCTCTCAAACATTTTCTTGAAAGGTCTTAGCATCTCTTCGGCCTGCCACAGTATTTCTTGTCTATATGCAGTCACTACATCGTCTCGTACCTCGGAGATAGGGATTGCATTTCCCACTTGAGAAAGAGCAATAAATCACAATAAAGTCTCAATTTTTTTACAACAAAAAGTCTTGATTGCAAGAAAGAAACAGAGTCTTAGTTGGAGGTTTTACTTGGTGTAGGTACAGAAGTAATCCTTGGATGGATGTGAAGTAGCTTGAAGCCAACATTTCCTTCAGGAGCAAATTTTTCAAGCGCCCATGTAACTACGTTTTTGTTTTTCCTGCTCCCACTAAGAGCTACAATGACGTTTTGAGATAAAGGAGGAGGAGGAGGAGGAGGAGGAGGAAGAGCAAGAGTGTCTGGTGATCTGCTCATTGTCTATCTTTTTTCTTCTTGCTGCTTTTACCCTGCACAGTCCAAGCATTTTCAGACACTGCGGAAATATTGTCCTAAAAATAATACTTTGTTTCTAAAGTAGTTACAAGATCTTGAATTTTCAAAGGAGGTGTTACCGATCAAGAGTTTGATAGTTTAATTTGGATCAATTTATGAATAAGGATCGTATACCAACATAAACCAAACTGACATGTTCTTGTAAAAAAAAAAACTCAACTTTCCAAGAGAAAATGTCAACAATTAGCAAAATGCAATTGCAGAGAAATCGCTTTAGCCAAGTAATTCAACAGGACAATCTGGATAAACAAGAAATCCAGAGATTCAAGCTACCTGGTGAATAAAGGATGTGACTTTAGTCAAACCCAAGACAGAAATGGAGAGAAGACGAAGAGGAAAGTTTTGTCTTTTAATTCGGATTTGGGCATCTCGCATTTCGGGAAGAAAAGGTGGAATCTTCCATTTCACAGAGCAATAAATGGCAGAAAGAAAAATGAAAAAGGAAAAACAAAGAGCAGCCGAGGAAGAAGAGCCACGTTCGTGCTGCTGCTAATCTCGGATACAATCAATGGCTTCTTATAATCAGAGAATCTTACAGAGATTTGAAAATGAGTAGTAATAAGAAAATGAGACAACTTGGTCATGTTTATTGTCAAAGGATCAGTCCTGGTATATACTCTTTTGTTCTCGCCAGAATTTTCCACATTATCAGAGTGACAGAGGCAGTGTGTGTTTAAACAATGAAGCTCTCTCCAACCACCTGAGGCCTTGGCTTTTATTTAAATCATGTTTATCTCTTAATTTCCTCATTATTTGATGTTAATTACATTCCTCAACGCCATAAACCTTTTATAATTTCCACTTAGTTGCACGCATGACCTATCCCTTCCTCACGTCTTTTTGTCTCCCCTTTTTGTACTCCGACAGAGAGTCAATGTCGTTAATACAGACTATACAGTAAGTATATTTAGAGAGAATTTGCTGTGTAGTAGACTAGTGAATATATTTATGCCATCGGTTGTGTTTAGACTTCAGAGAGTCAAATTATTTTTGAACTTATACATACCAATAAGAAACTGTCAACTTTATTAACTGTACACTGACCAATGACCTTATGACCATGTCGTTTGTTTCGCTGCAACAGACAGACATATGTGTTTATAATCTTTGCATATGTGTTAGACAGACTGTTAGTATACTAGTGTCTTTTACCCAAGTTATTATTTCCATTAGGTGATGGTCAATAAAGTGCACTTTCTTGGATTGGAGACACTAGCAAATTTAATGAAACAAAACATATTTTCATTTAAGAGTAATTTACTTGGTTTTTGAAATATGATGTTAGAGAGGATAAGAGTATTTAGTTTAGAGCTCGAACCTGTACGGAATGTACAGAGAAGATTAATGATGAATCTATCCAGTCTCCGGTTTACGTAAAAAATGCTCCAAAAAATTAGTAGTAGAAAGTAGAAACATTACAAATGAGGAAAAACAAAGAAACTATGAATGATTGTTTAGTGTCTTTATTCCAAAAATTAACAAAGTTAATTATCTCAGCTTCATAAATGTTTTCTAGTATAACGGGACGTTTGAGCCTATCTAGAGGTCTCTCTTTGGCAATGTTCTTTTCACTTACTTTTATCCACGTATTTCACAGTTGCTTGACAACCAGAAATTTACTCATAACAAGCATATAAAACAGTTGTTCAAAAAAAAAAAACAAGCATATAAAACCATTTTGTAAATTAGTGCACGTTTGTAAGCAAGCAAAACCCTTTGTAAGTTATATATAGGAGATTAATTATAGAGTTATAGTATCTGAACAAAAATACAGCTCTAAACTATAGTATATGAACAAAAATATATAGTGTTGAAGAGTTTTGTTGAAATTTTACAGTTTCTTAATAACGTGAAAAAGTTGCAAGGTGTTAAGAATGGGAGATAGCTAGTGCGAATGAAAATGACACATCGACGGCTTGTGCAAACATTCGTTCGTCATCGTATATCAGAACGTAATCAAGGTAAACCGGATATCGAGTGGAGGAGGCCCACACGCAATCGCTCTTTTTCTTTGTTTCATAAACATTAACCCGCTTTATTAAGCAACCTTCCCATATGTTTATTTTTTTTAATTATTTGTCTAAAGCGAGTGATGGCATGTTAACATTACTAGTGACTAGTGAATAGTATTTCGATAAGAGTTGATTTTATAATGAGAGCATCAGAGTAAAAAAACCAGTAAAAATACAACTGGCTAATTGTTCATTTTGATTAGTCTAAAAGTTTTAGATAACCAAAGTTATTGAGTAAAGAAGAATAAGATATCCAAAGCTAAATTATGTCCTATGTCTGCGTTATTTTTCAATGTTGATGATACTTCTTTATCCGTACGAAATGTCTTCTGAATTTCAAATTGATTTTGGAATTTTCATGCTATTGAGTCTCATATTTGAGTTTCTAAATTTTGTAATACATTAAAATGTCAGATTATCAAGGTTTTTCTTTTAATTATTTGTTATTTTTTGTCTTGGAAATTCTACATACCATAGAAATTTGAGACAATTTCCATTTCATGGAAAACATATTTATTTTTGTCAACGAAAAACTATTATTATAACGATAGTGTAGTTAGTATTTTATTGCATTAAAGCAAAAGAAAACAGAGTAAATGGATAAGCGTGTCGTGGAGAAGAAGCACCAAAGCAAAGCAAAAGGAAAGTCGTATAAAATCTTGGAAAACAGAATATATTCTCGATAAATCCTTAAAAAGAAGCCATTTTTTGCATTTAATCTTATCCGTCTCCTCGATACCATCAAAAACTGATCGTAGAAACCGAAAAATTAGCGAACTCCATCAGACTACTACTAAATTCATCGACTCGGTAGAGAGGAACAACATAGACCACAAGACAAAACTGATCACCGAGTAAGAACGTACGAAAACCTGTCGGAGTAAAACAAACGATTTGATTCTCTCATGTTTGGTGGAGGAAGAGGACCCATGGGCGGCGGCGGAGGGATGCTACGCGCCGCCGGACGTGCGATGACGAGGACCGGCGTAGCCAACGGCGGAATCCAAGATCCCTTTGGTTCATCACAGTCGTCGGCGTCGTCTCCGGCTGGAAACGCATCCGTCTCGCACGGAGGTGCGAAGAAACAGAGATCCTCTTCTTCTGGGTCGAACAATCTCACGATTTCGGCGGCATCAGGATCGCCGTTGAATCTTCCGGTGGCTGCAAACTACGGATGGACCGGTGGAGCTTTCTCGTTTGTGAATTCCGGCGGTTATGAAGACTTTGAGTGGGTGTCGGAAGAAGGAACCGAAGAAGATGACTCTGTTTTTGGCTCTATTCCTTCTGTTGATGAAGTCCAAGATGCTGTTTCTGCTCTCCAGCAGTAATCATTTTTTCTCTTTTCTTTATTCATTTCTCCATCCACCTGAAACTCTGTGTGTGTGACTATTTAAGCTTTGAAACTTCTATAAATGAGCAGAATTGACTATTAGAGTATTAGTTTCATACATGTGGATGAGCTTTAAGTGTGAAAGGTAATAGAGAGACACGAATATTGTCTTTGATTTGATTGAAGGTCTCAAAGTTCACTTTTTTCTTCTTCTGATTGTGATTGAATTGTCTTAATTTGTCGAAAATGAGGAAGATTGAAACTCTATTCATTTTGTTTTCTTATGGAATTAGTGTCCTCGTGTCTTTTAACCCCCACGCAGTTGTTGATTCCTAAAACCTTATGTTGCTTTCAACAGCTGTTTCCTAGTTTAGCTTCATAAATGTTTCTTTTTTTGTTTCTTATGAATATCAAAACCTGTTTTCTTGTTTAATGACATTTTGAGTAACTGTTGATTCTTGGTTTTATTCTTGAAGGGTTTTCGATGGTAGTTCGTATTCTCAGCTGGTTAGAGACAAATACGAGTGCAACTCGGAAAATGGCGGTGGAAACCAGAACCCCATAGCCACAGGGATGGTTCATCAAGTTCCTTCATTCGGGTCGGATTTGGACTGGATGGAGCCTTCAATGCAACTATGCCATTCAAGAACCTTACAGCCTCATGCTTATGATCAGGTTTACAGTGCTTTTAACCTACTTCGAACCGAACCGTCCGTCCAGGTAATCCTTTTTCTTGTTTTCTTGATTCACAAGCTCAAGTTTCTGTCTTGCTTTCTTAAGAATGAACCAAGATCTTTAACATTTTGTGCAGAGGATGGTGATATCATTGTCATCTGACAAAGCAGTGTGGGAGGCTGTGATGAACAACGAGGTGGTGCGAGAGATCAAGGAGTTGTACAACAATGGGACAAGTCAAGGTATATGGAGAATGAATTTGATCAATCTAAGCCTTCTCATTTGAGAGAATTTTTCAAGTCACTCATTGGCTTGTTTGGTTCTTTCTAAATTTCCTAATAACAGATGGGGAGAGTTCAGATGAAACTCCCAAGGAGAATAACGCAGCAATGGATTTCATAAAATGGGTATTTGACAACACAATGGTCAAGGCCACTGAAGTGTTTGAGAAGATAACAAAACTCGTGGCGGAGCTACTCAACAGCTGCAACGACGATGGTGGTGTTAGCAAGAAGGGGAAAGATGCAAAGTTCAACAACTGGCTCGAGGAAAAGCTCAAGACTTCGGTCCTACTCTCCATCGTTGTCATGCTTGTCGTGATGGTGTCTCGTGCCTGCAACAAGCCTTGATCATTTCAAAAATCTGTCGACAATACATTTGGTCTTCGTCTCTCTGGATACATTTGGTGTTTAGCTTTCTTCCAGGTTTTATGTTACAGTTTGTTTAATAATTCTCTGGTTTTGTACCTCCATTGTTGACATGTTTAGACGATTTGTTCTGTTTCCGTTTTCTATCATAAGAAAACCAAATGTTTCACAACGTTAAAAGATTTCACTTCTACCCTGAAGTAGACACAAATAAGGATTTGTGGTTAAAGATTAGTTTGTAGTTACAGAATCTAAAGGGACAATACTACTACTACTACTCTCTTCACATCCTTGTATGAACAAGACCGGCTATGTCTAGAACAAACCTTCACTTGTGTATTTCCATGCCTGAAGCAGACTTCAAAAGAGACTCAACATCAGGAGTAACAGTCACAAAGTTGGCTGAAGAACCAACGTGACCGCAGTGCCTCCCTTCTGTGTCGATCGCTGCCACATCATTAAGAAATTGCGCATTCGGACCTGGCGAGACCTGCAAATGTATGTGTATAAGAAAGAGAGTTAAACGAGAAAATAAGAAGTGCTACAAGCAGAGTTTATTCCAACACAGCTTCAGATAATGCATTGATGTACAACTGATGGGACAAATTAACTTACATCATAGAGGAGATCACCAAATTTCATCTTGACAGCGCCGCTCTTGTAAACTAGCATCTTGCCCATGAATCCCCCTGGTAAATCTTCAAAAGGGTTGCTTCTCTTTAAACTATTCTCCAATACTGATCTCTTGGTCTTTGCTCCTGTCGATTCCTCCTCCTTCACTACAGCTTTGCCTTTCTTTGAACTAGTCTCTGATACTGGTCTCTTGGTGTTTGCTCCTTTCTTCAATACAGGGAGACAGTCCGGAATCTTGAAGAAAAACATCTGATTTTTGTAGTGTTGCTTCTGCAAGCAGCTCAGGAAAAACACAATCAGTCAAAACTCAGTGAAAAAGTTTTACATCTCTGTTAATACCAACATGTTTTACAAGTTTATTACCGATGTCAGGCCGAGTTCTTCTGCTGAGTTGATGCTGTTCTCATCGTAATCGAGGTGTTTAGCAATGTCCCCAAATTCCTCCTTGTCAAGACGTTCTAACAACACCAAGAAGCATATACATGAAGAGTTATATTTACAGAGCAAACACATTCACACATCTGAATTTTGTGATCCACAAAAAGCATACCTGGATCACCAGAGTAAGGCTTTCTCAAAGGAAGAACAGTAGGATAGTAGGAGTTTTTATAATCCTGGCACATGAAAGTGAACCAAACCTTATGTCAGATAAGTCAACATAAGAGAGATTAAGATGAAAAAAGTCAAGTTGTATCTCAAGATTCTAATTACCCAAGGTTCAACGTAGTCTCTCTTAGTTCTTGGAACCAAATTGTGAACCTCTTCTCCATCTTTTCTGGCAGAAGCAGCAGGAACAATGGCACTAGAAGAGGCAGTGGCACTAGAAGAGGGATTTACATCAGAACCGTGCTTGTCGTCTTCTTTAGGAACCCCAAACGATCTAATTGTAAGCGACGAGAAGTCTGGTTGGAATGCAACTTCAGAGGAAGAAGCTGCAAGATTTTCAAGAACAATCTCGCTAATATAAAACTATATTTTACATAGTTCTCAGCTAACACATTTGCATAAAAGAGATCAAACACAAAATGAAGACTGCAAATACGCATTAATGTGAATATGTATTACCTTTGGTTTCGGTTTTGGGTCTCCTCTGGCCAATCTGCAGCAACAACAACAACACAAGAAAGTTAAAGTTTCAACTTCGACCATTATAAATGTGAATATATAACAACCAAGCAGATATAGACTATGCCAAGAAACCTAACAAAAGCAAGAATTGGCTCTAAACTAGAGCTGAAGAAGAGAGCACACCGTTTTGATATCTTAAAGTATTCTATTTGTATGCATGAATAAATCTAATGTATGAGATGTTAATATTTTAAAATTAAGGGAATTTTACGGTTTAGATTAGCTGATACTAATTGCTGTTAAGAAACAACAAAAATTAACTGATAACTAAAATTTCCAGGAAAAATAAAAAAAAGGAAAGAAAAAATAGGTAGCTAAGCTGAGATTGAGAAGAGAGTGTACGTACGCCGATACGTTTGGCTAATTGTCGAGCTGCTCTTTTATCCTCTTCTTCCTGAGCCTTAGCTTCACTGTGTTCATAGAAGGATATAAATCCTTACCATGTAGTTTCTATGAATGCATTAAAAAGGAAGGATCAAGAGAAAGAAGGATTACTTGTTGGAGGTCGGTGCGATCTGCCGGCGAGAAGGCGCCGATGCTCTTGGTTGAAACCTCCGCTGCCGAGAAAGAGAACGGAGAGAAGGTCAGTCAAAACGTAATTTCGCGGCGGAATTGACGGTGATAGGTTTTAGAATGAAATTTCCAAATTGGAGGAGAAGGAAAGAATCAGTAGAGATTACCTTAGACTTTCGGGGAACCTCGGAGCCTGAATCCATGGCTGTCGCCGGCAAGTGAATCGAAAATGGAAAAAATAAAATTAGGGATTTGGGAGAGGAGAGGATCGAACTCGGGTCCGCGGCTAATGAGAAACTATGGGATTCCAGTTAACCTAGGTGCGCTTTTAATGACATTTTCTACAATCATATATATATAACTATATAACTTCATTATTACGTTACACCAATAAGTAATTAAAAAATATGATAAATTGACTCCTATCTTATTATATAAACACATTTCAATGCAAATAATCATAGAGCGTTTTCTTGTCACATTGGATTCTGAGAACAACTGAACTCTCACTTGCCGTCTTATCTCGTACGTGAATGAATATCAGTATGTCACTTGAACTAGACATTTTCGTATGTCGTTTTGAAAATTTGTTCTTCCAAAGCTTATGTACTTTAAGAAAACTGTTATTGGGATTAGATACTCATACATGATACTTGGAGAAAAAATTCAAAATTACGTACCATTCTGAAACGTAGATCTCCTTCTTATCTTTCTTCTTTCTCCATTCTCCAACTACCAAACATCGACGTCTCCATTTATCGGTTTTCCTTTCTCCCCTGTGTTGGTAGACATATTAGTGTGCGATGTTGAGTGAAAAAAACTACAATAAGTTTGTGTTGAAGTACATATACTGAAAATATTGATTGTGGTAGTGTGAGAGGATATATATTTGTATATATATTTTCTTGTTAATATCTTATTTCTGTTATTAGCTTGATAAAGTAGGACTGTAGGATCTCATATTTTGTTAGATGGATAAGGTAGAAGTTTTTGGGTTGAGTAGATTGACATTGTATTCTCTTGAACTAATAAGATCATCAGAAAATATATAGTATGAGCTTATTTTACACGTAGCAAATCCTGAATGATGTCGTCTCGTAAACAGATGTCTTGCTTTTTAAGCATAATTATGTAAACAATTCAGACCAAAATTTGGTCTTCTCATTCGGTAAAAACATATGTGCATGAACCAAATCTAGTTTTCACGGACAACCAAAATGAGTTTATAAATAGGTATACGGTTTAGGTTATATTTCAAAAATTAATTTTGGCATTTTCTGTAAAAGTCTATTGTTATAGAGTCAGTTTTGCACAATGCATAATGTATTAACATTTAGTTACAGATCCCACTTTACATTAAGTTATTAGAGAGCGTAATAACATCATAAATCTTGCACATAATTTTTCTGTTCTTTAGTCTTCTGGAGCAAATGCACCTCTAAGCTACTCTCCTTCGCCTGTTTTAAAAGGAAAAAGATTCACCACTTTAGCGTTTAGAGCTTCGGAATCCAAATCCAAGATAAACAAATAAATCAAACCATTTCAGACTAATGGCTTACTCCATCCAATCAAACTGAACCATTTAAGTAATGAAAGGAGTAGATGACTGATTTACCGCAATGAGAGGCATAAGGTTAAGGCTCTTCTCCAATTCTTCAAAATATAACGATTCTTGTTTGAACATACTGAGTAATTCTGTCAGCTCATACAGGATTATTTCAACCTGCTGATATTTAGTCACCCAAACATTTTTTAAATTAATTTCTTATTCATGTATATAAGAAATGACTAAAAACTAGAGAAAAATAAAGTGGAATTACTCGTGGGAGGAACTTTATGACGATTTCTTCGATCTCATCCATGACTTCTATTGCTGCGACCATTTCTTCATGTATGGACACCACATCTATCTATTACTTCCAAATTTTATTTTCTCTTCTCTTACCAAAACGTAAATTATGTTGTAAACAATTGTTTTCAAAGAAAGAAAAAATAGCAAAATATCTTACCGTTGCACCATGTAGAAGCGGTAAACGGACAGACAAAGCGTGGAGTTTTCGAGTTAGCTTGCTCAACGCTTCGTAGTTTTTGGGGTCCAATTTTGACCATTCATTGAGTAAAGGCATCTGGAGGCTGAGAATTTGACGTAGTTTAATTTCTTGACGGAGCCTTTGAACTTCAATTAGATTTTCCACTACGTAGTTCCTCATTTTATACGTCCTAAGCCAAACCCAAAACAACTGATCCTGAAACCATTCACAAACAAATTTTTTTTATAAATATTCTTATGTTATATTTACTATTTAGACTATAGAAATTACATTGTCATAAGTTTTTACCTCAACGTTGATCTTAAGGTTAGCCATAGTGGCTTCAGTTCTTGCGTTGATAAACCTCAACTGAAGTAACCTGTTCTGATAAACCCTAAACCGGTGATAATCCTCCTCTTGAACCGGAGATACTTTCTTCTGTGCCTTGAAGTACTTCAAAACTCCGGCCACTGCTCCAGCGCCACCGCTTCTCATCTTGGCTGCGCTTACCGGTGACTCAGGAGGCGTCTGGCACATTGAAGTCGCCGGAGCTGAGCTGGACAAATACGTTTTCATAGTCGAAACTCTCCCCGGGGACAATGCCCACGCCGATGGTGAGTTGGCTCCCTGTTTTACCCCTTTGGATGAAGCGTAATTTCGAGGACTGCCACGCTCACGTTGCTCCAGATAACGAGCAAACGCCTCTCTGCTTCTACCGTTGTTCACCTCGAGAGATCTTGACGCGCTGTTTCTCGCCGGGATCATCTCTCCGGACTTCGGGTTGGAGCCGGTGGGTCGGGAAGATCTTGTTGTGGATTGTGATCTGCTTATCATCACTCGTTTGCTTGAGTTGGAAGGGGAAGAGGAAGAAGATGAAGAATACGACGAAGAAAATGAGGCGTTTAAGGATACCGGGAGGGACATGGAGGAAGTTATACTCCGGCTTCGGTCAATACTCGGCGACGGAGGCCGGAGTCTGCGACTAGTGGTGGTGGTGGTGGTTGCCATTTTCTTTGACATTTGACAGTTTACTGATCATGCAAACTTATATATACACATATAAGCCGGATTATATAAATTGGACTGTACAGTTTATGATGATATATATATATATTAATTGTGGCTAGCTAGGGTTTGTTTATATTTAATCTGTTTGATAACGGTTGAGGGTTCGTAGGAGTTGACAGCACGTAGAGGCAAGTAAGAACACTTCTGCATGTATGTAAGTTTGTCTACATAACTAAATATATAAAAATTCGAGTGCTTAGAATGTCAATTGTCAAAAGCATACAATTTAACATTAGGAAGGTCAGCTTAGCTAGAGACACGTCTTCTGTTTATCTTCTTTCTAACTATGTTTCATAGTCAAATAACACGGAGAGTCGAAACACAAAATTCAAGTTTTTAATATTTTAGATTAATTCTGATTATTTTATTCTCGATTAAACAACATGGCGACTTAAAAAAAATCAAAACTTAAAAAGGTCCAATTTAAAACGGCCCCAAGCTATCTAGTGTATAAAATAAACCTAGAGATAGGGTCAAACTTAACCTCAGTACCAATCTCTACTGACTTATCTCTAGTATATAAAATAATGTTTTCTGAACAAATTCGTATTCCGAATGTTTGTCCGAATGTAACTTCCCACGTTCGGTGGTTGGTGGCCGCCTGTTGGCCATATATCGTCCCACCAACGCTCGTTCTTATTTGACACCAATTTATATCAAAATAAGAAATTCGTCATTTTTTCATTAATTTTTAACTATGTATATATATGACTATGTATGTAGTCAAGTCAAAAATTGGAGTCACTGAAAAACTCGGTTTGAGCTAGATGATTCATGTGCTATAATTATGTTGCATTCAGCTTCCAATTCCATTAGTCTCACTCAGCACATATTTATAACCATTTTCTTGTTTACAGGATCATAAGTTTTGGATTCGTTGCTGACACAAAGCAAGATTTATCCGTCACGTTAAATTATCTCTTATATCTAGAGATGCGTGCATGTGCAAACAGTGCAACCAGTTAAGCTGAAAAGTTGAAAACCCTCAAGTAGTTTTCATCAACAAAAAAAAAAAACTGAAGTAGTCAACCTTTGGTTTTATCAGTTGACTCAATACTATCTACAGTAGTAATAGGGCCAAATATGATGTTGGGCCGTTAATGGACATGATAATATATACTTGATTCAACTTTAGCTTGGGAGCCACGGACCTCTAGAACCATCCGGAAATGTGTTCATGTCTCTAGAACACTCTTACCTGATAGTATCTATATCAAGTCTCTACTACAACTTTCGACTCTTAGCTCTAGTATATATAAGCTCCTCTGTCTCCATTCTCGCCGCACACTCTTCAGATAAAAGACTTCAAAAACTCTGTCTCAACTTTCTCAAAAAGCTTCCTGTTTCTTCTACAAATGGCGTCATCTCTTGCTCTCAAGAGACTTCTATCTTCCACCGTCGTTCCTCGTTCCCGTAGCGTCCTTCGTCCACCGGTTTCCTCTCGTCTCCTCAGCACTAACGCCGTGAGGAGCTACGACGACGGCGAAAATGGACACGGTGTTGATTTAGACCGCCGCTCTGATCGCTCTGTTTCTCGCCGGCGTGATGATTTCTTCTCAGGTAACTCACTCAGTTCGCTAAATCGTTTCAATTTTTCTCCAGATTCTGTATCTGATCGGTGAGGTTAACATGGCTTTTGTGATGTTGTGTAGACGTGTTTGATCCGTTCTCGCCGACGAGAAGCGTTAGTCAGGTGCTGAATCTGATGGATCAGTTCATGGAGAATCCTCTGTTGTCAGCGACGCGAGGCATGGGAGCTTCGGGAGCTCGTCGCGGCTGGGATATAAAAGAGAAAGAAGATGCTCTTCACTTGAGAATCGACATGCCTGGGCTTAGCAGAGAGGATGTGAAGCTTGCTCTGGAGCAGGACACTCTCGTGATTAGAGGAGAAAGCAAAGTTGAAGATGTTGATGGGGGTGAGGAAGGAGAGAGCGGTGGTAACCGGAGATTCACAAGCCGGATTGGTTTGCCGGAGAAGGTGTACAAGATCGATGAGATTAAGGCCGAGATGAAGAACGGAGTCTTGAAAGTGGTGATTCCGAAGATGAAAGAGGAAGAGCGCAATGATGTGCGCCAGATTGAGGTCAACTAGGCTTAGACGTCGTCGTTTTACTTTGTTCTTGTTGTTGTTTGGTTTGTTGATATGTGCTGAATAAGACAAGTGTGTTTTGTACGGTCCGATGTTGAGTCATGATGGTTCCTGAAGCTACTTGATCTTGAATCTCTTCTGTTTCTTGAAATCTCGGTTTATGTCTTAAAAAAAGTTAGTGAAATCAAATTTGTTAACTATGCCTCCAAATCAACTTGGAATAATAATATTTCAAGATGGGATCTAAGTTGTGACATAAACCAATTCATTAGAAGCTCATGAAATTTATGTTCAGCCTGAACACACGTTTATTCAATGTAAACCAAAATTGATCCAATGCTAAAAAGATCTTTGATCTTTAAGTTTAAATATAGTGAGATGTTGTCGAGATTAGTGGCTAGATAGATTATTATATTACTAGAAAAATATTTTACATTAAACAAGTATATGATTGAATTTTTAGTGATATGTATAGAACATATAATTAACGAACATATTACCAATTAGTATTGCCTCAAATCTTTGAGTACACTGACACATACTATGGTTTATACTTTTTTTTTTTTTGGTGGGTTACTAACTGCCGTTTTATACTTTATAGCGGGTAATAATAATCACAACTTACGACACGCGCGAAAGAAATTAGACAGAACATGAAAGCCTTTAAAAAAAAAAAAAAAAAAAGAAATTAGACAGAACATGAAGCTGGGCCGGTAAAGCTCAGAATCTGTGGACTGACCACGATGATTGTTTGTTTCATTGGACCGGTAAGGATTCGCTTTACCTCCGATAATACTGAAAGTGCATATTGGTCACACATGGGCCTTGGTGATGCTAGCGTAAATGCAAAGTATTCATCCATTTTAAAGAATAATCTTTAGAAAAACCTAAATTCACTTAACCTAAAAGGAGACGGCGACAGGAAAAGAGAGAAGAGCCGAAGAGAAGAATATTTTCAGACCTCTTCAGATCTTTGTCTCCTCTCTCTCTTCTACTTCTGTCTGATGGCACCGAAGCAGCCGGAGAAGATCGAGAATCCTCACGTAGGCTCTTCCAGCGAGGAGGACGAAGAGGAATCTGGCTCATCAGAATCTGTGTCTTCCGGTGAAGATTCGAAGAAAGACGAGTCTTCCGACGACGATGGAGAAACCCTCTCCAAGCTCACTCAGAAATCTGTTGCTCCCGCTGCTTCTGCGAAGAAACCCGAATCCGACTCGGAAGTGAGCGAATCTGAATCCGATTCCGATCCGGAGCCTGCGGAGAAGAAGACAAAGCCTCTCAACTCTGTCGGAACAAAGACAAAGCCCGACACTTCCGGATCTGCTCTTGCTCTGCCTGAGAGCTCAACGGCGAAGCGTTCTCTGAAGCTAACGGAGGATGAGGCTTCTGCGGCTAAGAAGAAGACGAAGACGGCGGCAACAGGTGAAGAAGTGAAGAAGATCTCTGGAGACGAAGCGAAGAAGATGTTTCAGAGATTGTTCAGCGGGACCGACGAAACCGCAATGCTCCAAGGCTTTCTCGACTTCACGTCCACAAGAGGAGATCCTTACGAGAAAATGGATGCTTTCTGCGATTACGTCAAGACGTTGATTGATTTCAACGCCACCAAGTCCCAGATCGTCACGAAGCTACAGAGGTGTAAGAAGAAGTTCGTCAACATGGTGAAGAACTCGCTGAAAAAGGGAAGAACTGAAGACAAGATCAGATTCGCCAAGGAACTTGACCAGAAGGCGTTTGATTTGTCGAGGAAGATTTGGGGTGTTGATGGTGTTTTCCCTGCGAAGCCAAGGAAGAAGTCGAAAGATGTTAAGTCACCACATGCTTCGCCGTCTCACGCTCCAAGGAGAGAAGAGGAAATGGAGATACCGAAGGCGATTGTTGTGAACACTCATCTCACGTCGTCCTCTAGTAGAGAGATTGCGTCCTTCTTTAAGGGTGAGAATTCGAGTGTTGTTAGTTTGGATGAATCCATGATAGCTGCGGGTTGGGATTTGATTGAGGATGGGCCGAAGAAGAGAGCAATGGAGGAGAAGATGAAGAAGCTAAAGGCAATGCAGGTGGAGCTGTGTTTGCAGAGGAGTGGACTCGTGGACAGCACTGCAAGGATGGTGTTCAAAGAGAATGCTTCGTCTTGATGTTGTTGTTGTTGAGCTATGTTTCTGTGGTTTGTCTTTTTTTACTCTTTTAGTTATGCATCTCTGAGACTTCCTTTTTTTTATTTGTGCATTTTAACTTGTGGAACTAATCCTATCTTAAGTGTTAGTCAGTCTTTTCTTTATGTCCTTGTGTTGAATGCTTGGTTTGGGTATAAAGACCCTTTATGTTGAATCTCCTGTTATGTTATATGTTCTTGTTCTGAGTCTGATCTTGCGAGAGAGCAAAACCAAACACAAAATTTTAGACTGAGGATATATCTTGTTACTCTTTAACATATTCTGCTAGAACTCTTATTTGGATGCCACTATGTCAATCTGTTTTCCTCTTGTTGCGTAGATAAAGTGATGTAAATGGATAGAAAGTCTTTTCACAAAAGGAAACGGAAATGTAACCAAAGGATGATCATGATATTCTGATTTCCAAAACAAGCCAAACCAATCTCAAAATCTTTGTAGCAGGCTTTGCAAAATTGGCACAACTCTTTTCCATGTTGCAGTTATGAAACAACTTGTCAATGTGTGCTTTTCTCCGTGAAGCTAAACCTATTCTTATGGACAAACAATTGGTAAACAGTCCTCAACGTTTTTTTTGGTCCAGAAATGAATATTGTTGTTGTTACGTTCCGTTTCCTGCAAATATCCAAAAAATTAGCCATTTAGTATAATTTACTGTTAAATATGCTTGACATATATACAAATTTATGTGTAGACATCTTCTGATATCTTCCTATGTTGTAGAGAAAAGTGAATGTGGACACTAGAATGAAGTACCATTCCAAAGAATGTTTTTATCATTTGTTTATTGTTCTGTAGATATGTTAAACAACTAATGAGTTTAATTTTTGGATGAACAAATGAATTAGAGTCTAGGGTTGATGTTCTTACGTGCGGGCACAAACGACGACAGCTTGCTACTTCACACAAAAATGATTAAATTATTCCACATTTGTGTTGAAGGGTAACACTGATATGGCCGCCTCTACTTTGATTTGTTTCCAGTTTTTACTTTTCGACTCTTTCCTTCCGGTTAGCCCCGGTTTAGCCGTATGTTCTATAGTTTACTTTGCGTACATTGGTGAAATTTAATCTTAGAAAATTGGAGGGCCAGTGAAGCAAAAGCTTGGTCAAAAACAAAAAAATACAGCCAAGGGGCAAAGTAACTATTTGTCTCCCTCTTTAAGTAGAGCCTTTACCCCTCACAGCTTCTCCACCCATTGAAGTGGCCAAGAACGAAGGGTGAGAGAGATATACTTTTCTCCTCTTCAAAATTTCAAAGGTAATCCCATATCGAGGTTTTCTTGCTACACAAGTAACATATTCGTATAATGAAGAGACAAAAAACTCATTTCTTGATCTGCTTTCAGGTTTTGCAGTGAGGTGTTGCTTAAGAAGATGGCGTCATGGACTTCATCCCAGTTCCTGTATGAAGAAACCAAGCCAGCTGGTATTGAGTTCTTGGAACGTTTCAAGCGATCAGGAAGACTCTCCTTCAAGCAGTACCAAGCCCTTGTCTTCATCTTGACCTTTGTCGCCTACATCGCCTTCCACGCTGCTCGCAAACCCAACAGCATCGTCAAAGGAACGCTTTCCGCGTCAACAGTCAAAGGAGGTTGGTCTCCCTTTGATGGACCCGATGGACCAGCTTTGCTCGGACAGATCGACTTGGCTTTCCTCTCCGTCTACGCGGTGGGAATGTTCGTCGCTGGTCATTTGGGAGATCGTTTGGATCTCAGGACGTTCCTGACCATCGGTATGATCGGGACAGGCTTCTTCACAGCTCTCTTTGGTGTTGCCTTCTGGGCGGAGTTCCACAGCTTCTACTATTTCTTGGCCGTTCAGGTTATGGCTGGGTGGTTTCAGTCCATCGGTTGGCCTTGTGTCGTCGCCGTGCTCGGAAACTGGTTCGACAAGAAGAGGAGAGGGATGATTATGGGTGTTTGGAGTGCTCACACTTCGCTCGGTAACATCGCAGGGTCTCTCCTCGCGTCAGGTCTGCTTAAATACGGTTGGGGCTGGTCATTTCTTGGTCCTGCTCTGCTCATTACCTTCCTCGGAATCGTTGTTTACTTTTTCTTGCCGGTGAATCCTCCGACCGTTGGAGCCGAGAGAGATGGGACTGAAGTTGACTCTACAATGAGACTCGGTGACACCATTACAGACAGCTTACTGGGATCTAGAATGAGTACTGGTTTCGATAGAAAAGCAATCGGTTTCATGGCCGCTTGGAAGATCCCCGGCGTTGCTCCGTTCGCATTCTGTCTCTTCTTCACCAAATTGGTCTCTTACACTTTCCTCTACTGGCTTCCTTTCTACGTCAGCCACAACAGTATGTCTCTTGTCTCTCATCATCTCTCTTTCATTGGCTTATGGCCTAATGTATTATCTGAATGCAGTGATTGGAGGAGAGTACTTATCTGAAGAAACATCAGGAAACTTGTCGACGCTCTTTGATGTCGGAGGCGTGGTCGGAGGAGTCTTAGCCGGATACATCTCCGATCAGCTCGACGGTAGAGCTATCACAGCTGCAGGATTCATCTACTTGGCGATCCCGGCTCTGTTTCTCTACAGAGTCTACGGACATATCTCAATGACCATCAATGTCATCCTCATGTTCACATCAGGAGTCTTCGTGAACGGACCTTTTGCTCTCATCACAACAGCTGTCTCAGCTGATTTAGGGACGCACAAGTCTCTCAAAGGCAATGCAAGGGCCTTGGCTACGGTTACAGCTATTATAGACGGCACAGGATCCATCGGAGCTGCGATTGGACCGGTGCTTACCGGTTACATCTCAGCGATTAGCTGGGATGCTGTGTTTTACATGTTGATGACTGCTGCTTTCATCTCCGGTTTGTTGCTCACTAAGCTTATTATAGCGGAAGTCAAGGCTTTGGTGTCTGGATCGTCTGAGGAAGATGGAGTCGTTGCTTCATCATCATCAGCTGAACACAGAGCTCCCATTGATGTTCTCCTATGAGCTTTTCGAAGTTTTTTTTTTTTCCCATTCATGAATTCTCTGTTTCCTTGACAATTTCATAAGCTATTTAAGATGATCAATGTCATCAATGTATTCAATTTCTAATGTTTGAATGAGAGTAAAATTACATTCCCTTCTTTGTACACAACCATCTTCAAAACCAAATAAAGAAGAAGGATCATTCAAACAAAACTAATAGTCAGTCTATGCGATTAAACCTGATCAAATCGGCTGAAAAATTGCAAAAATATATGATCTCAAATTAGCTATTTGACTGTTGAATTTCTCTGAATTTACAATCCCAGATACTAACCATCAAAAGTACCAAAAGCTAATCAGGAGAAAAGAAAGTACAAAAAAATGATGATTCCTTCGCCGGAGAGGCCAGTGGGACCTGTCAAACGTCGTCTCTGCTTTTAGGTTTGCGATATCGCTCCTCTAGCTGCTTCGCCATCGCGACGGCGCAGTTACCCAACGTCTTGATGTTAGGGACGTCGTAGTTCTGAGCGATGTAGATCCCGCACACTGTTCCCGTGAGGAAAGTGAAGCTGCTCCGTATTATTCCCATCTTTTTTCCTCTTCTCCGCGAGAGTGATCGCCGGCGTGAACGTAGATCGGGAAACAATCAGGGTTTTTGAAATCGGCGAGAGATTGATCGGAGATTCGCGGAAGTAAAAAGCAAATTTCGAAGATCTTGAGAATTTTCTAGAACATAAAAGTCGAAGCAGCGAAATTTTATTAGTGGGCTTGAATAGATACTTTGGCCCAGATAAAGAACTATCATGGGCTCGCGTTTATCAATTTTTTTTTATTAGTTTTTGTTGTTATCTATCCAAAAAAAGTTGTGCATTTTATTCTCTCAACTAAAATTTTGTAAACTTAATGACTACTTATGTTTTGGTTAATTTGGTCATATTCAAATCTGTTCAAGCGTCAAATCAAATTATATAGTTCCTTACTTGTGAAATTATATTTTCTTTCCTAACATGCATTAAACATTGTTACAATAATGTTCAGAAAACAATATAAGTAGAGCTTTTGGTGTGGATCCAAACCAAATATAGATGATTAATTAAATACTATACTGTATTTTTGATGCCTATATACTGTATTTTTTCCCCGTAAACATATGTCTGAAAATTAAACCCGAAAGAAAACATTTGTTGACCGTATCACATCTTGTATTTTATTTTATTTTAATTTTTTTAATAGTACTTTCTTCCTGGAAGAAGATATCGATTTTTGCTCTTCTACTTTTCCTTCTCTCGATCGAGAGAAAGAGACAGAGAAGCCTGTGCAAAAGAGAATTTCCAACCGACAGCTTCACGGATTCAGGTTTTCGTGTGATTCGATCAATTTTGTATAAATCTGATCTCTTGCTTTGTACCTGCATTTCCTCAGCGAATCATTCGTTGAATCTTCCCAGCTCCTTTCTCTTCTACGATTTTCCCAGTTTCTTCGATTTTGGATTTTATTTATGTTTCTTATTGGTTTCAACCTCTGAATCTGGGATCACATCTTTTTTGGGTGCAATGACTTCTCCAGACCCGACTTCATCTCTCTATGTAGCATCGAATTTCACCTGAAAAAAATCATTTTTTTTTTGTTTTTTCTGCTCCTTTGGAGCTTAATTGTCTGTAGATTTCTGCAAAAAAATCGTTCTTTCTGATGCAAATGGTCAATTTTGTTTCGTAAATCGCATGTTTTTATTGAACTCGGATACCAAGTTGATCTGTGATTGCGGTGTTCATTGTTACGGTGATTACTTAGTTTGTCTAGCTCAAGTCTCTCAATACTGATGAGAGATCATGTTTCCGCAGGTGGCGTCATGCTATTATGACTAAATGAGATTCTGGGGATTAAGTTTAAGTGACAAGGCTGCTAAAGTTCCTAATGGGGATAAGGTACTTGCCGGTTTCGGTAGCATCAACAGCTCTGAGCTTTGTGGGTCTTCAAGTCTGGACAGAGTTGTCTCTGGATAGACTGAGAGCAGATGGGTTGATAGCCAAGAACATTTCTTTAGGAGACTCCGAGCATGCGCTTGAGCTGCTTCTGGGTTCTTACTTTACGATTGCGCTGCTTGCAAATTTTGTGCTCAACGTGTACATTCTTCTGCTACTTTCTCTCAAGGTAAAATTTACATTTTATTAGTTTACACCTGCAAATAAGTGATGTGCATAGTAAGCAAGTGTTCTTAATCTGTGAGAGTCAAACTCTCGTTTTCGGCTAGTTGAATATCTTGCATGAAATAAAATTCAAGAAGATACAGCTTTGTGGTGTTCATTACCATAGTAATGTGCACAGGCTTCTAGTATAATGATTGTTTTATTGTTTCTGGAAATGTCTTGTGACCATTTTCTGTGGTTCTGATGTCTTTTTAAACATCTTATGCAGACTCTATTTTTTGGAGATTTATATGGCGTTGAAACTAAAAAGTTGGTGGAGCGACTTGCCAATTACATCATTTACAAGGTAGCTGTTCTTACGTTGATGGAAAACTAGAATGAGACATACAAGATCCTTCATTCTGTGTTTTGTATGAAATATTCGTGGTAGTGTTCATTAATTATATCTCAACAGCTGAATAAAACAAATGAAAAATACTTGTCAGAGTAACGAAAGAGAGAACAAAATAGGTTTTGTGGCTTGAGAGAGGTCTTTATTCAGAAAGATGATTCTGCCCACTTTTTCCCTTTATTTGCTCTTGGCTCTTGCACTTCGCATCTTTGATTTCTGTGTCCCTGATTTGAGTTACTTGCCGATATCTGTATGTATTCTGTGTGTTAATAGACTAAACCCCCTTTTCATCCTCCTGTCTTCAGGGTACGTTTCTACCATTGGTGGTTCCCCCAACAATATTTCAGGGTGTACTATGGACAGTTTGGTTGACTGTTTTATGCACTTTAAAGGTAAGGAAAACTGTTTGTTGTAAATATTGGCGTTCTTGATTTACGATAAAAATACAGAATATGTTTACCAGACACCCTTATGTGTATCTCCGTTATGTCATGTAGATGTTTCAAGCTTTGGCTAGAGACCGCCTTGAACGATTGAATGCATCTCCTTCTTCTACTCCTTGGACATACTTTCGCGTGTATTCAGTGCTGTTCTTGGTTCTCTCTGTTGATATGTTTTGGTATGTCCTAAACCTTGTAGTATATTGTCAAATATTTAATTGCTGCTTTTAATTTTGTTAGCGTGATTAAAGTTCATGTTCCGTTTCTGGTTTTTGTCTGGAGTACATATATAGTTCTGAAATATGTTTGGTAATGTCTTTTCATGTATGGATTATAATTTGAGTTAACGGATTGACTCTTTTTCTGCAATCTTGCAGGATAAAGCTTTCCCTTATGACATACAATACAATTGGTTCGTCTGTGTATCTGTTGTTACTTTTTGAGCCATGCAGTATTGCTTTTGAGACCTTGCAGGTATGTAAGTAAAGTAGTTGTATTTTTCGTCCTAATTGTTGCCATGTTCAACAAGACGTGAATGTGATCGGATCAACCATTTTGCAGGCACTGTTAATTCACGGGTTTCAGCTGCTTGATATGTGGATCAACCACTTAGCGGTCAAGAACTCGGACTGCCAAAGATCTAAGTTTCTCGATTCCATGACAGCAGGTATATTCTTTTTTGAAGTGTTATGATATGTTTTTCTGTTTGGATTTTTTTTTGGTCATTGGAACGCCATGCTTCAAGGTTAACTCTTAGCCCTTTGGATAGGCTCACTGTTGGAATGGAAGGGTCTCCTCAACCGCAACCTTGGTTTCTTCCTGGACATGGCTACTTTAGTAATGGCACTAGGTCACTATTTGCACATCTGGTGGCTGCATGGCATTGCCTTTCATTTGGTGGATGCAGTTTTGTTTCTCAACATACGTGTAAGTTTGTTAATTGACTTTCTTTACAACAGTGTCACTCTCCCGGTTACTTAATACTAGGCACAACATTCAAGTATTGTACTTTTAACCTGGTTTTCTATCTGGTTTGGCAGGCATTGCTAAGTGCAATTTTGAAACGAATAAAAGGATACATTAAACTGAGAATAGCTCTGGGCGCTCTCCATGCAGCCCTTCCCGATGCAACGTCTGAGGAGTTACGGGCATATGATGATGAATGTGCTATATGTCGGGTATGCTTCTTCTATAGAGCTATTTTCATATCCCTTTTCATTACCTTAAACTCTTGGCTACATTTTGAATGTCAGGAACCTATGGCTAAGGCTAAAAGGCTTAACTGCAACCACCTTTTCCATCTAGGATGCCTGCGATCCTGGTGCGCTTAGCTAGATACCGACAACCTCCTGTATTTAGGACTGAAACTGCTGTTCCTGATGATGTTTTGATGCTGGCAGGTTGGATCAAGGGCTAAACGAGGTTTATTCATGTCCTACATGTCGCAAGCCTCTTTTTGTTGGAAGAACTGAAAGCGAGGTGAACCCTCGCTCGGTGGAAGTCTCGAGTGATGAGCAGTTAGCCCGTCAGCTTGAAAGACAAAACATTCCTGGACATGCACTAGCCACTGGATTGTTTCCTGCCGAGATTCCAAATTCTGTTGAAAGTGATCCTTCGAGGTTCAGTTCATTCTTCTTTCATGATTTACATATAAACTACATCTTAGTAACAGTTTGCTTATAACTTAATGATATTTTTTCCTGATTGTACAAGTTCTGACCCTCTTCTTTCACATAATAGCAATTTAGGATTGGATCCAAGCTGGCTAAATACATGGTCAGGTCAGGGTGTTGATGTCCCTGGTCCCTCTACCGCTTCTAGGACCGTTGGGCTGGGGCGGGTACAGATGATGATGAGGCATCTTGCATCTGTTGGGGAAAGTTATGCTCAGAATGCACTTGACGATGCTGCTTGGAGTCTATGGCCAATGAACCCTTCTCAAGCGTCCACTTCCTCTACAACCGTACCTCCAGGTACTGGTGGTAGGACAGGTGGTCTGCATCTCAGAACTGTATCAAGTGCGACAAATGAAAGCTTGGCAAATATACTAGCTATGGCCGAGACAGTGAGGGAAGTCATGCCACATGTCCCCGATGAGATTATTTTCCAGGTAAATTTTAAGTGCATATTGGATATTATGTGATGGGTAATTAGATAGTGATGAATGTGTGATGGGATGTCAAATTGTTTCAGTTCTGAGATTCTCGTGACTTGATACTAGAACATGTTATCTTGCAGGACCTGCAGAGAACAAACTCTGTTGCTGTTACAGTGAACAATCTTCTCCAGATGTGATGATAGTTTGTGTAAAGATACTGAGCACTTTGCTGCGCTTCCATTTTCAACCTTAGGTATAGATTAATGGTCCGGGACATATCCATTGTCCTTAAGTTTACATACACACCACCCAACAACACTCAAAGCTTCACCATCTGTAAATAGAAGGCGTTGTGTATCACTCTTTGCTTATAGAGAAGAAGAGGCTCTAGTGTACATTGGTCTCATGCGAGAAATAAAAGTTTCGATATTTACTCGAAGGTGTTAGTGCCCTGGTGGTCTGGAGATATGCAGTTGCAGTGCAGCTGCTGCTACCAATCTCTCCTGTATAAGAATGTGTAATTTTACAATAAGAAGAAGAAGTAAATTATAGAATCCACTGTTATTAATCCAATAGCCTTGTTATGTGTAAACTCAGCTTTTTTTGTTCTTTGAAAACTTTGAAGTATCCTCCTATTTTGTCTCGAGCACCAAATGGAACAGAGTCTGTGTGTTGTTTTGTCTCTAGACGGAATTGGAATGCAGAAGAAACCGAGCAAGAATCCAAAGTAGCTTATATTAAAGAAAACAAAACCATTCTTGGATGCATTCTAAAAGGAGTAACAAACTTAGCTCAGTCTCAACAGCCACGCACACGGTGGGAGTAATTTCATAGTTTACAGTTGTGTTAAGGTCCGAAATTTATGCTAATAAAGAGAAATAATTGAAAATGGCAGAGAATGAGAATTGTATTAGTAATATTTTGAAGAATTTACTAGTTTAGTCCCGACCAAGAAATGATAATTATGGTATAAAATAACTGAAAAGGTGGTGATTTGATTTTGTTTCCCACATTCTTCTGCGCATGTTTCCTGGTCCTCTCATCCTCAATCTTTGCATTTCGACGCTCTTGCTTTCAAAATGAATCTACATTTTCCTTTTTCGTATAACAGGAAACAAATCATAAAATTCATAAAACATAAGAAATCTTATGATCTTTAAGTATGATATATTTTTACAAAAAAAAAAAGAAAAGAAAAAGAGAAAGAAATCTTAAATGAGATAGAAAAGAAATCGATGATCTTTAAATTTTGGTTTTAACGATATGAATATTAGTATAGTGATATGACTTTTTCACAATGACATAATTTTACATTAAATCTCATCAATATTATTAATTTTTTTTGGATAAATTATTTGGTTTATTACCATATAGTACGAACTTTACTATGTATAAAGAAATTTATATGCAGAACAAAGTACAAATCTGAGTACAAGACAAAAAAATATAAAATTTTGAATATTATTTTTCAGAGTAGCAAATAAATAATTGGAAAACCCCTCTCTGACTCTGCCCTCATTTCCACTCCTTGGTGAGAAAATTTCAAAAACCCACACTGACACTTCACACATTTCTTCTTCGCCTTCTCTACCGTTTTATTTCCTCCTCTCCTCGTTTCGATTTCACCATAATGTTATCAAATCCTTAGCTTTCGATCACGAAATACGAACGAGAAAAAACCCAACTCGATGGCCTCTCTTTTCTTCTCTCCCTCTTCTGTGCTCGCTTCCTTCCTCACCTTCGCTCTCCTCTCCGGCGTGTCTTTCGCGGCGGACCCTTTCGTCTCCTACGACTACAAAGTTTCTTACATCACCGCTTCACCCCTCGGCGTTCCTCAGCAGGTTAGGTTTCGTTCCTCGCTTTACTTTCTTACCTTTTTCTCCCGGAAATCTCGGATTCGGCGGTTTGATAAGAGCCTCACCGACTTCTCGCTGTCAATCGAGAGATTTAATGGCCTCTCGTAACGATTTCGGTCTCTTACTTCTCTAAAAACTCGTGTCGTATCTATGGATCTAAATATACACTGCGTTCGAGGTGGCTATCGCAATTTTTGTTCCTTCTGGGTTTTGGCTGGTGATGGGTTTCTTCTTTTTCAGTGTAAATGCTGAAAAATTTCGAACCTGATTAATGCTAAAAAAGTTAACTTGCGTTGATTTAAACCCCATTATCACAGATTATTAAGAACTTGATCTGCGTGGGTTTATTGGGTATTCAATTAGTTGATTGGCATAAACAAGTTTTGGCTGTGTGGATTGAATATTTGTTAGCCTACATTCGTCTTCATGGTTCAAACATTTCTGATTGAATTTCAGGTTATAGCAGTCAATGAGAAGTTTCCAGGACCTCTGCTTAATGCTACTACCAACTTCAATGTTGTTGTTAACGTCTTCAATCTCTTGGATGAGCCTCTCCTCATGACTTGGTGAGACCAAGGCCTCTTCTTTTTACCTCCTTACAGTATATTCGACTTACATTACATGATTCTTTGGGCTCTTCCAATAGGTCTGGCATCCAAATGAGGCGTAACTCGTGGCAAGACGGTGTTCTTGGCACAAACTGTCCACTTCCTCCGAGATGGAACTTTACTTACCAGTTTCAAGTTAAAGATCAGATTGGAAGCTTCTACTACGCCCCTTCACTCAACTTTCAGAGAGCCTCGGGAGGTTTTGGTCCCATCGTGATTAACAACCGTGACGTTATTCCTATCCCTTTCCCACAGCCTGACGGTGAACTCTTCTTCATGATTGGTGATTGGTATACACAGGACCATAAGGTATGTAATCTTCACTATGGTCTATCTTCCTTTTCCGCAATTGGTTATCCGTAACACTGTTGCTTCTCAGGAATTAAGGAGGGCTCTTGACTCTGGGAAAGAACTTGGGATGCCGGATGGTGTCCTTATCAATGGAAAGGGTCCTTTCAAGTACAACAGTAGTGTACCTGATGGAATTGATTACTTGACCGCTCATGTTGAACCAGGTACTATCTTTGGGAGTTTCTCTGGACTTCTGGCTACGCTATGTCTCACGAAACCTATGAATATAACTGTGGCATGCGATGGTGTTATAATTTGCAGGAAAAACATACAGAATCCGTGTTCACAATGTTGGGATCTCGACAAGCCTGAACTTCAGGATTCAGAACCACAATTTGCTCTTGGTGGAAACCGATGGTCACTATACCGCACAGACAAACTTCACCGATTTTGATATTCATGTAGGACAGTCGTATTCTTTCTTGGTAACAATGGACCAAAACGCCACAAGTGACTACTACATTGTGGCAAGTGCTAGATTTGTGAATGAAACCGTGTGGCAAAGAGTCACTGGTGTTGGCATTCTCCATTACTCTAATTCCAAAGGACCTGCTTCTGGTCCTCTACCAGTTCCAAAGACAGATGTTTCTACCCCGTGGTCAGCAATGAGCCAGCCAAAGTACATCAGGTGAGGAGCAAGTGGATTTTAATGTTCCCCTACTTACTGCTACATCTATAATTTGTTCTGGTGAAGCTGACTCTTTTTCATCTGCAGGCAAAACACATCTGCTAGTGGAGCTCGTCCAAATCCGCAGGGGTCATTTCACTACGGTCAAATAAACATCACTAACACATACATCCTGCAGAGTTTGCCTCCAACAACAATTAACGGGTCACTTCGTGCTACACTTAACGGGATTTCATTTGTGAATCCAAGCACTCCAGTGAGGCTTGCGGATCTTCACAAAGTGAAAGGAGCTTATAAGCTGGACTTCCCTGACAAACCTTTTGGTAGACCTCCTCGCTTGGACAGGTCTATCATCAACGCAACATACAAGGGCTTTATACAAGTTGTTTTCCAGAACAATGACACCAAGATGCAGAGCTTCCATGTCGATGGCTACACGTTTTTCGTTGTTGCGTAAGATAAAACCATGACACCTTGTTTTCGATTCTTTCTTCTCCTTTTAATATCTATCGAAAATCTGATGTTGATGGACCATGTTATCCAGGATGGACTTTGGTATCTGGACAGAAGACAAAAAGGGTTCGTATAACAACTACGATGCCATCTCAAGAAGCACAATCGAGGTTCATAAACCGCAGCATCTCTCAAATTACTGTAAATCTGCAGGTTTTTTTCTTAATGGTTTTTGTTATTTGGTTTTCTTATGAGCTTAGGTATACCCAGGGGGATGGACGGCTGTACTTATCTCCCTTGATAATGTCGGAGTTTGGAACATTCGAGTAGAGAATCTTGACAGATGGTATCTTGGTCAAGAAACGTATATGCGGATCATAAACCCCGAGGAGAATGGAAAGACGGAGATGGATCCTCCTGACAATGTCCTCTACTGTGGTGCCCTTAAAAACTTACAGAAGTATGCATCTCTGAAACCTTGCTCTCGTTCTCTCTCACTCTCTTGTTCTTCAAATATGACGTGACTCTTAACTCTTTAACACTCTTCTTCATGATTGTTGCAGGGAACAACACCACTCAGCTGCAACATCTGTATCTAATGGACACTGGAAGCTAATGTTTAGCATGCTAATGGCGTTGCTCGCCTCGGTTTTCATCTTTTGCTGAGCTCTTTTACATGTTTTGTGTTGATCGACCGGGGAAGTGAAGTGTGCACCCGGTCTGTTTGGCTGTAGATCGTAGTAGATGTTAAACATTGGATTATTTTTAAGTTTATTTTAAATTCATTAATCCCCCCATGCAGTCCATAGATCTTTGCTTCTCATGGATCAGAACAAGTATGGTTCTTGCGTGGTTTTAGATCAGTTTGGTTCAGAATCATGTTTCTTGTTTCTCTTATGTTTCTCTGATCTTGGCGCTGCGAAGTTTAATCAAAATGTATTCCGTTTTGCAAGAAAAGTCCATAGTTAAACCCCAAAGCAACCTAAGGTCTAAACCACTATGAAAGAAGGTATTCTAAATTATGCTGTGTCCTCACATCGTAATCGTACTCACCTGTTCCAAAATTTGAAATTTTGTGCATTGCTTTTGAGTTATTTTTGTTAATTAACATATTAAAGTTTTTAATGAATTATAAACTAAGTCCGAATTCCAGCCAATAAACACCTACGCTATGTGTAAATCACGCATCGGAGATCAGTTTGCATTAATGCAGACATACATGATACGTTGATCTGTCTTTCTTAATGATTACAGAAGAGAGATCAAAGATGATGTTAATTTCTCCGTAATAAGAGATCTGATTCACGTTCATATAAATTATATGGTCAACATATCACATCACGTGCCACCTTGCTTAATCACCGGACTGGAACAAACTTTATTTAATTCGGACACAAAAAGTTTCTTAATTGTTTGGTGTTTTGCAAGTTATGATAAATGTTTACAGTTTGTAGCATAATGATTATAGGGAAACGAGACTAAAACACATAACTACATAAGTGGCTAATGATCCCGGAGAAATGTAACCAACAGAATAAAATGTCACATGGTTCAGATCATAATAAATAAAAATAATACAAAAATAGCTCTTATCGTAGAACGAGCAATAAACATGGTTACCATTCAACCCGAAAGGCCGAAACTTATGGTTAAAATATTGAAGTCGACTAAAATAGGTGACCATATTGTATCGACAAAATGATCGATAACACGTATATAATCTTTTTTTACTTCGTATTACGCTGTTACACATAGCCAATTATTTGCTTTAATTAATAAAAATGCGAAAATAATACAGTATGTGTGTGTATAACTGTATATTAATACGTACACATACTGCATAGGTTCACACTTCACAATTCGTAGTGAAAGTTTACATTTTGTTTTCATAGTTTTAGAAAAATGTCGCGTTTCGTGATACTCTCTCTGGTTCTCGTCGTTCTCATCAACTCGTTAACCATCCCGACAATTGCAGCCACTCCACCAGCCAGATACCTAAACTACGAAACGTTCGTAAGAACGGCATGCAACACGACAACATACCCTACAATGTGCTACGATACACTGTCCTCTTACTCTTCCACCATCAAATCCGATCCAATCAAACTCTGCACAACTTCCCTCAACCTCAACGTCAAAGCAGCCAGAAATGCCACGTCAGTCGTCTCTACCTTTCTCAAAAAGGCCAAATCCACCTCTAGCCCCGAGGTCGCGATCCTCAAGGACTGCGTGGATGAGATGAAGGACACTGTCGACGAGCTCAAGCAAGCGGTCGCTGATTTGAAGAAACTCAAAGGCGGAGGAAGTTCAAAGGATGAGCATTTAAAGAACGTGAGGACATGGGTGAGCTCGGCGTTGACCGACGAGGGGACGTGTACGGATGGGTTCGAAGAGGGGAAAGTGAACGTGGAGACGAAGAAGATGGTGAAGAAGGCTGTTACTAAGCTTTCAAGGACTACAAGCAATACTTTGGCCCTAATTACTAATTATCTACGTTAGTATTTAGTAACGTTACTGAATGGATCATTATTTATGGAGTATATATCCTCCTCTCTCTCTCTCTCTGAGTCTCTGTCGTTGCATGTGGATGTGTAAGTCTTTATTTGTTTTAAATTGTCATAATTATTAAAAAAATCAAGTTTTTACAGTGTGTAACGTTTTAGAGTTACTTCACATATTCTTTTGTTCTTTTTCTTTTCACAACGGGCGTCCTTGAGGTTAAAGTACCAAAAGCTTTTTGAGAGATTGATTTTGTTATATATGGTTTGGTACTTTATTCGTGTGTTCCCATCATCACATCACATAGTACCCAAAACGTAAATATTTGTTAATTCATTACAGCAGGTAAAATAAACAGAACAACATATACATGGTGGACTTTTTGATGCAATGTCTTTTAAATATTCATAAATAAAAAATCGACTGGTATTAAATTTTCTAAATATTATTGTACCAAGGCTTGAGTATACATATGGATCACCGTGTTAGAATGATTCGCATTTCACATGCCATCTGCCGTTGACCTTATAACATTTATATTAGATATGATCTTGCACATATCTCTAATCGCATCCAAGTAGAGGACATTGTTAAAACAAAAACTGTTCGCGGATTGTTGAGGACATTGTTAAGTTAATTTATTCCATAACCATAAGCCATTCAGGCCTATCGGAGACTTTAGCTCTACAGGCATCACTAACTCAGATGAACGAACATCAAAGAGCCTTGAGAGAGGTTTAAAAGAGGACACTGCAAATATTCTATGGCAAACAAAATTTATATAATTCATCATCAAGAATCAAACTCAACAGCTTCAAACTATGTAAACCGTAGTTGATACCACAATATATATAGCAATAAACTGATGACATAAAACTAAACCAATCAAGAGAAAAGATTTGGAAATGTTTTCAATGCTCGGAAGCAAAGATATTGATCAGCAGGGCCAAGGCATTGCTGGTATCTTGAGCCACACGCACAATATATGTCCTGATTAAGCAATAAAAATGGTTACCAACCTACCATTCAACCAGAAACATATAGTTAAAATCGAATTAAATAGGTCACGACATTGTAATATAATCTATCTTTTCAAAATGGTTGAAAGAGTTCCGTTGTTATTTACGAAACCGACACAGAGGGTAGATCCAATCATTTTCTTGTTTAATTAAAATACAAAATACTTTAATTTGTGTATATATATACGTACACATACTACATAGTTTCACAATTCGCCAAAACTTTGCATTTTCTATTCTCTCCTTAATTAGAAATATGTCGCGTTTCATGATGATACTCTCTCTAGCTCTCATTGTTCTCATCAGCTCATCAACCATCCCGAAGACAGCAGCCACTCCACCAGCCAGGTACCAAAACTACAAAACGTTCGTAAGAACGGCATGCAACTCGACAAAATACCCTACGCTGTGCTACAATTCTTTGTCCTCTTACTCCTCCACCATCAAATCCGATCCAATCAAACTCTGCATAACTTCGCTCACCATCAACGTCCAATCAGCCAACAACGCCACGTCAGTTCTCTCTGACCTTTTCAAAAAGGCCAAATCTACTTCCAGACGTGGCGTGATGATGATCCTCGAGGACTGCGTGGAGGAGATGAAGGACACTGTCGACGAGCTCAAGCAAGCCATCGCTGAGCTGAAGAAACTCAAAGGCGGAGGAAATTCTAAGCAGGAGTGTATAAAGAACGTGAGGACATGGGTGAGCTCGGCGTTGACCGACGAGGGCACGTGTACGGATGGGTTCGAAGAGAGGAAAGGGAATGTGGAGACGAAGAAGACGGTGAAGAAGACTGTTTCTGAGCTTTCAAAGATAACATGCAACTCTTTGGCCCTTATTACTAATTATCTACGTTACTAAATTGATCATAAATATCCTCCTCTCTCTCGTTGCATGTGGATGTGTAAGTCTTTACAATGTATTACGTTTTAGAGTAACTACATCACATGTTTTTTTCTTTCTTTTTACGATGTGCATTGAGATTGAAGTACCAATACTTTTTGAGAAGATTAAACTTTTACATATGTTTGGATACTTTATTCGTGTGTTCACACGGTACTCTCAAACCGTCAATATTGTTAATTCGTTACGACAGTATTAAGTAATACTAACATGTAAAATGAACAGAACAATATACATGGTAGACTTTTTGGCAATGTCAGAAATTTTAGATTAAGAAATGATATTAAATTGTTGATCAACATGTTAGAAGGATTCGTTTCTCACACGCTATGATGAACTGTTCTAGTTCGGCCATCTGCCGTTGACCATGTAAACATTTACATCAGATATGATCTTGCAAATAATAATATTTCAAGTACGTTTTCAAACAAAAACTGGTCACGGATTATGGAGGACATTGTTAGGCTAAATCCATAAGAATGAAGATCAAAGAGACTTGAGAGAGGCTTAAAAGAGGAGACTGCAAATAATCCATTAATTCAAAATCAACAGCTTCAAAGTATGTAAACCGTAGATGATACAACAATATGGCAAGATAAGCTGATATGACTCAAAACTAAACCAAATCACATATTCTTGAAAACACAATAGACATTAGACACTAAGTTCAAGAGAAAAACTCTGTCCCCTAGACCAAAAATATGGAAATGTTTTCAATGCTTGGCAGCAAAGATATTGAGCAGAGCCAAGGCATTGCTCGTATCTTGCGCCACACGCACAATATGTGTTCTGATTAAGCTTTTCAGCTCCCCATCCATGGCTTTCCCACCAAACCCTTCAAGACACGTGGTCTCATCTGTCAGAGCCGCGCTTGTCCATGTCCGGACATTGCTCAGACACACCCAGAAGTCTTGTCCGCTTTCGCCTTCCTCCAGACGCTTCAGTTCCTTCAGCGAGTTTCTCAACCTGTCAACAGTATCTCCCATCTCTTCCTCACAGTCCAAGACAGCCTCGTGCTGCCTCTTTGTGATTCCTTTGTAGTCACTCATCTCCGAGACATAGGTTTTTGCTGACTTCGCTCGGGCCATGCTAACGGCAAGCGCTGTCTCGGCGAGCTGACGTGGCCGTTTCTTGATCTCGCTTGCGTATGAAGACAGAGACTGGAAGCATTGGTCCGGGTACGTTGTTGTCAAACAAGAGGCTTTAATGAACTCTGTATCACCACTTGATTCCTCTTCAAGGTTTCTCGCCATGGCTATTGCTGCGGTGGAGATGCATAGAACAAAAAGAATCAGAGAAAGATCTAAACTTTTCGCCATTTTGGGTTCCAAACAGTAAAAGGTCTCAGGGACTTATATAGAGAGAGGAGGCTTCAAGAAGGTGTGAATGCAGATACATAACACACAGAGCATTGTTTCTTTTTAAGAGCAAAAATGGGAGTTGGTTGATGGAAACCTCAATAAATGTGAAGCAATGAGGATATCAATAAAATAGGATAAGCTGCAACTGTTTGTCTTCATCTGCAGTATTCAGACTCCATTCACATTATCTTTATCATTCTTTTAGACAACATATTTGGATCCTAGCTTTCTACTCCAATATGCAAATGGTGGGTCCCTGATACACGTGACCAATGACTAAAACCCATGTGACTAAACCCATATGAAAGTATACGAGAAATATGGCTTTTCAATAGAAAAAAATATAATCTAGTGATGACGCTGGGTTTAAGTCAAATCTTGCAAAAGACATTAGACATCCCACGAGAATCTAAGCATCACTTCTAACAGCTAACCAACTAGACGCGTTCACACATGTCATGTGATTCTTTTCTCTATGAACAAACAAGTTAACTGTGACCTGTGTGTCTAGGATCATTCAACATAATATGACATCACATGGGCTAATTTAAGAAAGATAAAACTCGTATGTACCTTTGAGTGACATCTCATGTCTCCAATCCTCGATCCACCATCATCTGCCTAACTCTCTCAACATCCTCTGTTCTCTTCGCCTTGCCATAAATCCTCATCAAAAGCTCGAAATTGTGTTCGTTATCAGGTTCCAGCTCAAAAAGACGTTTCCCAGCAACCTCTCCTATATCCGCATTTCCATGGATGTAACAAGCGTATAACAAAGCCCCCCAAACTGTTCCACCAGCCTCAAACTCCATCTCTTGAACAATCACCGAGTAAGCCTCTTCCAACATCCCTGCTCTTCCGTAGAGATTCACCATACACGCATAGTGTTCCATCCTCGGCTTCACCCCATATTCCTTCGACATCAAAGAGAACAACCTCTCTCCCTCTTCGACCATTCCTTTATTAGCACATAGAGATAAAACAGAGACAAACGTAATACCATCAGGTCTTGCATTACCAAGCCGCATCTCCTCAAAATACCTCAAACCATTAGAATCTCTAGAATGAGCAGAGATAATCGCATTCCAAGACACAGTATCTCTCTCCACCATCTGATCAAATACGAAGCAAGCTTGACGCAACTCTCCTCTTTTCGAGTAAAGAACAATCAAAGCATTCGCAACAGACAACTCACACTCCATTCCTCGCCTAATCGCCCATCCATGTAACTGACGTCCATGTTTCAAGCGAGCAAGAACACTCGATACAGCAACCTTATCAGGCTCAACCCCATCTCGAACCATCAAACGAAAAATCTCCATAGCCTCGTGTAACAATCCGTGACGAAGGTAACTAGTCAACATGGAGTTCCATGAGACGTAATCTCTCTGAGGAATCAAGTCGAAAACGTTCCGTCCTTTAACAATGTCGCCGCATTTCGCGTACATGTCAACAAGAGCGTTGAGGACATAGACATCGTCTCCGAAACCTTCTTTGACCAAATCACGGTGAATCGCTTCTCCGATCTGAACAGAGCCGATTCCTCCGCAAGCCTTCAACACGCGTGGGAATGTGAACCTGTCTGGCTTCACGCCTTCTTCCGCCATCTGGAAGTAGAGAGCCATGGCGTCTTCGTGCTGACCTGATTCGGCGTAGCCTGAGATGAGAGAGTTCCAAGCGAAAGCTGATGATAATGAGACTCTCTTAGACATTCGATCGAACACCTCGTGTGCGACTTCCGCGTGGCCGCAGGAAGCGTAGAGCCTGACGAGCTTCGACGAGACTCCGAGATTGTCGCGCAGGAGGTACGGAGGGATGAGACGGTGGACTCTGACGCCGTGGTCGATGGCTCTCAAGGTGTAGCATGTCTCGAGAAGAGAAGCGAAGATCTCTGGCTCGCTGATTCTGATGCCTTTTTTAGCGGAGGTTTCGAGGTCTGTGATGACGGAGTCTAAGGCGTCGAGTTTGGTACGGTGGTTCGTTTGTTTTCCGATTAAGATTGGAGTCGGAGATGGTTTGGCGAAGGAGAGAGATGTGATTCCGTTATTGTTGTTGTTGTCTTGAATTTGTCTTTGCTTTAGCTGTTCGTGGTGTCTGGGTTTCTTTTTCATTGAAGAAGACGATACAGATGGATAACAAAAGCTTGGTTTGTGTATAATACTCACCATCTTCTCTTTTCTCTGTTTTCTTATCTCTTTAAAAGGAGGGAATCAGAGGTTATAGGAATATTAAAGTTACATTCGTCTTTTGTTTTTTTTAGCTTATGATAATACAAACAAAACGATGCAATGAGTATTGCATAGTGCATCAAAAGTTCAAGTAATGAACAAATTTTTTTCAAAGTGGTCGTCTTTTGTCAGTTTTCTACCAAGCTCGTCTTTGGATTTACATTCCGACTCTCCTTCAATTGCTGCACACACAAATTTGCAGGTGCTGTTTTAGACACAAATTGTAGTCATTGATTTGGGTGCAGAAAGCCCAAGAGTGTATAATGTTATACCTCAAATGAAGAGAAAATAGGTAGAACTTGTTGGAATATGTCATCTACGTCTCCTACTGCATTAATCTGCACACAAAGATGAAATATAACAAGGCATTTGAATCAAAACATCATCAACAGCTTCTCCAACCTGACGAGGACGAAGTCATATAGGAACTCACCGTGTAGAGTTTTCCTTTATTCTTGTAGTACTCGATAACAGGGCGATTTAAGGCCTCGAAGATTTTCAGACGCTTCCTCATTGTTGTTATATTATCATCCACTCGTCCCTGCAACAGCAACAATTCGGTTTCATAGCAATGTTAACTGAAATTCTTCACAGTGGAAATACTATTTAGATAAGTACCTGATTACGGTTCAAGACTCGTTTCACCATCTCTTCTTCAGGGCAATCGAAGAAGAGTACTACATCAGGGTCTGCTCTTACCTGCAATAGAATCAATGAGCCATGTTTAAAGCTTTGTTTATTAAAGTATCTCCATGTAAAAGAAGGGAAGAACAGGCTACACTACTCACTATGCGCTCAAATGCAACACGATTCTCCTCGGTTCGTGGGAAACCATCAATGAGAAACTTGCTACTGTCGCTCGATTCCAGCTCTTTCTGGAGGAGTTTTACAGTCACTTCCGAGGGAACAATTTTGCCATCTTTAATCAAGTTCAGAATCGTAGCCCTGAAATTGAAATCCCCTCATCATGAGATATGGCCACAAACTTTAGTATTACACTCAAAATGTTCATAGTCCTTACCCATTTTTAGTGTTCAATGCGATTTCTCTCCTGAGCAAATCTCCAGCACTTAGATGTGTCAATCCAAAGGTCTCAACAATCCTTTCACATTGTGTCCCTTTCCCACTTCCAGGACCTCCTGAGATTTTACAATTCAAATTGTTCAATAGCCAATATTTGTGAGCATGATAAAGTTTGACACAAATGACGAAATATCTAATACTTCACAAGAATTGAAGAACAAATCATGTGCCCTTCACAGGAAACTCAAACAGAAACCCAGATAGATCCAACTCAATCGTTCCAACATATTAAACACGAGAATCGAAAACTCACCGAGTACAAATGTGATAAACGGAGCTTTCTCTTTCGACGGTGAAACTCGTTCTTCCTGTGACACAGGTAGAAACACATTAGTACACGAAACACACAATAAACGAGCAGATTGATCGAGCTTTTCCGTGTATATATACCGAATTAATTATCTCCGTTGCAAAAGATTTCCGAGCTGTGAGCCCAAAAGCTGCCTGGAATATTAAGAAAATAAGTAATGTAACTGAGTCAAAACTACAAAATCTTTGATTCAACCAGGTAACAGGCAACGATTTCATTTTGCCCGGAGAGAAAAGAAAAAAACGATCGGGATTTGAAAATCGAAGCGGAAAACGTCGCACCTGGGATCGGGATGATGAAGAAATCATCGGAGAAAGTAAGGTAACGCGTCTCCACATCTTGCCGTCTTCTTCTTCGTCGACTTCTTCCTTCACTTGTCTGCGATTTTCCTCGATTTCGGGTTTCGATTTTGGAATTTTTGAGATTCCAGCAAATATATCGTCGAGAAACGGATCCCGGAGAATAAAATAATGGAGGAGCAGAGCAGTGCGCCAAAATAAATTATTTAACGTTCTCGCGACACCGTTTCAGTGGGATTTATGGTTTTGTGTTTTTTAAAGGAAACAAATAAGAACAGGTCCAAAACAAGAATATGGAATAGTAAAGTAAAAGCGAAACGTGCAGATTTCCATTTTTGAACTCGAACGCTGTGTCGTTTTTACCTCCCAAAACAGCAGGCATTCCATAGCTTCTCGTCTCGCCTTCCAGAAGCAGAATGTTTCAAGCAGTACACCATTACAATGTGCTCGAATATCAATTTTGGTTGGTCGGATTAGAGGATCTTGCTGGCATAATAGCTAAACTTCAACTGAAATTTTAGATATTGTAGGATTCAGATATAAAAACAATGATTCATTTTGATTGCTATTTAACTAGTCATGTTTATTACATTTCAATTGATGACATTCTGAACAATTTGCATTCCAAGGCCCTGAATCGATGTATTGTTGACACAAAGCTAACTATTAATAATACCATCTCAGAAACTGTTTTCAATACTGACCAATCTTTAGTTTTGTTTATTACTGTAGTAAATTTGCTGGGATGAGGCTTTTAGTGCTTGTTCATGCTTATCAGCCTTCACTATCCATTCGCAGATAATCGGATTCACCTCCTCTGGGATCTCATCGTGGGGACAGTGACCTTTACTTGCAAATGAAACTTAATGAGTCAATAAGAATAAGATGGACTAGTTAAGGTATATAGGGTTTTTTTGTGCAGTTAGTGTGTTTTTTTTACCTGCATTGACCTTTTTAATCACCATTCCTGGAGAAAGCTCCTTCAGTAAGTCCACTTTCTTCTGCGGATCCGAAATGGGATCTTTCATTCCCTAATACACGAATGAAATTAATGAATATTTGATCCTCTAATGCCTGATATAAGTTGAAATGAGGATCCAATACATGTTTGAAATCTTGATACCTGTATAACTAAAGTTTTTTCCTCAAACCCTTTGAGGAGGTAATTCAAAGGAAGCGAAAGATCAAATCCGAAGATACTTTCCAGGACCATAACCACACCAGGGTCTTGAGACTATTGTGTTTATTTAAGGGAAAAATGTCACTGTCATCAATCTTTTCCTTGTAGAACATGAATCAATTAATGCAAATAAAATGCAAAAAGTAAAGGATACTGCTCTTAGCATTTCAGTGATGAGAAAATCATCAGCTCTCTCAGGTTTCTGCAGCATAAACATGCAGTTATGTTAGAACTCCGGCAAAATGATGATCAATTATATTCCATCATACTGATAAAGAAATCTTCATATAACTTACAACTGGATAACAGTCCTTCAATAGCTTTTTGACATTGAATTGTAGGAACAAGAGAAGAAGTCGAGCACCAAGCTGTGCACCAAATGGAACTCGTCTTTCCTGAAAGAAAATCGGTAGGATGTGTGAGATAATTAGTTAAATTCCTGAGCCAAAACTGCTCTATAAGTCCCTTAGATATTCATACATTGAAATGATACGTACTCTAGAGATTAGGAGAGGAGAGTATCGAGGTACCACATTGCCAGCACTGTTAACAAGGACAACGGACTTAACCAAAGCCGGCCAAAGAAAGGCCATTAATGCAACGAAATACCCTGATAAAGGGTAGAACATATGGACACAATTAGATGAGTATCATAAAACATTTGAGAGCCATTTATACGCATATAATCCAGCTTGGGTGCATACCTCCAATTGAATTCCCTACGCAATGTGCTGGTTCACCAACTACTTCAATCATAAAATCCCGCAGCAACTCAGCCCATAAAAGCTCCGTGTATATGATATTTGGCTTCTCTGATTTCCCAAAACCCAAGACTGTGATGGTCCATACTCGGTTCTTGCTGTTTACGATGCTGTCTACATTGTCCCGGTAATGCTCTAGAAAAGCACCAAAGCCATGCACAAGAAGAACGGCAGGGCCTTCATTGCCAACCACTGTGTACTGAAACAAGGAAGCGGTTCTTATTTAAATTCCATAAACCGGTAAAAGAAGATCAAGAAGTGCGATTACAGAAAACTGGAGTTATATGAGTGATAACAGAAACCTGAATGAGATAACCCTTCCATCTCCAAATCCTTATAACGCTCTTTTTATTTAGAGCCACGAGTGAATACCACTGACAACAAAAACTGAAGAGCTTCAAATATTTTGGAAGAGAGAGTAAGAGCCTAGAGAAATCACGCATGTAACGCTCTGTACCTCCATAGAGCACACAGCGTCAGTTGCAGCAGACACAGTAGCAGCTGAATACCCAAACGGAGATATAAATCCAGCATTTCTTTCCTTTTCGTACTCGATTGCTTCGTAGTAAATCCGTCTTCTAGATACAATACCAAGACACAGGACAGGTCCAAAAAGTTTGAAAAATGAAGCCCCGGGCCTAATTTCGGCATCACGAAGCCTTGCATGAACCCTGGTTAGTATCAAAACCAATGCCGATCACTCTTCAACAAGACATAAGAGATACCCAGATTGTATCCAAGATAATATGGGAAAGGACAATAGCATCAGATTTGAGAACGCTAACGTACTCTTGCCAGTCATCTCGACTTGTACCCTCCAAGTATCTTAAGTATCCAGCTAAGGCATTAAGTACAGCCTCAGTTCCACCTCCAACAGTATCTCTTTCTCTCGTGATAAAAGCAGAGTTGTGCACCTTCTTCCCTAAACTTCCATCCAGAATTGGCTTCATACTGCTTTCCTTCAAGTTACCAACCCTTTCCATTAATACTCTTTCAGCAGATGCATGTGACATTTCCTTCCAGCTATTCTCTTTTCCGCATGAACTTTCCTTCATATACTCCTCGAGGTCATCGAGTGTTGGCATAGGACCTGGAGCATGTTTCATTTACCATTTTCCCTAGCGTTAAAAGAGTCATGATCAGAAATCCGGCAATATATCCAACTCCATGGAACTTGAAGAAAAGCTTACCCCACTGCAATTCACTTCCTGGAGATGAAAACCTTGCTGCAGGAACTGGCAAAGTGAGAGGCAGCTTTAGTTTCTTAAACTCTTCCCAAGATTGTGGCAGGTCCGGAAAATTCTGGAGGATCCAAATGTGTCATATAAGTAACTGGTTCTAAATCTCAATCCAGAAACTGACAATGCAAGAGAAGCAAATACATTACTTGGGTCTCATAAAAAGGAGTCCGCCAAACAACAATCCTCGGTGGTTCTCCAAGAAAAGAAACGCCTTCCATTTTTTTCTTAACAGCATCCAAAACCTCACACAGATGGTATTCTACTTCTTCTTCCGCAAAGACAAAGGGAGCTTGGGCCTGTGGCAATCCAGAACTTGCTGTGATGTGAATCGTAGTCATCTAACCTGAAATCTGTGAAAAAAATGCTTAATTATACCCGTGAAGTTACCTCTTTGACAAGATCTTCAATGACATTTTCTGCCTTCCCATATCTGAGCATGAGATTTGATCCTTGCTTCTTCAAGGATTTTCTTAAATCTTCCAATGCTATAAGAGCTAGTTCTAAGGTGTCCGTTGTGTATCCTACAGATAAGCTGTTGGATTTAGTAGATACCCAATTGAGTGACACTTGGAAATAGATGATTCAAGCCACAGAATTCAGATTTGTTCCTAATAATCGATTTAACATTTGGAATGTATATTTGAGCTTACGAGAGAGAATGCGGCGATCGAGGACGTAGAGAGGTATGACAATTCTGTGCTTGGACGCGGCGAGGAGACCAGGATGATCATCAACACGAGAGTCATGCTTAAACCACACAACCGCCGTGGAACCTTCTTCACTCGTCGCCGAAGAAGACAAACAACATCTGCAACGGTTCCTTCGATAATCGGCGGGGAAATGATTCCGCCGGAGATGGTGAGGCAGGAAATGCGGGAGATGGAGCGACGCCATGAGGACGGTGGATGACCAGACAGAATCAGTGGATTAGTAGTTTCCATGAAGTCGAAGCAGAGAGAGAGAGAGGAATTGTTGTGGTGGAGAAGAGTCATTGAAAGTGGTGTGTGGTAAAGGCACACGCCCACACACTCGAAACGACGTAGTTCTTCCCTTATTGCTCTACTTTTTAAAATTTGACCCAAATGTTAAGGCGTTGAAAAGTACCCATGACATCAAATAAACTTCTAGATTTCCGTCGAGTCTTACGTAAGTAAACACGTACGTACTGTGTGATAATTCAAAGAGACGACGGAAGAATTTTACTCACGTCTAAAAGCATATAAGTAGTGGTAGACTTCGACACTTTGTACTTGACCATCATAAATCAATATATACTCTCCCCATAAATCATTAGATTCAGCATTATTAACAAACAAAATCCTTACAAGAAGAAGCGGCAATGGAAGCCAAGGGAGCAAGACGGCAACACAGCTCTATTATAGTTCCATCTGTTCAAGAGATGGTGGAGGAGAAGATGATCACGACGGTTCCTCCCAGGTATGTTCGGTCTGATCTAGCCAAAGCTGAGATGGCTGATGACTCCGCTCTAGAAACCGAGATCCCAGTCATCGACATGAATCTTTTGTCTTCTTCAACCTCCATGGATTCTGAGATTAAGAAGCTCGACTTTGCTTGCAAAGAATGGGGATTTTTCCAGGCAAGTCTCAAATAGTCAAAACTTCACTGTTTCTTTACAAAACAACCCCTCTTCTTTCTTTGTTAGACTATTTAACCCCATATAGATTTCAAGTTTTAATCATTGTGACATGATGTCTTTACGAATACATTTTCAGCTTGTAAACCATGGTTTGGACTCGGGCTTCTTAGATAAATTCAAGTCGGAGATTCAAGATTTGTTCAACCTTCCCATGGAAGAGAAGAAGAGGCTTTGGCAACAGCCAGGAGATATAGAAGGGTTTGGACAGGCTTTTGTGGTTTCAGAAGAGCAAAAACTCGACTGGGCAGACACGTTCTTCCTCACATTGCAACCTGAAACATTACGCAAGCCTCACGTGTTCCCCAAGTTACCTCTCCCCCTAAGGTTTGCATCACATACGTAAAACCATTCTTAGTAGCTCCACACGTAACAAAACCATTCTTGGTCTTCTAAATATGTTTCTGTTTCTTCAGAGATACACTAGAGACGTATTCGGCTCAAGTGAGGAGAATAACTAAGATCTTATTAGCGAAAATGGCGACTGCTCTAAAGATCAATCCCGAGGAAATGGAAAAGTTGTTTGATGATGAGTTAGTGCAAAGATTGAGGATGAATTACTACCCGCCTTGTCCACAGCCCGACCAAGTAGTCGGTCTGACTCCGCATTCCGATTCTACGGGACTCACCATCCTTTTGCAGGTTAATGAAGTCGAAGGTCTCCAGATCAAGAAAGATGGCAACTGGGTTTCTGTCAAACCTCTCCCCAATGCTTTCGTTGTCAATGTTGGAGACATGATAGAGGTAATTAGTTATATATACATATGATAATATGAACGAGAGAGAGAGTACATATATGTATAACAATGTAAAAATGGTATTAATTATGATGGTATTGGTTGATGGTTATCAATGTAGATCATAACGAATGGAACATACCGAAGCATAGAGCATCGCGGTGTTGTGAACTCAGAGAAAGAGAGGCTTTCTGTTGCAACATTCCACAATGTGGGATATGGTAAAGAATTTGGTCCGCTGAGAAGTCTCGTGGAAAGGCAAAAGGCTGCGTTTTTCAGAAGCATGACCACCGATGAGTATTTCGAAGGCTTGTTCTCCCGTGAGCTCGGTGGAAAATCTTACCTCGATGTTATGAGAATCTAAAGGAAAATTTGCATGCAAACAACTGCCTTGGGACCAAAGAAACTCTGCCTTCTCTTACCGTTCATGTTGTATTATTCTTTTCTGTTTTCATGCTTTCTGCAAATAAGGCCATATCCATCTCTCTCTCTCTCTCTCTCTGTCCCCTTTAAGCTCTCTCTGTTAAGACAACACTAAAGAACGTTTTGGCTACTTCACGTTAGTGTTACGCAAAGCCCCCCATCTAATAAAGACGTTATGTTGCAAAATATCCAGTTTCAAGTCCTAAAATATTCCGAGTTTAGCAATTTAATTAGCAGCGTTAGGCTGATGGCAATCTCGGTACCTGCCAGTTTCCCTCGTGTGGTTGAGGCTTTATGAAGAACAATAACTCTGTTTTTTTTTTTTTTTGAAAAATACATATTTACAAAACAAGAGAAGGAAAAAGAATTTGGTTTTCCTTTGGAAGTCTGATTGGTTGTGGGTTGTGGGCATTTGTGGCTGTAGCTTTGAATTTTCTGCTATAAGATTTTATGTTATAGGTTTTTTTTTGTTGTAGCAGTAGGTTTTAGACTTTTAGTACAATTAAATATTTTGGCTTTTTTTTTTCTTGTTTTTCAACTACTTTCCTATATTGTGCTATCTTATCGGAATATTTAGAGTTTGGACAACGATTTTATGGAAAAGAATGGACAAAAAAAAATACAAAGACAATTTTTTTTTTACGAATGAAGACATTTTTTATATTCGCTTCTCAAGGTTGCTCTGGTCGTCCATGTCCATATGCTAAGTCCAGAGACCTTATCCTAAGACTTTTAAACAACTCTGAGATTGGTTTTTTCTCAAAAAAAAAAGAATTCGTAGATTGAACCACATGTTAAAACATTGAAAAGTAGCCATAAACAGCTCCACAAACCAACGGAAATTATTGGATGACATCAAATAAAATTCTAGATAGACATGATTGCATCGTACTCTTAGGTAACCGCATGCGTATTATGCACTTGTAGACTTTGTAGTCATTCATCATAAATCATTAGATTTTGTACTATAACAAAAAAAAAAAACTTGCAAGAAGAAGCGGCCATGGAAGACAAGGGAGCAAGCTATGACTATGGCTCTATTATAGTTCCTTGTGTTCAGGAGATGGTGAAGGAGAAGATGATCACGACGGTTCCTCCCAGGTATGTACGCTCTGATCTAGACAAAGCTGAGATGGCTGATGACTCTGGTCTTAAGACAGAGATCCCAATCATCGACATGAATCGTTTGTGTTCTCCAACCTCCATGGATTCTGAGATTGACAAGCTCGACTTTGCTTGCAAAGAATGGGGATTTTTTCAGGCAAGTCTCAAAACTTAACTATTGCAAAACTCATTCTTTACAAAACAACCCCTCTTCTTTCTTTGTTAGACTATTATATTGGGATATTGTAGAGGTTAATGGGCCATGAGACCTTAATCTCTAGAGAGTGTGATAAAGTCCCACATCGGAAAGTGGGAGGGACCTTGAATAATATATAAGGGACTGAGGCCACTCCACCTATTGCCAATTGGTTTTAGGTTGGATGTCGAGGAAACTTAACATGGTATCAGAGCTTTGATCCGCACACTTTCATGACCCTTTCCAGAAAGGGCCCGACCCCCGACCCTAGAATTGATGGTCTGCGAGATTAATGGCTAGAAGCCATCCTCTCGAGTGAGGGTATTGGGATATTGTAGAGGTTAATGGGCCATGAGACCTTAATCTCTAGAGAGTGTGATAAAGTCCCACATCAGAAAGTGGGAAGGACCTTGAATAATATATAAGGGACTGAGGCCACTCCACCTATTGCCAATTGGTTTTAGGTTGGATGCCGAGGAAACTTAACATATTAAACCTCATACATATTTCAAGTTTGAATCATTGTGGCATGTCTTTGTGAATATCGTCTATCAGCTTGTAAACCATGGAATAGACTCGAGCTTCTTGGACAAATTCAAGTCGGAGATTCAAGATTTGTTCAACCTTCCCATGGAAGAGAAGCAGAAGCTTTGGCAACATCCAGGAGATATCGAAGGGTTTGGACAGGCTTTTGTTCTTTCAGAAGAACAGAAACTCGATTGGGCAGATATGTTCCACCTCACAGTGCAACCACCTCCATTACGCAAGCCTCACGTGTTCCCCAAGATACCTCTACCACTTAGGTTTGCATCAAATATATATGTAATAACCATTCTTCGTACAGCTCCACATGTCTTCTCTGTTTGAAAAGTTATGTTCTGTTTCTTCAGAGATACAATAGAGACGTATTCGGCTGAAGTGAGAAGCATAACTAAGATCTTATTAGCAAAAATGGCGACCGCTCTAAAGATCAAACCCGAGGAAATGGAAAAATTGTTTGATGATGAGCTAGTGCAAAGGTTGAGGATGAATTACTACCCGCCTTGTCCACAGCCCGACAAGGTCATTGGTCTGACTCCGCACTCCGATTTTACGGGACTCACCATCCTTTTGCAGGTTAATGAAGTCGAAGGTCTCCAAATCAAGAAGAATGGCAAGTGGGTTTCTGTCAAACCTCTCCCAAATGCTTTCGTTGTCAATGTTGGAGACATGATAGAGGTAAGTTATATATATATGGACGAGAGAGAGATGTCAAATGTATAACATTGTAAAAATGGTATTGGTTGATGGTTGTCAATGTAGATCATAACGAATGGAATATACCGAAGCATAGAGCATCGCGGTGTTGTGAACGCAGAGAAAGAGAGGCTTTCTGTGGCAGCATTCCACAATGTGGGATATGGTAAAGAATTTGGTCCGCTGAGAAGTCTCGTGGAAAGGCAAAAGGCTGCGTTTTTCAGGAGCATGCCCACCGACGAGTATTTCGAAGGCTTGTTCTCCCGTGAGCTCGGTGGTAAAGCTTACCTCGATGTTATGAGAATCTAAAGGAAGAAAAAAAAAAGCATTAAACCATTGCCTTGGGACTAAAGAAACTCTGCCTTCTCTTACCTTTCATGTTGTATCATTATATTCTGTGTTTCTTTTCTGTTTTCATGCTTTCTGAAAATAAGGCAATATCCATCTCTCTCTATGTTTTAAATCTGTTAACACAAAGCTCTGTCTAATCATAGTAACAAAGGCGTCAGTTACCACATATAGCACTTTATTGCAAAAAAAAACTCTAATTTCAAGTCCTAAATTTAGCAACGTTAGACAGATAGCAGTGTCAGTAGTAAGTACATTATGAAGTGTGGTTGAGGCATTATGAAGAATAGCATCTCTTGAGAAAACATAAGAAAATAAACGGTTTCTCTTTTGAGGCGTCTAGGGCTGTCCCTTCGGTTAAAGAAAAAACAAACAATTTCTACAATATGATCAAAATTTCCTAGTTAGAAGATAGATAGATATAGAATTATTGTATTTTTGTCGGCAATCAATCATTGCAGACTCTTTGTAGTTATCTATCATATGCTCTGAAAAAACCAACAATAATCTCCCATAAATCATTCGATTTGGCACTATTAACATTCTTTCCCTTTCAAGAAAAAGCAGCCAAGACTCTATAGCTCTTTGATCCGTGCCCAGACATAATGCTAAGACTTTTTCAACGTTTTAAAGGTTGAATACCGTCTTAATGCCGGAAGCTTTAATTTCTCAACGACATTTATGAAGTATAGGTTTGAAGTCTTGTCATAACGATAGGAAGCAATTCTCAACGGCATACATCAAATATAAATTAGGTGTTGAAGTAGTGATCTTTTAGCCCCCACTTCTCTCTCTCTCTGATGAGATCAGGAAGAAGAATATGTTATCCTCTTCACTTATTGCTTTCATTTACCAAGGGGAAATGATCTTTTCTTACTTCTTTTTCTCTGACGTATCAGAAAACTATAACCCCATTCCGCATTATTTCAATATACTCTCTTCTTGCGTCAATATGTGTTGTGTCAGGTAACTATGAAGATCATATATATTATAGTTGACAAAAAAAACGTCGTCTGATTTATATTTAATACATATCGTTGACAAAAGTTTCTCATCATTAAAAATTCAACCTTAAAAATCGCGGACGTTGAAAAAGATATGAAAAGTAGCCATATCTTCCTCCACAAACCAAAAAAATTCTTACATGACATCAAATGTAAACTTGTAGATTTACATCGCATTCTTACGTAAACAAATTAAATACGTACTGTGTGCCGCCAATATTGTCAATTCATAGAGATTAAAGACTGACTGTATACTATTTCTCTTTACTGATCACATCTATAAGTGTATAAATACTTGTATTCTTTGTAGTTATTCATCATAAATCAATACTCTCCCCACCATAAATCATTATATAGATTTGGCATTATTAACGTTTTTTTTTTACAAAAGGAAGCGGCCATGGAAGCCAAAGGAGCAATCAAGTATAGTTCCATTATAGTTCCTTGTGTTCAGCAGATGGTGAAGGAGAAGATGATCACGACGGTTCCTCCCAAGTATGTTCGGTCTGATCTAGACAAATCTGAGATGGCTGATGACTCTGGTCTAAACAACAAGATCCCAATCATCGACATGAATCGTTTGTGTTCTTCAACCTCCATAGACTCTGAGATTGATAAGCTCGACTTTGCTTGCAGAGAATGGGGATTTTTTCAGGCAAGTCTCAAATAGTCAAACTTGCTATTATCCGAAACTGCCATCTGTAAAAACTCATTCTTTACAAAAAAAAAAAAAAAAAAAAAAATCCATATACAAATTTAAAGTTAAAACTATTGTGGCATGTCTTTATGAACATCATTTTCAGCTTGTAAACCATGGAATGGAGTCGGGCTTCTTGGACAAAATCAAGTCGGAGATTCAAGATTTCTTCAACCTTCCCATGGAAGAGAAGAAGAAGCTTTGGCAACAACCAGGAGATCTCGAAGGGTTTGGACAGGCTTTTGTTGTTTCAGAAGAACAGAAACTCGATTGGGCAGACTTGTTCATCCTTACAACGCACCCTGTTGAATTACGAAGGGATCACGTGTTCCCCAAGTTACCTCTTCCCTTGAGGTTTGCATCAAATATTATGTAAAAAACCATTCTTACCAACTCCACTAGTCTTGTCTTTTAAAAATATTTGTTATGTTCCTTCAGAGATACAGTAGAGACGTATTCGGATGGATTGAAAAGCATAGCTAAGATCTTATTTGCTAAAATGGCGATAGCACTGAACATCACCCCTGAGGAGATGGAAAAGTTCTTTGACGATGATTTAGTACAGAGACTGAGGATGAATTACTACCCGCCTTGTCCACAGCCCGACCAGGTCATTGGTCTGACTCCGCATTCCGATACTACAGGACTCACCATCCTTTTGCAGGTTAATGAAGTCGAAGGTCTCCAAATCAAGAAAGATGGCAAGTGGCTTCCTGTCAAGCCTCTCCCAAATGCTTTCGTTGTCAATGTTGGAGACATGATAGAGGTAAGTTGTACAAATGGACGAGAGAGACCAAATGGTATAGCATAGTAAATATGGTATTTGGTTATCAATGTAGATCATGACGAATGGGACATACCGAAGTATAGAGCATCGTGGAGTTGTGAACTCAGAGAAAGAGAGGCTTTCTGTGGCAGCATTCCACAACGTGGGAATGGGTAAAGAAGTTGGTCCCATGAGAAGTCTCGTGGAAAGGCAAAAGGCTGCGTTTTTCAAAACTGTGAGCATCGAAGAGTATTTCAATGGCTTGTTCTCCCGTGAGCTCGGTGGAAAATCTTACCTCGATGTTATGAGAATCTAAAGGAAGAAGAAATGCATGAAAACCAGTGCCTTGGGACTAAAGAAACTATGTTTCTCTTACCTTTCATGTTGTATTATTGTATATATGTACTATGTTTCTGCTTTCTAGTTTCTGAAAATAAGGCAATAGCCATCTCTCTCTGCTTCGAATCTGTTAAGACAACACTAAAGAACGTTTTGGCTTCTTCACGTTAGTGTTACGCAAAGCCCCATCTAATAAAGACGTTATGTTTTCCAAATTTAGTAACTTAGCAGTGTTAGGCTGATAGCAGTCTCGGTACCTGCCAGTTTTTCTAGTGTGGTTGAGGCCTTATGAAGAACAATACTCTGTTTTTGTTTGTGTGTTTGTGAACAATTCCTCTTTACAAAACAAAGAAGGAAAAAAGATTCGGTTTTCATTGATTTATATTTTCAGTTGGATCACTTATCTTATAGTTTAAAATACATTATCTTGACAAAAAAATGTATAAAATAAGTGATCCACTATCCATAATTATAATCTTTGGTCGGCAACCTGCAGTCATTGTAATCAAATAATTAGACTTCGTAGTTGTCAATCATGTGCTCTAAAAACAACAATAACTAAATAAAACAATACTGATCTCCGCACATATATCATTAGATTTGGGAGCATTAGGCATTAGCAATATTTTCTTTCAAGAAGAAGCGGCCATGGAAGACAAGGGAGCAAGACAGTACAGCTCTCTTATAGTTCCTTGTGTTCAAGAGATGGTGAAGGAGAAGATGATCACGACTGTTCCTCCCAGGTATGTACGCTCTGATCTAGCCAAAGCTGACATGGCTGATGACATTGAGATCCCAGTCATCGACATGAATCTTTTGTCTTCTTCAACCTCCATGGATTCTGAGATTGATAAGCTCGACTTTGCTTGCAAAGAATGGGGATTTTTTCAGGCAAGCCTCAAAACTCAATAGTCAAACTTCACCATTTCAAAACTCATTCTTGATAAAACAACCCCTCTTCTTTCTTTGTTATGCTATGAAACCCCAAAAAGATTTCAAGTTATAATCATTGTGGCATGTCTTTATGAATATCATCATCTATCAGCTTGTAAACCATGGAGTGGACTCAGGATTCTTGGACAAATTCAAGTCGGAGATTCAAGCTTTGTTCAACCTTCCCATGGAAGAGAAGAAGAAGCTTTGGCAACAACCAGGAGATCTTGAAGGGTTTGGACAAGCCTTTGTGTTTTCAGAAGAGCAGAAACTAGATTGGGCAGACTTGTTCAACCTTAACATGCAACCTCCTCCATCACGCAAGCCTCACTTGCTCCCCAAGTTACCTCTCCCCATTAGGTTTGCATCAAATTTATGTAAAACCATTCTTAGTATCTCCACAAGTCTTCTCTGGTTAGAAACTATGCTTCTGTTTCCTCAGAGATGCACTGGAGACGTATTCAGATGAAGTGAAAAACATAGCTAAGATCTTATTTGCGAAAATGGCCAGCGCTCTAAAGATCAAACCCGAGGAAATGGAGAGCGTGTTTGATGATGAGTTAAGGCAGAGATTGAGGGCTAATTACTTCCCGCCTTGTCCAGAGCCCGACAAGGTTATTGGTCTGACTCCGCATTCCGATGCTACTGGACTCGCAATAATCTTGCAGGTTAATGAAGTGGAAGGTCTCCAAATCAAGAAAAACGGCAAGTGGGTCTCCGTCAAGCCTCTCCCAAATGCTTTCATTGTCAATATTGGAGACGTCTTAGAGGTAAGTTACGCGGAACGAGTTGTGAAAAAGCATTAGTTTGGTATCCTTGTAAATGGTTCTGATGATGGTATTGGTAATGAACGTAGATCGTAACGAATGGGACATACAAAAGTACGGAGCATCGTGTGGTTGTGAACTCAGAGAAAGAGAGGCTTTCTGTAGCGGCATTTCACATTGCGGGAGTGAGTAAAGAAATTGGTCCGCTGACAAGTCTCGTGGAAAGGCAAAAGGCTGCGTTTTTCAGAAACGTGACCACCGATGAGTATTTGAAAGGCTTGTTCTCCCGCGAGCTCGGTGGAAAATCTTACCTCGATCTTATGAGAATCTAAAGGAAGAAAAAAATGCATAGAACCATTGCCTTGGGACTAAAGAAACTCTAATCTGCCTTCTCTTACCTCTCATGTTGTATTGTTATATATATGTACTATATATGTTTCTCTTCTGCTTTCATGCTTTTTAGTTTCTGAAAATAAGGAAAGATCCATCTCTCTCTGCTTCAAATCTGTTAAGACAGCACTAAATAACGTTTTGGCTTCTTCACGTTAGTGTTACGCAAAGCTCTATCTAATAAAGGCGTTTGCTACAGAGATTACCAAGAGCTTTGTTTTATCCTGGAAGAGGTTGGAACAGCTTACTCTCCACGGGAACTTGCTTAGGGAAATCAAACCAATGGGTTTTGAAATAACAAAGTTTATCCTTAGATTTATATGTTTAATTTCCACTAGTATTCAACTAAATAATACATAATCTTGACAAAAAAAAGAATCATAAGATCAGTGATCCAAAATCCAAAATTATAAGAAAAATATAGATTCTTTTATTTGTCGGCATGTAGTCATTGTGATTAATCAGTGTAGACTTTGTAGTTATCCATCATATGCTCTGAAAAAAAACTATTAAAAATAAGAAAACAATAGTCTCCCATAAATCATTTCGATATTTGACACTATTAACATTTTTCTTTCTTTCAAGAAGAAGCGGCCATGGAAGCAAAGGGATCAAGACAGTATAGCTCTATTATAGTTCCATCTGTTCAAGAGATGGTAAAAGACAAGACGATCACGACAGTTCCTCTCAGGTATGTTCGGTCTGATTTAGACAAAGCTGAGATCGCTGATGACTCTGTTCTAAGAAACGAAATCCCTATTATCGACATGAATCGTTTGTGTTCTTCAACCTCCATGGACTCTGAGATTGATAAGCTCCACTTCGCTTGCAAAGAATGGGGATTTTTTCAGGCAAGCCTCAAAACTCAATAGTCAAACTTCACTATTTCAAAACTCATTCTTTACAAAACAACCCCTTTTCTTCCTATGTTAGACTATTAAACCCCAAAAAGATTTCAAGCTTTAATTATTGTGGCATGTCTTTATGAATATCATCTATCAGCTTGTAAACCATGGAATGGACTCGGGATTCTTGGACAAATTCAAGTCGGAGATTCAAGATTTGTTCAACCTTCCCATGGAAGAGAAGAAGAAGCTTTGGCAACAACCAGGAGATCTGGAAGGGTTTGGACAAGCCTTTGTGGTTTCAGAAGAGCAGAAACTAGATTGGGCAGACTTGTTCCTCCTTACCATGCAACCTGTTGGATTACGCAAGCCTCACGTGTTCCCCAAGATACCTCTCCCCATTAGGTTTGCGTAAAATATATGTAAAACCATTCTTAGTACTTCCACAAGTCTTCTCTGTTTAAAATTTATGTTTCTGTTTCTTCAGAGATACACTGGAAACGTATTCAGACGAAGTGAAAAGCATAGCCAAGATCTTATTCGCGAAAATGGCCAGCGCTCTAAAGATCAAACCCGAAGAAATGGAGAGCGTGTTTGATGATGAGTTAAGGCAGAGGTTGAGGGTTAATTACTACCCGCCTTGTCCACAGCCCGACCAAGTAATCGGTCTGACTCCGCACTCCGATGCTACTGGACTCACCATACTTTTGCAGGTTAATGAAGTGGAAGGTCTCCAAATCAAGAAAGATGGCAAGTGGGTTTCTGTCAAGCCTCTCCCAAATGCTTTCATTGTCAACGTTGGAGACGTCTTAGAGGTAAGTTACACGCATGACGGCATGAGTTGTAAAAAGTTTGGTATCATTGTAAATGGTTCTGATGACGTTGGTAATGAACGTAGATCGTGACGAATGGAACATACCGAAGTATAGAGCATCGTGGGGTTGTGAACTCAGAGAAAGAGAGGCTTTCTGTGGCATTATTTCACATTGCGGGATTGGGTAAAGATATTGGTCCGCTGAGAAGTCTCGTGGAAAGGCAAAAGGCTGCGTTTTTCAGAAACGTGACCACCGATGAGTATTTGAAAGGCTTGTTCTCCCGCGAACTCGGTGGGAAGTCTTACCTCGATGTCATGAGAATCTAACTTTGCCTTGAGGGTTCCTGTATACTCTGTTTCTCCTCTGCTTGAGAGGCTTTATGAAGAACAACAGCTCTTAAACCTGTTCGAAGAAAGCAACTCTTCGGCAAGAGAGTCTTTGAAACTGTTACTTGTTAGTGCGTTCTCACTCCACGTTAACACTCATTGGCCAAGTGGTACCACTCTGATCACATAGAAACGGCTATACTTTGTAATAAAGTTTTAAGAACACTTGCATGTCAAATATTTCGAACTTTATTAAGAAAATAAGGTACCTTTCTGTTAATAGATGTAATGTTTCGTTTAGCAAAGGTATTTTTATGTTGTTACCAATCGACCAAATACATCAACGATCCAACAAATGATCTCTAAACATCCCTCCATCTTTCAGGGAGCGAGGCATACCTTAACTTAGCTCAAAATTTTCATGGTAACCGGATGACAAAAAGCTTCCTCTATCCGGAAGTATAATCTGCCATATCTCTAGCAGAAATCGAGTTTCTTGGAAGTAAAAAATGTCGATCAAGAATCCAGTAGAGACTGTGAAACTGCACCTTCCTACAAATTTGGATTATCCAAATGCCCAAAGGTGGCGTTCCAGTGACTTGAAGCTTCTTCCTGTGTCCGCATGATCCAGATATGTTTTGCTGCATCTGCTTTCTCTTGCTCGTCCAGAATTTTCTGCAATTTTCAAACCGTAAATATCTTGGAACATAACAGATATTCATATACATAGACAGACGAAACTGAACCAATGTTTTTTTGTGAAATAATGGATATGGTGCAGAACTGCAGATGATCTGATGTTTGATCCTTTCGATTAGACAAAAGTAACGAAGAATCAAGAAAACTACAAACCTCGACTTCAGAAACTCTTTTTGTCTTTAAGGAAAGACAATCAAAGAGATCAGAGAACTTCTTAGTGCAATCATCAAGTCTTCCAACCCGGTAATACTGCTGCATTTGGTAAAATGGTGCTGCAAAGAGATATTCGAAGTTAATCGCTGAAACTTCATGTAACAGAAAGAAGACAACTTTATAGGTGAAGTGAATGCAACATGTACATAGGACCCTCGAACAGATGATGGAGCAAACAGAGACACAAGTACAAAACATACTCATAAATCATAAATCATATAAAAAAAATTGTGTAAAATGTTGTTTCCTAAAAGATGAAACATTTGTCGGATTTTGCCTTTTGTGTATTCAAGGAACAAGAAATTGGATGATACAAAAGCGATACAGCTCACTAAATGTTTTCCAAGACTGATTTCATTTTTAAAAACCAAACCTTGTCCAGTCTCATCGCCATTGCTGGTTTTGTTGGACCATCTAGTCATCCCTTCAACAAAGCATACATTGTGGAAATGGTTTCAGAGATCTTTCCAATTCGAAATTCCTTTTCTTTGATGTAAAACTAAGCCATTTCTAAACTTTGACCAAGGTAACAACAAGCACGCAAGCTACAAAATCAGTCGTTGACGAATTACGAAATGCAAAATGACAAAGAGAACTTTTCAAACGAATTGATCAAATCTCAATCAAGCTCAAATTTTGCTTGCCCAATGAAGAAACCCCTAGGAAGAGCCAGAGAGGGGATATTGATTTTGAAGAGAGCAAATCGAAGATGTAGAGAATCAGAGAAATGCGATTAGATAAGGGGAAGAGAAGACATACAGTAGCAGAACCAGAGAGCGTCGAAGGATTTTGTGCAGGACACGCGCCGCCGCTCAGCTGAAGTGCCATTGGTCTCCGAGCTCATCGTGCCTGATCAGTGCCGGAGAAGAAATGGATCTCGAAACGGGTCAGGTGGTGGTTTATCGGGGTTTAGATTTAGGGTTTTTCAGCTTACCAAAAATATTTCTGTTTTTTTTTTTTCTTTTCTTTTACAACACAAAATACATCAATTAAATAATAAATAATTCAAACGCAAATGATAAGATATATCAGCAAAACGACATACATTAATAATTTTAGATTTTTAGCAAAAAAAAAAAAATTTAAATATATCTTATACTGATTCAGTTAAACTGTGGTATTTAAATCAATATTGATAACAATCAATTTTGTAATATTTATCTTATCTGATTAGTAGATAAGGATTAGAAATATGTTGGCGTAGACAAAATAAAGTGGATCATAGATATTGTCAAAATATGATATTTGTTCCGTGTCCATCACTACAAACAAACAATACTTTTGTATGCAATAGAGTTGGCAAATGGCAATGTACATTGAAAACAATTTAGATTTGAAGAACAAAACTTTTAGCAGGATGATATTTGAGTCCATAAAGGCATAAACCATTGCAACTATACAATTCTAAGAAGCAAAGTCAAACGTGCGACGATGTATATCATCATCAATCATCAAAGACATGTGAAAATGGACTCTGACAGGCCCAGTCCGTGTGGATAGTTTGTGGGAGTTAGGGGAGGAATTTTAGTCAATGTTGTTTGTTTAGTCAACGAGATTGGACTGTAGAGAGATATGTCTCTATCTCTAATGTTATTGTAGGCCAAAAATTGCAATTTGGCATGGCTCAAACGTTACGTTTGCTCCTTGGCTTTACAGCCTTTTTCTTTTTCCTATTTTAATATATCCCAATGGGAAAAAAATATTACAATTTAAGTAAATAAGTACAAAACTAAACAAAAAAAGGTGTTATACCAAACCAATTTAGAAAATTAATACGCTGATAAGACCACCAGACCGAAACAGTTTCCCCTTAACCATGTAATTAATGTTTTGAATTAAGTCGTGATTTCTAATATTATTATTCAAATCTACAGTTACATTTTCCTTGTTTCTCTCTCATTCTTTTTCTAGATAAATAAAATTATAATATCGATCTGTTTTATTCGATTTATTTTTCTCCCTATCATTTCTTGCCAAAACCCTAATTTCACCTCACCCGTTAAGAAAATTTCTCCCCCAACTTAAACCACCACCCAAAGAAAATAAAAATAAAAATTAGATCTTTCTTCTTTGCTTATAATTATGGATGTTTTAGGTTGATTTTCCTGAAATTAAGATTGATTCCTCCCATGGAAGCTCTGTTTTCTTCTCTTTGCTTTTAACTACTTCCACTGATCTGTTCCCAGCAGCAACCGCTCTTTCCCCCAAAAATTCTCATTTTCTTTTTCTGTTTTCTCTCTTATCTCTGAATCTCACTTTTTACAGAGCTTGTAGAATTAAGCTTGAATCTTTCGTGATCACAAAGATTCAGAAGGGATCTTAGGATTTTAGGATTTGGTTTCTTGGACTCATTTGTCGGAATCTCTCCCTACAAAAGAATCACTGATCTATGTCCGGATGGAGGAGAGAGAAGCAACCAACAGCAACATCAACAACAACAACAACGCCAGCAGTTTCGGCTTGAAGCAACATGAAGCTTCTTCTGATGCTTACCCAATGGACCCACCTCGACCCGATAACCCTAATCCGTTTTCGGGCCCACCCATCACTTCCGCTTCCTCCGCCGCCGCCGCCGCAACAGCCACTGTCGCTGAGAATGCTGCGGCGGCTCCTCAGTTCAGCATAACAATGCCGGCGGAGAACGCTTCCTCTGAGCTGAAGAAGAAGAGAGGGAGACCGAGAAAGTATAACCTCGACGGGACTCCCGTCACTCTTTCGCCGATGCCAATCTCCTCCTCTGTTCCGTTGACGACGGAGTATCCTCCTCGGAAACGAGGAAGAGGACGTGGCAAGTCCAATCGCTGGCTCAAGAAGTCCCCAATGTTCCAATTCGACAGAAGTCCCGGTAATCTCTCTCTCACACATTTGCCACTTGCTATGTTCATAAATAGCAGTTTTTGTTAGTTATTGCGAAGACTCTTATGGATCTGTTCTGTTCTGCCTCTGGTTTTGACTTTGAACAATGTTGGAACTTTTTTGAGTCACAAGTCATAAGGCTACGACTTTAGGCACGTAACTGAATAGGAACATGACAACATTTCGCCAAATATCTTGAGTTTGTTTTGTTTTGTAGATGCTGCTCTATGTATTGTCTGAATGTTGTGTTGTCTCAGCTGTGATTTTGACTTTTTCTGGATTCAGTTGATACCAATTTCGCAAGTGTAGGAATAGGAACTGCAGATTTCGTTGGTGCCAACTTTACACCTCACGTGATCACAGTAAACGCCGGAGAGGTATTGTTTTCTGATTACAGTCATAGGCAATGGAAGTCACACTTCAATTATCAGTTATTAAGCTGATATGTTGACACGTGGATTTTGTGCAGGATGTGACAATGAAGATAATGACATTCTCTCAACAAGGATCTCGTGCTATATGCATCCTTTCAGCGAATGGTCCCATCTCCAACGTTACGCTTCGCCAATCTACTACATCCGGCGGTACTCTAACTTATGAGGTCTAATTCTCCTCTTGTCTTGTCTCTATTCAGTTTCCTTGAAAATGTTTCTGAGTTGTTTTTGTAATTTGTTGTGATCAGGGTCGTTTTGAGATTCTCTCTTTGACGGGCTCGTTTATGCAAAAGGACACTGGAGGAACTCGAAGTAGAGCTGGTGGTATGAGTGTATGCCTTGCAGGACCAGACGGTCGTGTCTTTGGTGGAGGACTCGCTGGTCTCTTTCTTGCTGCTGGTCCTGTCCAGGTTTGTTTCAAAACGTTTCCACTTCCTGTCTGGTCTCTCAGGACATGTGTCTGAAACCGTTATGTCGTTACAGGTGATGGTAGGTACATTTGTAGCGGGTCAGGAGCAGTCGCAGCTGGAGCTAGCGAAAGAAAGACGGCAAAGATTCGGTGCACAACCATCTTCAATCTCCTTTAACATCACAGCAGAAGAACGGAAGGCGAGATTCGAGAGGCTCAACAAGTCTGTTGTGATGCCTGCACCAGCTCCTCCTCCATACCAGCATCATGAAAACACGGCGAGCGCGGTTCATAGTTACTACACGAACTCTGTTAACCACGCCAAGGATCCGTTCTCTTCCATTCCGGTAGGTGAAGAAGAGGAAGGAGAGGATGAGGAAGAAGATGAAGACGGATTAGAAGGTGAGGAAGAAGAGTTTGGAGGTGATAGCCAATCTGACAATGAGATTCCGAGCTGATTGATGATGATGATGATGATGATGATAGTGTGGGGTTTGTTTTTTCAGTTGACGGATTTGGTAGGGTTATGAAGGGTTTTCAGATTTTGGTTGATTGGTTGTTAACACAGAATGTTTAGAAGAAGCTGCTTATCGTAAGGTTATCTTCTCTTGTGATTGTTGTAGTATCCTTGTTAGAATCTAAACTCACATTCCACAACTCTCTTTTTAAGAAAAATACTCGATTTGTTTTTCCAATTTGGTTGTTCCAATATATGATATGAGATACTTCTATCATTTTTTTATGTATGCTTAGGCTATCGATTATAAATTTATAATACATCTGGTTAAATTAAGGAACGGTTTGAGTCACTCGGTTGTTAGATAAGTTAGTTGTTGTGGTAAGTGGTAACTTCCCACTAACATGTTTTTGTTTTTGTCACCCACTAAGTCCCCTGATTGTTTCTCTTGTTTATCTTTCTGGATATTCACTTGCAGAATCTCATGTGTGAGACATGTAAAGAACTTAAGAGAATTTGTAGATAAATTTTTTTCCAAGAATTAACCAGAAGAGCGTTTATACTTTGACAAGTGATTGATCACTAAAAGGTGGATATAAGGTATGAATTTTGATCTAAGGTATCCGCATACTGAATTTGCTTTTAGATTGCTTGTGTCACACTACTCACTAGTAATCATGAACTAATAGTAGATGTTCGTATGTTAATCTCATTTTTTTCATGATGAATTAAACAAACCAGTTAATAGTTAAAGGTGAAAGGAACTTTGTGAACATTACGGAAATATATATTGGCTTCCACACCATCGATGAATGAGTAACAGTCTAACAGAAGTGAGTTTGATGTCAAAAAAAATTTAAGATTATGTTTTGGGTGTCATAAAACCGAAACAGAGTTATGCTTACTCTGTCTTTTAATTTTGAAACTGCTTACTGGTACATATGTCTTTAAGGTATTGATAATAATGGCGTACTTCTACTTGGGAGCATAAATTCATAACCTACTCTTCTTCTTCTTTTTGCTATAGACATATGTGACATGTTCAACCAAAAATAGGATCCTCAACCTCCAAGTGAAGGACTTCCTCACCTACAAATACAATAGAACAACTCGACTCTTTAGTCTTTAATGAGGAACAAAAGGTCCAACTTCTAGAGATAATCCCTTTGCATATAAATTTGGTTTTTGGTGCTCTACATTTTATGCGTGATTCATTCCCGAAATGCAAAAGCCATCCTAAATGTGATTAAAATAACTGAAAGGTTATAAGTTGTAACCGTTACATCAACAAAATTAAGTTACGTTCTTACTTCTTAACCCCAAAATTTGGAAGCTGAGGAGTCAAGAGGGATTCATAATACTGGAGAATACAAGTACGTTTCGGGGACAAAAACGTAATTTCAAAACACTTCGACTGTTGAAGAGCTGACAAAGAAAATGACGTTTCTACAGGTACGAGAAAGAGAGAGAGACTTTTGGGGTCTTTAAAGTGAGCTTGCATGGCGTTGGCATCGGAATCGACTCAACTCTCCACCTCCTCCACATTATCACTTTTCACAAAAGTCATCAATTTTCCGATGAGTAGTACTAGTCCTCCGACGTTCGTCTGCGATTTCGCCGACGACGAGTTGCCTAGCGAGGACTGGCCGGAGATGGAGTTCCGGTCACCGGAGGACAAGGACCAGGCTTGGTACGGAGTGGAGCCGTGGGATATGTGCGACTCCTTGGTGGTTAGCTTCAACGAATTCCCCTGCGCTTACGACGAGGTCTATTCTCCGGAAGACTTCAAGAACTCCGACGAGCTCAAAGAGTTCGAAGAGAGGTTCCGACCTACTTCAGTTCAGATGCAAGACAGCCAGTGCCCGACTGTCAACGAAGGCACGAAAGTCTGCGCCACGTGTCCTTCCGTCACCGGAGAAGTCAAGTTCTACGACGCCATCGTCGTTGCGGTGAGCTCTCTCGATCTTGGAATCTTGAAAATGTTGAAAACTTGAAATCCCAATCCGGTTGATTTGTAATTTTTACTGTTCTTGCGTAGGTGGAGAGGACGGAGCATGGTCGGGATGAGGAAGGGAGCGAAGTCTGTGGTTGCAATTTCAAGGTTTTTTGGAACCAAGGTCCTTGTGCGAACCTGGTTACATCTGCAAAAGTTGGAGACATCTGTCTTAAACGGGAGGATGGTCGAATGCATCCTAAGGTGGTCTCTTTCTTCAAAGAAGCTAGAAGGCAGCTTCATGGAGGATCTTCCCAAGGTACTAATTTTATTAATTAAAATGGTTTCTTTTGACTTGTGAAAAAGAGATTTAACTTCATGTCATGTGATTTGTAATGGATTGGTGAAAATTTGTGTGTGAAACAGGGGAAGAGACAGAGTGGCAAAAGATGTTGAAGAGGGTCAATGCTGCTGTTCAAAACTACAACATAAGTTCCTCTGTTCCAGATAATCTCGGTTAGTTAGCTATGGTTTGTAGCTTCATATTATGTGTTGAGTTGTCTTTAGAATTGTAATGGTAGAGAATTATGTAGAACCCTTTTCGGGAGATCTTTTAGTTAAGAAAAGGATGAATAATCTTCATATGTATCAATCCTTGTTCTGAAATTCTCAATATCTTTATGCTGCTTTGTAATAGATTGAAGCTCTTGTAGAACATTTTGCTTTTTTTGCAATCCCTTGGCACTTATAAAAGATCCAAACTAGTATCGAATTGAGTTTGTCTTTGCGACGGAGAAAGATTGTGACGTATGGATATCGACATTTTAAAGTTTTTTCTAACAAAGAAGAAAACCAGTCAAAAGATATTAAAAACGGTCAGAGGAACTTGAAGGACACGAAACCGGTCAAAAGTCTTCTGACAGACGGACGGTACCGAAATGACAACGTGACTGATTTTGAATTTTAGTTTAACCAATAGACATGAACACTCCGATTGGAAAGAGACTTTCAAACATACAACTCAATTCAGTTTTGGAAAGGCATTATATATAGCCGTAGCCTATTAATTGCTAAAAATGAGAAGAAACAAGCATATGATTCTAGTTCGGTTAGGTTTAGGATTTCAGTTTTGAATCAAGTGTGGAATAGTAACTGGAATATGAGAACAATAAAGTAAGTGAACATAAGAACTGAGAAACAACACAGCACAGGACGACTTTTAAATAGCAAATGTTATGGCATTATAAGAAACGCAATTCATTTTTCCAAAAGATTCAAGAGTTAGGAGGAAAAGATTCAATCTCTGGCAAGATACAAAACACCTCAAAAATTCCACATCACAGATTTTCAGTCTTCAAAACGTTTCTACGAACTCAGGACCGGATTTACCTAACGTCAATCAGTTCAACATCAAACGTCAGCCAAGCATTAGGAGGAATCTGGGAACCTGCACCACCAGCACCATACCTGCGAAACGAACCACATCCCATTAGCAAAGGTTATTCACAAAACATCACAAATCCAGAAAACAAGATAACAAAATTTGCAAAATAGACTCACCCCATTGATGGAGGAATTGTAAGCTTTCGTTTGTCACCAACACGCATGCCTGTGTAAATTCAAAAAAAAAAACACTTGAGATCAATACAACATTATGCACATTTTGAAACAAAGTTAAAAAGAAAACCAGTTAAGAATATTAAGTTACCAGTAACGCCAACATCCCATCCCTTGATGACTTGTCCAACACCTGCAATGTTACAAAACAAACGCATTAGTATCAAGTACCAGACATATAATGGTATTCTCAACCAATTTCCAAAGCTATTATATGTTATAACACCCACCTAGACGGAACTTGAATGGAGCTTTTCCAATGTTGGAATCGAAAATCTTGCCATTCTTCTGAAGCTTTCCAATGTAGCGGACACTAACCTGCACTCAGAGACATTAGATAGAATCAGCTATGAACATTCCAATGGATTCTTAGGCATTAGTTTGTTGCATTCTCTAAGTAGAATAAATGGAATTTATGAATATAAGAGGACAAACCGTCTTTCCGGGAGCAGCTTTCTTGCCGTCAGGTCTGCCCATGCGCAACTCTTCAACAATGAGCCCATTTGGGTATGTCCGCTCTTGAGAAGCATTGGACTTCGCCTGATTCTGCTCAGGTGTTTTTTGTTTCTCAACACTACCAGAAACGGTTTTGCTCTCCACTGTAGCTTCCTCGCTTGAGTTCTTCTTTTTCTTCTTATTTTTCTTCTCAGCAGACTTAACTGGGGTCTTGGAGTCTTCACCACTGCAATTTCCAGAAAAAAAGCACAGAAATTTGTTAGAAGAGAAAAATGTCTGAAAGGAACGTTGTAAACATGAACACAAAGCCTTCTTTACTTGTGAACTGATAATGATTGTGAAAATAAGAATACTCACATGGCATTGTTTACAGTTTCATCTTGAGCTCCCTGCTTTTTCAGCACATTTCCCGCCGGAACTTGTTCACCAGCTTCCACATTTGAGGCACTTTCCCCTTTCTTCTTCTCTTTCTGATTTTTCTTCTTTTTGTTCTTGTTTCCACTGTGAACAAATTTTAATAACAACTTCATCAAATTCCTACGATACGTGCTAACATATGATAAGTTGTCAGTAAAGATCAACGAGAATGGTACCTTTCTTGCTCAGCAGCCTTGGCCTTCCGCTTTTTGTTGCTACCTTGTTCATCATCATCCAAGTCCATCTTCTCTTGCTCAGGTGTTTCTTCTTTGGCAATAGGAAAACCATCTTCATCTTCGCTCTCCAGAACTGGAACATCAGCAGTCTCTCTAGCAATGATTTGTTTATCCGCGTTCTCCTCTTTGCTAGCTTCGCTCTTCTTCTTGGAACGCTTTGCCTTGTTCTCTTTGGCAGGCTTCTCTTCATCTTCAATCTCCTCAATCACAACTAGCAAAACAAATCATGCAGAATGTGTAAATATTATAAGAGGTTCTACAGCTAAGGAAGCAACATTTGATAAAGCTCTGTGGATATTACCAAGTATATCTTAAATAGTACAAATCTGATAAAGATGTGTGGATAGAGATAATGTACCTCCGCTGTTAGGGGCAGAAGAAGATCCGCGGAACATTTCGAGTTTGCTATCAAGGAAGTCCTCAAACTCATCCAACTGATCCTCATCTTCACTATCATAGTCAGATGACTCTCCTGATTCATCTTCAATATCGATACCATCTCTAATAATGTATGTCGCAATGAAAACTTTAGCTGATGGATTCTAAACACACACACACACACAAACAAATAACAAGATTTGCTAAAGAAAGTTAATCACAATAAAGGATACGAATCAGATTCGTGCAGCTCATCTTCTTCTTCCTCCTCATAAGCTTCCAGGTATCCAGAGAGATGGATGCTTCTGGTACCAGTCACCAAGAACTCAACTATGCCGTCTTCATCGTCAAACTCAAGATTCAGAGGGCAGCATTCGGTTTTGTTTGTCAGCAATGAGCACAGGTAAACCGGAGCTTTGCCTCCAATCGAACACTGAATCACACTCTTCTCTCTGCCAAAACCATCCCCTAGAGTTGCCTGAATTGTGGCAATACATATATATATACATTCATCATCAGATATATTGCAGCTCCCAAATCAGTCTCAATGAGCAATACACAGAGATACAATCATTATAAGATCATACCTGAGTCACGTGAAGCTTCCCATCTTCACTCTCCGGATCAAAAGTTTGCGGTTTCCCAGGTTTCACTTCAATTCCTGCAAAACGTTAAGAAATCACACAATCAGAACTGAAAATCGCGTTCTGGGAAAATCAAAGAGACGGAGAGACAATAGAACACGATGGAAAACGAAATCAATCTGCGTTGAATCGAACAGAGGGAGGAGAAACAGCTTACCCCAGAAACCCATTTTTCGGCGAGACGTTCGATAAACCCCGTCGGAGAAAAAAAGTGGCAACTTGTTCTAGAGACTAAAACCCTAGAGACTGATTTTTGCAGACGCTTTATTATAAGGGTTTTTCTTAAACCAGCGGTTATTGAGAATTCCCGGTTTCGATAAATTTTCTATCGTCTTTCCAACCAAAACGAGTAATTTGGGCCTTCACAAGCTTCAGAGTTTCAGTGAAGCCCATAACTGAATTGTGTTGCTTCGAAAACTGACAAAACTCTATGAACTTGAGATTTAGATGAATTGCAGTGATTTTGAATACACACAATTGAATACATGGTGTGATTTTATTTTCTTTCTTTTTACAAAAAATACTCTACTGTACAAATAAGTGTACAAATGTCTTTTTTTTTTTTCGTGTGTGTAACAAACAAACTTAGGCTAAGTTTGTATTAAGGTCTTCACATTTGCACCCACCAAAAAAAAAACAAAAAAAGTTTGTATTGAGGTGTATTCTCGTAAAACCAAGTATTTCTTCTTCTTAAGCTAATTGTCTTGATTTCGATCTTCTTGGTAGTTGAAAGGTAACGGGACAGATTTGAAAGCCCTGAACTTCCCAACGTTGTTCAAATGCTCATTCTCCAGCCTAATCAATAAAACCAACAAAAACTTCTCAGAACTAATTTAATCATTTATTAATAAAATCCACTGAAACACAATTAGTTTCTCAGTCTCGGAGGCTTACCTAAAGAAGTTCCAAATACCTCTCCGTATGATCTCAAGGCAAGCAAGAAGTGCGATTATAGTTTCTCCATGTAAGGAACCGAATTTCAGATTTAAAACTGTCTGCAACCACACTAACCTCAACAAAACATTCAAGACCTGCCAGAGAAGACGAAGCAACGTCCAAACTTAACCATAATGTAAGAAAACAAAAACAAAAAAACAGAGGTTATTGGTGTTTTTTTTTTGTTTGCTCACCATTGCAACGTAGTACACAAGTTTGTGAGGAACAAGAAGCTTGTCTCTCAAGAAAACGTTTTTACATCCTCTTTGAAGCAGTCCCCAGTCAACAACAATGTCCCAGTACGTTGCGTAAAACGTTGCAACTCCTGAGACAACCCAAGCTGCGATATTCCATGCGGTACTTCCTCTGTTAAGAGTGTAAGCTGTTCTGAAACACGCAGCGACGATGGTCAAGAGATACTTAATGGCATTGTACCCATGATGCAGATCTTTTTCTTCAATTATTCTTCTGATGCACTGAAGAAACCGTAACCAGTAAGGTATAACGGCTACAATGAAGTAGACTGTTGTGAAAACATTGTTTGATCTGCATGTGTTCCTTCTTCTTTGTCTGAAATCCCCAAATCCATAGTAGCATATGTAGAACTCTATACTCCTCAGTGCTTGAACCTACACATTAATTCTTTCCATCTTAGATCATCAATCAAGTAAGTATGAAAGTAGTTTTTGAGTTTTGATTCTCTCTAACCTGGCTTGTTAGTTGATCTGCCAAGAAAAAGTCCGGAAGACTCACCTGCAAGAATATGCAAGATTAACATTTTGTTTATGTTCTTTGGCTCACATGAGTGGAGCAGAGGATGTTGTTGGTACCGTGTAAAATGGTGCAGCGATGCAGCGGAACAGAACGGCGAGGAAGAAGAATCGGCTTGACCGGTACAAAATGTTGAAGGGGCAAAGAGTAATGGCAATCACTAGCTGCATTAATGTACAGAGAAGCAAATCTCACATTGAGTTTTAAACTGTAAGGAGATAGTCACAGAGAGAGAGAGAGAGGGGACATACGACGAGGAGGAAGAGAGGAATAAGTTCAGTGAATGAATTGTATTCCTTTGTTTGAGAATTCATTTCCATGTCAAGGTTTAACAAGACAGCACACAAAGAAAGTGTACCAAGACCAAAGCTGAGAAGTAGAACATGTCTGTAACCGAGCTCGGTGCCTTTCTTGAAACCAAAGATGAAGGAGTAGTTTACACGGTACCGCCTCCAGAAGTAGATACTAGCAGCGTACATGATCGTGTGCAAGACTACAAATCCGAAGAATCTGCAAATGAATATGTTATCTCAAGATCATTATAGTTAAAGAATGTTAGAGAGAGTTTTTTGGTCGTTTCACTGACCTGTAAAGAGGGAACATTGTTTCCATGTAAGTTCTTTGTCCCTGTGTGCCTAGGATATTCCGAGCATGGACGATCAAAACAAGAGCTACTATGAGAGAAACAGCGCAGCCGAAGAAGAAGCCTGCAAACCAAAAATAAAATAAAAACAGAACATATTGATGAAATGTTCCTAAAATACAAATTAAAGATTGGACATGGTAGTGTTTATATATACCGGTGGAAAATGTTATCCGATGACGTTCTTTGTTCACTTTTGGTCTTAAGAGTTTCATCCCTTGGCTTCGGTTTGAATTGCAAAAATGTTCAGTGAGAGTAGATTCAACTCTTTGCATCAGCTGCTGAACCTGAAAATATTTAATGCTTGAAATTGAAATTGCATTTTTCAATTTTCTTAGACAGAAGAATAAGTCTTGTTTTTTTTTTTAAGTGCTTACTTCATCAGAGCTGGTGAGGTAAGAGCTATCCACCATTTCCATGTACAGTTTTGCAGCATGTCTTCTGGCTACCTAAAAAGTGAGAGCATACATGTCATTTTTAGTAATTTGAAACAAATTATTATTTTCAACGAACAAGAAAATACAACAGATGATACATAACAGAAAATAATCAAATAATTCCAGTGAGAAATATATATTAAAAAAATCCATTATGTTATATTTTGTATATTAAAGACTTATAACTTATTTATGTACTATCATTCAATTACTCTTTATATACAAAATTATTTAATGCTATCCATAAAAATTGACAATACATTTTAGGCACAAATCATATATATATGAATTGAGGCAACTCTCTCCATATGATTGACATGTGGCAAAACTTTTAAAGAGAGCAGTCTCTTCGCATTCTTAGTCGTTACAGTTATAATAGGTTTCAAAACCGTCAGTTGTTTCACCTTCCACGTTGTATCAACACTCCATCAATTGATATTGTGGCATGACTTTTCCTCTTCTTTCCAGTCAATAACTCTAAATCTTATACATTTCAACTTATAATAATAAAAATCACTCTATTAATCAAAGACTTTTACATTTTGGCTTCCATCTTAAGTTATTATTAAACATCTAAATTATCCTAATATATGGAGAAATGGATTTAGCAAAAATCGATGGCGGAAAATCAGAGTCCGTTCTATGTGGTCGTGAGTAAACAAAGAGAGTTAATGGTTCATAGACATGTGGTATGATAGAAAAATATATGTTTGAAAGTCAGTCGCTAACCAACAAATAGGAATTAAATATGGATATTATTGGATTATACTTTATAATATTAGTCGCAAATCTAAAATAGTTTTCGAGCATTTTTTAAAAACTTTAACAACAACAAAACCCGCGCGTATGCGCGGGCATTAGTCTAGTAGTATTAGATGATAAGTACAACTACAGTCGTAGTCATATAAATGTAGAAATTATTAATTTTAGTAACAGTTATAACTTTTAAGTTGTAAATGAAAATCCAAGAGTGAAATGAGTCCATTTTCAAAATATGATTAAGTTTATAAACTACATATTTAAAACCATATATTTATATATATAAAGTTGGTGTGATTCTCTTCTGCTGGTGACACCTCAGCAAAAGAGACCCTTCTAAATTCAGCATTTTTCCACATCAGCCATTTCTACTCTCCATTTGATTTATTTTATTTGCTTTTATTATACTTTAATTGTCATAATAATTACCATGTCATAACTTTAACAAGAATTTGAAAAGTTTTTATAAAACAAGAATCATATCAATTGATCTACATAAATAAAAATTTAACGATTTTAGTTTTGTTAAAATTAATTATATAATTTAAACGAGATGAGATGGAACCCGAAGAAACATGATGGAAAATAACGTGATAGAAAGGAATGGGAAGAATGAGACGGGACAGAGAGGACATGAAGTAATAAGACGAAACGAGAAAGAACGAGACGGAGAGGAAGGAACGAGACGGAACGGAACGGGAAGGAGAAGGAACTAGACGGAAGGGAAAATATCGAAATGGGATGAAACCGGACATGGTGGGAAGGAACGGGATAAAACAGAATGGGATGGAAAGGAATGAGACAAGAAAAGAACATGATAAGACAGAACAAGACATGATAAGAAGGAAAGGTTGGACGGGACGGGATAAAAAGAAACGAAATGAGACGGGATTGGACGAGATAAGATGGAAAGGGACATAATGGGATGAGACAGTAATTTTGCCTACCCCTAATTATATTCAGAGACGGGACACAGATATGACAAAATGGAAAGGAACATAATAGGATAAGATGAGACTAGATGGGGCGGACATGACGAACGGACGGAAAAGAACGGGATATGATTAAAAGGAACAAAATGGGATGGGATAGGGTTAGACGGAAATTTGCCTAACCCTAATTATATTTAATTAATTAATATGTGTATAATATTTTTGAAACAATAATAAACTATAGAAATAAATTCAATTTTCGGAAAAAAATAAAACTAACACAACAATATAAGTTCTCGCGCGAAGAAGAGGCTTTATAAATTCTATTCTGGTGCTGCTTCTAAATTCTCCAATTCGCCACGTCAGCACTTTATTTAATTTATTATATTTTCTCTTTTTAAATATTTTAATTTCATAATAATTAGCATTCATTACTATAATAAGTTTAACAAGAATATGAAAAGTCATTTTAAAAGAAGAAATATTATGTATAGATCTACAAAAACTATTATTTAGTAAATTTATTTTTGTTAGATTAGATAATTTACGTTGATGTCAAGATATTATATAAAGAACACTGATTTTTTTTAAAGTATTTTGGGATGAAATGAGACGAGATCAGACAGATGAGACGAAAAAAACATAACGAGAAGAAATGAATTTTGTCCACTTCTTATTATATTAAATGACGAGATGGAATGTAAAGGAACAAAAGGAATGGGATACCACATAATTTTGCCTACTTCAAATTATATTTAGAGACGGAATAGAAAAAACGAAAGGAACATGATGAAACACGACAAGACGGAAATAAACATAATGAAACGGGATAAGACTGGACGGGACGAGACAAACAAATTAGACATGACAAGATGAAAAAAACGGAATGAGACGGGATTGGACGGGACGGATGAAAGGGACATAATGGGACGAGAAGGGACGAGACATAAATTTCACCTACCCCTAATTATATTTGAGGACAAGACAGAGACACGACAAAACGGAAAAAAAAAACATAACAGAATAAGATGAGACTCGATAGGGCGGACGGACGGACGGAACGGGACGGGAAAGAACGGGACAAGATGAGAAGGAATTAAATGGGACGAGATGAGACTATACGGGAATTTTGCCTATCCTTAGTTATATTTAGGGAACGGGACGAGAAGAAACGGAAGGAACATGATGGGACATAACAAAATGGAAAGGAACATAATGGGATAGGATGGGACGGGACAGACAGGACGGATGGGACGGGAAAGAACAGACATGATGAAAATGAACGAAATGGGATACGATGGGACAAGACGGTACGTTAATTTTGCCTAACCCTAATTATTTTTAATTAATATGTGTAATATTTTTGAAACAATAATAAATCATAAATAAATTAAATTTGGAAAACAATAAAATTAACACAATAATATAAATTCCCGCGCGAAGCGCGGGTCACCTCCTAGTAATAATATAAAACTCATGAGTCTTGACACAGATTAAAAGTCCACCAAATTAGTTTAAAAAAGTACAGATAACTTGACCTAAAAATGAGGAATTTGATAGATTAAAATACCTTATCATACTTCTTCATGATCTTGGAAATCGCCAAAGTGTTCAAGAAGCTATAATTCTTAAGATGTCCAAGTTTCTGATAGAACTCGATGAACGCTACCTGAAGTCCCTCCTCGACTCTCTTTAAATTCTCTTTTGTGAAACTGAGCTCTTCCTTCTTACTGACCTTGAGGATGTTTTTAATGGCGGACAGAGGATTTTCCCGTGTTTTGTTCAACCTTATTCGCTCAAGAATACTTTCTTTCGCTGCCTCGTCGTTTCTCATAAGATCACGTAATGTCACTACTGCTTAATTAAAACATAAATATTAATTCAAACTTTCATTCTTCACATCAAACCCCAAAACTGAAGCTAGACAGAACATGAGAAACTCACTGTGTTCTTTAGACTTGGAAGATGATCCGATCTCATAAGCTAAGGCATTGACGTCTACTGAGACAGAGTTAGAGGGAGGAGGGTCCTTCTCCTTAACTCTGACTCTGAAAGCAATCAAAGCATCCATCTGTTTGGACAGAGCCAGAGCCTCGTTCCTCGCTTCCTCCACTTTAAACCTATAAAAGCTATTGACCTTGTTGAATTCTCGATCAAGGGTTCTAAAGAAGGCAACCTCAGAGTCTCCACCCGCTTCTCCGGCCTTCAAAAACGCCGTCTCGTAAACCGTCTCGAGCTCCCGAGTCACAGTGTTGACCACGATGTCGTGATTCTCAGAGAACGTGGCCTCGCGGTGGTAACGTCTGCTTAGGTTGCGTGCGAAGGAAGGTTTGGTCTGGACGTTGGAATCTGAAGTTTTCCGGGAAGATTGGATGTCTTGAAGAATGGTTTTGAGGTACGCGTAATCTATGTAAGCTTCTTGCCACTCTGAGACCATTTGAGACATAAACTCTTTCCCGAATTTCATTGTTCGTTTCTTTTTTGTTTGAGCTTTAGCTTTCTTTTTTTACTTAATTAAGAAACATGATGCAGAAGCTTGCTCTCTCTGTGTTTTGGAACAAATCTGGAAAGAAGAGTATCGAACTTTTGACATTTTGGGTTTTGAGTGATGCTATAAGTTTTTATATATTTTCAGCAATTAAATTATAATATTAAAAATAAAATAAAATAAACTATTTTGGTAGCTCAACTGGTTCAATCTTTATAGTTATAATATTAAATGCAGAGGTAGACCAGGTCTTAGCTTCGCCACAAATTGTTTTGGTCCCAGTTAGATAATAAAACAAAATCGGTTGTGATCAAATTTATGAATTATGCGTATAAGAAAGTCATTTGAGAAAGAACAAAAAAAATTATTGATAAAAACGTGTGCAGTTGACTGTGATTTTCTTAAGAAGTTAAAAAATACAAATGTAAAAAATAATGTAGGACACATGAAGGAGAGATTTTTTTTTTTTTTAAAGAATTTAAGAGAGAATGAAATTTATCAAAGCTTTACAACAAAATACTGCCGCTAAAAACGTACAAAAAGTATTAACTATGAGTTTAGGACAGTATGATATATGGATTGTTGTAGTTGAAAATTTGTTAAACGACAAAAAAAAAAAAAAAAAAACAAAGCTCGTGTGTTCGATTGTTGCTAATTATTTTTACAACTTTTTATTGTATTTGTGGTATAAAAACTGTAATATGTAGCATGAGATTTATATAGCATAATTAAAACCATTCAATGTTTGCAATCTGATTAAGACCCCTTGATATATATTTATAATCGACCATGCATGTGTCTGTCATATGCAATGTTAATGAGAATAGCGATTTGGACCATTTCGTTTTCGTCAATGAATGGTTGTCTCTAGCCTGCAAAAGCGCGTAAACATACTCAAAAATCTTATATAATTTAGAAGCTTACTCTTTTGTCGCCACCTAAAAACAATTTGTAGTGTCGTAAATTTTCTTCATTGGTCAGACAAAAAAATTGGTATCTTCTAGATTGATTTTTGACCACACTGCATCTTCCTACTGGTCTACATTCAGCGGAGAATTAGCGAGTCGTTGTGACACCAATTTTCTTATTTTTAGCAAACAATTTTTTTTTTTTAAATATATTCCCTTTTATCTTATGCTATACGTAAAAGATGTACATGTCGGTGGCTTTTTTGGTAAAAGCTACAGTATGAGAGAAGATTCAGGTTTAAATCGTAACAAATATAAAAAACGAACTACATGATGCGTATTTTATAACCAAAGGTGCAAACTGCAATTAATCACAGATCGAAATCTACGCATGTGGTGTTGACCTTCGAGGGGATTGAGGGTGGTTTCGTAACTTTACATATATGCTCGCGTGGCCGAGTACGCGCCGTCTCGATTTGGATGAAACCGCAGACGGCATTGATGGCTCCCGGATCGTTTAGGAAGAAGAAGACAAATGATTTAATTTCCACTAATTGACTTTGTTAAACTATAACCAACCATTTGTGTTGGTTAGATTTCGCAAACTTTCACTTATCCTTCAGTATTCTGTTTTTCCTTGTCAATCAATCTCTGAGCTCGCTGAACAAGACGATTAGGATCAGATCATTGCTCATCTCTCTCTGGTAAAAATCCCCCGGAGTTTCAAGTTTCTTAGATTTGCATGTTGGATCTGTTTTGTGAAGATATCGTTTTGTTTTCTAAAAAAATCTGACGATGATATACGTATGCTTGGAGCTGAATCTGATTTTGGTTTACAGGAATAGGATGTTTCTGGATTAGATTTGCTGATTTGCTGCAAATTGATGAATGTTTCTTAATTTATCTTTTGAAATCGATTCTCTGGGTTAACAGTAAGTGTGCATTCTATTGCTTTTGAGATCGATGACGTTGTTTCTTCTTTCCTCTTTAGTATCGATCCTGGAGAAGTCGATTGGAGAAATCTTAACATTGAATCCATTGCGTCACGGTTGTAAATTCGCTTGAAATCGAGCAACAAATTCGCTTACTTCGTTGGGAGATTGCACGCCATTGACGGAAACATTTTGCTTGGACAGCATTTATCTTGAGCCTCATTGTAGAGAATGTTGATAGTGGCTTATCATCTATAAGCTCTCTGTTCTTCTTCTTTGCTGGGATTGGCTTTGAGTCTCTAAGAGAAAGCCATGGCTTTGGGATCTCCTAAGGTTTCTATATTTGCGGCTGGGTTTCCTCGGAAAGTGTCTACGATTGCAATTGCTATCGGCGGATTGGCATCGTTCTTTGTTTTCGGATTGTTGCTTCGTCTTTCGTATCCAAACAGTTCCTCAGTTGGTAGCTTATTCTATGGAATAGGGACTCCTGAGCAAGTTGAGTTCCCTTTATCCTCGAGCAGCCGTGCCGTAGAAGGTCTTCACGCGAGTAGCGAGATCAGTACTTCAGATAACAACCTGACTTCTCATTCTAGCTCAGGCTCGTCAGATGTTGTTAACACAAGCATACCACCACCGCCGGATTTTGATAGTGATAGGACGGTGGAGAAACCTTTGACAAAAGAGAAAGAGGATACGGTTTCTTCGGATACTAGTGAGAAAACTGATGTTGGATCAGCTGAAGGTTCCAAGGGTGGAGATACTCCAAGCACATCATCTCCTCCACATGATGACTCTGAAACTGCTGAGTCAGAAACAGGTACTGCTCTGTTAAAACTCGATAGCTTAATTATCTGCAAACAAAAAAAGAATAAACTAGTATGGAAATGTTATAAATTGAGTTTTGCACTTCTATGGCAAATGGCTTATGTTTCTTGTACGCTTTGAAGAAGTTCGGCGGCACAACTGAGTCAAATCTTAGCTCTAGGTCTAGTGTATGTAGCCTAAGACTAAATGTAGCAGATTAGAGTTATTTTGAGAGCAGTTAGTGAGGCTTTGTCATTTAGTTGCGAGTTCTCTCTGTTTTGGTGAATTGGAATGAGAAATGCAGTTGCATAGCTTTGTTCTAGCCAGTTTACCTTCTATCCAGTTTACTTGAGAGTAAGACCTCAGCTTCTCAGGATTTTAGCTGTTCCATGTTTTCTCGTTCTGTTTTTAGTTTTTTCGACTCACTCAAATCTTTGGTTGCTTGTAGAGTGTGATTTGTATCAAGGTAGCTGGTTTTATGATCCTGCGGGACCTGTGTACACGAACAACACATGCCCCGTCCTGACGCAGATGCAGAACTGCCAGGGCAATGGAAGACCTGACAAGGGATATGAGAACTGGAGATGGAAACCGTCTCAGTGTGACCTTCCTCGATTTGATCCCAGGAAGTTTCTTGAGCTAATGAGAGGCAAGACACTGGCCTTTATAGGAGATTCAGTAGCTCGTAACCAGATGGAGTCCATGCTGTGCCTTCTTTGGCAGGCAAGTGATTCTTCTTCTTCTTCCTGACTGTATAAGGAGGGATCGAGTATGTTAACGTAGATAGCTGTTTTCAGGTTGAAACACCGGTCAATCGTGGGAGCAGAAAGATGCAGAGATGGTATTTCAAGTCATCATCAGTAATGATTGCACGTATCTGGTCATCTTGGCTCGTCCATCAGTTCAACGAGAAATTCGATTACGCTCCTGAAGGTGTCACCAAACTAAACTTGGACCTTCCCGATGAGCGGATAATGGAAGCTCTCCCGAAATTCGACGTTGTCGTCCTCTCATCAGGGCACTGGTTTGCTAAGCAGTCTGTCTACATATTGAAAGACGAGATCGTTGGAGGGCAGTTATGGTGGCCAGACAAATCAAAACCCATGAAAGTCAATAACGTGGAAGCATTCGGGATATCGGTTGAAACCATCCTAAATTCCATGGCCACACACCCGAACTACAAAGGCTTGACCATTGTGAGAACGTGGTCACCTGATCACTACGAGGGCGGTGCTTGGAACACGGGTGGTTCGTGCACGGGGAAAGAAGAACCGGTCCAACCCGGGAAGCTGATGAAAAACGGCTTCACGGAGATAATGCACGAGAAGCAAGCGACGGGGTTTCACCGAGCCGTGGATGGAGTCGCTGATAGCTTGAAGCTTAAGCTAAAGCTGATGGATATCACAGAGGCTTTTGGATATCGCCATGATGGTCATCCTGGTCCGTACAGGAGTCCTGATCCGAACAAGATCACTAAGAGAGGACCCGATGGACGACCTCCGCCTCAGGACTGCTTGCACTGGTGCATGCCGGGACCGGTCGATACGTGGAACGAAATGGTCTTGGAGATCATAAGGAGAGACCTTGAGCGCAGGACAAGTAATAGCTCATAATTAGCTCATCTTCTTGACTTGGTTTTGAAGCTCATGACAGAATACAGTATTACACGAGTTACTTATACTATTGATATTGATTCTTAATTACAGATATATCAAATGTAAACTCACTTGTAGGTTTTTGTCAACCACGGTGTGAGGTAGGATTAGGATTGTTTCGGATTGTTATTTGTTCCACTATACTTTTTGGTTCTCTTCTGTCTTGAGATTGAAAGCACATTTTTTCCCCTTTTTTTCATTTTACTTGACGATTTGGGAGTTAATGAGTTAAGTTTTTATTCATGCTAATACAGAATCCGCAGAAACTATGCTATTAAACTGAATATAGTAAGAATTTCCTTCTAGCTGACATGTAACGAGCAGGAAATTCCAAGAACATTTGATGCTGAAAGAGCAATTCGGAAAATGTTGGGCTAAAAATGAAACTTATGTATGAATTTGAGGGGTTTGTGTGCAAAGACAGACAATTCGCTGAGTAATTGTAATCGCTCAAGTCACCCAAAAGCTTGGTTTTTGGAGTGGAAATGGCGTCGTACACACTCTCCTCCTTTATCCCTTTGACGGTATCAAATCCTCGGGTCTTTGTTTCAAGGCAGAATGGATCTCCTTCGTCTTCTTCGTCTCCGATTCCTCTTACTTCTCTGCTAGGCAAGAAGCTTCTTGTGACACAACCGTCGCGTCGCTGCTTCGTCCCCAAGCACCGGTGCTTGACCTCGGCAAGCACGGTCTTTAGCGTCCCAACTTCGTGAGTTTTTGCTTTGATTCCATCGATTTTGCGTCTTTAGAATTTCTGGGTTTTCTTTCACCAAGGAAATGGAAGCTTAGGGTTGTTTGATTTTGATTTTTACAGGCAGCCGGAGAATGGTTCTTCAGATAAGCTCCCAAAGTGAGTCTCACGCGAAATTACTTATCCAATTTCGTTAATTATAGAGGTTATTGGCTTGAATTGCTGAGGTTTATGAGAGGTTTATCCGTTTGATTTTAGATGGTCGGCGAGAGCTATAAAATCACTTGCAATGGGGGAATTGGAGGCTAGGAAGCTCAAGTATCCAAACACCGGCACCGAAGCCATTCTCATGGGCATTTTAGTCGAAGGTTTGTGATTCTGAAACCTTATACTTGCTTCAGCTTCAGATGAAAGATTGCATTTAGTTTTGAGGAATTGTTTACAATAATGCTGGTGCGATTTCTTAGCCTAGATGTGTGCTTCAGCTCATCTGGGCTTAACTGAATTCAAGCATGGGTTTTTATAGGATGAGATTATGCTTCTGTTAACTGTTGCTTAACCATAAGATATTAAAGTTGTGGAATGCTTTGTGTTGTTTCAAAGTATCAAAAACGAGCAAGAAGAGAATTGGTTAATTTAGGTGCATGTATAAACAGACGACTGAAAGTCTTAACATTTAGTTATAAGAGATTTGTTATAAGGCTAATGCTGGTGAAGAGTTTTCTGTCTCACTGTGTGCTTCGGTTCACTTGCTTAACTGATTCCAAGCTATAAGTATAGGCTCTATTTGTTCCTATGAAACAAAATACATGTGGGATGAGGTTTTGCTTCTATCCTTCTGTTTCTTAACCATTGGAAAAAAAAAATTAAACTTTATATCAAGTTGTGGTATGCTTATGCTGTTTGATCGTGTTGAACTTCAAGCATTAGGAGAAAATTGAGTAGATTCATCAGAAATACAGTAATAATTTGTGTGTGTTGTTTAACTTTACATAACCTTTCGTTCTGTTTTTAAAAGGCAGTGATGGTAAATCGTTTTGGATTTTGTGTTTACTGACGCTTGTTATTGTCGGTTTTTCATTCCAGGCACTAGCACAGCTGCTAAGTTCCTGAGGGGCAATGGAGTCACACTTTTTAAGGTTCGAGATGAGACGATAAGCCTGCTGGGGAAGTCAGACATGTACTTTTTCAGCCCAGAGCATCCTCCTCTAACCGAACCGGCTCGAAAGGCCATTGACTGGGCCCTTGATGAGAAGAAAAAATCTGGTTTGTATAAACAACACCATCTTGATATTATTATTAGATCGTTATGTTTTCCCATCCATTATAGACACACTGAAACTGTTTTGGTCACAGGTGTGGATGGGGAACTAACCACTGCCTACTTGCTCCTGGGGATCTGGTCTCAAAAGGGATCAGCAGGCCGCCAGATTTTGGAGAAACTAGGTTTCAACGAAGATAAAGCCAAAGCAGTTGCTGAATCGGTAAGTTTTCAAAACCCGGATTCTATAGGATATGATAGCTTTCTTCTCTAAGTCATAAGTGCTGAGTGTTTGTTTGGTTGCAGATGAATGAAGATGTAGATTTGAGTTTCAAGAAACAAAGTCAATAGTGATGGGGTCTTTTTGGAGTCCGCAAAGCTTCTGTGACTGTACATGGAGCAAAAGCAACTCCTGATTCGGGACAATCAATCTCACAAAAATATCCCTTTCTTGAAGGAATATCTTTATCGAACATAACATTCATCACAGGACTTGATAAGCACCTCTTTTTCAATTGTTGGCGGTTAAGTTTCGTTTTTTTTCCCAATCATATAGCTTTTCTGTATTATCACAATTCGTTAACTCCAAGAAATAATTCAGTGATTTGCTTCTCAGATAGGTTTATGTTACTACTACAATTCATACCCTTAATTCCTCAAGTCGCTGAGTGATTATTGACACCTTAGTCTCGTAGAACATCAAGATATTAGCCAAGGAATCTCTAAACTATAACTAAAGCCTCTGCAACTTGTCAGTTCTGATCAAAGGCAACTGTTTAGCCAATGAGAGCCGTCCAGATTGTTTGTGATCGAAGGCACAAGAATGCTCCTCAGGATACCGATGTGACCCGCAAAACATGTGTCCGCATCTGCACTTGAATCCCAACACCCCTACCTTCCTTTGACACGTCTCGCATCTCCGTTTAACTCCGACCGGTTCTTTTGCAGCGACGGGACTAGTCGTAGTAGCCTGAGGGCATACCGGTGATCGCTCGGTCTCGGTCTCGGTCTTGGGTTCGAGCCTGACTTTGGCCGCTTGTTGAAGAACACTCTCTTTGTAGCAGAGAGAACAGAGATTGTTGTTCTGTCGGGTGCCGAAGAGTCCACAGCCTCTGGCGCATGGTAAGGCTTCTGTTTCGTTCGCATTCATCATCTTCTCTGTAAATCCCTTCTTCTTTTTCTTATTGCTTTGCTCGTTGAATTGTATGAGAGACTCAAATCAAGAATTGTTGTGCGAGTTCCGTGTGACTCTAAAGTCTATATATAGAGGATGTTTATTTGTGCAATCAAAGTTTCCTTTTTGTAATGTAATTTAATTAAGGAAATTATTGTTTCCTTACTAGTGGAATATTAACGTGATCTCCTTTTTTGTTTTGGTTAGGAAAGGAAATATACTTTAGAATTTAAAACGCTGATGGATTTCAACATAATATGAAGAAGGAAACATGTTATGTTTGAGTGAATTTGGTGGTTAACATATTTTTGACCTTTAATTAGGTGAACAACAAGTTCAAAAATGGTTATTATCAATTGACATAAGGGTACCCAAAAAAATTACATCTAAACATGTTGAAGAAAAAAATTATCTTCTGCACGTGGGGATGCATTTCTCTCCCCTATCATTTTATTTTTATTGTCCATTTCTGGTTTTCTTCTTCTCAATTCTCTTTCTCCTATTTTTTTTTCTCACCACAAATCCACATATTCAAATCAGAAATATCATCTATTTAAATCTATATGACGGTAATTCCGAATTGTATAAACATAGTTGAACCACAATACTATTAATTAACTATTAGATCCATCATAACTTCTTCAACCCAAAGTACATCATTAATCCATTAATTCATTAACAATTGGATTTTTTTTTTAAAAGAGTATTATTCTAGTTTAACCCAATGTGAAAGATAATGTATTTGTTTCACAACATCTATATATGGTTTGATATGATTTGAAATGGTTACCTATATATATGCATTTGGTTGTCTATATATATATATATATCTTTATGTAATTGTATATGGCTATCTACATACATATATAAATGTTTTTTATTCTATATAAACATATATTTATTTATATGGGTATCTATATATCTATCTAGCGTGTTAGTAAAATACATACTTGTTTATTGTTGATTGAAAAATTAACATATTCATATTTTAAATTGAGTCTGAAACAAAGCAATTTATAGATAATCAATATCAGTTTTGTTATTAGTAAAAATAGTATGCTATTGTTGGACCAGATTCCACACCTGGAATCTAGCCCATAAGGGCCCATTACCTTGATCCAAGATTGAAGTCCAGGCCCACCTAAGCCCAGCAAGAAGACCTCGAGCCCACCAAGCGACTCCCTCGTAGGCCAGTTAACCGCCATCCGAGCTATTCCGGTCGACGTAAAGACGAGCTCCAGCTCGATCGAGGACCAGGTCGGCACCGCGACGAAAGACGAAGTCAAAGAAGATCTCCTTCGAATCCGGTCTGGTCCGAGATCACCGGGATTGTTAGCTGCACGTGGCGAGATACGCGGAGGTGGATCGTAGCTGATTCTGGAGCTATAAAAGGAGCTTGACAGCAGTCGGATCAGGGGACAGACACACATCTTCTTCCGATCACTTTAGACCTAATTACTATCATACTTTCCTTGTATTCACCTTTGAGCTTAGTTCTTTCTCTCTTCTGAGAATTCATTGTAACCAAATTCATTCGTTTAATACAATTCCGTTTAGCCAAATCCTTGCTTACGATTCATTCGACTTACATCAAAATCTAGCCCTAAATCTCCCTAAGTTTCTTCCTTACAAAACCTATAAATTTCGAGTGTGATTTTCATAACCCACAGCTATATATTCTAATTTATCAAAATATGTAATTATAACACTGTTAGTCACCTTTTTAGCACAACAAAAAATGCAATAAAGAAGTATACATATTTGTAAAGCTCTAAATCAATAAATAACATAAGGAAAAGTAGAACGAAAAATTCTTTCACTCGGATTTTTATCCAAAAAAAGAGAAACTGCAAAACTATATATTGACATCGAGATCTTGAATGTCATCTATGGGGATTTTGCTGGATTTTTTGGGTTATTAAATTCTACAACTGATTGTATCTTTATATAAAATTGGATCTGAGAGTTAAAAGAAAAAAACGGATCTGAGATTTGAAGCATTACAATTCCTGGAATTAGAAAAATAATTCAAATCCGGTTACTCATAAAATTTTAAGAAGCGAAAATCTGGGGAAAAAAAACAAAAGCTATGAATGAAAAAGAAAACAAAGAGAAGATGTATGAGGAAGAAGAAGAATGAAAGAAAAAAATCGTGAAGAAGAAAGAGAAAAGAGGAAAGAGAAAGGAAGAAAGAGAAAAGCTGCACAATAAATACATCTGGAATGCTTGTATGCGCGTGAGGGCAAGATCGGTAGATATGATGTCAAAATACGGCGTAATATATGACCACAATACTCTCTTATTAGATTCTTAATTACCCATAAAGTAATAGCTACGTGGTGCGATTACTCAACATGTTTTTCCTTTCTTCGAACAACATCATAAAGGTTGTCTTAAAAGAATTGTTGACTTTTAATTCAGAAAAAGGACAAAAGTGAATTAACACCTAAACCCAACCCGACTTAAGAAGATGATAATTGGACAGACGAAAAATCGAAGAAAACAGCAGCTTCCGTGTGGTTTCGAAGAAGTGGGGTCCGTTTTCTCAAATACAATAAAAGTTGCGTGCCATTTTCACCTTGTTAAGTAATTAATTAATTGACTAAGTAACCTAATTAGACAATTCCACATGGTGATCTTTGATTACCCACGGCCCTCCCACTCCATCGCACGTGAATACACCTCTTTCATTCAAAATTTTATTCGAAATAACATAGCCTTATACACGTCGATACACATATAATACACGTTACTAATTACATTATTTAATGCTAATCAAAAGAAACGGAACAGTCGAGCGTTAAATCTCTTTGCGTGATGTAAGAGTCTAACCCGGTTCGGTTTTCCTATCCGGGTATGTTGGTACGTGAAGTAAAAGAACCGAATTAAACTCAAATCTAGTTAAATTCGATTCGGTTTGAATTCAAATTTGAGTTTCAACTTTCAACAAAATGTAGCTTTATTTCGAGAATTTAAAATGACAAAGACATTGAGACTTTCTTTTTTTGTATGGTTCGATATAGACAGATTTTCTTAAACCAACCAAAATTCAGAACCTTATAATGTAGTATTAACCAAGAAGTAATGTTTTCATTAATTATCAAATTTAATGCAGCGAAAGATTAATTACGATGTCCACAAAATTTCCATTTTCCACAAGTCGCAACAGCTCTCTATCTTCTCTCTTTCCGATTTAATCTGAAACGCGAAAACAGTCTGTAAATCAGACGGAGAAACAAAAGCTCCGTTTTTTTTTTTCTCTTTCCCCGGTTTATGGTTCAGCTTCAGCTAATTGAATCCCCATGCCGTCACGAGCAATCTTGGCGCCGGCTCCGGCGCGGCTACCGATAATTTCCTCTTTAGCCCCAGCGCCTGCGCCGTTGGGGCACCACGACAGGACAACGAGAACCTTTCCACCGTTCGCGGCGGCTGGAGTCGCCGCCGGTTTCTCTCTCTTCATAACTTTCTCCGTCTGCTTCTGCAAATTCAGCCGTAAGCGTTCAACACATCCGGCGGGAGACACCGCCACGTCTCCTCGGCGACCGCCGCCACGCGAGTTCTCCTACTCGACTCTCCGCCGCGCCACAGACTCTTTCTCGCCGACTAACCGGCTGGGTCAAGGCGGGTTCGGCGCCGTGTTCCGCGGAAGTATCTCCGGCGGTCAGAATGTAGCCGTTAAGGTGATGGATTCGGGATCTCTCCAAGGAGAAGGTGAGTTTCAGAACGAGCTGTTCTTCGCCGCCAGGCTTGACTCGCCTCACGTGGTCCCGGTCATCGGCTTCTCACACGACCCGAAACGACGGCGTTTGATCCTCGTCTACCAGCTCATGGACAATGGCAACCTCCAGGACGCGCTGCTTCACCGGAGATCCCCTGAGCTCATGGATTGGAATCGGAGGTTTCTGGTTGCGATCAACATCGCCGAAGGGATCGAGCATCTTCACAGCCTGGAACCGCCGGTGATCCACGGCGATATTAAACCGAGCAATGTGCTATTAGATAAGCTCTTCTCCGCCAAAATCGCCGATTTCGGCCTCGCGAGGCTGAAACCGGATCACGTGGAGATTGCTGTAGCAGACGGCGGCGGAGAGAAGGCGGAGGATTACGGATCTGTAGTGGAAGAAGTGGAGAGTGTGGTGACTACCGCGACTGGGTGTGAAGAATTCAACTTTGGATTGGTGGATCAGTCGCCGGAAAGCATCGCTAGGGTTCCTGGTTCGGTGACTGCTTCGCCGGAGACGGGAATTGCTCCTGTGGCATCGCCGGAGACGACGGTTGTTTCCGTCTCTCCGGAGATGGGGGAGAAAACAGAGAGCGAGAAGGACGGTGGTGGTGGTAACGTGGTGACGAGGAAAGGGAAAGAGGTTGAGAGCAAAGATTGGTGGTGGAAGCAGGAGAGCAATGGTGGTGGTGATAGAGGGAAAGTGAAGGATTACGTCATGCAATGGATTGGCTCTGAGGTGAAGAAGGAGAGACCGAGGAACATGGATTGGATCGAGGCTTCTTCGTCTTCGTCGAGTAAGAAGCTTGAGAAGAAGAGTAGTAAGAGACTAGAGTGGTGGCTTTCGCTAGAGGAAGAGGACGAGAAGAAGAAGAAGAAGAACAAGAAGAAGCGGAGGATGGTTGGAGAGTGGTGGAAAGATGAGTATCGCAGAGAACTCGCTAAAAAGAAGAAGAAGAAGAAGAAGAAGAAGACGTTGGAGTCTGAGTTTTGTAGTGACGATGGGAGTAGTAGTGTGAGTCAATGGCGGCGTGGTAGTAGCATAGATTGGTGGTTAGATGGGTTAAGAGCAAGAGGCAATAGTCATGACTCGGTGAGCGGCGAGATTGCGAAGAGCTGTGGGGTCAGTAGCACGCCGAGTATGAGAGGAACGGTGTGCTATGCAGCGCCTGAGTATTGTAACGTGGAGAACAATGTGTCTGAGAAGTGTGATGTGTATAGCTACGGTGTTTTGTTGTTGGTGCTGATCTCCGGGAGGCGGCCGTTGGAGATGACGGGGTCTGCGAGCGAGATTCAAAGGGCTAATCTTATGTCTTGGGCGAGGAAGCTGGCGAGAAGAGGGAGGCTTGGTGATCTTGTGGACCAGAAGTTGCAGAATTTGGACTCGGAGCAGGCGGTGTTGTGTATAAAGGTGGCGTTGCAGTGTCTGCAGAGATTGCCTGTTTCACGACCGTCGATGAAAGATGTTTTGGGAATGCTTAGAGGAGAGGTGAGTCTGCCGGAGCTGCCTAATGAGTTCTCGCCGTCGCCGCCGTTGAAGACGATGAGGAAGCAGCGCCGTTGATAAAAAAAAAGTTAGTGGTAGTGTTGTTAGTGTTAGGCACTTTGACTTATTTTCACCAGAGTATTGTCGATCCATTGTTCTGCCATGTTAGTAGTCTGTTTTTCTCTTCACATGCATTGACAGAGATCGAGTATTGGTTCATAAATCTAATTTGTTTTTCACTTATCCAGTACTGGTTCATAGTAGTAATGTTGGAGCATTGTATTTTTGCTTGCCTTTTCAACGAGAAATTTTGTGTTTATCCATCGTAAAGGTTGGTCGATTAACTTTATTGCACAATGTAGCTCGAAGGATAGTCTAAAGTTCTGGAAGGTAATAAAATTAAAGAAAGTCAATAACTGATGATCTGGTTGAAGAAGGTTTTTCATCATAAAAGTTGAGAGACAAAATAGTTTAATGGTTGTTTTGTGCTAGTATCATCGATGTGTCATCATTCGGATTCAGACATGCCGTCATACTTATTACTGACAAAAAGAAAAGCTAGAAAAGTTGGCTCTTCCAAAATGATTAAATTTAGAATCCTCTCCCAGTCCCACCACAATTTTAGTTATGGTCGGCCAATAAATGCCTGAAATAGCAACAACACTCGAAATCCCTCTCATTTGGAATCTCTTTCATATTTCTGCTTTATGTGTTTTCATAATTTGCTAGCTAGCAATCGCTCTCAATCTCTTTCCCCTTCCTTGTTACCACCATCCTTCTCGCTCTCCGTTTTCTCCCCCATTTCCTGAGCAAATGAATCGTAGTTCGGGTTTAGGCCCGATTAATTGTTTAACAAAACACTTAGGTTATTATCATTCGAGTTCACCAACTATTCAGTTTGAAAATCCTACGGGCCCAAAATAGTTCTAAGAATTCAGACCTCTTCCAGTTGTGTAAATTTTGGTCTCATTATAAATTGGGTTGTACATGTTTAAACCATCAAGCTTTCTTGATTTTTTCATGTTTATTTCATCCATTTCGCACTTTACCAATTTTAGTTAATCTAGTTGGGTCTATTCATAATTTGGGCCAGCTTGACTGATTAGTACATATTGGGCATATGTCATTTAGATCTTGTTGATTAAAATTACTATCATTTCGAAGTTGACTAATTTAAAAATTTGCATAGATAAATAGTTAAATACAGTACTATTAGATATTTATCTTAAAGTACTTTTAAGTTTCTAATAAGACAGCAAAATATTACAAAAAAAATAGACGACACTAAAAGTAATTTGATTATTCAGCATAATAACGTTCAATAACATCAAATGTCAAAATACTTACCACTCGACTCGAGAGTAACTAAACAATTACACCAGAGAGAACAACTATCTATCCTTTTTATTGAGCATCGGCAAGAAACAAAAAAAAACACAGTACATTCAACAGAAAAACAATTCTATAAAATCAAATAAAATCGGACCTTTTCACAATTCTATAAAATCAAAGAAAATCAAATTACTTGAAAGTTTAAAGTGATATTCAAATAATTTTGGGGATACCGTCCTCAAGCATATGGCATCAGACCTGGAGCGTACGTATAATATGAATATCGTACTATGTCTATATGATAGTACAATGTAGATCGTAAAATAAAAGAAAGAAATGGAAAATGATAAAAAGAGTAAAAGTAGGCAATGGAATGTGGACCGGGAACATATTGGCAATTGATTAAAGACAGAAGAAGTTAATGATGAGGCAGAAAGACGTCATTGCTTACCCTAATAAACCTCTTTTTCATCTTTTTTTCCAATACTTCTTTCTACCAATAGCGCATCTTTTTCTTTATTTTAAAACTATTATTTCCTCGAGGCTTATACAAAAAAAAAATACACTTTCTTTATTTTACTGTCTTTGTTCCGACTCCGATATTTCTTTTTTCAACTTTACAACAAATCCCTGACTGATTGATACTCAGACGAAATTCCAGAGCATAAAATCAGACAAGATCTCAGATCCTGCTGTCTCATCATTATAAGAAGATTCTTTGTACTTACAGAAAAAAATAAAAGCTAGTTTTAGATGAATTATTTCCAGGAGAAAAGAAGGAGGTGTAATAAGAAGCTGAGACTAAGTAGTGAGAACAACATGGATCAGAAGATAGTACACAGAGAAGTTGAGAAACAAAGGAGACAAGAAATGGCTACTCTTTACGCGTCTCTTCGCTCTCTTCTCCCTCTTGAGTTCATCAAGGTCTGTCTCTTCATAAACCCTAACTAATCTTGCTTTTTATTCTTCACACTCCTCAGATCTACATGATAGAATCTTTTTACAAGTATGCTTTTTCTCTTTGTTTGAGCTGTCGTTTGTCAAAAATAGTTTCTAGATCTGTGACTAACACTCCAGAAAGCTACAATGAACCTGTCTAATATTATTTCTTTATGGGGATGGTTTATGATTTTGGTTATGTAGGGGAAGCGTTCGACGTCAGATCAGTTGAACGAGGCGGTTAATTACATAGAGTATCTGCAGAGGAACATCAAGCACATGACTTCCAAGAGAGATGACCTCATGAGATTGTCTGGGAGAAGCTTTGGCAGTAGTAATGGAGAAGGTAGGAATGAGAATCCGAATCATGTTGTGATTCGTCCGTGTTTGGTCGGCGTAGAAATAGTGTTTAGCATTCCCCAAACGCCATTGTCAAGCGTTTTGCAAGTGCTTCGTGAATACGGTCTGTGTGTTCTTGGTTGCATCTCCTCCAATGTGAATGATAGACTCATTCACACTGTACAGGCTGAGGTACAATATCTCGTGCTTACTAAATTTATAATTTACGGTTCTCATGTATATATATCAACATTCTATTGCAGACTTCTCATGAGATATTGTTAGGAATCCGACATGTAGTATAAGTTGGGACGACATAATCTAACTGATAAAAAAACATATCCTACTTATGTACTCATCTGGTTAAACGGCCTTTATCATTTTATTTTGATTCGATCCATGGAATATGAATCATATATCTTTTTCATATCATCAGATCAAAGTGATGTATATGTTTTGAGTTACTATGTGAAGTTGATTTGCTTTAACGTTGCAGGTCAACGATCTGGCTTTAATTGACTTTGCAGACCTCAAGGATACACTTAGCCTAATGAAGTAAACGTTTTCTTTGTAGATTTCTCTTAACCTTTTTAAGCAAAAATGATGTATATAGAGAGTTTCCTAGCACTTGTATTGTGGATTCGTATGTTATTCAGATTTTGAAAAGAAATAAAGTGTTTCTCTATTTTTAAAGAAATTATGATAAAACGATAGTATCTTGTTGAGTTATGATACAAGCGAATCATGGACTTTTAATAAGTACGCCTATAAATTATGTCATTCCACTTAACACGGAATTACAGAATAAATCTTCAGCCACCACCAAATAATTTAACATACTGCATGTCAAACGGGTTATATGAAATGGGTTGTGTTGACATTTATATATGACCATACACAAAATTTTGTAAACCATTGTGTTGGCCATTAGCTTCAGTTATATGACCCAACATATACAGATAGATCTTTAACAAAAAAAACATATACAGATAGATCTTTCTGTATCCACTAAATTATCACTGTTCTCGAAAATTGTCTTGGCCATAAGCATCAATTACATGGTCCAGCTAATTAATACAAATGGATCATTATCTATCCATTACTTTATCTTTATCACTCTTTCTTGATATATTGGTTACTTAAGTCTTACAATCATCTTGTTGGCACGTGAAGGTATCTTATCTACCAACTCATAACTTTCTCTGGCATCCCTATCTCTTGTAATTAAAGTTCAAACCACTTCATCTCGACGTGTGGAGCCTCTCTTCCAGATATGGTGAGAGCATCATACTTTTGGTTAATTAAATTCATGTTCGTTTTTTACTAGATTATGGGTTTTCATTAAATCTTCAATATAAAGGGTGAAATCATGTGAGTTGTGAGTTTGATATCATAAAAAAAAGGGTGAAATCATTGAAATATTTTCAATGTAGAATATTCTAACATGTCCCTTTCAAATTAATGACTCGAATTTGACATTCTTTTAGATCGTTCATACATGTTTAGACTTGCTAGATTCTGATACTATATTAGATTATAGAACCGCTTCACTAAAATTCTAGTACAATAATTTGAAATTTAAGTCGAGGGATACGATCTTTGAAGCTAAGAGAAACTAAATAAAGCCAAACAAAACAACCTGATTATAAAGAATCAACATAACTATATACTGTACTTTTATGTTATTATTGTTAGAAAAAGAAGTTGAAAATGTAAGGGGAAAAAAAAAAGCTAATGATAATTAAAGGCTATCGAGAAAGTCGACACAGAAAGCAAAACATTATGCAGCTGGTCTCTGCCGCTTGATTGAAACCGGCTACATTTATGATCGAATTAAAATCATTCTCTAAAATTTTGACTTTCTTTCAGACTTTTGGTAAACAATTTCAGCTAAATGAATAATTAAATTTACCAAAATACTATGAACACCATAATTTAATTCGTTTAAAAGGCCAAATGAGCAATAATTATGTCGTTACTGTAGAAATTGCGGCTGTTGTTTGCAACCGTCCGATATAAAAAGTCCAAAGAGATGCCTTTTGTTTATTTTTGTCTTAGCTACTACACAGCCATTTGTGCGTGATCGGGAATAAACTTTGCATAATCCATTTTTTCTGACAACTATTGATTTGATGTCTGAAAACATAAAACGTGCTTATAGTTTCTAATTTATTTATTTTTGATAAAAATTTATAGTTTTATAAGACCGGAACTGGTGCATCAGAATCAGGTACTCCCACATTACACCACCAATCGACCACCTATGACACGTCTTAAAATGTTCAAATGGTATTTTACATTTACAAAAGAGACTCGTCCTAGAAAGGTTGTAGATAGACTAAATGACGAATAAAACTAATAAGCCAGTCTATATATTGACTGACAGTCAAATGTGGGCAATTTCCCTTTTAATTGCAACAAGATGACTGTTTAAGCGAACATTTATTGTTTTGTTTCTAAATGCAATGATAGAAAATTAGAATTCCAGAGAGCTAGTCTAGTAGCTTCCTTAAACGTTCACTTAGATTTTAGTGGAAGAATCCTTAAAATTATGTGAACTAAACATAAACGTGAAACATGTATTCTGAATAAAAGCTAGTCTGGCGGCTTTCGGATTTTTCTGGTATGATATTTTGTTGAATAAATTTCACTATACATTTGTTGTGCGCTTTTCAATTAGTCTACTGCGTTTAGAATGGTTTCTCAATGTTTTTATTTTTCTATATTTAAAACAAAATAGTTGACATGGACTTGAATACCTCTGGAATGAATAAATATAGCATCTTGTAATACATAGAAACGTAATTTAATTTAGCTCGAAAATATTTGATGCGAACGATATATTAACGTTTTTTCTCTTTTAGAAAAAAAAAAAAAACAGTTGAGCTAATTTTTGGAAACTTGATTCAGATATAGAAAGGTCTAGGCTTACTAGTCTGCAATCAAATTGTGTCAACTGGCATAAATCACAAATAAATGAAAGTAATCTATATTCCAACTGACTACTGGTAAAATAATTTTAATAGATTAAAACACATTTATCCGGAAACATGGAGAGAGACAATAAACGTATTGTGTGCATACCACTACATCCACAAAGAAAAAGAAAAAAGGTCAAACATCAAAAAACAAAGCTCCAAAATTCAAATAAAACTAAATATAGTGGACTATACATAAAAGTTAAAAGGGATTCGTGACAGAGAAGGAGGATTTGCTTTGCCTTGAAAGGATAACCTTTACAAATGGCTTCTTTTTTTAAAAAATAGAGAAAACAATATGGAAGGATATCATCGTATTCAAAGCAAACTATATTGTATAAGATTAGTATCTTCTTAAGAAGAATAAAATATGTAGGACATTGTATATCACTATATCTGATACGCAATGGATATGGGGCGTTTTAATAATATTGTGAATAAGAGTAGTTGCAGTGTGAGCAGGTGCACATCAAAAGTAGGGAGCCCCACATGTGACCATCATAGGATCAATGGCTGAGATTTGATATTAATCTTTCAATGTATCCGAATCTTAGGACACGGTTGGGCTTCCACGTCCACAGATGTCAAATAAATGTATCATACCAGTCGTCGAAATCATAAATTCTTTAGGGAAAATTTGGAGGGAGACACCTTTCTTTTTCTTGCAACAGTTTATGTTTAATCACATTTTTATACTATTATATATTTTTGTCGGTTTGACAATTATTTGTACAGTATATCTCTCTTTACCTCTTGTATTTTCATATTTTGTTCCCAAAAAACATAAGACTCTGTAAATATACTGTAGGTGAATGGTATGGTAATATGGTAGAGTTACGGTCTAGACTTTTTTCGCGCTGTATACATGTTAGAACTATTATTAATCTTTTCCTTTTTCTATTTGTATACAGTATCTTTCTTTACCTTTTTGTATTCTAATCCTAAAAAACATAAAATTTGTACATATGCTGTAATGAAGTCTTTCTAAATGGGCAGCAGACGGCCTAAACTTGTGTTAATAACGTATGATTATAAAAAAAAAATAACATATTCTGTTAAAGCATGTATAAAATAGTATATTATTATTTTTTTTTAAATCTGTGCTGCATATTCTGTTAAAGCATGTATAAAATAGTATATTATTATTTTTTTTAAATCTGTGCTACAAGTCACATAATTTATTTAAAAAATTTCTCATCTATTGATAGTTCTAACAATCGATTTTAAAAAAAAAAAAAATCATGAAACAAAATTTCAGAAAAAGAGTAATTCCGGTGAACAAAATTTATAATTCCTCAGCTTGCATTATTTGGTCCTCTTAATTTATACTCCCTCCGTTTTTTAAAGATAAATTTTCTAGTTTTTCACACAGATTAAGAAAAAGTTGATTTTCAATCATTAGTGCATAGATTTCTGCAATAAAACAACTTTTTATAATTTTAAACCAATAAAAATCCAACAAATATAATCATTGTATCTTGAAAACTGAAAAAGTGCATCAAAAAGGTAAAAATTTTATCTTTGTGAAACAACACATAATGACTAGAAAATTCATTAAAAAAAAACGGAGGGAGTATTTGTTTAATATATAAAGAACGGTCTATCCCCATCTCACCTAAGGAGATGGAGAGAACCATTTTGTTTCTTCAAGGCACCATTCTTCAATTACAAAAAAAAAAAAAAACTAACGAGGAAACAATAAAAGAAATTAAATTTTAAGACATAACCACAAAATCCTAGGGAGATCTGGCATTGCTAAAGCTCAAAGTGTCAAACTATGGATCCTTATCAGAATCCCAATCCTAAAGCGTACCAGAGACAGAGACCGTTTGTCTCAGCCGGCGATGGCGGCAGCAGCGGCGGCTCCGGTATGGCCCATGAAAAAGACGACAATAAGAAGAAGAAGAAGCTACTCCACCGCGACATCGAACGCCAAAGAAGACAAGAAATGGCTACACTCTTCGCTTCTCTTCGTACTAACCTACCTCTCGAATACATCAAGGTTCATATTCTTTACTCACTTTTTTCTTTTCTTATATCAATTTTTAGAACGAGAAACCAAGATTTGGTGGGATTTTGCTTCTAGGGTTATGAATATGTCTTTTATTTATTTATTTGAACTTCGTTTTTAGGGAAAGAGAGCTGTTTCGGATCATGTAAACGGAGCGGTGAATTTCATAAAGGATACGGAAACACGGATTAAAGAACTCAGTGCAAGAAGAGACGAGCTCCATAAAGAAACGGGTCAGAATTATAAATCGAATCCGGATCCAGCAAAAACTGGAGCCGGCAAATCGGACCCAGCGAGTTTGATGGTGCAACCATGCGTGAGCGGTTTCGAAGTGGTGGTGAGCAGCAACTCGTCAGGTCCCCAAGCTTTACCACTCTCAAGAGTGCTCGAGGCACTTCAAGAGCAAGGTCTTGAAGTCGTCAGCTCTCTAACCACAAGAGTCAATGAGAGGCTAATGCACACAATTCAAGTCGAGGTATGGTTACAACATGCCATGTCAGTTGTAATTAATCTAGGGTTTTCATTTATATCTAACTATATTCAATTATTACAGGTTAACAGTTTCGGATGCTTGGACATAGCTTGGTTGCAGCAGAAGCTAGTTGAAAAGTTGATACTTTCGATGGGGTACCAATCAGAAGCATAACATGTGTCCTATAGACTTTCTTCATAGTATGACCTCTTTTCCCTTGGCTCTTTGTTTCGTTATATGTAGGTTTTTAACTTAAGCTATATATATAAGCTCATTTCAAATATATTTTCTTTTCTAGACATGGTAGTAAAGCTTGCTAGTGGATATTATCAAAGTATTAATTTTTGCAGATATCATATGTTCGTTACTCCAGTTATTTGTTTACTTGTTCCCAAATATATATGTAGAGAGATTTTCACTTGCTTCTAGTTCATGAATGGAACATAATCATATATGCAATGTTTGGTATGGATTTTGTTCAAGCATTTGACAACAGAATAACAATATATAGTTGATGTTAACTTATATCATGGCATGCTAAACGCAGAAATATTCAAGGCTTGCTTGAAATTTCATCTTGGGAGCGAGCCTTAAAGCACCAACGACCCATAGGTTTAAAGTTACGTTCGTGGATGGAGGCGTAGCTTCGGTGTTATTTTTGAAAAGGATTTTATGGCTAGAGATCGTAAGTTCACCATCATTCATCGCCCACACGGTAGATTAACACCGAGGGTGTGATGTTTCCAAATTTCAGCTATCATGTTTTTCCTTCATTATAACATTTTTTTATCATTCCATTGTTGTGATTTCTTGCGGGTAATTTTTACTTTTAGTATGGAAATAATGAAGGTTTTATATATCCCTGGAAAAACTGAAGGCTTTATATATCCCTGGAAATAATGAAGGTTTTAAATGTATAAGCCATCTTTCTCTTACATTACAAATACATGTTTTGAATCGTTAAGAGCTATTGGAAGGAAAATCCATTTTTTTGGCTCTGTTGCTGATCAGAATCTGCAAGGTTGTTTCCAAATCTAGCTTTCTGTTCGCGTTCACCTTGGTTATATTCGATAGCTTATGTGAATTTTGAATGCATAAGACTTCGAAGACTGAGGAGCACTATATCTACGCCATACTGTAGCCACGAGAAAAACAATCGTTTGAAAAATTAGAAAGTGTTTAATAAGATATCCAAATGTTCCAGTTAAAACCATTGCGTCTAAGTGTATGAAAGTTGATAACCCTAACATACACATATGTACAAATTACATCACACGATCTTTCGAGATAACAAACTTCTATATGTACGCAAGTTTCAGGACTCAAATCTCAGGATACGTGAAAATCCGAAAGCTCAAGGCCCTCAAATCATGAAATGACAATGTATATGGCATAACAAATATACATCGAAAACCAGATGACCTCTCATCAAACATATATATGTTCCATATCTCCAGACTCCAGTAAAATTCGGTAAGTAGTTTCAACATACTAAACGTGTAAAGGAAACTAATGTTGCATGAAATTGCATGAAATGCAAGTAAATGATGGGAGATTAATCCACCATAATATTTTCCTCAATTACTAAATACATATACAAGTTTGATATTAGCAAATAATCTGTTAAATGCTTATGAAATCACGTTGATTGTTCGGAAAAAGAAAGTATCGCAAAAGCCTATAATTAATTCAATGTATAGAGCCATAGAGCCACCTTTATTTATTTTCTAATTTTGCATTAATATCTGTTATTCAAATTTAAAGTAGTACTATTTTAAAATCAAGAAACTGTAGAAGATTCCTTCATAAAAAAAAAAAGAAACAACTACAAAATCTTCCTTTCTTTTGTAATTTACGATAGGACAGCGTATCATACATATCCCCCAAATTCTTGGTTTCTTTTGCCCCCTCTTTTCTTACGTACCTATAACTATAAGCACATATACAGAACAGAATCACATATTATTGAACACTAACTCATTTTAGATAATATCCACTTTAAATAATAAATCTCACGAACTTGAGCGAAGTTGACACTAGTTCAAATGTTTAAGCACTTACTTAAGAGATACGAATGATGAGTGGTTGAGATCTCCCAAATATTCGTTTTGATATCTTCAGTTTAAATCATTATATTGGCAATTAGATTAATTATTAACTTTAAGATGCCATCCAAAAATAATGATTATCAAATCGGATTGTGTTCCTATAAAGATAGATAGTCCTAGAGGTTTAATTAATTTAATTATTTTTTATGATATACTAAGAATATATAATTTTAAAACCCATATTATTTCCAACCAGTACGTAGATGATGACGATGGTAGAAAATAAAACATTGATTCCATCTTGCATCACTTCAAAATGAAATTACGTGAGTCGAGGAGTTTTGATGGCATTATAATATATTGATGTTGTACAGTTTTTCACATTGCATAAACAGAATAATAATAATAAGAAACCATTTAGAAGGGATTTAAGTAATTTGATCTATAGTAAAATTTAGTAGACGTATCTAATGGTGTGCTACAATAAGCTAACAAGAGCAAGACATGAGACATCCTAGCTAATATATAAAATCTAGCTTAATCACTTATGTCATTTATTTGTGTGTGTCCGTGTGGGTTTGATTAAGCCCCATATATAATTGTATGATAATGATTTGTAGCCAAACATATCTTCATGCACACGATCATGTACTCCTCTGTCAGTATCATACACTTCTCCGTAAGTTGGTATCATGTCGGATAGATATCATTTAATGACGATCTTACCTACCCAATCAATAATTTTTCGTTGAACTCGTCATATATGTGATTCTAAAAGGTTCTACAAAACAAGTACACATGCGAAAACATACATACAGCAGTATAGGTATATGGCACTCCTTAACCTTTTTCTATAGATGAGGTTTAAGATTTAAAATGGGCGGATGGGCTATTTCCTTATCAAATAAGTGGACTCACCCATTACTAGAAGCCCATATATTAAAAACGTCGCCTCTTAAAAGGGTTGCGTATGAGTATGACGTATGTAATGGATCGAACGAGTATGTACAGTAACCAACTAAAAATTTGAAGGCTGAAAATTACTAGTTAGCCACATAATTTTAGTGTACTTTTTAGAGTGTTTTTGTTGGAATCATTTTATATCGAGCCTGGTCACAGAATTTTCATGGCTATCCGTAGTCAGTGGCCCCGATATTACACGAGTGTCATATAAATTTTTGTTTTTGACTAACCCAAATGTACCAAGTTCTTGCGTAAAAACAATTTTCTCATTAGCTTTACTGTAGCTTACACTTTACCTTATCTATAAGAAGGTTTAGTCATGATCTAACAAACTACTTGTTAATGCTAACTAATCCTAACCAACTATTAACATACCCAAATATATTAAAAGATACATAATATTCGAAACAATGAAATTCATGTCATGAGAATCCAATCAGGATCATGCGTCCACTTCAATCGAACAATTTTTTTTATATACAAAATCTTGTTTTGTTCCTCTTAAAAGAACGGGGTGAGCTGGAGAAGAAGACAAAGCAGAGGAAAGCTAATCCATTAAGTGAATAGATAGACCAACATGGATCCGTCCTCCTTTGTGAATCATTGAAATGGTGTTGTCTTTTTTCTTCTTTTCCGTTTCTTATTTTATTTTGTTTACTTTAATTTTGCCTTTATTTTTGTTCTTCTCAATTTCTGTTATGCAGAAACTTCCACTGAATAGCGTCACGTTCTCTTTAATTCTTAGAGTTTATCCATATTAAGCTAACATGATAATGTAAAATGTACATAACAAAACAATTGCTTTATGTTTCTTTTCAAATAACCTAAACATGCAGATCATGTTGGGTAACACTCGTACGTGCCATCTACGTATGTCAACTTGGGACCAAACTAAACCCGAAATCCAGTCTAGCTCGACTCTGAAAACTCTCCAAAAACTTTTTATATGGTGATCAGGTGGTGAAAAAATTGAAATCAATTTCGATATTCTTGTATAGTGTTTATTCCTTAGAGATCTAACTACAAAAAACAAGCTTATCTATATTCTTCTGGAGTTCTAGAGTTCTTTTTTTGTTTCGGTTGGACTATTAATTGAATATATGAAAGTAAATAAATGCGATTACTTTGAACTAGAAAACGCAAAGCCAACTATCACTTGCTGTGAGAAAGAAAGCATCCTTGGGTAGGCTATGTGACCCATGTGTTTTGTTTCTTCTGATGAAACTCAAGATGATGCACGATGCACATAGTTTCTCTCTTTAACCTTAATTTGTACTCACTTGTCCTAGACATCTGATGTGTTCCCTGTTATTTTTTTTTCTATTAATTTTCCTTCACGCTTCCCCGAACATGCCATTTTGGTGTCGTTATAATTAATCTCTGTGCATTGATCTTTATATCTTCTTGATTTTTTTTTTTTTTAATTTTTTGCTAAAATTCTTCTTGATTTCTTAAATAGTTGTATGTAGTCAATCAGTATGAGGATCGATTTTAGAAATGAAATGCTAAGGGTGTTATTGATCTCTTACCATATACATACATGAAATATAAAGAACATTAACTAACAAGACAAAACATGGATGTTCTTTTATTTATTACAAGGGTTTGTTGGTGATTAGCCAATCTGAAAAGGCTTGGAGAGTGTTCATGTCTGCTCTATAGTGTTTCTGAGTGAACTCAAGTAACATAGACCAGGTGAAGTCAGGGTATCTCCTTGGTGTGATGCTGTCCAAAAGCTCACTTGGTGGCTTCACTACTCTGTCTTTCTTGGGACACAAGAAAAATGCAAGTGACTTCCTCTCGCTTTCTCTGTTCACCACCGCCCTGTGCAAGCAGCTCTTGTATCTGTTGTTCGATAGAGCCTACAAACCAAAAAAAGAAAGATTAAGCCCGGTTTAGTATATGCCAATGGCTGTCAATGTAGATCTAAACCAAGATGTGAGGTTTTAGTTTTACCATGAAAGTATCACCGATATTGACCACAAAGGCCTTGGGATTTGGAGGAATGGAGCGCCACTGATTTTCGACAAAGACTTGAAGGCCATTAACATGGTCTTGGTGAAGGATGGTAAGAGAAGTTGGATCACAATGAGGTCCTGTTCCTAATGTGAGATCTGGCTTCTGACATGGAGGGTAGTAATTGAGTCTCATGATCGAATCGTTCTCTTCGAAAAACTCTCTGAAGTAGTCTCGGTTTACGCCTAGACTTAGCCCCAGAAGCTCCATGATCTTCAGTGACAAAGAACTCATTGCCTCACAGTACTCTTGATACACCTTCCTGCAACCACAAAGACCAATAATGACATAAGTCTTCTAGTGTTATAGTACAATGTTCGGTAGAGAAGAAACCGGTTATTGCTCTGTTTTTAACTTTCTTTTAAAAGACAAAAAGAAAACAGAGGAAAGGACAAAAGACATGTTAAAGATTTGATTTTTTTTCTTTTTCTCTCTCTCTCTCATTTAGTTTATTGCTCTGTTTTAACGTTTACCCAAATGGCTCAAACTCATGTCCCAAGGCATCGCAGAAGTAATCTTGAACGGTGTTTGAGCGGTTCTTGTCGTCGCAAAACCGGAAAGAAAGGGTCTCCTTCCATGGAAGCTTGGTGGAGAAGCGGCCGGTGAAACTGCTTGCGTAGCCACAACTCTCGCCGGATTTTCTCAGAATCCTCTGTTTCTCGGAGAGTGGCATGTCGAAGAAGCGGGACATGTAGGCATGAGCGTCTGATATAAGCTCCTCGCTGATGCCGTGATTGACCACGAGGAAGAAGCCGTGCTTGGTACAGGCCTCGGAGATGAGTCTTGTAGCTTCTAAAGTGGAGGAGGAGGAGGAGGAGAAGGGAGAAGAAGAAAAAGAAGATGAGTGGCTATGGGAGAGAAATTTTTGGAGGTCGATGAGGGGAACATCAAGCTCGGGAGCGTCGATGGAAGGTTTCTCGTCGTCTGGCCAAATGAATTGGCTTGGAATGTTGTGTTGGAGGTTAAGCACTGAAGGATTGAAGATTAATGGTGTATGGATAGTTCCAAGGTCTAGTTTTGGTCTGTCTTCTTCCTCTGGAGATGTTGTTACGCAACTTACGGCCATTTCTTGAGATTTCTTGTTCTTGTTCTTGTTGTGATTTTGGTGATGAAGAATGAGTGAGTGAGTGAGTATTGCTGAGAGATACGAGAACGAATGGTCCTTTCAGGCTTTATATAAGCAAGCAATTAAGTCGTACAGTGTTGTCCACTGCTTGAGTTCTTGTTTTATGATACATAATTTCTTTTTTGGACCGAAAGATTTTTGCCAGAGATGTGATATTCCAAAATAGAGTTATCAACTATTTAAAGCTCGACTTGTTAAACGTAGTAACTGCATCGTGCGGATGTAGATGCATAAAATCAAAACATCAAATCTAGTGGAATAGAAGTAAATTTTATTAAATTTATTTAAACGTATGTATTATGCACATGTATGAGGCAATAAAATTATCTAGCTAGTAATAAACTAACTCTCTTGTTTAACAATACTAACAATTTAACAGAAAACCAAAAAAAAAAAAAAAAAAAAAACATTAAAGTTACGTATTTTTCAGACCCCTAGTGTTACAGTTTAGCCAAATAGGACGAAATCGGGGGTTCGGACAAATACAAGATTGTCTAATCTGTTCATCGGGAATTGGAGTAATTAAAAAAAAATAATGTGGATCCTTTAGGTGTCTGTTCTTATTGTTGGCAGGACACGAGAGGTTCCCAAGGTTCTTTGGCTGTATACGAGAAGTGTTGGCTTCCACAGGATTACAATAAATCTATTAATTATGCTCTATGTTTTGGACGTGTATTCATTTAATTACTGTTTATAATTATTTAAGAGAATAAAAAAATCAATTACATGCAGGATGATGATGTGGAGAAGAGAGAAACGTTAATTTCATCGGTTTGGAATCGATTCTAAATTTTAAAGAGCCATGACAATTAGTTTTAAAAAAGGATAGCAATGACAAGTTTTGTATAAAAAAAACACAAGGTCGAATCAATTGAATTCTTATAATAAACCAATTGAAAATGTACTATAATCTTTCTTTTTTTTTCTTACGGTTGCTGGCCAATCAAATCATAATTGACATGTATACTCAAAACTGTTATAGTGATGTAGTGCAAAATCTATTCGCTATATGTAACACTAGTTACATCACTTTGCCTCTCTTTATGTGGTGGAATAGCTGATATATATTAATAGGAAAAACAATGGGTAAAATAAATAAGAAAAAGAAGGATCAAAGATAAGAAAGTTTCAGAGGAAAATAAATAACTAATTCATATGTATTCTATTTGGGTGTCTCAAGGGGTTTACTTTCAAACCAGTCAAAGCTTTTCATTAAAGCTAGTCTTCTTTTAAAACAATTGGGAATCATGCTTAAGACATGACTATCTCTCTGTCAATGCTCACAATCTTTTCTATAATTATCACAGGGGACAAGATTTTGTAACCTAATGACGTCGACTTAAAGACAAAGTGCGGATATAGACAAAGAGATCAGCAAAAAATAGGTTAAGGTAAATAAGCACTCATTTCCCTTTTTAGCTTCCTACAAATAAGTAACTCCTTCTTTACAACTCCAAGAAAACTAGTTCAACTCTGAGTTTGGATTACCATAGGTAAGCAAATTAAAGGAGCCCGTTAATGGGGTTTTCAAGAGAAAGAGACCAATCAATTAGAGAGGAGACACGAGCATGGTCGGCACAAGGTGCAAATGCGTGCTAGGGTCCATTCCCATGCATGTTGTTGATAAGAGCCTAATCTTTGAGTTTTTTTTTTTTACCATTAACAAACTGAAATAAGGCTTAATATCTCTTAGTCCCAAATGTTTGTAGAGCCTCTAATACCCTTGAGCCAACCTAGGGGACAACGAAGTACTAACAACTGAGTAGGGGCTGCTATAAAGAAGGTGGGGAAGACCAAATGTGTGTGTTTCTTTTTCTTTTTTAATGTGCTTAAGTTTTATCTCTTTCTTAATTACTACAAGAAAGAGAGGGAAAGATGAGTAGAATATATAGAAGGACCCAACAATGTTGAACCTATAAAGGACAACCATTGGACATATGTTTTTGTCGCAAATAGTAGTTCCAATTTAAATCCTCTTATTGATCCACTATAACCAGTTCATGCTTTTTATTTCCTGTCTCTGACATTATTAGGTAGAGGAGGAAAGAGATTTTGATCTCTTACCTAATAACACTAGAAACTGGGGAGCATAGATTATCTCAAATAGATCTGTTTTTGTTTTTCTCTTGATTTTCTTAGACAGTGACATTACTCCATCCCCAATTAATGACGCTGAAATCATGGTCTCAGTGTTAATTCAGATTGGCAATTTATGGAGTTTGTGGCATCAAAGATATTTTAAATATATAAAAAGACAAAACTAAAGCGTCAGAAAAAGTCTTTTGTTACCACCACGAATCATGTAGTATTTGCCACAAAAGCTCAGGCAGACTCATTTATACCAACCAGTCTCCTACTTACCTCTCTATTTCTGCACCTCTCAGCTGAAGAGGGTAATAACTGTTTTTATCAACAAAAAAAGAGGGTAGTATTTTAATATGAAGACCCGTGCAAAGACGTTTTTCTTGCCAAATTAAACAATTTACTGTAGCGACAAAATGGAAATACATTGAATGTGTAAGTCGATCCATCATAAGCTTGAGCAAGCATAACCATCTTTAACCAGCGGAACACAACAAATTAAAAAAAAAATTATAACGTAAATAGTATACTTAATGACGATAAGATGCTAAAGTTTCAACAGATTTAAAAACAGAGGAGCAACACATGTGCAGTTCCTCAACTCAATCATGCAACCTTTAAACTGTTACATGATGAAAATAAAGGAAAAGAATAAATAAATTCTTTTTATTTACAAAGACGAATGTATACAATCAAGGGTTACAAAGTGCAAAACATTTTCGTAGTGCATTGTGGTTTAATAGAGGACCAAGGAATTTTAAGTCTCTCATCATATGATTTCCACTTACACCATAAGGTGTGTGTGTGTGTGTTTGACGAATATCTGATTTGATTTATGTGACAACATTAGGTCATACGATATCATGTGACTAAAGCTGTACAGAAAGTTAGGATGTGATTTACGGGAAAATTGCAAAAGTTTAACAAACCTTGCACATATATGAATATAGTATCACACCTAAACGAAATTGACAAAATTTGAAATGTGAAGGAAAAACACAACATATTTCAACTAAAAATTCAACATATTTCAGCTAAACAAACATTTTTTTTAAAAAACAGCTTTAAATCGTAAATAAAACAAAACACATTCGACTTTGTTTTGCATTTTCATTATGAAAATAACATTCAGATGCGCAAATTTCGTTTTAGAACAATTGACGTTGCTTCCAAATTTTGCAATTTTTCCATGGTGTGTAAGTTGGAAAGTCGTATAGTGCATGAGTGAGAGTAGCACAAAGTCTTGCACAGTAATTAATGATTAAAACCTTGATGAGATCAAGAAAGAATGTAACCAAGTAATTTGAGATTTCTAGGTTGTTCTCTTTCTATTTTCTCACGTTGTAGATTCACGGAAGAAAAAAGACAATGGAAATGAATGAGTGTGGGGTTATAATGGATGTCTTACTTGTACCATATGGCTTGGTCTCTAGAATGTGATTGGGAGATAGTTTCTATCATGGAAACTGGTCAGTCAAAAGATCCCACGAAAGCTCGTCCGTACATGATGCACCTCAATATTCACTTGGTCTCGTACTAGGAAATTAAGGAATATACACTCTAATTCCCACCGTAATAGAGAGACAAGTTGAGTTATGTTTTGGCCTCCGATAACAAGCACAAAAAAACTTTAAGTTATATGATTGTATAACTTGTAGTACAATGGCAAAGGGTTTTACGTAAAAGAGAAAAACTTACGGTTTTATAATTGCAACAACCATTCTTTTCTTTGCATGATCTTGTTTTTGTTTTCTATCGACAAATTTAAGTCTAGTAGCTATAGGAATAGTTTCATGTGAAGTCCCTTCATGCTTTAACAAAAGGACAATGCAATATCTGAAATATGAAAGATAGTGATAATTCATTCACAGATGACATCACTGTGAATGGCTATATCTTCTCTGATTGCATTTGCAGGTGCAAAAGAGCAGTAATAAGCACTACTCTGGACTTTACCAACTCAAAATAAACCTAGAAGAACTAAATCAAATTAAGAGCCTTCAGTTATATATATTCAACAAACCTAGCAAGTTGACGTTTCAATGATTTTCTCTGTTACTCAAATTTCAACTTCTGCTAGTATATAGTGTCTCCATAGATTGATGAGTGGTTCCCTTGATCATATTTGATACGTCCCCAATGTTTCATCTTCTTTAAACAAAGCTAGTCTGTTTTTATACTAATCTATAGAGAGCTTTTTCTACCAAAAAGAACTATAGAGAGCTTAACCGACTAACAAACTCCGGTTAACAAGAATGATGCCCTTGTGGCCTTGTTTCAAACGAAGCTTATGAGCTGCACCACGTCCACGTGAGCTCCTCTTGTCACATGTAAATGAAACCATCCATGCTAGACAGAAGCTCTTGGGACAAAGAGTAGATCCAAACAGTATGGAGGCTAAATTCCACATGACAGTTTAGAAAGACTAGTATTACTAATCGTACGTTTGTTTCCTGTTTGAGAAAAAAAAAAGAAAAAGCAATTTCCTTACAAACATATTAAAGTAACGTTGCAGAGTTATGAACAGAATTGACCACTAGCGTTAAAAGCGGAGAAAAGTTACTATATCCGACGAATGAAAAGGAGGAAGATTCTGATAGTACGGACGAGAAGTAGATGCTTAGTAAAGTTTAGTACCTCTTCTGTTCAACGTTAAAACATAGAAAACACTAATTTTTAATAAACAGTTTGCGTCAGATTAGGTTGACCAAAAGCGGGGCCCATTTATTATCAACGTAAATTCGTTAGATGTTGAAAGAAAAAATTATATTTTTCTTTTCACAACAATTTAAACTTTACATGGCTTATAAACAACAGTATGCATGTGCATCTATATAATTGGTTTCCTAAACCGACTAAAAGTAAAGTTAAGATGGACCAAAAATGTTGAGCAAAACCGTTTTCCTAAGTAAATTCCTGAACTACGGTGAAGACTTGAGAAAATGTGCATAGTCTTTAAGAAAACTCGCGATGTGTAAGGCTGATGAGTTGTCACTGTTAAGCATTATGAGGATAACATTTGGGCTGAGATTTTTCTTGGACTATAATGAGAAAAGTCTAAAATGCATGTATTCAAAGTAAGTACGTAACAATAAATTGTTAGAGCAAAGTTGAGCCAATGAACTAAAATAATTTGGTTCAAACTTGAAACTGAGCAAAAAATAGTAAAGACAAGACAAGTCATACTAAATGCAAACTCTGCATTACTTCACACGTACAAACGTTTGAAACATGTGGCCATGTCGTAACTACCTATTACTACTGCTGCTGCACCCATGAAACAAAGGTTACGAAACTCATGATTCATAAGAGCAAATGCATTGCACATACTCACATAGGTTCTTTACATAATGAAAAAGAAAAAGAAAAAATAAAAAGAAAAATTAGGTGGCAAGTCAAAAGTGCAGAGACGGTTGTTCCCATAGAGCTCCAAACATCGGTTCACAAAAGAGACTCTGCCAGGTGTCTTCACATAATTTGTCCAGTTATTTATTTATTTTTAGTTTTCTAAAAAAGCATTTCTTTAATATATTTTAGAGCTTTTCACAAAGCTGTGCGATGCACGTACTCTAAGAATATACTAGTTCTAGTTTGAAGTCCCCAAGAAAAAGAAAAAACAAACCTAGTACAGCCTAAATTACATTCTTTTAGAGTTTGTAAAGTTCAAATCTTGAAAACCTCAAACAAAAAAAAATGCAGAGTAGGGAAACATGAAGTGTGGTTGAGATCATATTTGTAATACTCAAGCTGTCTCTTCTCAGAACAGATGCGTGAGTGACTACTATCATCATCTCACCTTGCATTAATTTACTAGTACAGTTTTTTTTCTTAAATTATTTCCGTCATGTTTTTAAATATATTTTCACCACCCTTTCTGCTCGATTACCAATGCAGTATAGAGAGAAAGTTGCAAGGCTTCTTCCGATAACTCTCAAGTAAATAAAAAGCTCAGGAACCAAAAACATTAAGATATAAAAAGATTGGATCTTTTGTGCTCGTGCGAAGATCTTGTTCTTTAACCTCTTTTTTCTTCTTTTGTCAGTTCATTTTCACCTGCCACTTTGTCATTATATTACCCAAAAAAAAAACAGAATTTGTCTTAACGGAAATGGGAAGAGAATGGTACAATGGAGGCAGATCCATTTGCTCCTCTAAAAGCAAGAGAAAATCCAATGAAGCTAATGGCTGCATCACTGCTCTTTACCACTTCTTTGATTTCCACCATTTTTACTTTCCTTCACGTCATCATCACCACCAACCTACCATTGATTCTTCCTCAAGAAATCCAAAAGGTACGAGCTTTCTCTCTCTCCTCTCTCTCTACATGTTTCTGCTGTCTCAGCTTCACAACCCGAAATATTTAGAGTGTTAGGTTTGTTGCGAGATATATAAAGTGCTTAAGCATTTTCAGGTTTAAAACATGTTGGTTGTGGACCAAGAAGAATAAAGACCTACGGTTTTAGAGAGTGTTAGGTTTGTTGTGAGATAGATAAAGTGTGCTTAGGAGTTTTGCAAGACAGTGAGTAACAGTAACAGAAAGGAGTGTTGTGTTACTGAAACTTGCAGGCTTGGTAGCGCCACGAAACAGCTTGGAGTTAACAGAGAAGTCTCCACTATCAACAAACTACAAGGAAAACAAAAGCTTGAACATCCATGTAAGTCAAACGTTAATGGTTCCATTACATTTGAAGAGTAACTGATGGAGTCAAGTAAAAATTCAAATGCAGATTGGCGGGACAGAGTCAAAACCTAGAGCAATTCTCGTTGCTACATCTTCTGATATCTGCAACTTACCTCGCACCAAGACACCAAACGTAGTGGCTAGACTCATGGGTCTTGATCTTCTTCCGGATAACTTAGACCTGAATACATCATCAAGGACTAGACAGAGACTCTATGAGAACGTCTCAGGGACAAGATCGTTACCCGTGAGCCCAAGAGTTTCCTCTGCTCGGAAATCTGACTCCGACATTCGTCGCCTCTCTCTGCAGCTAAACATAGAGAATAAGCATGAAGAGTTTCGGTGTTGGAGGATGAAAGATTCGAAACAAGATGAGCAAAGTCAGAGTCCCAGGAGAGCAGTGAAACAAATAAAAGAGAAGGTCATCCCCAGAAGAGTTGCTATGGATATGACAAACTTGGTTGAGAACAGAAAGGCAGGAGCAGGACAGAACAAGACTGAGCTTAGAAAAGTGAGAAGCAAGTCTTCACAGAAGGAGAACAAAATAAGCTCCAATCCCACAGTTGTGTTCAAACAAGAAAAGATCTATCAGCAATCAACAAAGCTGACACTTTCAAAAGATTCCAAGGAGAAACTCAGACGAGTAAATGAACAGACGGTGAGACCTATGGACGGATGGAAGAAAGCAGATAGTGAATCAAAGTTCTCCATTCATCAAACACCCAAAAAGGCCATCATCTCTGTATCAACTCCCTCGATACCTAATCGATGTGATGCTTTAGAGAAGAAGAAATGCAAGAAAATCACAAAGTCAAATGATTTTCTCAACATCTCTGTAGCATCATCATTGGAACGTGCTCGGAAAAAGGTACACACGTGTTCAAGTTTTCTCTGTTTTAGTCTCATTGAGGAAATAACGCAAACACTTGATAGGCAGTTGTAAGCTATGAAGTGAAGAATACCCTTTTCCTTTTCAGATGAAAAGAGCTAAAGAACAAGAACGGATTGCAGATGCAACGATTTACTCCGGTCAGAGGTACAAACACGAGGAGAAGCTTCCTCAAGAACCAACAAGTTCTAATTTTGGCGATTCGATCACAGTTTCTGCCAACTTCCTCAACGCAAGAGGCACCGAGATCGATTTCAGACGTCTTCTGGGGACGAAGGATCTTGGAGAGGAAGAGGAAAGGGTCGTCGCAGAGATTGAGCGGCATATCGTAGACGCACTCGTGTTGGAAACGGTGAAAATGCAGGCGTTTAGTAACGCTGTTTAGGACTCTGCTATTCGCCTATTCTAAAACAGCGTCTGCGTTTACCTTTAAGTCGTTAAGTCGTTTATGGAGGTGTTCTTTTTATTGATTAGACGTAGAGCTAGCTATCACTGAAAATAAAGTACATGATTTATTTTCGACCAAAATATCTCCCTCTCATGAACAAATTGCGTACTAATTTCGCTAAATATTGTTCAAGTTCTTTAGTTTAAATTTTCAACTAGGGTTCCCTGAACAAATTAGCGTATCATTTGCACTAATAACAGTAACAGATTCCACCAAATTATCAATTGTGTGTATTCTGTTGTGGGCCTTTGTGTCTAGTAATATTTGATTGGCACTGTTTGTAGTCAAAACTATAAATGTTTGGATTTAATAGCCCAATAGTACGTTGCTGACGTTAATTCAATAACTCTGTGTACTTCAAAGTCAAAGAGCTGGAGCCTAGAGCAGTTGTATGAGTTCCGCACAGTTGCATTAACTTCTTGTTTTCTTTATGGAGAGCGAAGTTTAATTTGCTTTGCGAGAACCATGCAAATAAAAGGTTTCTATATCTAAATTCCAAACTCGTTGGGTTTAAATCCCAAAGTATAGCTCGTTGCAAATTATGAATTCAAGTCTTAGAAATATTTCGTCTGATATAAGTGTAGGGCGGTTGTCCGATATAGTCTAGCGTTAAGAATAAGATGTTAGTGTAAAAGTTAGAATTTAGAAGAATTAACATGCACCATACCAATTTTGGGGATGGTAAACGAAAATACTATAGAGAGTTTAGAGATTATTGATGCCGTACTGTTTATTGGGCCTTGGGTTCAAAGCTAAGCGGCTGGAGTCCTGGTATAATAACCACTTTTGTTGACCAACATAGCTAGCTTCTATTGGCAAGACACATATAATTTTGGAGACGATCAAAAGAGTGAATTTACTGTAAAGCTATGGTTACTTTCTTTGGGCTGTTTTGGCCATGAGATTAATCCTTCCGTTGTATTAGAGGATAGGTCAAAAAGGATTCGTCCTAAGGAACGAAACAAAGAGAAAAAGAACAAAACTCTGTTGACCAAAACCCATGAGTGTGTGTGCTTGTCCAATAGAAATGTATCTGTCTTTGTTTGTACCAAGCACTAAATGTCAAAAGTTTTTATTCAAAGATGAAAACGTACAAAAAACCAAACAAAGAAAATGAGATGCAAATACAAAATCGTATAACTTAAAGAAGAAAACGACATGAGATTATGTACCGAAAACGACATCAGTGTGAAAGTAGTTTAGTTATGAACTAGCTAGGGAGCTAGGTTAATGTGAATTCTGATGAGGAGACCTGGGAAGACATCATCCGGGTCATGGATATGCGGGTTACGCTCCACGATAAACGGGTCGCCGCACTTGTCGCTGATGCTGTGAAGCGTCTCCCCTTCCCCAACTACGTATATCTCCTCACATGGCCTCTCCGCCATTTGCTTCCCTCTCCGAACATCACAGTTTCTTCCGTTCGCCGTCGCCCAAAAATTCTCTCTGTCACCTCCTCCGTTCCCATTTTTAACTGAGCCCGCCAGTGTTAGGACCAGTAGTGCGATCAGACAGTAACACGCGACTGTGTGTGACCTCGACATCGTAACTCTCATATGTGAGTGTGTGTGTGTGTGTGTGTGAGAGAGAGAGAGAGAGAGAGAGAGAGATTTTCGTGGTGGAATATTGTAAGTTTGTAACACAAAAATGTGTTTTGTTCTTTCTTAGGCGTCAGGGCTTGTATATATATAGGTGTGCGTGTGTGTGTAGTATACTAAGTATTTAGCAATCACTATGTATATGTATATGTATATGTGTGTGTGTATGTGTGTTTGATATACTAATAGTAATAAGCACTCACTATCACTACTCATTTGATTAATTAAAATAAATTTTCCAATTTTGGTCGATTAGCTACGAACAAGTCATTAAAAATAAAGAAGCAACATATATTTATTAAACAAAATAAAAAAGTATGCAAATGAGATATGTGTATAGAACATCCGTGAAGCAATTGCTCAATCACCGCACTTTCTTTTGTCTTCTCTCATGATTACTATACATTATTGAATCGTATGATTCTTGTCCGCGTAGATTTTTCTCGTTTGTTACTTGGTATACTTATTGAATGACACATGTGTATCTTTCTTTTGCTATGTATGTGTAAAGTCTTGTTAAACTTTTGGATTTATCTCGTGTTATTCTATGGACCGTTGGATTTAAATATGCCAAAGGGGAGAGAGTGATGAAGTGAAGCTTACCAACAAGTCTTTGAGACGTATTTTGATCCTATACATCTTCACACTATGATTATTTGGTACTCGGCTGTTTGCATAATTGAGTCGTTCTGCAAGTATAAAAGACAAATGTGTATTGCAGTCAATCTGATTTATTGTACTTTTGTGAAATATAAAAAGGGAAAAACGGATCATACAAAAAGACTAGACTGCAGATCTATAAAACACTATGAATCATGATTTCAAGTTTTGGTTAGTTTCTAATAAAATAGAATCTAATTTTGAAACTCAGAACTCGACTTTTACGTATAAATTTTAGAGGTTTTTCTTCAACTAATTCATCTTAAAATAAACAAATATTGTATTGTCAGATATCATAAAAAGGGGACATACTCTAGGTCTAGGAAGTCGGCATTGTGGAAATCTTTCGGTTAGATGATATCTTAGTATATCATAAAAATGTGAATAGACACAAATACACGTACATGTGGGACACAATTTAGCCTCGCTCGTGTTTCTATAGTTCCTAATGTGTTGTGCCTCTGACATCTGGAAATTTCTTTTAATTTGTATTCTGAATGGAAGAGAGGAACCAACAAAAGAAAAATAAATTAGTAAAATGTATACTATTGTCTATCTTTGCTAAATGGGTCGGCCGACATATGACGTAGACAAATAAAATAGTAACATGTGATAATAAAAATAGAAATTAATAAACAGACCACTCATCAGTTCTCACATCACATTTTAGTAATGAAAATAGTGATAACAGTATACATTTTATACCCCCGTTTTACAATGTAAATCATCGATCTTATGAACAAATGTTTTTAAAATAAGTACGAAACATTGTTAGATAATTGGTGAGGTGTTGATTTAAAGATGACTAGCTGATTTTTCATCTAGCACACGGTTGATGCCACTTGAAAATAACACTGATGAGAAGAAAAGAAGTAAAGAACATTTCCAGGCTCCAGCTAACTTCTGTAAAACCATACTACTGTATATATGATGTTTTCCTGTATAGTATATACATAAGCTAGCGTAATTTGATGTTTGTTATACCTATCTGCCATGTGCCACCAAAGTACCTCACCAACTACATATGAGTATCAAGGTGTTTGTAATGGGACGGTTCACGATTGATCATAATTTATTTTTAAACTACAAATTCTATATTACCGCATTTACATTATGATAGTGATTGAACAAGATATCAACAAAACAAAACAAAAAAATGTGAAACGCACAAACGGCAATATTTATATTCTTAAAGTAGGACCACAAACTGATCAACTGTAAAGACAGGATATTTTCTGCAACAGCGACAATGAATTAGATTGCGTGGTTCAAAGATATCTATTTGATAGTCCTGATCAAAAAGCAAATATATTTTATTTGACAATACTTCAACTATTTCTACAAAAAAAATTAGTTCAAAACCGGAATGCCAAGCAGGCAATGCAAGCACATCAACATCAAATTTCAAAAGAAATTGTTCAAAAAGTGATAATAATGGAATAATCGAAAGGAATTGTTCAAAAGAAACAAAATAGATGTCAGATCGGAACGTTAAAGGGAAAATGGAAGATGGAGTCATGAAGACAATGATTCATTAGAGCTAAATCAAATCATTATGCAAATAAACTATTTTCTCAGTGAATTCTATGTGGCATAAAATGTATAATTGCGATTGGTATGTTAATGGGTGCGTAACTACTATATTGAGCGTTTCTAATCATCAAATACAAACAATACCTTGACTTCTTATTTCCTCCTCACGATCTCCCTCTCTTCTTAATTACTTTGTCTTTTTGGTTCTTTTTGCTTGCTGAAGAAGATATAATCTCTTACACCTAATTCATTTCTTCTCAGATAGATGATCTTTTAGGCTCATGATGATCTTCTCTAAACGATGTTTGAGCTTTTATGTTCTAGGCAGAAATTTAAGAGATATGATTGCTCATCTCTTGTTTATTCCAGTATAGATAACCTAACTTGTCGTCAAAGAAAGTAGTAATGGGTTTTGTGTAAAAGCCAGTGTAGCTCTTTTCCATTTTCATTGAGCAAATGCGATGAATCTCTTTGAAGAGCTCGTTCTCTTGTGTGATATGTTGAGAGGCAGAGTCCTCGAACCGCATCCACTGCACATTCAAGAGAAAAAAATTAGAAAGAATTGCGAGAAATTGTTTCAGTTTCAGGATAAGAAGTAGCGGTTACTTTACTTGAGCTGCTTCGATCTCTAAGTCCTGCTTTTGAATATCAAAGGAGGTAGGCCGCAACAGACAAATGAAGAATAAATCTGATTTGGCAAAAAATGACTCGTGGTATTGGCTGCAAAACAAAGAAAAAAAAGAAGCTAAAAGTATTAGAACGTATAAGTACTTAAGTAGCTGCAAGAAACAATAAAGAAGAGGATGTGATGATCAGTACCAGAAAGCTAGAATCTCCAAAAACTCTGTGTCGATCTAAAGATATATAGATTGAAACATTAGTTAAAATGGTAATGATTTAGTGATTTACACATTTACATATATAAGATATATGGATGTGCTTACGCCTGTCTCTTCTTTTACTTCTCTAATGGCTGCCGTGAAAATCTCTTCACCCTATACGCAAACAAGCATGGTGGGATCTTTAACATACATATATAGAGGGTTTGAACTTTGAACCCTTCTTTATACAGAAAAAACAAATCAAACAAACCTCGTCAACAACACCTGTTGGGATCTTCCACACACCTGATCCGCGTAACGTACCGTGTTTTTCCTGCACAACAAGAATCTGCTTCTAGTTTTAATTTAAGGATTTTGTTAAGTTTATAAACTTCCAACCCAAAACCAATTTGGGTTAGATAGGTTAAACTAATTTCAAGTCGGATCGATTTTGGTTTAGTTTAGGATAGCGTTTGTTCTGACTTGCCACTTATCCCAGGTATATATATAACTCAAAATCTCATTTCATTTCCGACGTGAGATATTTTTAACTTTTAGACATTGACCATCAAGCAAAGTTTTTTTTTTGTACAAGTATACAACCATCAAACAACTATTATTTACAATATCTCAATGACATGCAAGAGATTTACAACAATTCATGTTGAGAAAAAAAAGCAATAAGTTTTGAAATAATTAAACAGTAAGTAAGCATGTACCTCTTGGTTAGGGTTCAAGACAACAGCACCAACACGGACACGATGAGAAGCATTCAAAGGAATAGTACTCTCGGCTGTTGGAATCCAGTAAACTAGCATTAGGTAAGTTGGTTCAGCGTGGTGATACCGGAAACCTTCCTGTATAAATCAATATTGAGCCACAACACAACACGCTCACTCTTTCAAGGTTAAAGAGGATTCTATCTCAAGACTAATGGACAATTAATATCCGTCATAAAGAAAAGTGATCATACCTTGACCGCAGGTTCCACGAGGTTTACGTGTGTGAGAGGCAAATTTAACCAGACTCCCTTTTTACCCTGGAAGAAAACAAAAATAAGTTTCACACAGAATCAACAACCACTCACTAAGGAAGAGAAAGATGTGTGTGGTCGCACCATGCACAAACCTGTAACCGCCACTGCGTGAACGAATATCTTAGCGTTGCAATGAAACACTTTGGATCCATAGGAGTTTTCATCTCCACGATCACTCCTCCGTAGTCATCCTCCTCAAAAGGAAGTACCTCCTCACCAGTCTTGTGTCCATTAACCATATGAGCCTGGTCTTCTGACATGCTTCTCACCAGTACCGAGAAATTAGGTAGGGATTTAGGAGAGGTCGAAGATTGGAGTCAAGCCAAGGAGAGATGAGGAAGATACACAAAGAAAAAAAGGGAATGTGGTTAATGGAGAAACAATAATTACGACGCGGTTAATAGCAAAACCATAGTGCTTATATAACTACATTTCGATAGTGGGGTGGGTTTTAGGGTCATAAACTCATTATGGCGCGCACATTAACAACCGATTCGACCACTCGTTGGAGTGACGCAGTGCCACACGTCACCTTCTACATATTGCACAGGTTAATACACCTTAAATTAGAAATCTTCTATCGAATTTTTCTTTTTATCATACAGTTTTTAGTAAGAGTTAAAAGTTGGAGCACTCACATGGAATTATGTCTTCCGTTCTCATTGACATATGCCATATATATACGTCACAGACTCACAGGTCAAAGTTACACTACACATACGTAATATCGTACATCAGATTATTCATTTTCTTTAACGGCATAGCTCGCTCAGTTTCAAGTAGCCCAGGAACAGAAAAGCCCATTTGGTCTTACAATAAAATAAAATAAAGTAAAACTTATCGCCCACCGTGGGGCTCGAACCCACGACCACAAGGTTAAGAGCCTTGCGCTCTACCAACTGAGCTAGACGGGCTACTTGTTTAGTTGTTGCAGTACCATTACTATATAGTAAATCTTCCTTACACACAATCAACATTTGGCCTCTGTTTCGTAATATCGATGTGAAACCGCCCATTACCCACATGTTCGGTTACTCTCAAGAGGAAGGTCATGTTTCAATCTGTCACAAGCTGGTATGACTGTTTAGTAAGATGCTTCGTAGATTCTGTCAATACATCATTGTGGAGATCCTCCCAGAATCGAAATCTTCATGATTAAGTCTCTTTTATTACTATGAAAGATGACCAATAACATACATTTACAAGCCAATGATGTTAAATTTTGACCAAATAGGACAAAAGCTCTTCAGCTTCAGATCCATATGTGCGTGTCTGGAACTGATTGGACTATATCTCTGCTCGGATGTCAATAGCAAAGCAACCAATCTAATAGTTGATACGATGAATGGTTCATAATCTTCTAGAGACCTTCTGTGTAGCAATTACCTCAAGCTGCAGAGACTCCATGGAGCTAGAGAGACAATGCCTTGATGCACTTAACGATCTCAGCAGATAGTAGTTACAAAACAAACAAAAAAAAGCAGAACTCTTGACACTCAGAGAAGAAGAGATTGCGACAGTGCGAGAGCTACGGCTCTGTTTTGCGCCTCAAGACTGAATGGCAGTTGGTTCCGTAGACCACTTCCATACTTTAACTTGACCACTTCCGTCACCAGTGAAAAATATGCCTCCGGGGCCAATCTGAATCGACCGTATCTCCTGCTTAGCTAAAATTTTGCCCCTTCCCGTAAACCTTAAACAGCAACGAAGAACCAAGCTTTTCAAAGGAGGAAACAGAGTTGTAGACTCATGAAACGAACAGCATTAAAAGGACTTACGATGGCAAGTCATAGAGGTGCAAGGAATTGTCATTGCAGGAGCATAGCAATACTGGCTTGGCTTCTGCATCATGCACGCCACAGAGAGCTAGCACGCCCTGAATCCAATCAGCCATTGAGAACTCGTTAGTCACATGTAGATTATACCAAGAAAAGAGGACAACATTTCACCAAAAAGGCAAGGAACTGTACGTATTCTTCTTTATGAGTGTAAGTCACTTCCAAGTTTCTACCTTCACTAGCAGCCCATATCTACAGCGGGAAAAAGCAACACCAACAGGAATAATGTCATTTAAAGGATTGTTAAGAAGTTAGTAGGAGCTAGGACAAAAAGCCTCTAGCAAGTTCAAAATGGAACCTTGACGGTATTGTCTAATGAACATGACAGAAGAAATTGATCCCAGCAAATGAGAGACATGACAACTGACGTATGCTCTGTAAGCGTTTGTATGCACTGCAAATTATCCAGGCTCCAAACCTATTATAATAGAGAAAGCAGACATCTAATTAGCTCAAAGAAAAAGCACAGAAGAGGTTTTTAATTCACGCATGATCGACACTACTTGCTTTTATAGACTTGTCCATGGAACCGGAATAGAGTCTGTTCGCTCCAACATATAAAGAAACAACTGCAAGGGTGTGGCCTTTTAGTGATGCAGCCGGATCAAAACAGCTAGTGGCAGTATTGTATCTCCAAACCAAAATAGAGCCATCCTGCACAGAGAGTGATATATATCCTTATAAGGACTTGTAACTTAACCATATCCAAGGGACCTATATATTTCTTTAACACAGATGTGTTTTCCCAATCAAAGATACTCTGTGGTAATATGTCAGGAGAAAAAAGATGAAGCATACACATTAGCTGAAACACAATCATATTCCTAGGTCTTCGCAAAAAGAACTGTACAGTAAGTCAAAGTATTTACTTGTGTACCAGCGAACAGCAGATCAGTGCCCACAACCAGTGAATATACTTGGCCAACAGGTCCAGTGAGACTCAGGTCTGCGTTGTTTTGGATATTCCATGCCTGTATGTATATACATTTGTATATGGATCTAGAATCTATATCCGTAATAAAACTCAACAGCATAGCACAACAAAAGTGATCCTCAGTGTAAGTGGAGAGTTTTAACAGTCAAGGAACCATGCTAGGGAATCATACTCTGAGCTTACCTTAACTACATTTGGCATACCAACCAATAGCCAGGGACCTTCACTAATCATGCAGCCAACTTCCGCACCAAGATTGAGTACACCAGTACACTATATATCATAAGAAAAACAATACTACAACGATAAGCACGTTTATGAATAGTCACTCTTAAAGATATCGAAAAGCACAACAGCTAAAGTTCTGGCTCTGCTTCTGAGAGAAGAGAGGCCAAAACGGCACATCCCTTGTTCCGGTTAACAACCATTTATCCTAACCAAGCAGTGACATGATCACATGACTATACTACCACAATGTAATCAAACAATTAGAGGCAAATCAAAACCTGTCCAGAAGCACAATCCCAGATCCGCACAGTCTCATCTTTACTCGCCGTATAAAGCTTATCAGAACCCGATGGCAGAGCAATCCCAGTGACAACCTGCTCAAGAAACCGGAATCCAAAAACCCCATCAACATCGCCAACACAGCACAAGAATCCATCATCACTAAGTCACTCATAAAAAACTCACAACAACACACCTGATGATGTCCGTCAAGCTGAGTCAACAATGAGAAGCTATCTCCTTTGCTCCAGCAATGCAAGTATCTGCATTTATCACCGTAAGGGCAATTCCCATCAACCCAAAACCTGCAAAGTTTCTCCGTCTTCGTCACCGTTCTGTTCCCACCGAATCTCCCCCAGCTATTATTACCACTCCCGCTGAATCCTGGCCCTCTCCGGTGACTCGGACCGGCAAAACCAGACTCATCGGCGACCCTTTTGTTCGAACTCGGACCTGGACCCGGCAATTCGCTGTGCAGGTAAGGGCAAGGGAAGCGGTTGCATCGGCCGGCCCGCCAGTGGAAACAAACCTTCTGATTCGAGTCCGCCGGCGCCGTCATCGATCGATTCGATCCGCCTAGTCTCTGGAAGACCCCCTTGTTTCCTCCGTTCATATCCAAATCCATCAATTGGTGTTTTCGTCTAATCCAGATTACAACAACAAGTGATGAAGTGAGCTCAGAAAACTCGGAATTGGATTATCCTGAGAACGTCGAACGGATCATAACTGTTCAAAAGACCAAATCCGATCATAAGTAAAACAAGCGCGAAAGGCGTACTAAAGTTACTAAATTACCTCACAGATTATAAACGATCAATTTTGGACGAGGAAAGAGAATGATAGAGAATGAAGGAATATCAGAAGCGGCTTCAGGTTTTTATTCTTCTTGGAGAGGACAAAAGAGAAATTGGATTCCTCTGTGTCAGCTTCATATTAATGGTCGTTACATTTCTAATTTTAACATATAGTACTGTGTTAAACTTGTATAGATAGATGACACAGAAACCACCATTTGTAGTCATTTGTTACAAGATTACCCTTGTGTAACAATCTAGAATCTAGTCTAGAGAGAATATAGACTTGTAAAGGAACTCGGAGTGTAATAGACTATTCAAAGGCCAGCCTCTGAGTGTCAACAAGGGAAGCGTATGAGCCCTTTTGTGCTACCAATTCAGAATGAGTTCCAAGCTCTATGATCTTCCCATCAGAGCATACAGCGATCTGATGCGCGCTCTGGACTGTGCTCAATCTGTGAGCGATCACTAACGTTGTCCTGTCTTTCATCAGACGGTTCAACGCACTTTGGACCAAGCGCTCGCTCACTGCATCTAGTGCACTCGTCGCCTGCAAACAAGAAAGCAGGAGATAATAAGCATTATCTTAAAGCTATATCTGCTTTTGTACCAGTTGAGACTAAATAATACTAAACCATACAACTAGACTGAGAGCTTAAGAGTAATCCGCTCTTTCTGCGTTCTAGAATTGCACTTAGAAATGGTTTTGAATGCATCACGGAGGTTATATGTGTTCCCTATCTCGCATCGAATAAGCTATTACTTCCCACAGTTCTAGCAAAGCAAACAGTGTTGTTATTAAACAAAGAGTCTCTCACCTCATCGAGAATCAAGATGGGTGCATTCTTCAGGAGTGATCGGGCTATGGCAACTCTCTGAAACGTTGATAAACAAGCACATCAAACCGGTAGCAAAGTCTGTAAGGAACCCCAAAAAACGCAGCTGTTAATGTTTCTATACCTGTCTCTGTCCTCCGCTAAGCAAGCCTCCTCGTTCACCAACCAGCGTATCGTAGCCCTATTGAACAAAGACAATTATTGGTCACAAAATCTTAAGTGAGGTTGTTGCTCATAAGGCACACGAATCCAAACCTGAGGAAGTGAGATTATGAACTCGTGAGCGTTGGCAGCTTTGGCTGCCTTAATGATGTCATCCTTGGACACATGATCATTGGGGAGACCATATGCAATATTCTCGGCCACAGAGAGAGAAAAGAGAACGGGTTCCTGAGTCACACAGAAATCTTAACCTTTTGAAAGAAAGAAGAAGCTAAAATCCGACCAGGCCCGATTGCAATACACACCTGATTCACAATTGAGACAACCTTAGCCCATTCACTCTTGTCAAACAACCTCACATCCTCTCCAGCCACAGTAATACGTCCTTGTGTTGGCTGCGAGAATTGCAAATTCAACCAATCAGAACGATGTAAAAGCGGCTTCGAATTTAGTCTTAACAGATGTTAACACCTCATATGGGAAGAGGAGAGTAGATTAACCTCATAGAAGCGTGCCAGTAACTGTACAATAGTACTTTTTCCCGCACCACTAGAGCCAACAAGAGCAGTTACAGTACCAGATTTCAACGTTAAACTGAACCCATCAAGAACTTTCACGTCTGGTCGTAGAGGATAAGCAAAATGCAAATCTAAACTACACAAAACAGAATATGGAAGAAGAGGTAAAATATGAACTCCTAAAGTAAGCTAATATGAAGAGAATTTATCTTGGTCTGATTTTTACCGTCAAGACAGACATCTCCTGCCCATGTTAGGGTACGTAGATTGTTAGATGATTTCAGATCTGACATGTAGTAATTATCGAGGTGACGGATATTCACGTCAGGGTCAGAAGCCAAGAACAATTTAAGGTTCTCATCTTGGACTTTCTTTTTATGTATATCTCTTTCTAACCCGTAGGCAAGTGCCTCATCTATGTCCACCGCGTTTAAAATGGAGTTGATCCTGTCGATAGCAGCAAAACTACCACGTAGATCTCCAAATGTGTTTACAAGCCCTTGGACCTGGCAAACAGAAGCACTGATTATGGTAAACCAAATTACATGTATAGCATATGTGTAACAGTAGTAGATGCCGTGTGGATAGAGGTACTTACACCAAATGTAAGAGTAAATGTGTATCCAATGAACGAAACAACAGTTCCAACAGCGAGCTCACCCTGCGTAGGAGAAAACATTAAGAATAAGAACCAAGAAAAAAAGAAAGGGCAGGAGCAAAGAAGCAAAAATGTAACAACATAAGAGAGATGATTGATTCTTAAGTTTTGATGATTTAGAATTTCTGAAAGTAATAAGTTTATTCTAGCTTGCAATAAAGATCTATCTCCTGTAAGAGAAGTTAATCACACCATGATTCTCTTTATGTGTTAATGGTGAAGAAGCGTACTTTAAACTTCAATTATCAAAACTGCAATCAAAATGTCTTGCAGGCAGGCATATCTTACCGTTTTCACCTTGTTTCCCCCAAGATAGTAAAGAGCCAAGAGAGAAACATAAACAGCAACTCTTGTTATTGATTCATTTATAGATTTGAAAATACCAAGCTTTAAGCCGCTACGCTGGTAAGCAAGAATCTGTACATCAAACAGAAGGTTAGAGTAACAGATCACGGAACGTTTCGAACAAAGACAACAATTGTTTAGAAAAAAATGGCTTTTAGCTAGTAATAAGAAGACTAAAATATGACCTGGCTACCGAAGAAAGACATCTGACGTTTTTCACCACTGAATGATCTTACCTATAAAAAGAGACAAAATTACTTGACTCTTCCAAGGCAAATCAAAGTTTTAAATCTATTAAACATTCAAATACGATGGAGTCAAGAACTTACAGTTCGGATTGCAGAGAACGTTTCTGATACACAGTCAGACATTGTTGCTTGGGCTAGTCCATGTGCTTGATAAACAGGAACAGTCGATCTCTTGTACACACCTTTTTAAGATTTGACCGAGTGTGCAAGTGTAAAGGTAAGCAAAGATGACCAAAGTAATAACTACAAAAAAAAATACGTTCAGGAGAAATGAAAAAGACATAGAGAATTTACCAGCTAAAACTGAGACAGCAAGCATCAATACGCCAAGCACAGGTGCAAGTTGAGGAGATAGAGTAAACAGAATGCAGATTGTTCCAAAAACCTGCGAAAGGGACAACGCATGAGCCATCAAAGAAACTGAGAATTCTTGAGATGCAACAAGATCATCTCTATCATTTATAGAACTCCACACACACACACAAAATCAGACGCAACACTAGGCTAAGATTAAGTCTGCAATTGTTATGCAGAATGGAAGTACAAACACGCTAACAACACAAATCTCACATTTGCATAGTAAAGAAATGGCTTGCCTCAGAAGATGCCCTAAATCCACGGTCTCGTGAGAGGTTATCGTTCACAATGCTATTCAGAGCACCAAGATCAGACGTGAGCAGCCCCGTCAGCTCTCCTACCTACAACAAATGACCTCAATTTAATCGATTGACTAGGAACGTTAATGCTGTATCTTCCCAAACATGATCAAACTAGGAAAAAACACAGACCTTATATTTGTCGAAAAACTCTGCCTGCAAACATATACGAAAGACCAAAAAACCACATCAAAGACATACCAATGGTAAACATTCACAGCCAACAGTAGCTTTAGCAAAGTAAGACAAACCTTTTGGATCAAAACCCTTCTGAAAATCTGAGCTCTTAGTGATGCCATAACGCTTTCCCATATAGCATTCATGTTGGTTACAAAAGCAATAGTAAAGATCGGTTCCAATGCGTACAAAAAAGCGATTTTGCTCAGCAGCTTCCACAGAGGCTCAGGTCGCACCCCAATCAGCACTTCAAAGAATCTACCTTTACTCAAACCATACAACACATGACCCAATCAATAACGAGGAACAGAGATATCAAGCTGAAAAATCCAAACTTGACCTGGATTCAATATCCAAAATGCAAGGGCATAAACAGTCCACAGATTAGAGACTACAATTTGAATTGAAAAATTCGATTACCAGAAAAAACAGGCATAGAGAGAGTGCAAGTGCTGCAGCCAAGGAGAGTCAATAAGCAAACACCGAGCCTGAGCTTGTGCTTGCTCATCAAGCTCCACACAAGCCCCCACCTGATTAAATCCTTTGATTCGCCCTTCTCGGGCTCAGATTTAGATCCTTCAACTTTTGGGTCTTGCTCGTCAACGATTGGAGGCGCTCCGGTGACGTAAGCCCGAGCCAATCCATCAGATTTCGCCCTCAACGAAGGCCGGAACGGCAAAACGGAGCCAGGCAAGCTGCGGAAGGGAAGAAATGGCTTTACCCCGCACGTTCTAAGTACAGACGCTTGGCAGTTTCTACGGGCAACGACGCGAGTGGCGCCGTGTTGGAAGAGAAGAGTGGTTGCAGACGCCATGGATATCGTTCCAACGAGCTTCGCGACTGTTGAGATTTTGGTAGTTGAACAAACAAAAAAAAGCGCCGTCTCAAATTGCCTTTCTTCTTTGGGTCTACGTGCGGGATTAAAATCATACTAAGAGCATGTTTATTGGTGTTACTCACCACCGTCTGTTAGCCTTTTGGCTCATTAAATTAAATCATAAATGCCATATTAACCATAAAACGTCTCTTATATTAGAGAGTCTTCAACTTAATAAGCGACGTTTGTTGTGGACAGCTGGCGAATCGTGAGTGGATCGAATTAATTGGAGTCCGAAATTTTTTTGCCCTTTTCGCCTCTCTCTTTCTTCTGCGTCACTCTGATGCGATTCAGCGATTCTACTTCTCTTCAATTCGTCTTCGAATTTCACTGAGAAATTTCATGTTTATCTGGTCTCGCACGGTGGTTTGGTCGAAAGCAAGATGGGGTTAGACGAATCGACCGAGAAGGTGCAGAGAAATCAAACATAGCTTCTCAGATTCTGCGAAAATTTTGCATGGTAAGTTTTCACCAAAATTGGTTGTCTTTAGCTTTTGATTTACGTTTTCTGTCTTGTGTTTTGCAACGTCTCATTGTAATTGGAGCAGAATCGGGGCTTTAATTGTTGTGGTGTTGGTTTTTAAACTTAAGATTGTTTTGGTTCTCTTGTTCTCTTCTTAATTTAAGGTTTCTCGCTCTGTCCACCAACTGTTTGCTAGAATTCCTCTGTGAAAACGATGCATTGAACTATTGGTTTGTTTGTATAGGTATAAAGTTAGTTTATCATGTTGATCTTGGTTGAGTTTTTGTTTCATGCTTCATCGATGAGATCTGTTTGTTTTATAGTTTGGTAATCCATTTATATGTTATGAAATATAGACAACCCCAAAAGCTGGATGAGTTAAAAAAGATATTAAAAATCCAGAATCAATAGCTGATCACATGTATTGGATGGGTCTTACGGCTCTGATTTCTTCAGATATTATTGGGTGGAAGAGAAAGAGTTAGTTCTCTTCTCTTGTCTTATTTATTATCTTCGATGTTCTTGTGTTGGATTGGTCAATTGCAGCTAATGAAATCGCTGAGCTATGGAGAAAATATGTAGCAAACTCTTCACCTGAAGCTAAAACTGTTAAAGATTTTGATAAGCTTGAGATGATACTACAAGCTTTGGAATATGCAGAAACTAGCAGAGTTTTTCCAATCAACCGCATGTATTGTATTTTGTAAATACAATCCAAAGATGTTATCAGTATATAGTTTAAAGGCTTAAATATTGTTGCTGTTTGATCCAGGGAAGTTCCAGACCATTATAGGCAAAGCTTGGGCGTGGGAGATTGCTTCAAGAAGAAGAAAGCAACATTAGTTTAGTTCTCACTTTATTTTTTTGTAAAAAGACAGAGAGTTTGTGTTTTTTTGCTATCAATATTAGTTATTAAGATGTTGATGTCGATAATGGTCAAGATGTGGATGATGATGACGATGAGTTTCTTTCTTGTTTGTGGTTTCAAAAGCTATATTGAAATTGTTTTTATGTCAAACTATGATTTAATTTTCATTCAATGTTTTATATATAAATCAACTTTATCTACACAAACAAAAAGTTAAGAACACCTAAGAAATTTTACCAATAAGAGACATGCTAAGTCTCACCAATAATGATGCAAAAACAAATGTCTCTTAACCATGTCTCTTAAAATAAGTTTATTGATATAATATAGTTAAGAGACATTTTGGGGTAACACCAATAAACATGCTCTAATGACATGAGGATGATCTCAACATATATAGTACATTAGTACGCATAAATGAGGGAAGAAATTGCGATAATGTGGTTAGTAAATCTCACTGGTCTTAATGAGGGTAAATACTTTTCAATTCTCTCTACCATTTTCATACTCTATCAAAGATCTGACCAGTTGATTAATGATGTTTGAAGTTTTATAACTCGTGCAAAATTGATAAGTTATTCATTCAAATTTTACTTTTCTACATACTTACTACGGAAGTGCTCAGATCTTTTGCGGCTATGCAAATAAATATCTGGAACTTTTTCTATTTGCACAAGTATCCAATACTTTGGGTAACTTACCTGAATTATCCCATATTGCTTCTATTTACAAATATCAACATGAATATTCAATATTTTTTTCTTTCGTTAAAAGAATACTCAATATTTTTTTGGTTAATAGAGTATTCAAAAATTTTGTTATTTTAACACACACAAATAAAAATTGAAACTTTTGACATTTATAATTTTTACTTTTGTTGCAGACTTGCAGGTAGCCCAAATTTTGTTTCTGTTTCCAAATTAGGAATTATATTTTCAAAACAGAGAAGCCCAAAAACTGTATTATTTACAGATATCTCAGAAGAAGAAGAAAGCCACATTCTCGTTCTCCTCTTCCATTGTTGATTCAGACGTATCTTTAACACGAGAAAACCATCGAGTATGAACTTTTAGAAAGAGATCAAGATTAATAATATTTGCATTTGACAACACCATCGTCGAAACATTTACATTCGTTTCCCAATTCCCACACTACCAAAAAAAAAATAAAGGATCCATTCTAAAAAAATATGGTGGAACCCAGAAAAATCAAAGAAAGAAAAAACCATAGAACAAAATCGGAAACGAAATTTTATCTCAATAACTCCAAAGGGACACGTCAGCATCTCCGTCGCACTCATAATTATGATTCCATTGTACGGCCGGCGGCGGCAAAAGCATCCCTTCCGCCATATTAGCCAACAACCTCGGCATCCCAAACATGGCCTCATCGTCCATATAAAACGCAACATCGCTCTGCTCCACATTTTCTATAACAGCCATCTCCACCATCGTTTCCTCCATGTCCAGGCCATGATCCGTCGTCGTATCACCCATCTCAGCTTGAAAAGCAACCGCGGCCTCAGCCGCCGCCTTCTGGATATCCTTGGCGCACGTTGATTCCGGGATACGCAGCCGCCAAGCCGAGTCGGCGAAATTGAGGCAAGCGGATCGGCCACGGAGGGCTATGGCGGCGACGTCGTGAGCACGCGCTGCCATTTCGGCGGTTGGGAAAGTTCCGAGCCAAATCCTCGATTTCTTGTTTGGCTCTCTCACTTCACAAACCCATTTACCGGAGTTTCTCCGACGAACTCCTCTGTATATTGGGTGACGAGTCTCCCGGAACTTCTTCCGTCCCGCCGGTTTCTTCGGACAGGTCGCCGCCAGCGTCGGATAATAATCCCCGCCGTCCACGGAAACCGGAGACTCGTACTCTGAGCCAAACATCTCAGAGAAGGCAGAAAATGAGCTCATTGTTCAAACCTGAGAAAGAAAAACTGGATAACGTTGAAGTAGTAACTAAAGATCTTTGATAAAATATTTTATTTATCTCTTTTCTTTTCAGTTTTCAGGTGGATTGAAAGTTTGTAGTTTGAGGAAAGTGGGAGTGAAAGCTGGTGTTTATATTGAGCAGATATTTTCGGAATTTGGGAAAAAAAAGGCCAAACACGGAGTTTCTGGCTCTGGGAGTGACAGGTGGATAGGATACAGGCTATACAGCTAAGCGATCCCACGGTTTTGTAAATGCGCTGTTTTCGTTCACTAAAATTCCGCCACGTGTTATCTTGACCGGCATGGGAAGGGCTTTTGACTCTTCACTCGTTATAACTTTATGGGTTTTTTTATTAACGTCTATCGTGTTTGTGTGGCTGTGGTTGAGCAGTGTAGGACAACCGGTATTAATCTATTTAACTTCCATGAATAAACAACTTTTTGTCATTATTTGTCACCATCAATTCTAAAAGAAATTTTACATTAAAAAAATCAAAGCTGTGAAAAAGATATTTTAGGTGCTCTCTATGTGTTTTTTTCCTTGATATTTTATATGCTCCGTATGGGTTTTTTTTGTCAACGATATCTGTTTTTTTTTTTCGTTGATATTTTGAGTGCTCCTTTTTTTTCCATAATATTATATTAAGTTTTTTTAGCACAGAAATTGCGAGTTTGGATATGTTTCTTTTGACAGACTTTTCCGTTATCCTATTCCTGCCGATCGTTGAACTACTGGCCGTTTACACCCTCTGTAAATTGTTAGACAGTGCGTTTGACACACGAATTTGAAGGGTTTTTTTTAATCACGTTTCTCAACCTCAAAGATATGTTAGCTACACATTGTACTAATTATAAGAAGAGAAAAAAAAAGCGACAAACAACTTGAGATTGCTTTTCTTTTGCTCATTAAACTACGATTTCTCAAACTGTGAATGATTTTATGAACCTACTTAAAATGTCAATGTATAGAGGTTTAGACCCAAAAAAACAAAATATATTTGTTCAATTTCATACCTACAACCTACAACGTCATGCTTGAAGAGCCCAATTCGCGTCCGAATAATTTGGCATATCGGTCCGATCGTGGTTCCAGAATTCGAAGACCTTGTTCTAATGCCAATTCTCATTCGACCTTCAGTTTCAATTATATATTTTTTAATCATATATATTTTGGGTATAATTTATGGTTTATTATGAATAAAAAGCATTCGGTTACACAGGTAATTCATGGATTGTTCTCGCCAAAAGAGTTACATCATCTTTTGGACCAAAGTAACTGCTTTCAAGTGTTTGGTCCCCTGCATCTAGAAGAAAAGGGCAAATAGTTATTCCGTGTTTCGTTTGCAACATATACATTTTAAAATATGCGAATCTCCACCTCTTTGCTAATGGTTTAGAAGATCTTTGTTAACATTTTTTATATATACTCCAGTATACAATTCGGACTACTTATGAAGTTCAGATTAAAAATCTGTTAATAGATTTTATTTTTGTCTCTTATCGCGGGTTAGATACTTTTAAAATTATAAAAGTAGTATAAATATAATATATTATTGTATTAATCTGCGCAGATGAATTGGGAAAATACTAAAATAGTTGACGGTCATTGAATAATCATAAGCATGCAAAAACGTTTAGTTTCGTCTAAGTCAGTGACTAGACCGATACAATAATAAGTTATACATCACCCTCAAAACTCAATAATACCTTATAAAATATCTCAATTCTCAATAATATCTATAAAATCACATATGGTTTAAATACAATCACGTGGGTACGTGGTGTCTTAACAGTGGGATCATCAATCAATGTACAAGATCTTCTATTTTCGTTCTCAAAACAAAAAATAGTATCTCAACACTCTATGGAATATCTTCAAAACAAATATTCGCTTAAAAAACGTCCCTCTCGATCCTGTTGCCTCTCTCGCGATATATTGATATCTTTGCGAAAAATTGATAGAATAATATGTTTGTCGTAAAAGGAATTAAGGAAACGTAAGCTTGAAAATGACGTTACACGTGTTATATATGGTACGGAACGCGACAGTGAGCCACATAGGGGACCCTGAAGGGAAAGGTAGGGACAGTGATTTGATTCGTCGCTGTCGGACTCAGATTTGGTGGATCCTTCGATCTTTGGGTCTGCTTTACCCACGATAGCAGGCTTGTATGCCCGAGCCAAGCCATCGTCCGTTCCCCTCAATTTTTTACACGGCGCTGTACGTGTAAGCTGCGGAAGGAAATAAAATGGCGTTCTGATTAAGTACAAACGCTTGGCAGCGAGCGACTATACGAGCAACGACGCAAAGTTTTAGAAGAAAAAACGCTGACTCAATTCGGGTCACATTTCTCCTTATGGGGCTTATAAAGAGCCACGTGAACTTCATATGAATGAGGTTGAAAAGATCGATGAACATTTTTTTTTTATTGATAATTTATGAAAGACAATTTGTTTCCAACTGTGACAGTTGAGTTAGGTAAATACCAGTCAAACCCGGGCGTCCAGTGAAGTTTTTCTAACACATGGCAATGAGGAAAGTAATTGCGATGATATTTTTGACGAGGATGGCTAAATACTTCTCATCCATCCATTCATAACAACGATGCGAGCAGTTAATTATTGATGTCTCAAGTTTTTTTTTTTTTTGCGGCAAAATTATTTTGTACTCCAAAGAAAAAGCTTTGGTCCCACGTATGTTTTTCTCTTCTAATTATGTCCCCAATACTACCAGAAACTTTAGCTGTCGTCAAATTCTTAGCACTTACGGAAGTGCTCAGATCTTTTATTTGCGATTCAAAGAAATATCGCGAACTTTTTGCTATTTACACAAGTACCCGGAATTTGCGTTATTTACCAAAGTTCCAACTTCCTCGGATGTCTTACCAAATGCACCCGAAACTTTTTAGATGTAACCGTAACTTTTGTAACCTGAGTTTTTTTTTCGTTTCAATACATATTTTCTTTTGTTATCGACTTATCAAACTATTATTTTTTTTTACAAATTGGCATGATATTATGTCTAAAACAGAGGAGACCAATTTTTTTATTAGCTTATTGATGTCTCAAAAACTTTTGCTGGTTATCGTTTTTCAGTCTTGTTACTCGACACTTCTTCTCCTCTTCCATCGTTGATTCAGAGGGATCTTTCGTACAAGAAGCCTCGACTATAAACCTTTTCTTTTGTTTTTTTGGGTGCAAATGTGAACATTTTCTTTTGTTGCTTATAAGGAGATCAATATTATTATACTACACACAAAACACTAGCATTTATCAACACCATCGTTGATATATATTTAATTATTTACACTCGTCTCCCACACTACCAAAAATATAAAGGATTCATTCTAAAAGAAGAATCCTAAAATATAAGAAAAAAACAAACACTATAGCACAAAAAATGGGAATAAATCGAATTTTAATAACTCCAAAGGGACACGTCAGCATCTCCGTCGCAGTCATAATTATGACTCCATTGTACGGACGGCGGCGGCAAGAGCAAACCTTCCGCCATACTAGCCAGCAAACTCGGCATCCCGAACATCGCCTCATCGTCCATATAACAAAAACTCTTCGCTCTGTTCCGCCGTTTCCATAGCTAGCTCCAACGTCGTCGCCGCCGCAGCCATGTCCAGGACATGATCCGTCGTCGTACCACTCATCTCAGCCTGAAACGCCACCGCTGCTTCAGCCGCCGCCTTCTGGATATCCTTCGCGCACGTTGATTCCGGGATACGGAGCCGCCAAGCCGAGTCAGCGAAATTGAGGCAAGCGGATCGGCCACGGAGGGCTATGGCGGCGACGTCGTGAGCACGCGCTGCCATTTCAGCTGTTGGGAACGTTCCGAGCCAAATCCTCGATTTCTTGTTTGGCTCTCTCACCTCACAAACCCATTTACCGGAGCTTCTCCGACGAACTCCTCTGTAAATTGGGTGGCGAGTCTCCCGAAACTTCTTCCGACCCGCCGGTTTCTTCGGACAGCTCGTCGCCAGCGTCGGACAATAATCGCCACCTCCGGTAGTTGGAGACTCGTATTCGGAGCCAAACATCTCAGAGAACGCAGAGAACGAGCTCATGGTTTAAAACTCTGTTTTTGAAAAACTGGATAAGGTTGTTAAGTAGAGAAACTGGATAATTAAAGACCTGTTTCTTCTGTTTGTTTGATAAAATATTTATTTATCTCTGTTTCTTTTCTTATTAAAGTGGATTTAAAGTTTGTATTTAGAGAAAAGTTGGAGTGAGAGTTGTGTTTATATTGGCTCGAGATTCTGGAATTTGTGTGGAAAAAAAAAAAAAGGCAAACACGGAGTTTCTGGCTCTGGATGTGACACGTTGACAGGAGAGAGCGATTACGATATTATCCCACGGTTTTGTTAATGCGTTAGTTTGGCTGTCACTCACTCAGTGCCTGACATGTGTCCTTTTTGCCAACGTGGCTTCTGAGTCTTCGCTCGTTATACCTTTTAAGAGTTTTTTTTTTTTTTTTTTTAACTTATAGTGTGTGAGTGTGCGGCTGTGTTTATCCCGTGATTAACTACTATCATCACCCTTTGAATTATACTACTGTATATCCGAGAAGATATTTTAAAAGGCTCTCTTGAGTTTCTTTCCTTGACATATTCTGCATTGCAAATTAGGTGGTTATAGTCATTAATTAACTTAAATACTTAATAATCACAATGTCATATACATGATATATCTACTATTTTAGTTGAGTGTGGCTATATATATACATTATGTATATTACTTACATTTTAAACTATTATAACTTCGGTAACACACGCACACCACCTTATTTTTCTTTCATCTCTAGGAAAAGCTTTTTTCTTCCCTTTCCTCTTCTTTGTTACTGATCAGTTAAAAAAAGTGATTAAAACTCGTGATATTACTAAGTCAGCTCAGTTGTTCGAATAATGATAGTGCAATTTCAAATTTTGAAATCTTAATTTATTGAGAAAAAAATAACAAAAAGTATGTAACTGGACTCGGCCAAGGATTGAATTATTTAAACCTATACAATAGCAAATATAATAGTATCTGCAAAATATCTAAAATCTCAAATAGTATCTTTAAGAGAGAAAAAAGGAAGAAGAAGAAGCTTGTGGTTTAAATGTAATCATGTGGGTGCGAGTCTTTTAAAGTCGCATGTTCAATCGATGTACAAGATTTCAATATTCACTATTTTAAAAAGAAAGAAAATCAGTATCCTTATAATATCTTCTCGCTGACAAAAAACGAGGTCGCTTTCGTCACCTCTCACTCTCACATTATATTGACATCTTCGGAGAAACAAAGAAGACGACAAAGAGAGGGAAACTAAAGGAGTGGCGATGTGCAGAAAATGACACAATAATCTGTTTCTAGTAAAAGGAAAGTAAAGCTCGAAAGTGACGTGACATGACATAAATACAGAACGGAAACTCGAGAGCGAGCCACGTATGGGGAGTCACACCAGTGAAGGGAAAAGGTAGGGACGTAGGGTCGTAGGGACAGTGTTTCCGCTGTCGAGCCACGGTTTGGGATATTTTTTACTGGCCGACGCGGTCTCTCGTGGGACCCATCCCTTTCTGTTTATGGAATACCGTTTGGGACTCCATTATTCAATCCCTGAAACAGTTGTTCGGTTTCATACTCTACTTTGGGAAACTTTTCTCTTTTGTTTGTTTAAACTTGTTTTGACAAAATCTATCTTTAATGCTGTCGTTGGCCTAGTCACTCGTCTGAGTTTATTTTATAAATTCCAAGGATCATCTCAAAACTTTTTTGGAGATATCCTCTTCTAAAGATTATAATTGTTTTCTCTTTAAAGTTAAAAGGAGTTTGCTTTCCCGTTTAGCTCGTGTTATATTTATATTCCAATTATTGTTTTAATTGATAACAAATGATTAAATTATTCACAGCTTTCTCTTCTTTCTTGCTGGATACAGCAGAGACTGGATACTGGATAGTAGAGTTGACAAAAAAAGTCCTTTGCTATATATAGAAATGTTGTATTTTTATTGGGCTTTATATGAACTGTTCATATATTGGCCCAACACTGCAGTGAGCTAAAAATTAGACGAATTCTAATATGCTGAGATCTTTTGCTATTGTAACTTTTGAAAGGACCACATGAAACCTTTTCAAATTACAGAAAACTGTGGAGCTTATGATTCAAAATATTACAGTTTTTTTCAAACGACAATCCTTTTCCTCTTCCATCCATTCAGACGGATCTTTATCACAAGAAGCCTCGAAACTATCAATTTTTTCTGCTGCATTGAAAGAGACCAAAGATTATACTAACTTTATACTGCACATAAATTTACATTCGTTTCCCACAGTACCAACAAAAATACAGGATTCACTCATTCCAAAAAAGGTATAATCCTAAAATCTAAAAAAAAAATATATATAGTACAAAAATGGAAAAATAAAATATTTTAATAACTCCAAAGGGACACGTCAGCATCTCCCTCGACGTCATAACTATGACTCCACTGTACAGACGGCAGCGGCAAAAGCATCCCTTCCGCCATATTAGCCAGCAACCTCGGCATCCCAAACATAGCCTCATCGTCCATATAAAACGCAACATCACTCTGTTCCACCGTTTCTATAATAGCCATCTCCACCATCGTTTCCCCCATGTCCAGGCCATGTTCCGTCGTCGTATCACTCCTCTCATCCTCAAAAGCCACCGCTGCGGCTTCAGCCGCGGCCTTCTGGATATCTTTGGCGGAGGTTGATTCCGGGATTCGGAGCCTCCAAGCCGAGTCAGCGAAATTGAGACAGGCGGATCTGCCACGGAGGGCTATGGCGGCGACGTCGTGAGCACGCGCTGCCATCTCGGCTGTTAGGAAAGTCCCGAGCCAAATCCTCGTTTTCTTGTTTGGCTCTCTAACTTCGCACACCCACTTGCCGGAGTTTCTCCGACGAACTCCTCTGTAAATTGGGTGACGAGTCTCCCGAAACTTCTTCCGTCCCGCCGGTTTCTTCGGACAGCTCGTCGCCAGCGTCGGACAGTAATCTCCGCCCAAGGAAACCGGAGACTCGCAATCATCGAAGGTAAACGTCTCAGAGAACGCAGGAAATGAGTTCATGGAGCAGAAGTAGTTACTAAAGATCACTGTTTTTATTGTTTATCTCTCTTTCTTTTTTCCTGTTCTGGATGATTTTAAAGATTGTAGTTTGAGAAAAGTGGGAGTAAGAGTTGGTGTTTATATTGGCCAAAGATATTTTGAAAATTATAAAAGAAAAACCAAACACGGAGTTTCTGTCTCTGGGAATGACAAGTGGGCAGGACACAGCTAAATATCCCACGGTTTGTAATAATTGTAAATGCGTTTGTTTTTACTATCATCCACTCAAACTATGACACGTGTCATTTGAAACGACTGCGCAGGCTTTTGAACTCTTCACTCGTTATGAGTTTTTTTTTTTTAACTTCTATTGTTGACTGTGTGGCTGTGAATGTGATTGTGTAGAGTAACACAACTGCTATTTAACTATTAATTTCCATGGATAAACAAAGGGCACAAATCGTTACTGCCGTTTGCACACAAAAAAACAAATTATCATTGCTGACAAAAAAGAACAAAAAACAACAAACAACTTGTCATTAAAAATGATGGACATACAATATATTTTGAAAAGTATATTATATATATATATATATGAAAAAGACAATTTAAATGTTTTATTTCCCCTTTGACATATTGTGCATTGCAAGACTCCTATTATAGTAAGAGCACGAATGATTAAATAACTGAAATAAATTTCAAAATAGTAAGTAGAGGAGATAAGGATGTTAGTCGTAATTTCTCAATTGGGGGTGTTTTAAGAGAAAAGCCTTATGAATTAAGATTGTTCTAGCTAGGATCGAGACTACCAAAGCAATGGAACATCTTGTAATTATATTTCTATTTATATAGATATGTGACATTTTCGAAAAATTAGATCGGTAATTGGTAAACCAAAAATACAGAACTTAGATATCACAATCTCACAAAAGACTCAAATTAAAAGTAAAAATTCTATCATACACAAGTATATACCTATTCTCACAAGTTCGATTTCCATCAGAATTGGTTCAAAGGATCTTCATTTCCATCAGAAATTACAAATCACCGGGTCCTTTTTGTTCCAAGTGTGGTTTCAAATATCCAGCAACTTGTTCTAATATTGTTCTAATGGGTTTTCTCAAAAATAAAATAACAAGTTGTTCTAAAATTCTTCTAATGGTAGATGTCATCTGAGTTAATGTTGTAAATTTTTTTTTCTGTACGATAAATTTTAACTCTTATGCGCCCTCTCTCTCCTTGGCTATTGACTTAATAATGATCTAGACTCTAGATTATAAACAAAAACACAGTTTAAAAGTACTAGAACATGGAATCAGTTTACTAAAACTAACAAAAATACCTAAGTGGAGACTAAGCAAAGGATTAGACCGATACAGCGGCAAGTTATACATCACTCTCAAATCTCAAGAATATCTATAACTTACCTAAAATCTCAATGCTATCTATAAAGAATACATGTGGTTACTTACTTACTTATGTGCGTGAGAGTCTCTAAAGTCGTAGATGTACAAAATCTCCATTTTCATCGTGTAAAGTGTAAACAAAACAAAATAATGTCTACAAAATATCTGCATAAAATATAAAATTCGCTTACAAAAGCGTCCCTTCGGTGTGTCTAACGCTCAAGAGTCAAGACAAGACGACAAAAGAGAGGGCAAAAATAATGGCAAGGTGCAGAAAATAGTAGTATTAACTATTAAGGAAAGTAAAGTTTGAAAGAGACGTGACACGTCGTTAAGGTACGGTTTTTCCACTGAGAGGCACGTAGAGGGCCAGCGAAGGGGTGCTTTCGCTGTCGAGCCACGGTTTTGGATTTATTTGTGGCTCACGCCGTCACCCACTCTCTCGTGGGACCCATATTTCTGTTTCTGGACTATTATACTGAGGTTTGCTGAATCGCTTATTTCCGTTTTATACTCTCATTTGGAAACTTTCTTTTTATCTTGTTCGAAAGATTGATAATCTAGTGGACTAGAATAAACTCGTCACTGTCGGAGTCTATTAAAAGATTAAACCAGATCATCCAAAACTTTTTCGAGATATTGTTTTAATTAAGCAAATATACAGATTATCATTGTTTGCGTCTTGCGAACCTTTTTGCTGGATATTCCCTATTCGCCAGTAAACGTTTTTAAACACATAAAAGGTTTGATATTTCGGAGGAGACAGTTTTTATTTTGTGTGTTCACTTGCTTGATAAAAAATATTGTGATTTTGTTGGGCTTTTTATTAGCCCAATACTGTAGACATCTAAAACTAGACCAACAGATTTGCAGGCCTACTCTTTTTTTTTCCCACAAAATTAATCCTTAGGAAAATAAAAAAGAAATATATCATCAGTTTCGTTTTCGTCTATCGTAAATAAATAAAAATTGAAAAATAAAAATAAAATATCTGCTCCGTTCCCAACTACCCCCATTTATCTTATCTCTTATCTTACCTGTTTCACTTTCACCATATCTCTCGAGCAAACCAAAATATCTGCAACGAGCTTCTTCTAGGGCTTCGACGCGACGGCGGCTTAATCATTCCATTTGATCACTTTCGCAGGTAAGATTTTGTGGAGAAATCTGTAGCTTTTGAATTGCGAGATATTGGATCTGATCTGGTTGCTCTTTCGTTTTTGTTTGCAAGTCAAATTAGCAGAGTACGAGGGAGTTTGTCGATCTCTTATTATTTTATTTTCTCAGTTGAATATCATCGGAGCTTCTTTGTGTTTGATTTAGTTTGTTCAACATTCATTCATGCTTTGCTTGCTTGTTCTCGTTTGCAATCTTCTGCGAATTGTTTCAGATCTGTGAGTTTTCACCAGAGCCACTTAGATTAGAATTAGATCTGATGCATGCTTTGATTTCTCTTCCTCTTGATACGTTTCCTCAGTTGTTAAATTGTCTCGAATTGACGGATTGGAGCTCGAATATTCTATGAATCTGAAAGTGTCAATGTAAACTTTATGTTATTAGATTTCTTCAATGGCAGTGATATACAATTTGAATAGATGAATACCTGAATCAAAGCAGTCAATACGAGCAAATCCATTTAGTGTTCAGTGTGTTAAGTGTTCATTTTGTTGCTTTTAAAATATCCTTTGTATAAATCCTTTTCCATGGTGTCTGTGAATGCTTTGATTCTCGTGTGAAGTGTTCATTTTGTTGCTTTTAAAATATCTGATGCATGCTGCTCTGATTCTCGTCCTTTTGATACTTATACTCAGTTGTTACTCGTCTCGAATATTCTACGAATCTGAAAGTCTCGATGTAATCTTAGTTTTCTTCATGTTCGATCTCGAGCTGTGGCTACTGGCTACTGGTAGTCAATACGAGCAGATCCATTTAGTGTGATGGCTGATATGCACTGATCCATTTTGGTGCTTTTATATTACCATTTGTATAAATCCTATTCCATGGTTTCTGTGCAGGAAGCAGGAAGCATGAAGCCAGTCTTCTGTGGGAACTTTGAGTATGATGCGCGTGAGGGTGATTTGGAACGGCTATTCAGGAAATACGGCAAGGTTGAGAGGGTCGATATGAAATCTGGTAAGCTTGTTTTTTTTCTTTCTTTTTCTTCTGCCCTTTCTCGTAATTTATCTTTGCGGTTAACCTCGATGGGCAAGCAGTGTATCGTAAATATTCAATTGCATTTCATTAAAATCCACTTGCGCGCTCATTCCACGAGATTACTCTGGAAGACTCTCTCTCCCTTTGGAAGGAAAGTATTTTCCCCCACACCGCAACCAAGCAGAGAAGTACACTTTTGCACCACATCCGCCTGGTCGTGTGAAGCAGTGCGGTGGAAGTTTGGATAGTGCTGCAGAAGAAAAAAATTGAAAAAAACAATTAGTATTTTCTTTGGCGCAGGATAGTTTAATCTTGGGATGCCTATACTTTTCTCCCACCAGGCCAGTGATGGACCGTAAGGAAATCCATCTCTCTGTCCCGCAAAACGAGTCACTTTCCATCCGCAATGGCACTGCCATAACAAATTGAGTCACTTTCCATCCGCATTGTCACTGCCATATCAAAATGAGTCACTTTCCATCCGCAATGGCACTGCCATATCAAAATGAGTCACTTTCCATTCCGCATTGTCACTGCCATCATTAATTACATTACATTCATCATGACTTTGCACTCTTGGACATGCCTCTGCAATGGAGAAGGCACTCTCTTTTCATTCACATCCCGTCTGACTTCCTCATTTTCACTTGTTCCTTGACATATTAATTCCATAATGCAAGGTCTGTACCTGCTTCACTAGTCATTTAGTTTGCAGAGTTTTTTAGGTTCTAGGAATGTTCAAATAATATGTTCTACTAGGTAAGCATGGCTATATCCTTCCGCTGAAGGAGAGAGGACAGTCTTTGTTCTCGCTGGAGGTTCTTAACCTGGTTTACTTTTCTCATTGTTTATGTACTCATATCTATGCTTTTGGATTTTTTTTCTCCAGGATTTGCGTTCGTGTACATGGAAGATGAAAGGGATGCTGAAGATGCAATCCGAGCGCTTGACCGCTTTGAATTTGGGCGTAAGGGACGCAGACTTCGTGTTGAGTGGACAAAGGTAGGATACTGACCTCAGGATTTATTTTCTTTTCAGAGTTTGTTATTATGTTCGACATGTACTGATGATTTTAGAGGGTCTTTGTGTAGAGTGAACGTGGAGGTGATAGAAGATCAGGTGGTGGTTCAAGGAGATCTTCATCCGGCATGAAACCTTCCAAGACTCTGTTTGTGATCAACTTTGATGCGGATAATACCAGGACCCGGGATCTGGAGAGACACTTTGAGCCGTACGGCAAAATCGTAAACGTTAGAATCAGGAGGAATTTTGCTTTTATCCAGTACGAGGCACAAGAGGATGCCACCAAAGCACTGGATGCTACAAACAACAGGTTTGTTTCTGACCAATTCCGTTTCTAATTGCTTTCTTTACTTAAAGACTCACGTTTTGCCTGTTGTTTTGAGTCAGTAAGCTGATGGATAAGGTGATCTCGGTGGAGTATGCTGTGAAGGACGATGACGCAAGAGGGAATGGGCACAGTCCTGATCGTCGCCGTGACAGGTCGACTGAAAGGAGAAGGCGATCACCGAGTCCTTACAAAAGAGAAAGAGGAAGCCCTGATTATGGCCGAGGTGCGAGTCCCGTTGCTGCATACAGAAAGGAAAGGACCAGTCCTGAATATGGACGAAGACGTAGCCCAAGTCCTTACAAGAAATCAAGGCGTGGTAGTCCCGAGTATGGTCGGGACCGCAGAGGCAATGAGAGCCCTCGCAGGAGGGAGAGAGTCGCGAGCCCGGCTAAGTACAGCCGCAGTCCGAGCAACAGGAGAGAGAGGGTGAGCCCTAATCACAGCCCGGTGAAGAAGGAAAGCCCGAGAAATGGAGTCGGTGAAGTTGAAAGCCCACATGAAAGGAGGGAGAGGGAGAGATCAAGGTCTAGCCCTGAGAATGGCCAAGTCGAAAGCCCTGGCTCTATTGGGAGAAGAGACAGCGATGGTGGCTACGATGGTGTAGAGAGCCCGATGCAGAAGAGGTTAGAGATCGTGAAACTGGTTTGATGCTTTGTTTTATATGATATGAGATTATGAAATCAAACCATTTTTTTTTTGGCAGCCGGTCTCGTTCGCCTCCAGCTGAGGAGTGAGGAAAGTGGAGGATCTACCACCATCTGTATCAATGTAGGATGTTGTAACTGTTTCAGTTTGTAGTCAAAACTCTATGTCGTCGTGTTAAGTATTTTGTCTTTCGCTTAAATGCTTTCTGATACATTCGGATTGGATGTCTCTTATTTTGTTGGATTGAAAAACTTTTCGTCTGTGTGCTTTAAAACGTGGGTTCTGAAATTCTCGTTTTCGTTTGAATATCTCAGTTTTGAGTTTTGAAGTCCGTTGATGAACCATTGTTGGAGTATATGATGGAGTATATGATAAGCGTGCAATAATGAATAGCTGCTGTCTATGAAAATCAAGGCTTTCTTGTTGATAATTCGTTTAGTCAGAGTGTGCATCAGCAAAGAAAATTGAAATCTGAAAGTAGTATAAACTTGCCGATTCTTTATACCATGATCACTTGAGCTCAAAAGAGTTTTTGCAGAGTATAACTTTAAAAGATGAAAACTTTATCAGATTTCTGAATTATACTTTAACAATTGCGAAATCATATTTCAAAAGTTTGTGACAAAAGAATGAAAAGGATATATTTTTCATTGTCACAAAAAAAAGAAAATCTGTCTCTTATATTTTTATTTTCCGGGTACTACTCGTCTGCTATAACATTTTCTCTTTAAATTATAAAGTTTGATTTTATAGTAAAAGAATCTAGAGGTAATTGCTGTCAAACAAACAAATCTTACAGATATATTATCAACCAATCAACCACATTTTCAGAAAAGGAAATGTTAAAAGAGATATGTCTACTAAATATGACCAATTTTCTTTTTTCATACCATTAATTTTCATATCTTCTTTGTTTTAATGAATTTTAATAAAATTAGTAAATGTGTTTTGAAATGAGTGGTGAATAAATTTATGATAAGACCATCTAACACTTTAGTGTTAAATTTTAAGATTTTTCTGATTTTTTTTATATAAAGTTATGGAAGAATGTAATTTCTATTATATTTTTGAATTTTTCAAATCATAAGAACATAAAATTCAAAACCAGTTAAAATATTTGATAAAAATTAATTTATTATTTGAAAAATGTAATTTATCATTACCGTTATAATCTGTTATATTTCGTTATATTCCGTGTATCACACGGAAAAATATACAAATATATTTAATATCATATTCGTTAAAATTAGTTGATTACTTTCTCTCGAATATTTGAAATTTTATTTTTCACACTAAATTTGAAGTATTGTATTCATTAAAAAAGAATTTTTAGACAAAATGTACCTAATGTAATTGTAAATAGTTATATTTAGATAAGTTTTTCACCTCTAATATAAAAGTTTACCACACAAAAAGAGAGTGTGGCTTTCAATAAACGATCTTAGGACGCGTGGGGAAATCTCAGCTCGTAAACCTTCTCTTTGCTTCATATTTCTCTTCCTCTACGATTATAAATATGCATTCTTGGGCAACAACTTGAGAAGATTAAAACCATAAAAACTAGTAAACCCGTTCTCATAAATAAGATAAGATAAAAACTAGTCAAGGTTCTGATTATCTTTTCATAGGTACTGTCCTTTCACATATCTTTACAGATTCTTCGGTACATAGACATTGTAAGAAATTGATTTTTCATTTCAAGATTCCGATGCAAGTGTTTCTCTTAGGAGAATTGTTTTATCACTTTAGATTTCTACATATTTCAGTGTCTGCCAAATCTAAACTTTTTTCCTACGCAAATTCTTCACTCTTAATTGTGTCATGTTCTAGATCACCTTTGTGACAAGAGAAATAAATTAAGTTATCGAAATGAAATCATCAATAGATTCTCCTATGGATGATTTCTAGTGTTTGGTGAGGAGTTTATTTTATTTCATTTTTTATTTTTTTTTGGAATCGGGAAATAAGTTTATTTTATTTTATTCTATTTAACAGTGTTTGGTGAGGAGTCAACAACTATCTAGTGTTCTTTCACTGGTTTTGTTGTTTCCGGCTTTGGAAACAATGAGGAATACCCTTTTTGCTATTCTTCTTCCTATGTGTCAATTAATTTATTTGCTACTGACAATCAGAAAACCAAAAATTGATTTCTTTTTCTTTGTCCAAAATCGAATCTTTATAAACTGTATCTGATTTAGGGGGAGATTTAGGGTTCCAGATTTGTTCTTGTTCATGAGTATTTAATTTGGAGAAATTGGGTTAAGCTTAGGGATAAAAGGAATAGCCCGAATTTACGGGACCTGCTTGTCTTATTCCTTCATTATTATAAGTGATTTTGTTGTAGTTGTGGGAGAAAGGGTTGGCCACGTCACAACTTGCATGTAGATTGGGTTGAAATATCTGATACTTGATGAAAAAGCAATCTGATACACAGAGACCTAAACCCCATAAACTTCGTTGTTCATAATTATTAGAGTAGTGACTAACTGTATGCAATGTCTGGCTTGTTTTGCAGATAGGAAAGATGAATGGAGAATATGATTTTGATGATCTGTTTGACTACAATAATTTCAATCCAATCTTTATGGAAGGAGCTGGTAATGATGAGAATGATAACGTTGGTGCCATGTCTGGTGATGGTGATGATGATGATCATCATCAAGATGGTAAAAGGGCTAGGAAAAACGTCAGGCACAATGCTCAACAGATTCAAGAACTCGAAATGTTTGTTCATCAGCATCTTCTTCAATTCCTGTTTATTCTCATATAATTTGAGGCCATGAGGATTTCTCTTTACTTTACTGGTTTCTTCTCTTTCTGGTTTGTAGTTACTTCATGGAGTGTCCTCATCCTACTGAGAAAAGAAGGTCAGAAATTGCACAAAGGCTTAATATGGAGAGCAGGCAAATCAAGTTTTGGTTTCAGAACAAGAGAAGCCAAGAGAAGGTACGTACGAAACTGACAATATATGCATACATACATGTGGTTGTGTCTTTTTCTGCATTACATCTGTCCTCAAGAACCGGCTTTGGTTTTTGTGTTGTTTTTTTGTAAGCAGACACAGAAAGAGCGCAATGATGGTACAACCCTCAAGCAAGAGAATGACATACTGCGAGCAGATAATGAGCGTCTCAAACAAAAGCTGATGTTATCTACATGCTCAACTTGTGGTGGGCCAATGGATGATTCCTCTCTGGAGCAACAACTTTTAGCTCAGAATGCTAGGCTTAAGCAGGAGTTATTCTTCCATAACAACACCCCCATTCAAACACCGGCGCCGGTCAATCCATCCTCCTCGGTGCAGCCGATGATCTTTGACAATCCAGGAAGTTATGCACCACTAGTACTTGATTCTGGTGAACAAACTTCGACGTTTCAGGAGATGAGCAACATCCCCATTCAACCACCGGTGATGATCTTTGATAATCCAGGAAGTTATGCACCACTAATACTTGATTCTGGTGACCAAACTTCTAAGTTTCAGGAGATGAGCAACATCTCCATTCAACCACCGGTGGCTAATCCATCTTCCTCCTCGTCCCAGCCAATGATCTTTGATAATCTAGGAAGTTATGCACCACTAGGACCTGGTTCGGGTGGTCAGGAGATAAGCAACAACCCCATTCAACCACAGGTGGCCAATCCACCCTCCTCGGCACAGCCAATGATCTTAGATAATGCACCACTAGGGCTTGGTTCTGGTGGTCAAAATTTCACTTTGCAGGATAGAGAAAGGTATATGTATCTTGGCACTACTGCTATGACGAGTTGAGAAGATTGGGGTCGAGACGAATGGACAGCCCATACTGGAAAATAGACGAAAACTCTATGAGAGAAACAGTGAACTATGAGGCTTATAAAAGTTATTTCAACAGTGACATCATAACAAAACCTCCAGGTTATGTTGTGGAGGTTTCTAGGGAAACCGGTTCGGTTCGCATGCTTCCCTCGCTTCTGGTCCACATTCTTACCAACATGGTTAGTATCAACTCTGATTTTCCAAATACTCAATATTTTAGTAGCTATGTTGCATTAATTTCTAGCAAAATGTTTTATTTATTTTGAACAGACCAAGTGGGTCAAGGTGTTTGCTCCTATTGTGGCAATATCATCAGCTGAGAGAATCACTGATAACGCTACTAATGGATCTCAAAACGGCGCACTTCAACTGGTATATAAATATATATGTTTGTTCTCGTTCCTTTATATTTGGTTGATAATACAAGAAGAGCCATGCAATAACACTCTTTGCATGCATGGGAAGATTCAAGCAGAGTTTCAGGTGATTTGTCCGTTTATACAAAAGAGAAAAGTGAAGTTTCTTAGATACAGCAAGAAGATAAGAAAAGGAGTATGGGCTGTTGTCGACGTCACTCTTCCTCCTGAAAATGAAGAAGCTGAACGTTTCATGTATGAGCAAGGTCTCCCTAAACGCCTACCATCAGGGGTTATCATAGAGGACATGGGCAATAATTCCTCACAGGTTACTTCTGAATCCTATGCATGAAATCACTCTATATATCACAGACTGTTATAACACACGTGAGATTTGATTTTCACAGGTCACATGGATTGAGCACACGGAATATGATGAGAGTCGGATCTACCAACCTTACAGGGCTTTGATTGACTCTGGGATTGGGTTTGGTGCGAGAAGGTGGCTCATGACGCTGCAGAGATACTGCGATACATACTCGATCCATTCCTATATCAGCCTGTCTGGTCCTAACCAAGCTGACTCTAAACTTTAAAAAAACTCTTTCTTGAACGTTGAAATTTACATGAGAATCACTGTTTTGTTTTTGATTTTTTTTTTTTTTTGTATTACCATATATTTTATTTTGCTATCATGAAAAACAATACTGAGTGTGATGTAAATGTTTTTTTGGATTATATATAGCATTGTCTTCAGAGGGTGAAACTGAAATGGTGAAGCTAGTACAACGTATGAGTCAACAGTTCTACTCGGGCAACACTGGCTCTCCGATTTACAAGTGGGAGATGTTTCACTTGGAGAATGGCAACCCAAACACTCGTTTCATGACCCGCAAGAACGTGAATGAGGCCGGTATGCATACCGGGATTGTCCTGAGTGCAGCAACTTGTGTTTGGCTCCCACTGAGCCATCAAAGACTGTTTGATTTCCTCAGCGACACAACACATAGAAACTGGTGGGATATCTTGACCAAGACTAGCTCCGTGGAAACTCCCATCTCGATTCAAAAAGCAAATTCCCAAAGCAACTTCTCTCTTCTTCACATCCTTGTGAGTTTGCAAAAACAAAAATTTCGTTTTTCTTTCTTTTCTTTTGTTGGATGTTTCACTTATAGTTGTTGTGTGTGAGTTTTTGCAAAAACAGTGGTCTGGTATGAGAGTTGTTCAAGAGTCTTGGTGTGATACATCGGGTGCATACATGGTGTACGCACCAGTGGAAACCGGGCAAATCGCGGACGTCCTAGTGAGAGGTGCAGCTGCCGATAATATCAAGATTCTTCCCTCGGGATTCTCGATATTACCAGACGGAGTGTTTGCTGGAGGATGTCTACTCTCATTCGGACTTCAGGTCCTGCTCTCCCATAACCCAACCGGCGAACTCCCTCAAGCTTCTGTCAAAACTGTCGGGGAACTCATTGATTACACCATTGCCAGGATCAGATCCGCTTTCCATATTTAAACTTAGACTTTTGCTTCTCCTGTTTCTCTTGTTCGGTCTTGTATGATATTCCGTATTCGACATTTTAATTTGGAGACTCTTTTATTCTTCCTTCAGTTTAAGCATCTTCTCGCATTACAGTATTATGTGAACAATTTGAAGGTATGTGGCAGAATAAACAAATGTGAGAAAGGAACGAAACAACTGAAAGATAAGAAGAATCAATTGAAAGATATTTCGTGTTTTCTTTCTTTTTTTCTGAAAGTCTCAGATTGTTACAAACCAGAACAAAATAGAAAGTTAGAACTCAGAACTTTGTGTATATTCCAGAATAACATCCATAGTGACAGATTGGTTCACTTGTATCAACTAGAGGAGGAAGATGACTTTCCTGAAGATATTGCATCTGCACCACCACCAGTTGTTTCTCTATCCAAGCCTTTAACATCCGGAGTCTTCTGTGAGATTTTGGCCTCGGATTTACCCGTTTTGGTGCCATCGTCCGCTTCTGCTGCATCTTCACCATAGAAAGACCCAGAGGATCTCAGTTCCTTGACCATTTGAAACTCGTTATAGTGTGCACGTCTATGTTCCTTGAAACTTGCATTTTTCTCACCCTCAGAATCTGCAGTGCACAAAAAAAAGACAGAGATAAAATATGACATAAGGAAACTACCAAGTCAGGTTTGATCTGTTTATTTGGTTTTGCAACGAACCTTCTTCATATTCTTCCATTGGATCTGCTTCATCCTCTGACGAGCTCCAGGCACCGGAATCGGATCTCTGGCTGGTGTTTTTACTGGATGAAGCTACATCATTCAGAACATTCCTTAGCTCTTCCGCTCGATGCATTTCATCAACACAGATGTCAAACGAGCTTCCTTTGGGAGACGTAGAGCCTAATAAAACCAACACAGAAAGAAAATCACAAACTTTGCCCCATAAACAGACTGATAACATTTCAAATAAACCAACCAGAGACTGACAACATTTCATTAACCAACCAGAGAGAGTATTAAGATTTTTCCCCATAAACAGGAAGCCTAAGATAAACAAAACATACTCTAAGTTATGTTTGTGCTACTTTACTTTTTAGCTGAATAGATGTGCGTACTAAATTGTGTTTACAATATGCCAAAAATTCAAAAGCATATATGAAGGCGAAACAGAGAAATGGACAAACCATCATCATCAATCATCGGGTGATACGGCGTCTTTGGTTCAGTAATCTTCTGTCTCACAGGTTTGTTGGATTCAATTTCCACTATATTAGCTTCATCCCATTGTACACGTCCCCTGCCATAGAAGTGAACATACGTAAGCTAATTGCTAAAACAAACAATACAGACAATGTGCTTCAACCTAAACTACATATACTAGCAAACACCCTGTGATAAACTAAGCTTCATCACCCAAATGCTGTTGCCATTGTTCAAAAGCCAATACATGAGCCTAAAACCAAGACAATATAATTCTTAATGGCTTCAATATATTTCTTATTCATCCATGATGCAGATCATGCTTTACTATTAGGTGAAAGGTGCAATCCAGAAATATAAAAAATAGCCTAACTACTAGACACAAGCTGAAAGGAAATCGGGAGAAGGAGAAACATACTTCATCTTGAGCTGATTATATTCTCTCTCAGTCTGACTCAGCCAAAGTTCTACAGCTCACCTGATTGAAACATCAAAGAAAATAATTCTCGATTATCTTCTGAAATAAAAATTACACGGCAGCTCAAACAAGCTCATGGAGACGAAATGTGAGACTAATAAAACGAATATCTGGAAATAGTTTACATTATGAACATGGAGAAAGAAAACAATGGCGAAAAATGAACAATCATCATCACTGAACCTAAAGATTTTAGATTCTGTGTTTAGCTCAACCAATAAGAATCAAATCACACAGCAACCAAATTTCCATTGAATTCTTCAGGAACCAGCAAAACAACTCGTTAAACAAATTTATCATTCCTCCATTTGACATCAACACATAGAGATCAATCCCCGAAGAACTCGAGAAAACCGAGCCGTACTGTTAGATTATACACATACCAAATAAAAAATCCATAGAACACATTCGAAATTCACACCAATCGAATCAGATTTCGATCTACAGCTCCAATAAAAAGTCAGTTTCTTCCTAATTTAAGAACACAGCATCGCAACAACAGATTTTCCTTACCTCTACGAATCGGATGCTTTTCTCGCTTCCAGAATTTTTGTTTTTTCTCTTTCTTGCTCGAAACTGGAATTTTTCTCGTGGAGTAGAGAATCTCGTATTTACCCCTCACGATCGATCACCAGTTTTAAGAAGTCGCACGGTCGATAGCCGTCCGTGCATTTGACTTTGACTATAATAGATTTTAAGTTTCGCCACGTGTAATACTATAATCCGTTAGATTCGACTAATCAACATTGACTGCATCATGTCCCATTCCCAAAAATATGGGTAGTTCTGGAAAATCATGATCGCTTTTTCTTATAACATCTAGTTTTGAAGGAGAAACAAAAGAGCTGATTCGCATTGGAAACAGAGGAAGAAGGAAATGTTGTAGAATCTTATCACCAGAAACTATATTACATTCGATTAATTATGTACAAAAAGCAACACAAAGCTGCTTAAATCAGAAGCATAAACCATCCCTCTTAACTCCATTTTCTTGTTACTACACATAATCTATCGCCAGTTAATACATTACTACTTGCTTTCACTTGAGTAAAACCGAAGCAGTAGATCCAAAACCTTGCAGTTGATGAAATGTTGGATTGAATAAATGATGAAGGTGGGTTTAGTTTGATCTTGACCTTGCTACTAAATCCTCTGCCATCTTCCAAGCCCGGTTTAAGAACTCTAATGACTTTGAAGGGTCCTCTTCAGAGAGAGCAAATCGCAGGTCTGCAAACAAGTCACATAAAGCAGATAAAGATTTTTCTGCGTTTGCTGAATCTTCAGAGTCGAGAGATTCTTGGCGTTCTTCATGTCCTTTTTGTTCTCCGAGTGTGTTTCTCTCTCTTGCACGTACCTCAGCTTCCAACTTTGCAGCCATGGAAATGGCTCGATGTATACACGACGGAGGTATCTACAGTCAAAGCATAGATGTGAAACCAGCTTTCATGTAGAGACTTACTGATCATCTTCAAGCGTAGAGAAGGAGTTTACCTGAGCAAGCTGAGCAACCTTAAATCCAAAGCTTCTGCTACAAAGACCACGCACAAGTTTATATAGGTAAGTCACATCATCATGATCAGAAACGCCATTCTCCTTCTGCGACGTCAGATACGAGACATGGTATGTCCCAACGGATCTCGGAAATCCGTTACTGATCTCAGCTATTTCAGGGTAATGCGTGACAAAAAGAACCAAACATCTCTTTTCCGCTAAGAGATGTTGTAATGTTGCATACGCAATGGCTACACCGTCGTGTGTGCTAGTGCCTCTTCCAAGCTCATCTATTATAACTAGCGAACGCGAAGAGCAGGTTCGGATTATGTGAGAGGCTTCACTTAATTCTTCTAGAAAGGTACTTCGACCATGCTGGATGCTGTCTGAAGCACCCATCCGAGTAAAAACACCATCAAGAACATGCAGCTTGGCGAATGAAGCTGGTACGAAGGAACCAACCTGGGAAACAAAAAGGAATAACTAGCATTCAACGTATGTATGAGATGTTGATCACGCATAAGCTTATCAGGTCTATGTTACCTGAGCCATTATGGAAATTAAAGCAACTTGACGGATATAGCAGCTCTTTCCTCCCATGTTAGGTCCAGTGATAATTTGGCAATATTCTCCTTCGGCATGCAAGCTTGTGTCATTTGGGACGAAGTTATCTTGTAATATAGTCTCCAAAACCTGTGAAAATTTCAAAACACAATGAGCGAATGATATTTCCAACTAGAAAAATAAAAAGAAGCAAGAGCAGATGCATACAGGATGACGACCAGACTGTATGTTTATCTCAACTGGCTCACAGTCATCCACAAATATAGGACAAACATAGTTCTGCATGGGGAAAAGAAGAAGACGAGTTAAGATTGAAAAGCAGCGACTACAAGAACAACTTTTTGGGTTTGTTCATTTGGTAAAACCTTGTTTCTAGATAGAGTTGCGAGGGAGTGCAAACAGTCCAACGCAGCAAGAGCTTGAACGGCAGCCTGAAAATCTGTATAGTATCTACTAAAACTCTTGAGGAAGCTATCCCATGAAGCTCGGTTTACAATGGTAAGATGTTCAGTTGCCAGAGCTAGCTCGTCCAACCCAGCTACTATTTCTGGGGGGTGATATCGAATAGTCTTTTTGGTGCTATTCACTTTCACCCAATTCACAGGAACCTTGGCATCAACGGGGAGCTGTATCCGAGAAAGAAAGCCTTAGCTTCAGATCAAAAACAACTTTCAACAACGAGTGTGTTATGCGCAAAAATGTGAATGAATTCTAGTGGATATGTGCACGAGATAGAAAGTGAGGACAGTAAACACAAAGAGCAAACCAGCAGAAGCTGCCTTTTTGAAACTTATTCTCATCCAGATACATGAAGATACTTTGTTGGTAAGTTGTAACCATTTGGGTGCAGTTTTAAAAAGAACAAAGAAAGCTGCACTTTTGCAGTAGTTTATCTAGAGGGTACCTCTATCAAATGTGTGATCCCGGACACCTGAAGAAATTCTAAATTTCGATTTGATAGCTTCTTGCGATATGAAGCTATCGAGGAATCCAGCTTTTCCTTGACAACTAAAACTGCTTGGCGAGCTTCAGCAAGCTGTGCATAGTAAATAACACAAATGGTTATGAAATACAAGATCGCTACTAACCAAATGATTTATGAAAATCAAATCAAGGTTAAAGAGCTCTGTGCATAGCATAAAGAGAGCAGCGGTAAATAGTATCAATTTGCAGGCAATATACAAACCTCAGGAAATTGGTCTTCGGAAGTGATTAGTATGTCGAGCAAGTCTCCTCGAACAGCCCCTTCTTTATTCAGGGCAGAGAGAAGTTTTGCAGCACTGTCAACCACAGCAGGGGATGAGACAACAGAAATCAATTTTCTCAGAAGAGAAGACCGCACAGTCGCTGATTGCATACTCCTCATTTCACAGTCTTGCTTTATGCCAAGCCGCTGAAGTTGCTTCCCCGCCAGTAAAATAGCTTCCATAACTGCGATGAACTTTACACCCAAAATGTTAAGAACCCTCAGGCCTCAGGTGACGAAGAACAGTAGATAAAGAACAAATTTACAAAATAGGGGTGGGAAAGCAAAACTAGTATAATTGTATAATATTTCCTCCTCTCCACTTTGTTTTCTTTTTCCTCAGCAAGATAACAAAGAACAAACAAATGCATTGGCCTGTAATAGCTTTACATATGACTATCTATAAAATGAACCATAGATTCTCCCTTATTAGTTGGAAAACAAAACAGAGTATTGGTATTAGTCAAATTAATACTTGCTTCATAGTAATAGCACCTGACAGATATTTTATACTTGGTTAGCCAACATTAACGGTGGTGATTTATACTTCCTCTGTGGACAAAATGATAACAGCATTGCACTATATGAGATGAACTAACTTCAGTCAAGACAAGGCACATATAAAAGACGGCAAAGGACAGGCCAAGTTTCACCTCTGTGGCTTTAGCAGTCCGATGAAAGATTCTTGTGATTCCGCGTTGAACATCAGGTGACCTAGACAAAGCTGTCAAGACTGAGGAGAGCACGAGATAAAACTCAGGTGGTACAATTGTTCTCTCAGAACCTTCTTCATCCAAATCATCGCTGATCTGGGTAGAACTATGAGATCCCATGCATGCAGAAATCTCAGAAACAGCATCAAGGCGAGCAGATATCAAATTTCTATCGCAAAGAGGATGAGTCACCTGTTGAAATGAAAGTGTAAACCATGATAAGTGATCTTTTAAAATCCAAACTGTTAGATATGAAAAAAGTGTCTTACCCAGTGTCTAAGAAGCCTGGAGCCATATACTGTAAGAGTGTGATTCATATTATGGAATAAGGAGCCAGACTCCGATCCATCTGAATTATTTCTCACAACCTGGAGACAGAAACAAAACTCTGTTAGAGAGAGTACTTAGAAATGACTGAAGTTATAATATTTACTGAACATCACAACTGTGACAGGTCAAATAAAAGCGGAAAGGACCTCCAATTGTTGCAGTGTATTGGCCGAGAGAGTCATCTCTGTGGTGCTTGACAATGAGCGAAATGAATCCCCCTGAAATAAGATCCTTTCAAATCCAAACTGTTTGAGATGACAAAGTGTCAGGGCGAGGGCTTGAACAGTCAAATGTGGCATGTTCATAATTGTCTGCACCATCAACAAAGGAACACATTATCACTAATTGCAGCAAGCATCTAAAAGGGGGAAAAAAACTCTTCTTGAAAGCTAGATGTGTTCATTAACAGAACAAGATAAAGTGAAGGTCTTTAGGAGATAAAATGCCATACATGAACTGTCAAGCAAGGCCTTCCTTCTTCTGCAACCTCCACGTTGACCTGATTGCTTGCACTGTGATCTTCATATAATGATATAACCTCATCTACTGCACTACCATTGCGAAAACGATCCAGTGAGGCTCGTTCCACTCGAACATTTGAGGTCGGTCCAGCATATGCCAATAAAAACTACCAAACGAACATCCATCAGCACACGTATACACATCGACTAAGAACAGAAGTTCTACTCTTCTAAACTAATCCATAGAGTATTTTACCATACAAGCAAAGATTCTTGTGTCAAACAGTTCACCAAGAGGGATTAACCAACAATGCTTGAATAAGTAATATTTACTCATTTATAAATATACCTTCTCAGTTTGCTGTGATAGAGGTTGGCCAAGTAACAGCTCAGCTGGTGACAAGCTCAAAATCACAGCCTCTAACCCACTCCTCATGAAATTATCATTAAACTCTCCATGAACAACCTCACCAGTTGAAATCTCAACGGCAACAACGCCGACTCTAACCTCAAAAATCGCTTCCAAACCACAACCTAACGTCTCCGTGTTAACTTTCTCATCCACAACACAAACCAAAAAATTACTCTGTGCACCAAACCCTTCTTCTTCACCAACGCAACCGCCACTTATATCCTCAGCAGCTTCCAATGTGGCTTTAGTGTATAACGCCGATAGTCCCCGGAAAAAAGGGCCGGCACGGTTCGCACCGTGGGACTTGATGGCGGCAGTTTCAGTCTGCTTCACCACACCAATCTTATACCCTGCATTCACCAGCCTTCTCACATGGAACTGTAGTCGAAATGTTGGTATGCTCGCCGTCATGAAACTGTGATCCATATGAGCGTAGATGCCCAACACGCGTGCTGCGATCTCCGCGTCGTCTCCGAAGAATCTGTACCTGTAACCAACTTCCACCATCAGAATCACATCCGCGTGCTTGCTCTTTAGCTCCACCACCTGATTTTCCAACGGCGTGTACTTCCTAGAAGCGTTGGATGATGATTGGGGAGCAGATTCCTCCGGTGAGGGTTCTAGAAATCTCCGGAGGAACCTTTGGTGTAGATTGGGATCGGGTGTGGGGTTTTGAGTGTGGGGAGAGAGTTTAGGCTTTTTGGGTGACGCGGCGGCGAGGTGGTCGGAGAGAAGCTTACGCTTGGACGGAGAGAAGGAGACGGTGGCGGATATCTTCGGTGGCGGTGTTGACGATTCGGCTACCGGATTCGGTTCCTGAGTCAGCGGTGGTGAGGATTTGGGTTTGGGAGCGAAGAATCGAGAAATCACCTGCTGTTTTTGCTTGCTCATAATTGCGTCTTCGTATTCTCCTCCGTTTGAAATAGTTCGACAAATGGAAGGTCGTAGCTATGGCGAACTTGGTTGCCAATTTTGGCGCGCTTTCTTAGGTTGCTGCCTGATACTAACCGGTTAAGCAGATTAGTCTACTCACACAGTGACGACGACTGACGTACGGGACGGTTCTTATGGGCCAGGCCTTTATAATTGGGCCCAAGTCTGTATCAGGCCACAGATGGTTTGTTTCGTCAGTAAGAAAAATCGAGCACAGTCGTGACTCTAGAACTTGTCGTAGACAGTCATATTAATTCGCCGTCGAGATTTCTCTTCTGTCGCCGTCGCCGCCGCCGATCGATATCGATAGATCGATCCAGACAGAGGGAGAGTGACGGAGGAAGGAAGTTCCGACATTTTTCCGGCTAATTGGATTCGGAGAGACAGAGAAAGAGAGAAGGATGGCTATGTCTCAGGTGGTGAACACGTACCCGCTTTCGAACTACAGTTTCGGAACGAAAGAGCCGAAGCTGGAAAAGGACACCTCCGTCGCCGACCGACTCGCTCGTATGAAAGTCAAGTACGATTCCTCTGTTTCCTCTTTAATTTATGCTTTCTTCTCGTAGCTACTGCTGGAAAGATGCCAGGACTAAGAAAACCCTAGAAATCTCGGGCATTTTACATGCTTAGATCATGATCTGGCTGATTTGGTAAACGAATTGATAGTATATGATACTTTGGTAAACGATTTGATAGTAACTTTATAGTCTTGGATAAATGATACTTTATAATCTGGAATTTGCTTGGATAAATGATACTTTATAGTCTGGAATTTTGTAGTTTTAACTTAAGATTTGATGACTGAAATGTATATCTCTTTGTTGTTTTCAGCTACATGAAAGAGGGCATGAGGACAAGCGTTGAAGGGATTCTGCTGGTATGTATTTTCATTCCTTTTTCAAGCTGTGTGTTTATGTTTCTGCAATTTTTTGGTCCACTATGCTTGTTATACAACTTTTCTGTAGTTGATTCTATGTTGCATAACCACACATGAATGCCATTGAATTGTCAACTTACTTGGGGTTTCATCGTGGCGTATTCTGTAGATATGTATTGTTCCTCTAACCAGTGCATCACTAGAAACGTAGTGTGTATATTAAAAATTGTGTGATATTCGACTTGAGTCATCCTCATCCTGTCCTTGTAGCCATCTCTTCCTCGAGTTGATGTTGTCTGAGTAAACTTATATTTATCAAACTGTACTTAGTAAAGTCACAAGCACTATGGATCCAGAACTTTTAGTTAAAGTTTGTTGCTTCTTCTGGTCAGGTTTTGAACAAGCCATTTAGCAGGCATATTTATTCTCCTTGTTGTTTCATTTCTTTCTTTGTTTGTATGTGCTCTTGCCCTTCTAAGTGATCAATTTTTTTACATGAAGTAACATCTGCTCATCCCTTGACATTGTCTTTGGAACATATGATGATGTTTTAACATCCTAAGGTCTATCTTATAAACATATAACCCACAGCTACAGAAATCTTGTTGGTGCATAAGTTAAGTGATTAACCTAAGTGTAGAACTGTTATCACCTAATTTGATTTGAGCTTGGTTGTGTATGCTTCTAACCGTAGGATTGTTCTTAAAATCTTATGATGGTCAACCTTGCAGGTACAAGAACACAACCACCCTCATATACTTCTCCTGCAAATTGGGAACACATTCTGCAAACTTCCAGGTGGACGCCTGAAGCCTGGAGAAAATGGTAAACTAAAATCTTCCGTTATTAATACTTTCTATGCTGTTGTGATTTTCTTTGTTGGCTTACTTTGGGTGGTACTATTCTGTGTCTTGCAGAAGTTGAAGGCCTGAAAAGAAAGTTGACCAGTAAGCTTGGAGGCAATTCAGCTGCTCTTGTTCCTGACTGGAAGGTACTATCCTGGTTTCCTCTCTATTTCTTTGGCTGATATAGATGGCTTAAAGAAACAAAGAGTGTGTTTGATGTCTTTGCTATTGAAGAAAGAAGATTCCACACATGTCTGATTAGTGATTATATCTACAGCTTTGTCCCTGATCCATTGATTTCTCAATGTGTTTTTTTCCCCTTTAACAGGTAGGAGAGTGTGTTGCAACATGGTGGCGTCCAAACTTTGAAACCATGATGTACCCGTATTGCCCTCCTCACATCACCAAACCAAAGGTAGTAAAAAAAACACAACTTATACTCTTTTCCTGAATATGTTTGGTTCATATCTCTTTTTTATGGAATTGCAGGAATGCAAGAGGCTCTATGTGGTTCACTTGTCTGAGAAAGAGTACTTTGCTGTGCCCAAAAACCTGAAACTCTTGGCCGTCCCTTTGTTTGAACTCTATGACAATGTTCAGGTTCATATATTTCTAATGCTGTTAATAACCTCTTTGGAAATTGGTTTTACCACAAACTTCTAACTTAATTGTTGATTTCCTGGAACAGAGATATGGACCGGTTATATCAACCATTCCTCAACAGCTATCCAGATTCCATTTCAACATGATTAGTTCGTGATTCTACTCTTCTGGTGTTCGAGAGCAAGGTAGAGAGCTGTAGCTACCGGTTTAGAGAATGAGACTTTTGGATGATGCGTGTGGGTTTTTACATTATAGACTTTTTGGAATTATGAAGAACTGGATAATTCAAGTTTCAGCGCAAGAAGATTATGATCTCATTTCTAAATGCATGCGTCTTTATTTGACTAACGGCTGTCTTTGTGTAATCGTGAAACATGTGTTTCACTTAGTATGACAATGATATATATGTTGTTTTGGTGTCATCTGTGATCTGTGTATGAAACGCAAACTAGGCCATGTTAAAACTACTTTGTTTAGATACCCTTCCTTTATGTCTTAGCCTATGAAGTACAAATTATCTAAAAAGACAAATATATTTTGTAAGTTTTTCTTACCATACAACAAGGCTGAATGGTCTTAAAGTGACTGTAGTCAATATAGTACTCAAGACCGATCACGAAATCTACTCGGATGCCTAAACATTATGTCATTAGATTTATGAGTCGTTTTATGTAGATTTATAAATCGTATATCATTGTCGAATACATTGACAGCATATTATATATTATGTAGTGAAGACGACCAAGACGAAGAGTAGACTTTTTTTGATCTCTCTCAGTTTCTCATGTTCATCGTTTTCCACAGGCCAATAGAGCCAACAAGTAAAAACCAAATCCAGAGTATTTTAAAACTAGCGACAGCCCATTTCGATCGGGACATAAGTTTTAAAATTGTAAAAGTTAAAAAATAAAACAAATCTTATCATTGGTCCACTTGTTGGTGGAGGACTAAATGTAGTAGGAGTAGTACTTTTTGTTCTGTAATAAAGAAAAACAAAAACATGAGATGAAGAAATATCCAAGAATTAATTGCAGCAAACAAGAGCTCGATGTTGACTTCACTTACAATTATTTTCAAAATATTTCTTGCCAACTTTCAAACTCTTAATATTAAAAAAAGGCTCGTAGATAACGTTTACTATTATTCCAAGTGTTTTGATATGAAATTGAAAGGTTTCGCAAATTCAATCTGTCTTCTTGCTATTGATGTTTTACGATAAGATACAATTTTTAACAGATTGGATGATTCTCTCTACAATCGTTATCTCATTATTCACAATTATTGAATTGAATCAGACAGGTTATATATTCCATACAGGTTAGTTTCTAACCAGATTTTCATTGAGTAATGCATACGTGATCCAAATTAAAGAAGTCGGACATATGTTTAAAAATTCTTGCCGACATTTAGAGATTTTTGGATATGAAGAGTTGAAGACGTTATACTCCCTCTGTTTCAGTTTATAAGGGGTTTTAGTTTTTTCATAATAATTAAGGAAGCAACTAAAATACCTCTTATAACCTTATCTTCTATTACTTATTTCAATATTATACCACTAAAAAGTTTTCTCCACATTAAATAAGGGAAGGGTAAAAATGTGAAGTAGTGGCAATTTTAATCTAGATTATCGTGAGAGACAATTATTCTGCAACAATTTTTTTTTCCTAAAACCCTTTATAAACTGAAACAGAGGGAGTATAACTACAAATCGTAAAATTTGTGATACATCGTCCATTGTAACTAACATTTGATATCTTACATGTTATGTTGTTCTTTGGAGATTTAAAATGGGTTTTGTGCAAAAAAACCAGGCAACTAAATTAAATTTGCAAATCAAACCTCAACTTTTTTTTGTGCAAGTCAATCCCTCCAACTCTAAAGTCACCCGCTAAACAGCCATTACGTATATATACGTGTCAACAAACACTGCGTTTTAGACATTAAAACAGCACGCAGTTTAAGTTTCTATGCCGTTTTGGGACAAAATTAAAACACGGAAGTGAAATGAAAAAATGTCGGGAATTCATATGGGAAAAACTAAAATCGATTTGGGGAAATGCTTAATTAGGGTTCTTGGCCATTTTAGAATCTTGGGTAATCTCTTGGAAGCTTGAGCGGCTTCACTCGCCTTAGATGTACGAGATGATACACGACCATCTAGCCTTGATTCTCTGAAGCAGAATGGGTGACCTGACCTCTGTTGCACAGATAAGCAAACTCCGAGTTGGACAAATCTATGCTGCTTCTGTCATGTATGGATACTTCTTGAAGCGGCTGGACCAAAGGTTTCAGCTAGAGAAGACGATGAAGAATCTTCCTGAGCGGCTGTATCCACTCACCACGAGGTTGGTTTGTTTGCCACCGGAGTTAGCTCTGAAGGCTTTGGCAGCGAGATTAAACCATCCCGGTTAAGGACATATGTCGTATGATAGTGAGACGCTTCAGAGATATGCCACGATAAGATCAAGAGAAGCAGTTGGAATCATCGAGAAAAACACCGAGACATTGTTTGGTAAGCCCGAGATTGTGATAACACCGCAAGTCACTACCGATTCATCGAAAGACGAACAGATAGAGATCAGCTTTGGTGGGATGAAGAGGCTTGTCTTGGAGGTTGTGACTTTCGGGTCGTTTCTCTGGGACGTTGAGAACCATGTAGGTGAAGGTACCACTTTGTATTGAACTGAAAAAAATGGTTTGTTGTATTGTAATGAAAGTTTGACTAACTTCATTAAGAAGATATATGCCCATTACGAGAATCATTACATTTGTATGAGTATGATATTATTAATTTGGATAAGCTATAGCTAGCTAAAGATGATGGTAGAATGCTAAACTAAGAAGGAAGCCTACCTAGCCTGCAATAAGACTTAACAATCTTAAAATCTATGTTACAAAAATTACAAGGAAATCCAAATTCTGTTAGGCTTCTGTTTCTTTCACCAAAGGAGTCGTGTGACGAAGAAGATCTCGACTAACTCTGCGTCCACGACAAATGATCGGAGACAGATCCAACGGGTGTCGATTTCCCGGAGAATAGAGCTTAGCTGAGCTTCTGCGTCACCTCTGTAATCATGGTTTCCCAAAACTGCAGCATTTGTATTCGAGATTTGATGAGTAACAAAACAAAAAAGTGGATTAATTATCTTCCGTAGAACCAGAGAGTAAAACACCCAGCTGTCCAGTGAATGGACCTGGTGCTGTTGACATATTATGGTTAACAGATGAAAGAAGACTACCTGCAGTTGATATCAGCTGTATGATTATGGAAGTAAGATCAGTCGTTATGAGCTGTTGCTGCTGCTGAGGCCACGAGCTCGTTGTCTTGACGACTACCGTGAAGCTGCTGCCCGCCGTTGCGTCCGACGATCAGATGAAGATAGATTGGTAAGCATCGTTCTTGGATCCCATGCTTGAGCTCTAACGCCTTTCAAGAAATCAACATTGATTTGTTGTTGTTGTTATCTTCTCCTGAAGCTTTCATCTGTTGGAAAAATTGCAAGCTACAGTAGGTGGCTCCATATCCATTTTGATTGAAGCATCTTCCCACTTCTGATTTGGTGTAGTGAAAGTTTGGTTTCCCGGTTCACTCAATTTTGAAGAGCTTCTTCCCCAATTGTCGTCTTCTGTTTCCATCTCTGGTTTCACTGACAAAATCTAAAACAATAAGGATCAAGATAAACAAGAACATATAAGTTTTGAAAGACATCATAAATCTTCATCAGAAAAAAAAAAAAAAATCTTCATCAGAATCAAAATTTGGACCAATGAGACAAAGATACAGACGCACAAACGGATATTTCACAGAATCAAATTCGACTAAAAAGCTTCAATTCTCTCGTACTGAGAGCAAAAATCAAACACCTAAAACCAGACGATTATTAAGCTTTAACTTTCATAGAAACCGGAACAAACAAAAATGCAGTCAATGAAAATCGAAAAATTCCTCAGTCAGCGAATGAAAAAAAAAATCATATCAAAACGAATTAGACAGAAGAAAACCCCTCCAATCATAAAATCGCTCAAGCTTCTAGGGAGTTTACCCAGGATTCAAGCTTAAAATCACCAAAGAACCCTAATTTAGTATTTCTTCCAAATCGATTTTAGTTTATTCCCAAATGAAATCCCGACCATTTCATCTCGAGTGTTTTAATTTTGTCCCAAAACGGCATAGAAACTTAAACTGCGTGCTGTTTTAATGTCTAAAACGCAGTGTTTTGCTGTTGACACGTCGACGATATACGCAATGGCTGTTTAGCGGGTGACTTTGGAGTTAGAGGGATTGACTTGCACAAAAAAAACTGAGGGTTTGATTTGCAAATTTAATTTAGTTGCCTGGTTTTTTTTGCACAAAATCCATTTAAAATCATCAAAGCAAGCAATTTTTCCTTTTTCATGTAGGAATCTCGAATATGATATACGAATACGATAAAACCATATAAAATTCCAACATTAACTGTATATCGTAGCCGACTTTTGCCGCACCTAATACATCCTTACATATTCCATGATGACTTTTCTCATCACTGCTTATACAAATGCATACAGTACACATACATGCATATAAATATTCAAAGTAACACAAAATTATCACAAATTTCATGTGGATCTATACGTATAACTAACTATAATATACTATACATGTCATTTGTCCTTTTATTCTAAGCAGCCCCATTTGGTCATTTCTTAACACCAAGTATGTAGACTCTATATGTGGACTTTGGTGATATATATTCTCTCAATCATCATATATAATTTGTTGACATGTTTCCTCCTATCAGAACAGCTTTAAGACGATAGAGAAATGGCGAAAACGGTGAAATCTGGAGACAACCCAAAGCAGAGACAGAGGAAAGGTTTTTGGTCACCTGAAGAAGACGAGAAGCTAAGGAGCTTCATTCTCTCCCATGGCCATTCTTGCTGGACCACTGTTCCCATCAAAGCTGGTCTCTTCTACTTCTTTTTTTCTTTTCTTGTTCTTTATTAGTTCTTCATCTCCCGAATTGATCCTTAATTAAAACAATTTTTGAAACTCTTTGTTGGGATTGAATTTGAAAGGGTTGCAAAGGAATGGGAAGAGCTGCAGGTTAAGATGGATTAATTACCTAAGACCAGGGTTAAAAAGAAATATGATTAATGCAGAAGAAGAAGAAATAATCTTGACCTTTCACTCATCCTTGGGTAACAAGTAAGCATAACCCTAGTTGGAGAGCTAACACTCTTATTTCAGCAGATGCTAAAGAGATAAGTTTTTGCGTGTGATTAGGTGGTCGCAGATTGCAAAACACTTACCTGGAAGAACAGACAACGAGATAAAGAACTATTGGCACTCTCATTTGAAGAAGAGATTGCTCAAGTCTCAGAGCTCACAAAACGCAACAACTGTTTCCTCTTCTTCTTCCGAATCACTTGTTGCTTGTGGTAAAAGAAACCCGGAAAATATGGTCTCGAGTCTCGTCATCTCCTTCCAGAGACTTCCAGAGAACAAATCTTCATCTCCATCACAAGAAAGCAACGACAACGACAACAACTATTATTCTTCTTCTGCTCCTGATGAGATTCCAAGGCTTTTCTTCTCTGAGTGGCTTTCTTCTTCAGACCCCCACATCGATTATTCCTCTGGTTTCCAAGACTCTCATCACAATCAAGCTCCAAATCTCGAAGGAACTGTCTCAGATTATGAAGATGTTGATCGGTTCCATTACAACGAAATGATGATCAACAACAGCAACTGGAATCTTAACGACGTCGTGTTTGGTTCGCAGCCTCAGAAATCAGAAGCAGGGGAATAAAAATTAATAGAGAGGCCTCCTCACTCAGATTGTAATTTTTCTGTCCATTTCTTTTCTTCTTCAACAGCGACGTAAATTAAAATTACTTTTAATTTCTAAATGAAATTATTCCCATTTATGCTTTGACTTTGACACCAATCTCATCATGATAAGTACATTACAAGTTACTTGTTCTTCTACGCTTAAAAACAGTGAATTTTAAACTAAACTAGAGCTATCACTAATAATAATTAGATGATGAGAAGAAGGGTTTAAAGAAACTGCAATATATAAAAAAATTACAATAAACAAAAGAAGAGATACATCAAGTTTATAGAAGATCTTACACACCAGAAGTAGCAAAGTTGTAATCAGCGAAACAGCAACACAAAGTATTTCAATATAAATGGACTCTTGAGTGGAATGTAGAAACTAGAAAGTGTTTTATATAGCGGAATAGCTGTAGCTAGTCTCATCATCATCATCAACGGGAGAGGGAGTGGAAGGAGACTTAGCAGAAACAGTGAGCACCACCAAGGCACCAAAGAGAATGGTGACAATGGCCGTGAAGTTGACAAGAAATGCTTCGGTTCCGTACTTGTCAAGCTTCCCACTCTCCAAGAAAGTCAGCTTTTCCAGGAACCCTAAAGCTGCGTTCCCAACAGCAAGCACATAAACGAATAGCCCGAGCAGTGCGTGCCACGGAAGCAATCCGCTTCTCAGGTTTGGTGATCCTCCTGGGTAGAAGAACAATATGAAGCTGTACAGCCACTGCAAAAGTTTTCAAAACTTTTGTTTGTCATTAACAATGAACAACAAGAGACAAACACTTATCACTAAGATTCCTATCAGAACTGATTACATGTTTGATGAGAGCAAAAGGGTCATGGACTTTACCTGGAAGGCGTAAAGAGAGATGACACCAATACCAATCCAGGAATGGAGACTGTAGAGATTAGGGATTCCACTTTCGTTGTGGTTCTTGAAAGCTGCGCAGATGCCCCAGATACCGAGTGACAGAGAGATTGCATGGAGAATAAGGTGGATAATCTTCTTCACTGGTTTCTCCAGAGGGAGGGATTTGTAACTTATAATTGCTGCATTTTCAGTTTCAACACACACGTGAATACCATAATCAAAGGAAGTAAAACCAGATCGAAATGAAAGTGATATCAAACTTATTTTTAATTGTTCAGTAGATGTTGTTATCGTTTTTACCTTCTCCTCCCAAGATTATGAATCCGATGAGCATCAGAACAGGATGAAGCTGGACCACATAATAAGTGAAAGAATAAAAGATCAGATAACTAAAGAAGTATCAGAATACAGACACATGTTGTTCAAGAGACAAAATATTACAAGATCCTGCTACAACATAAATGGCTAAAAAGATGATGTCTAGTTTTGATGTTTTAATCTGTTACTTGTCAAATAAACGAACAATATACAACACAAAGTACTTAAAACACACCAGATGATTATTGTTAAAAAAAAAAGAGTTATCTTGACTAATTTCATGATCAAAGAACCATTTTAAACCTTAAACAGATGTGATGATAACGATTACAAATCAAAAATAGTACTGAGAAACGGATATAAAGATTAATAATTTACAGACAAAGACGCAAGCTTTATAAAACATTAATTCGGAACTGGGATCAACTGGATTTGTTAAATTACCCCACCAATAAGACAAATGCCCAAGACAGATAAAGTCAACGCGAACAAAATGACCAAAGAGATAAAATCGAAAGAGAGAGCTTAAAGTAAGTAAATTGAAAGAAGCCATACATTGAAGATGAGATTTTTGTTTTCAGCTTCCCAAGCCAATCCACCTCTGAAACTGATACTCCAAACCAACACCATAATCGCCGCGATTAAAGCCACCACGTGCGCCGCAAACGTCACCGGCATCGCGTTTATCCCGACAGCCATAACTTTCTCCGAACTGTGTTTCTTCTTCTTTCTTTTTTTTTTGTCTTCTTCCTTCTCTTCTCCTTTTGTCTGGAACCAAGATGGATTAGCTCGAACTTCAACACAAAGAGAAAATCCAAAAGCCAGCTATTTTCTTCATTCTCCATTATCCCATTGTGGGCCCTTCGTGGGAAAACACGTGGGCCTCGAGATCCCCTTTCGATTTTTATATTCAGACGTGTAATTTCGTGGCAGTTAATAAAATTATATCGACAAGTAGAATGTGGCCACGTGGACGTTTTGGTAGCTGCATCTGACTTTGCGTTTCGTGTCTCTTCTGCCTACCACACGCCACCAACTAAACCACGTAGAGCATACTGGATCTTGTTTTAGGCCCAATTGTACATTTACATGGGCCAAACCCAAATATCCTTGCAGCACATAACTTCTTAAACAAGTTACATGACGGTACTTCTTGGATAAAGATTACACCGAGAAAGCCACGTACACAATCAATAGCCTGATACGTGGCAATACAAGACACGTGGCAATCCGTAACAGAGATACTGAGAAAGGACATTTAGAGGTGGTTCGGCTATGCGACGTCTTCTCTGTATAAAGCATTCAAGAAGCTCCGCAGATTTTCACAGGATCAAATTTGGTTGCAGAGAAAAAAGCCAAAGCCAGGAAAAAAGATAATGGATTCGCAATGTCAGTTGCAACGTACTCAAGGTCATCATCATCCAGCTAAGGAACCAATTAGGATTCATCATCCAGGTACATGCCTAACCAAACCAAATTCTTAATTACAAAATCATAGTTTCTTCCTTCACATTTCGTTATTAGACTGAAGTTACAGAGACTAATGACTTATTTTTTATGTGTGTTGGGGTGCAGAGGTAGAAGAGCATCAAGAGAAAGGACCAGCTAAAGTGTTGAAGAAAGTGAAGGAAAAAGCAAAGAAGATAAAGAAAGCTCTAACTAAACATGGACATGGTCATGAGCACGATCGTGGAGAACAACACATCCCCGACGATCACGATCTAGACGAGGAAGATACCGAAGAAGAAGACCAAGAACTCCACGGCGGTGAACCAGCTAGAGGGAAAGCTCACACTCGCAGTCGCAGTCCGGACCCTTTGAAAGAGGATATAGTCCCTCCAGGCACGAAAGTCTTTCCGGTTGTGTCCTCCTCTTCCCACAGTAAACCCTCTGAGCCAATCAGAGGAGCTGTGGAACCAGTACGAGCTCATAACGCCTCTCACGGCCACGAAGCACCGTTTCCTCGTCCTGTAAAACCCTCCGGTGTGTCGGGAAATGAAGAGAGAAGAGGTGCTGCTGCTACACTGACGCCGCATAACACGCCGCTTTCATCGACAGAAGATGTCACTAGAACATTCGTTCCTGGTGAGCACGAGTCTCGGGACCATCATCGAGTTAATATGGAGAGACCTAAAGGATTAGAGGAAGATCCGGCTGCTCCAGGTGGAGGGACGGGAGCTGTTGGTGGGATGTCGAATTATCAGTCCAAAGTTACTGATCCCACCGGAAAAGGTGACAACTTTTTCTCCTACATTTTAGAACTCTGTTTTGTGGTTTCAGATCTTTTGACCTGTGTTGCTTCTGTGTGTATAGCTGCTGGAGAAATTGGAGCAGCATCGGCTCTCGCAGCCCTTGCGAGGAAGTCAGGAACAGGTGAACATGATCAATTAGTCCATGGAAGAGATCCGAGGGAGAAAAGCCATGGTTTTGATACTAAACCGGGACCTGAAATGGGCAAGCACTTGCCGGCGGGAAACCAAGGATCTGGATTGGGGAAAGAATTTCCGGCGAGGAGCCATGAATCTGATGTGAAATCAGGAGCAGATTTGGGAAGAGATTTTCCGGCGAGGAGCTATGAATCTGATGTGAAATCAGGGGCCGGTTTGGGAAGCGATTTTCAGGCGAGGAGCCACGATTCTGATTTCAAATCAGGGGCCGGTTTGGGAAGCGATTTTCCGGCGAGAAGGCATGAATTTGATGTGAAATCAGGGGCTGATTTGGGAAAAGATTTTCCGGGGAGGACTCAAGGTGAACGTAACCCTGAGGGCTTTGATTCGATAGTTCAAGAGAGGAGAGATGAGATGCAGCATCCGAATCAGAGCAGTTACACCGATAAGATCGCATCGGCGACTTCGGTCGTAGCTGATAAAGCTGTAGCGGCGAAGAACGCCGTCGCTTCGAAGCTGGGTTACTCTGGGGAAGGAGGCGACGTTGGCCACCACGAGGGTCGTGTAGTCGGAGCTGAAACTCCGGGCTCTGGTGGAGTGGGATACGGGAGTAAGGTTGCAGGTGTGGTGACTCCGGTTTACGAGAAGGTTAAAGAGACAGGAGCTAGCGTGATGACGAAATTACCCTTCGCCGGCGGCGGAACCGGTACGGAGACGGAGACCTATCATGGACAAGACAAGGGCGTGTCGGCCAAAGAGTATATGTCGGAGAAATTGAGTCCGGGAGAGGAAGACAAGGCTTTGTCGGAGGTGGTCGCCGAGAAGCTTCATCTCGGAGGAGGAGGGGATAATACGACGGCGCCGCCAAAGAGGGGGACAGTGACTCAATCGGAGGAGGTGGAGAAGAGGTTAGGAGGATTCACGGATCAGACGTCGGGAGACGCGATGAAACACGGCCAAGCGTTTGCGGAGGGAGGTGAAGGAGGAATGGTAGATAAGCTGAGAGGAGCTGTAACTTCATGGATCTCTGGTACGACCGATGAAGTGATGCAAAAGTCTACAGAGTCTGTACAAGACTCTTCACAGTCTGTTGGCGCCACCGTTGGTAAACGCAATTTTTTGTTCTTTAATTCTTTCTGTTTGAAATAGCGTTTTTAGATTTTAGCGTTTGTTGTATTGACTTGTGATTTTGGTGTGAATGGTGGTGTTAGGGAATATGGGATTTTCTGGTTCGGGAGCAGATGGGGCGGGTCAACGCAGTGGTGAGAAGAAGGGCTCTGTGCCTGTGCAGAGCAGATTCCAAGAATCTGGAAACTGAGATTCTCTGCGTCTTCTTTTTTGAAATGTATGGTTTGTTGATGCTTTCTATATCAGTGTGTCTTTGGTTTGATCTATGGCTTCACTTTACTGTTTTGTAAAAATATGAATAAGTTGGTTAATACAAAAAGCTACTTAACTAGAACTGAATTAAAAACAGAAGTTGGGTAAAAGAGTAAAATGTTGTTGCAGACATTAGACAACGACTTGGAGATAATTGGAAGAGCAGAATGGAATGAAGAAGAAGAAGTAGAGATAAAGGAAGATTAATGGAATTGAAGCTGAGAAGAGAAAAGAGCTTCGTGTAAAGAAGCCATTACCACGGTTTGCTTCACTCTCCAACCTTATCTTTTTCTCCGGACATTTACCAAAAAGCTGAGGGTTTTAGCGAGGTTTCATTTCTGTACTGAAAAAAGTTTGGGGTTAAAAGGTTAATAAACTAAAATTGAGAGGAAAAAATAAATAAAAAAAGGGACCTGTCAGACCGCCGTGCGACCACCCCGGCAAGGACAATGCCGAGCCGAGTAACGATCCTCTACAGCACCGGATACATCGAGTGATGATCGAGGCCGTTAATCACGCTCCGATCGCACGGTCATGGTTCATCAACCAGGGTTAGGGGCCAGTCTCCTTAGAAATCAAGGATACTGAGGTACGAGCCTATAGAACAGATCCTGTTCAAGTAAGGTCGTGACCATAGATGCTCTCTCGTCAATATATATACACACGAAACTTTCTCTGGCTTTCCGATGTGGGACTTTGTTCCCACCAGCATTAGAGTGAAAATGGGAAGAAAAGACAAAACACGTCGACAGCAGGGTTCGAACCTGCGCGGGCGAAGCCCAACAGATTTCAAGTCTGTCTCCTTAACCACTCGGACATATCGACATTTTGCTTAGCAATAGCTGTAAAACGTATATCAATGTTTATAATTCCATCAGATTTCAAGTCTCCTTAACCATTCGGACATATAGACAAGCGACTTATTGATTAGTAGTAGGTATAGAATGTATTATCACTCTTGGTTTTGAGAAGTTCCACAACGAAGAAGCTTTCTCTTTTCTTTTTCTTTTTTTATGTTCAAACAACAACCGAAGAAGCTTTGTTTGAAAAGTCATATAGCTTGCCTTTGTTTAGCAATAGCTCTAGAATGTATTGAGAAGTTCCACAACGAAGAAGCTTTATTTGAAAAGTTAGATAGCTTGCTTTTGTTTAGAAATAGCTATGTATGCAATGTATATTACTCTTCGTTTGGAGAAGTTTTACAACGAAGAAGCTTTATTTGAAAAAGTTACACAGCAAGCAAGCTACATGGTTACAACTTCTCCCAGACGGAAGTACAAAAGTAATCAGTTACATTTTCGTAACAAAAATATTTATAAAGAGAAGGAGACGAGGGTGAAGAATTCAGTTCTTAACCAAGAATATTACATAACAAGGAAATAAAATGTTTTTATTTTGTTTTTTCTTCGGTATCAGAAATACGAAAGATGCTTGAAAACAAGGAAAAGATCTAGAGAGCTCGGCTTTGGATAATGTCGAAGCTCATCTCGCTAGGATCAGTGGCTTGTAACTCCACCTGAATGCCATCCAATTCTCTCTTGAATCTATCCTTAGAGCTCGCATACACCATCTTCATCCTCACTCTAGATGAATCCGGTGACCTATATACCATCATCCAACAAGGCCAAAACATATATAAGCACACTTGATTCTCGATGTTATTGAAACAAAATCAAAGTTTAGTTGTGTGTCTGAAAAAGTAAAAGTAAGTTCGGTCCTAAACAATTGGAAACCCATAGACTTAGTTACAGCCTAGAAAATCATGTACAACAACAAGTTTTTTTTATTTTCATATTCAACAAGTTCAATTGTTTCTGCTTCAATATTCTGTACAGTAATCTATTTAGTTTCTTTTATTTTTATTTCTAGTGTTCTAATGTTCATTTTCTCTCTAGACATTTTAAATTACTGAACTAGAGCTTGTATTTATGTGATAAACTGGTAAAAGCTATATTTCTATGTATAAATTAAGGAAGATTAGAGCATCATACCAGGCTATGAAGAAGATTTTGCTCTTCTGGCAATTTTCATTGGTGGTGAAATCCAAATCAAAAACAGCATAGCGGCACTCATCGGCAGGAAGGGAGGCGCTGAAATCATCATACGTCTCATCCTTATTTCCTAACTTCTCCACCACCACTTGTTGTCCGTCTATCCTGAATATTATGAACCGATAGTTTCTTTTCGACTTTAGCTCCAAAAACTTGAGCTTGCACTCGTCCTCCACTGCCATCCCTGACGCCGCGTTCGCCTTTTTATCAATCAAATCATTCACATCAGTCCCCATTATAACTTATAAAAAAAACTAATAAGAAACATGATTAGATTAGACATTCATTGCATCCAAACTCCAGAATGCTACAAAAATCATTAGGTCTACGTAGGCATGCATCCATATTTTCAAAATCAATTATACTAATGCAATCTATAATTCGAAGATTTTGCATTTGTTGTCCTGATTAGGATAAAATCCCCACGATTGCATGTTGAGCCATTTTTTTTTTTTTGAAAAAGACAACAATCCTATAAATTTATTACAAACAGAAGAGAAGAGAACAAACCATTGCTTTTGTTCAGTTTCTAAGACTTGAGGAAGATAGATCTGTTGTTCTTTTGTGAACGTTGTCTCCTCTGGAAAAGAGGAAAATGGGATATAGAATTTGGGAAGCGAATAAAAGGAAGAAGATAAATCCTTAATTGGTTTGTGAAGAGAGGATCGAGACGAACTCGGACAACAAAAAGCTCTTATTTATTATCTTTATTACCTTAGAATTCGCCTAACCATCCCTTCTTTCAAGGCACTTCCCACTCTATTATTAGCCATCTATTTGTGTTAGCGCCATGCATGCATTCATACAATCATACGTATACGTACAATATAGCGTTTAAGGCTTAATTAAGGCTTTGCTCGTTTAGCGTTTGTGTCCATCGTAACGTCTGTTTTGTCATTGTTCAAGTTTCATCGCTAGGTTGCATCTACGTTTGTTCAATCTGGTTAAACCGATCCGAATTAGCGAAATAATAATCGATCCAAAAACAAAATCATATTTTGAAAATGATTTCAAATGTATATACTTTTCCTAAAACTAAAAACTCAAATATATGGTTTTCTCAGAAGATTTATGTTACATTTGATCAAAACTCGAATATCAATTGAAACCAAACCCATATATTTATGTTTCCAGTATATTCATAAACGACCGGATAACATATCCCTAATTGCATATTGTTGGCTATTTTCATGTGAGTATGACAAGCATTATATCCCGGAAAAACATTATTTGACAATCATTAAATAAAAATCTAGTATATATAATTAATGATGTATAAGTAGTTTTGGTAATTATTTGAAACTTGGCATTTTTTCCAGTTAACCTCGATATCTTCAAAGGTCACAGCTCGAACGACGTCGTCTCATCGCATCGTGGAGTTCACCGGCCCGGAATGGCTAGTCGGACATTCCTGAGATTATCGTCTGTGATATGTAACAGAACAACTGGAGCAATGGCTTCCCTTAGCCAAATCTTCCTTATTCTGATGATTATGTCTTCTTCTTCTTCTCCTTTCTGTTCCGGTGGAAGGTGCATATCGTAACCCCTCATTTAGCAATCATATCACCGAGCTGCGATCCTTGGTTTCTTCTTAATTTTGTTCGATTGCATATCACTCTGAATGAGATGTAATAGAATTTGCAATAAACAACCCAGAGATTGATCCATCATCCTTTCTTTTGATTTTCGCGTTTGTTTTTTTTACCTTTCTGCAGTCGGAAGGAACTCCGAGATAAAGAGAATATGGGTAAGAGTGAAACACAGTCGAGTTATGTTACTGGATCTAACTTTGTGGACCCGAGACGTGTTCTTCAACTTTCATGGCAACCAAGGTCAGGTACTTTTGATGGATATCTATTTCAAGCATCAATGATCAAGTTATACACAATCTACACATAGGAATTCTCTACTTGTTATTTGAAGATTTAACCCTGCAACTAGTAATATGGATGATCATTTTGCATCACTAATGGTATGTTTTTATTATGTCAAATTTGTGGGTTCTGAAACTATTTGGTATGTACAGAGTCTTTCTTTACAGAGGGTTCTTGTCAGAGGAAGAGAGTGATCATCTGATATCTCTGGTAAATTCTTCCTCCTTCCGCGTTTGAGAGTTACTGATACATTGTTCTTTTTTGTAATGGTTGTTTTTTCTTTTCTTTAGGGAAAGGAAACGTTAGATGTACTGGTAAGTTCTCAGTATTCTTGAAGTTTGCAGTATACCTAAAAGCTTGACAAGAAATCTTATGTCATGTTCTTGAGACACTATGTGGTAAAGACGGTTAGTGTTCTTTGTGATAAACTAGGATCCAATAGTTGCTGGGATTGAGGAAAAAATCTCTGCATGGACTTTCCTCCCAAGAGGTACTATATAAGTACTCACCTTCACTTCTTTTGGTTTTCAATCTAAGGAGACTTGTTCTTGATTTAGGTTTGTAATCACTCTCTTTTATTGGCTTGTGTTTCTCTATTGATGCGCATCTTTCAGAAAACGGTGGTCCGATCAAGGTAAGAAGTTACACCTCTGAGAAGTCTGGAAACAAGTTAAGTTACTTTGGAGAAGAATCTAGCTCGGTGTCGCAAGAACCTTTGCTTGCAACCGTCGTTCTCTACGTCTCAAACACAACTCAAGGTGGAGATCTTCTCTTCCCAAACTCAGAAGTGAGTAACAACATATAAGAGATCAACATTCTTTGATATATAACCTGAGAAGCAAAATTACACACAGAGAATGTTGAATCCAATTTTTCTGTTGTTTTGTCTTCAGGTGAGATTCAGAAAGAGTTGGTCTGAATGCTCAGAGACCAGTAATATCTTAAGACCAGTAAAAGGAAACGCGGTTTTGTTCTTCACCAGACTCTTGAATGCGTCTTTGGATCAGACAAGCACTCATTTTAGATGCCCTGTGCTGAAAGGGGAACTGTTGGTGGCGACGAAACTGATATACGCAAAGAAACAAGCAAGAAGTGCTGAGATTGGAGAATGCAGTGATGAAGATGACAACTGTGGAAAATGGGCTGAGCTTGGAGAGTGCAAGAAGAACCCTGTTTATATGATTGGCTCTCCAGATTACTTCGGTACCTGCAGAAAGAGTTGTAACGCTTGTTGATTCTGATAATAATTGTGGCATAGTTGAAACATTTTCAATACTTAAAAGCTGATTTTATTTTGTCTGAATATGATGGAATCAAATGTGAATAGTCTAAGGTCATTGGATTAACGAGTTACTCTTGAGTCTTGACTATATACTTTTCTGATATTTGTTTGAGAGCACTCGTAATTTTTTTGGATTAATCACCATGATCGGACTGCAATTAAAATGTTGGAATGTCTTTAGCATTTTCCCTTTCTACTCCTTAAATCCATTGTGTAAAGAAAAGACTCCATAGTCTTTTAAGTTTTGACAAATGGAGAAGACAAGAACAAGTAATCAAGTAATATATATATATATATACATATCAAATACAAGCATTTGCTGATATTCAATGATCCGACTATACATGATAATAAATTAACAAAACATTATATTTTAAAAAAACACAAGTATTTTTTGTATTTTTTTAAAACACAAGTATATCATAGAAAATTTATTGACCATTGATCAATTTATTTTTCAGTTTTATAGTGCTAGAGTTTTATAAATGGTGTCACAACTTTTACTTTTAGCCAGATGTATAATTTAACTGATTGGGGCCACTTGGAACAAGATTATTATTCTAACTAAAAATAATATAATTTCTAAGACAAGAAATATAAATGATTTAAAGGAATTTTTGATCCAAAAACAGATGGGATTCACTTTGACACATATTAAGCTCATAATTTACCTTGTAATACATCAAATCTCAATTAATTAGAAAAACTATAAATAAGTACATACAAATGATCAGATAAACATTTTCAACCTAATTGAGTTATATAAAAAGAAAAATGTATGACAGTATGAGAAAAGGGAGATATTTATAAAAAGTTTAAATACACAAAACAAATGTGACATACTTGTCCCATAGATTGGGTATTATATATTTATAACAACAATATATAGAATGTGTCAAAGAGCATTATCATTATCATAATAACAATATCATAAACACATCATTTATCATTAATTATTCATCGTTTTTTTGTATCATATATCAATAATCAAAAACATTTCTGTGAATTTTTTTGCCAAAAAGTGATTTCAGATCAAAGAAATTTATTTTTGTTTCGGTAAAACATAATCTAACAATTTTTCTAGAGAAAACATTATACTACAATTTTCTAGTCGTATGACCAACAAAATGTTCATATTATGTTCTGCGTATCTTTTGTTTTTTTATCTAACTAGAATATTATAAAATTATAAATCTGACTTATTGATAAAATGGACTATTATAAAATTATTTTTTCAGATTAGTTGTTTGATAACTATTTTTGTTAATTTTCAAATATGATATTACATTTTCAAGAAATTTTTATTTATATGTTAACACACTCATCATCTTATCAATATAAACCATTTCTTCAAATCATCATTTTTAGATATCCAAAGTTAATATCTTAAGTGTTAAGAAAATAAATTGGGATTATAATGAAGAGAAATTAAGAAAAAAATGGAAGTCCCTTTAACAAATTCATTTAAATTTTTTTTTTTGTTTTCCCATCAAATATTTGCTGGATTTTATGATTTGAGCCCAGGGTTGTTTTGTTTCCCCGTACGCCTTTATAATTTCTTCCACAGCTCTTTTGCCTCCCCCCTCCGAAATTTTCTCACATTTTCTTTTGCGTCCCATCACTTTCTCGAATTTTCTCGGCGACTTTCTTTCGTTCCAAGCTGCTGCTACGCTCCGTTTTCCCACCTCCTCCTCGCTTCTCAAATCCCACGAGGATCGCTCTTGATTCTCTCTTCTTCCTCCCAGCCCCCGATCTGTTACTGTTTTTACTGGTACGTGATCGGACTACTCCGCTTTAACCATTCCCTTTTCACAAACACTGAATCGATTTGAATTCGCTCGTTCGCGTATCACATAAGTGGTGCTGATGAGATTTCAAACCGCGAAAGTTTTAGTTATCTCCGCCGTCTTTGTTTATTCTGTATCGAGGACGATTTCAATTTCGATTCTGCTCCTGTTAGATGGCATAGCCATGGAGGAAATCTAGGCTTCTCTGTCAGTGATTCACATAATTGAATCGAACACTGTTTCCACCCTATGTGATTGAGTTGCTTATGGAAAATTAAGTTGGTTATACAGATTTAAGAGGTGCTGTGTGTTTATAGGAATTTGTGGCTTGTAAATTGGTTGGTTGCAGTGTCGAATCCAATGGAGCTGGTGAAACAAGATGGCAATGATTCTCTTGACATGCTTATCAGACGTGCTGTTGGAAAGGACCCGTTTCTCACCTTCCCGAGACCTGAAAATAGCCCAGTCCAGCTCTTTCAACTTCTCCATACCTTGGAACGGCCAGGTAATCCCAAGCTCTTTATTGTCTCTTCGTCTCTCATAGGATTGGATTTGACATTGTCACTGACCAATTACTTCTCTAGCATTGGAATTAGTAGATCGGGTGTTATGTAGATATCATAGTAGCCAATTGAGTTTTCTAGATCAAAATGATGGTTGAATAGGATGTGTGGCTTGTGGTATGGTACATGGACTTTATTTGATGATCTGTTTCGTTCCCAGGCTGGCCGTTGCTGACTCCATTGAAGATACAAATGCAGAAGTGTGAAAAGTGCACCAGGGAGTTTTGCTCTCCTGTGAACTTTAGAAGGCATAACCGTATGCATCGGCGTTTGAGAAAGCCTGAAAAGGTTTGCTTACTCTGAACTTGTTTCTACTATCTTCGCTTTGCTTTAGTCTTTTTTCTTATAAGTCCTCTGAAGATTGTGTTTACGTGTTTGCAGGATTCTGGGAAAGATAGGGATGCGCTGGGAGACTTTTGGAATAAGGTAGTTTTGCCTCTGGTCGTCTTATCATTTTATTGCCAATTCTGTACTTTTTTCTTCTGGGGGTACTGATCATGGTCAATCTCTGTGGCTATTTTCAGCTCTCTGTAGCTGATACAAAGGAGATTCTCTCATTAAAGACCGTGATGCTGGAGGTAGTATGATTCCCCTTTCCCTCTTTTTTGGCAAAATAATTTTCTGATCTTCACCCATTTAGCATTGGCATAGGTTGATCTTCTCTGTTCCCATTACTCATTTCATTGTTGTTTGTCACATATTTTCTAAGTGTTCTGACTCTTGATGAATGCCTTATGGCTTCTTTTCTCCATAAGTGTAAGGTGTGATTCTTAGAATGACATATTGACTTCATCAGGGTTATAGGATTCATTTCCAAATAAACACTTTGTAGTTAAAAAGCAAGAGTATACCATATCTAATTATTATACATACTCTCACAAGCCTGCTGAATATGCATACCTCACCCATGCTGTACATTTCCTGACGTCCTTTCTCTAGCATTCTGCATCATGGACCTGTGTGACTGATTAATATGCTTTGTAGACATTTCCAACTCAAAGTGCACTGTTTGGTTTCTTGTAGGATGTTCCTGGGGCATCAGTTGAGTCAGGATTAACGGCACTTGTCGAAAGACCAGGATATACTGCTCTGCCACAATTTTATCTAAGAGCTGGTTCTGAACTCTTGGTATGAATTTCATCTCTCTCTTGATGGTTTCTTTTGTTTTGCCTTTCTGGATAAAGTTCCTCAATGTTCAACCTCATAGCTGATATACGTTCCTGTTTCTCCAGGATATTGTCCAGGCTAGGCCACATAGGTTTCCTCTTTCTTCGCTGGAGCTTTTTAGCATTCTCGATGAGGCAAGTGAAAAGACTTTCCTGACTAACGAGGCTACACAAATGCAAAAGTACATTTTTGACGGTGAAACTGGAAAAAATGTACTGGAAGCTAAAAATGTTGTTGCTAGTGCAAGCTTCCTTCTGGAACAGCGATTGGTAGGTTTCACCATTCCTCTCTAGATAGCGAACCAAAGTGCCTAATACGAGGACATTGCTTTGGATATGTCTGTTACATGTGATTTATCTTTGTTTTCTTAATGTACAGATTAAAGCATGGCTTGCTGACAAAGATGCAGAAGCTTTGAGGTGCCAAAATTTACTGGTTGAAGAGGAAGAAGCTGCTCAAAGAAAGTATGTGCTTATTAATTGCAATGCCAGTCATCTAACATTACTAAATCCAAGATTATCTATATTAAATGTTGAGACTTGTTCACTAATATTATGTCCCGAGCAGACAAGCTGAGCTCTTGGAGAGGAAGAAGAGGAAGAAGCTGAGACAGAAAGAACAGAGAGTGAAGGACCAGAAAAAAGATGCTAAGGAAGACGAGAGTACCACATCAGAGGAACCGCAATGTCCAGCTGAGTCATCAAGCTCGTTATCCGTAGCTTCTGACTCCGAGGCACAGAGATCAGATTCCATACCAATTGAGGATTCTTCATCCCTCGAGGACCCTCAAGTTTTGGAAACCAACAATCGGAGAAACGGTGAAACTCAACCGGCAATGGCTGATGATGATGGTTTGGGAAATGGGCAAAAGATGGAAAGGCGAAATGGCCGTAGGCAAATGGAAAGATCACAACAGGGAATGCCGAATGGGTTCCACAGTAATCACGCGCCAAAACTTGGAGGCATGCGAAAGAATGGAACCAACAGAGACGCAAGAGGCAATGCTACTAAGGTTTGGAGCCGAAAAGCCGATAACCCCAAATCGTTATCCACAGATGCAGCAGCAGTAGCTGAACAGGATCAAGCGAAGAACAGTGAAGTTCTGATTGGATCGGTAAGTGTAACAATCCCAAACAACCAAACCAAATGCAGTGAAGAGGAGGGAAGAACAAAGACTGTTGAAGCCAAACCCGCATCTGAGCAATCAACTGCAAAAGTATGGAGACCCGTGAGCAGTCAGGGAAGGAAAGTCTCAACAGTCGACGAAAACGCAGACAGAGAAGATAGGAACTCAAACGCAGCTGCACCAAAAGTAAAGACCGCTCAACACATAAGCTTGCAGTTCAACAACCACGAAGCAAAGGCGTTTCTAGCAATGAGTAAGAACTTCTTTTCACTTCTCTTTTCATTTTTTGTATAACTTAAATAATGTCAATATTTTAACATTGTTTACTCAATGTGAATGGATTGTCAGGATGGAAAGAGGCAACCTCTGCAGAACACGTGACGTTGGTTCTGTCTCAGGAAACAGACGTCTCGGGCAACAACAACACTAACGAATCCTCAAATGGTGTTGTAGCCGCAAGACCAAAGCTTAGGATGAAACCCGAAAAGGGAACGAAGGTAAAGTATGTCCCAAAGCAGAAAATTCCTTGAAACAAAAAAAGAAACAAAAAGACGAGCCTGATTCCGGACCAGAGTATCATTCTTTTTAGGAATACCAAAAGTGCAGTATTAGTGAGAGAGACAGATCCTGTTTTTTTTTTTACTTCTTTTGCTTCTAGAGAGATTTTTCTTGGTTTTAAGAGTCTTCATTCTTTTTTTATACTTTTTTTCCCTTGATAGAAAGACTTTGATTGGTTATTTGTTGACCTTTTCTCCATTGTGAGGGTTTAGACATGAAACTTGAAATTTTGAAATGGTTCTCAGATTTTTTTGTGTAATAAAATCAATCTCTCAATTACACCACCATTTAGATCTCTCTCGACTCTCCAATCTAGTTTTTTTTTCTCTGTTAGAATACATAGAAGCCAACCATTAAGAGTTGAGACTGTATTTTACACCAAGCTTTGTTACAATGAAACAAAGAATAATATTATATATATCATATCAGTACAGATAGATTCATACGTATATATAAGTTGTTAGACCCCAATCTCTTACCGTATCACCGAATTGCTTCCAATGTCAAAGATGGTTTTCTTCTAGTAATGAAGAAGATGAAAATGCTTTTCTTTCACACAGTTTGTCAACTGAATCCAGACCGTAACACCGGGAAGAAACTCCAACCGTTTCCTGGACTGTTATCACCTTTTCCGGCGACCTTCTCATTCGCCCACCACTCCGATCTAACCGCTGCTTTCCCTATCATCTCTTCTTTCGAGTGATCAAACTTGAACTCTTTATTCGACCCTAGCGAAAACGATCTTAGCTTCTGACTCTGTTCGCTCTCTGTTTCTCCCATCGTTTTACAATTCCATCTCTCGGTTTGGTCGCCGTTCGCTTTCTCATGTAAACCATCATCTAAACCGGCTCTGTTTAGCTTGCTTGCAAGACAACGCGCAACGTCTTCACCAGTCAACTCGAAAGAAACTCTGTGACCAACAGCCAAACCATCGTCATGCCTCGACGACGACCCGTGATCATCCGAATGAGCCAAAGACGCAACCTCAGAGATCTGAATATCAAAAAGGCTGTCTTCGATCGGTGTGAGATTCCCAGAGCCCATTCTCGAAACCATCTCTCCAGAAGCAAGCTTTGACCCAAGTCCTCCACCATTATCAGGTGTCAAAGCACCAGAACCCAACCTCGAACCTTGACCAGCAGGCGTGATGGAACCAGAACCGAACCTCGAACCCCATTTCCGCGCAGTGAAGTGCTCGAAGCCAAGAAACTTCGGAGGCTCCCCGATACGAAACTCGATGATCGAGCATTTACCTGGGTAAGGAGAAGACGTTCCCGAGTTTGAGATCACCGAGCCAGGAGAGATCAGATTACCACCGCCAGGACTTGCTGGATACACTTGATGAGACTGAAACTCGTAATGCGCGGCCGAGAACTTCTGATTCATCCCCCCACCACTGTTCCTCCTTGCTCGTTCGAGTGATGACGTAAGCAACTGAGCAAATGGCACTTCAGGGGAAGAAGGTGTAGTTGACTCTGGAGGCGGCGTGAACGGCGCGGTGGATGGTTCGGTTGTGAAAGCAGAGTCTATCGGAGGAGTCACGAGTCGAGTCTCGTGAGCGTACGGTCCGATAGCGAACGCTGAAGCCGGTTCGTTTCTTGAATACGTGTTGACGGTTAAGGAGAGTAAACCGGGAGGGGTATGTGACACAGATGAAGGACCGGATTGGAGAAATGATGCTGGAGACGAAGGAGGAGCTATAAAGGGAAGGAAGATTGAAGTTGGATTGGCAGATGAGTTTTGGACCGGAGCAGCGGGTACTGATCCGGATGTAACCGGTTCGGGTACAAGAACCGCGTGACCGATCCGTTTATTGTTCTTTTGGGATCCGAAACACCTGTACAAGCTCCAGCAACTTCCCCATTTTTTCTTCTGAAATGAAAAAACAAGTTTCTTGATCAGCTACATGCATAATCAAAGATCTCTTTGAATTTAATTAATTTCGTCACGTAACACTTGCAAAACCGGATCAAACATAAAAAAAACCGTAATTCACACTTTCACATAAATCATTTTCACTAAAAAAAAACTGATCTATGATGACCACAAGAAAAATAAAAGAAAAGAAAAATATTTACACTCAAGAAATGAAATAGAGAGCTGAAAGTTACCTGCATCGACGGCGGTTGGACGCGAGACTCGGCGGAGACGATGGCGGAAGCGGCGGCGTTCACCGTATCGACGCTATTGTTGACGTTTCTCATATCTCAAGACTTTGGATGATTCAACAAAAGAAGAACATCCAGAATTTGCAAACTCGTCACCACTGAGATCTCTCAGCAAAAACGAGGTAGAGAGAATTTGTTTCCCGGTAAAATCAAAACGAACAAAATCCGGGAATAAACAATCAAAATGAAAAAATGTGATATCGAAGAAGAGAATATATAAGCAAAAAGGCTATTTATTATTATTATGAAGATGGATGAGACTCTCTCTCTCTCTCTCTCTACTTCTATTCTCTCACCGGTCGTTATCTTTTACAGTTTTCATTCAATTTCCCACAAGATGTTGCCACGTCAGCAGAATAGACGGTTCGGACCCACGCGCTTCCATTTTTTTTTTAGTTTCCTTTTTAAAACATTACTCGCAATTATTGTAATGTTAATATTAAATCATGCTAAAAATAATTGGGAAAGAAAACGAAAAAAGAGAGACTCAAAAAGGGGAGAGTAACGCATAATAGTGTGAGTCCCCAAATGCAGACAAATGGCTTTCTTCGAATTTTTAAAAGGCAATTGAGTGACTAAAACTAAAAGTATAGTTTAGTGAACAGAATTATGATACGAGACTACCCTCGTCTTGTAGATGGTAATTACGGGGAATGCCACTCAGTTATGGCTGGGCGTCGCGAGACTCGTGATTCGTTCTGAAAAGGTAAATGCGCCGCTCTGTGCCTTCCGTTGGTTAGCAAGATTCTCGTGACTTACTTTTCTCCCCCAAAGTATTTATTACCATTTCATTCTCTAGATCATAGTCATTGCTATGGAATGAATATATTAAATGGTTTCCCATGCTATAGTGGCACCTTTTAAAAAGTTTGCTTTGTGCGAAATATACCACTTTCATTATCTTTTGATTAAGGATATAACCAATGTTTTTAAAGTTGTTATAATGGTGTAAGTTGTGTGCAATATCACTTCTCTAATCATTGATCAAGGATGTAACATTTTTTTTCTGTATTTGATCGGTTTAATCTCTTGACAAATGACATATGCTAAGTGTAATCATGTTTTTTGCAGTAAAACAATGCCTATAGTTTCAATTGTACGCAAATACTTCCACTAGTCACACAGTATTGGGATATTTTGAAGTTATCATCGCGCCCTTATAATTTTACAACTATATTTATTTGTTTTTGTTAGTCAATATATAAGTTTCTTGGATCTAAAATGTGTAGGTTTTGCAACATTAATATGAAATTAACAATGTCGAGTAGATGAGTGGTTAGTCCAGCCGATACTAATATGTGTTGTCTTCCTATCAAGTATTTTCACTAAACATATGATAACAATCATCCATAAAATTAATGCTTTGAAGATTAGAAAATCACGAGATTAAGAAGATATATATATAGCCTCGGATAATATATTATTGTTAGACAGACAAATTTGGATCCCTTGATATATTTGAGGCATTTATGCGAATTCATATACTCAGTTGGTCTTCGGATCGGATACTGCATGCAAGTCGGTGTGTTTGGTAGCTATGTGTTGTTATCTTACGACTTTTGTCACTATCAATTGTGCATTTGACCATTTGTATATAAAGCTTGAAAATATAATTAAAGGCTATGTTAATAAGATGACTCTTCGTCCATCACAAGAGATAGACATTTCACCTAGCTAGTCTCAGACTCTATACATATTTTCTTTGAAGACTTTTGAGCTATGCTTTTGAGTCTTCGAATGGTAAATATTGAAACGAACATGTAAAATTCAAAACACTCTTAAAATGATCTATTAGAGCATCTCCATCGCTGGTTTTTAAGAGGGTTTTAAGGAAAAAAACGGAATTAAAAAAAGAAGAAAGAAAAGAAAATTGTGGAACCAAACTCTTACGTGAAACTTTTCGACAGGGTTTATAACCTGCCACGTGTAGAGCACACGTTTTTTCACCCAAAAAGAAAAGAGAAAATTAAAAAATCGACATTTCAACTTCCTTCTCTCTCTCTGTCTCGATTTCTCTCCGCCGATGGAAACGAAGCGTCGCCTCTTCGTGAATCAACTCCGGCGATCGTTTCAGGCCGACCTCTGATCGTTCTCTCTGTCGCTCACTTTGCCTATCTTCCTATCTCCATCACTATTTCTCTGTCTCTCGTTCTCTATCTTTCTCTTTCTCTTTTGCCGGAATCAACGATTTGGGCGTTTTCTGATTGTTCGCCGGCGAGGTAAGGTTGAGGATCTCCTGGGCGTTCGGTTCTTCTACGGTTGAGGATAAGCTAAGTATCCCTCTTCTCTCATCTCTTACTTAGATTTCGTTTTGCAATTTGCATGTTTATGATCTCGTTTAGAGCGGTATATGATTTTGTCTCTTGAGACTTTCCTTTGAACATCTATGCAATTGATTATGTTGTATTCTTTTGTGGCTATGCATATATAACGTTTCTTTGCTCCAAATCGAAATTAAACTTGAAAACATGAGTTGATTCTATCTTTATTTGAACTTTTTGCAATCTCACTTAGTATTTGGTCTCTTTATATGTCTTGTTTAGTTTTCAATTGTAACATATGTTGTTTATTTCCTAACCTTGTTTGTGTTGATTGTCTGATAAAGGTTGAAGCTTGACACAATGAGGGGAAGGAGCTACACTCCGTCACCACCAAGGGGTTATGGGAGTAGGTGTCTACGCCATGATTGCAGGTACTCACTTGACTTCTCTGTAAATCCTTTCAGGAAGTTGATTGTATGTCAACTACGTTGGTTTGGTGAACTCTTGTTTTGTGATTGAAATCTAGAAAGGAGATATAGGCTCATGATTATGATAAGAAAGAGAAGCAAGTCGATGTCAAAAGGAAAATGTTAGCTCATGATTTTTGACTGTTGTGTGGACTAATTGTCTTTGACCTTCGGATCTTATGATTCATGTTTGATCATAGGCTCTGTGTTCTTATTTATGATCTAAAGGTTTCAGATTGTTTTAGTTTTTATCTAAATCGTGTAATTAACTATATGGTCTTTTGATGTCACATGAATTCAACATTGAGAAGTTGCAGCTCGTTGAAGCAGAGAAGAAGATAAGACAAGAGTACGAGAAGGAGAAGCAAGATGTCAAAAGGAAAATGTAAGCTCATTTCACTGATTGCTTTTGATTTAGAGATCTCTTTGAGGGACTTGTTTCTTGTAAATCTAATGCCACTTGTTAGTTGTGAGTTTGCTTGTTGTCATTCATCGAGGATCAAAGTGCTACAAGTACAATATGACATTGTCAATACAATTTTGGAAGAAAAAAAAGTTTGTAAGTTTAGAACCAAATAAAAGGTTCTACCGATGAAGGAAGAAAAGATTAACAACCCACACAAAAGTTGTAACATAGGATTGTGTGAAAATTATTAATAAAAAATGTGTTAGAACCAAAATTTTGGTTTTAGGGATGGAGATGGTCTTAGCTCTAAACTTTACTCTACCAATCAATTAGACGGTTCTGAACGGCCTTGTAACAAACAAATGTGTAACAAATAATTAATTTATCTAGCAAGTAGTAGTTGACTTTTGTTTCATTATTATCCACTCTAAATTTGTATATTGTTTACTTTAAACTAATTAGGGAGGAGATGTTACGGGTCTTAGCCGCCATACTTTTGATAATGGTTGGTAATGGCAGATCTTCGAAGATGTATGAATTGTGATTTTGTATGGTTTGCTAATTATTAAACTAAACCAAATCGACATAAAGATTTTAGAGGATTAGTTTAGTCAATTTAACTTTCTTACCTAAGGAAGGAAAAAGGAAGAGAAAGAGAGTGCACGTGTGCAATGCATTTCCTTCTTCATTTTTCTTTTGCTGAGTTGCGTAATGACCATTACGTGTATCCCTCGTGCGTGCGTACGAATGCGACCCCTTTCACATTTCTTTTTCTCTTCAAAATAAAGTATTCACTTTGAGTATTTCCACACTATAATAACAATAAAGATTTAGAAACATTTTAAGGGTTATCAGTCACACATTAGTTAGTCTAGTTTTACGACAAAAGAAATGAGTGCTTTGGTGAATCGACTGGTTTTGGTGTATATATATTGTCTTCTCTAGAGTCTACTCTCTAGTCTTGGAATCAACATGACAAATATAGCGAGATATAGCAGCCGTAGCAAGAAAGCATGTGACAGCTAAAACAAGAGGATTTTTCTTTACTTTACTAACTATAAATAACTACTACTCTTTTACCTTGACTTTGACAGTTACTTTAAAGATTTGCCTTTTGCAATTATTTGGATTAGCTTTTATTAACAGGAAGTTAGTATTTTATTATGCTACTGCTGCATATGCAACTAACGATGCTTTATAATTAATCATACGTACAAACTTATATATCCAGTCCAGTCAATCATCAAGTCAACTAAATGAAGCTTCCTTATCCACACCCTCTTCCAGTGATCGAGAGTTAAAAATGGGGAGTCAAGTATATTTGAACTATGTTAATTTCGCAACTTGTAGATACTATTTGGATGTGTCATGTGTGTACATATATACATATAAAGAGAAAAACATAAACTATAAATGGTATATTATTGACAAAATTTTACATCCAAAGGTGGTCATCCACTAGTAGTCACATGGTCATCTACTAGACATTGACATGATAAAAAGTGTCAAATAAGTGGAATGATCTATGAGAATCTTCATTCATATAAAATAAAAACATTTCGAGTCTATGACCTAGCTAGCTACTATCTACTTCATATATATGTATATGCATATGCTAATACAGTACTACCTATATACATATTTTCAAAGCGTGACCATTAGTTTGAACAAACAGAAGAAGAAAAATAAATTATAATTTACAAGTTTAGGAAAGTTTATAATGATTGGTAGGGAGAGACTCAAAAAGAAAAAGAATGGGGAATGGGTCCTATTTCTCCCCAACATCCCACATGCACACTTCCTCTCTCCATTCTCTTTCATTTATTTCTTTCATTCTAATTTATCCATTTCGTGTTCATATTTTTGGTAAATCTTATCCACTTAGTTCATTGATTGTGATATACTAGTCCATAATTAGTGTGTTAACATTGTCACTCACATATGAACTTCCTTTTTATTGAATGTGAACATGTTAACTCGTTGATCATTCATTTGAATGTTTGAGTATAAGTTTTGAACATTCCTATAGGATAACAAATTCGATGTGCAACGTTTTACCACAAGTTGTTTTTCTAAGAGCATCTCCAACCCAGCCTCATATTTCACCTTTATTGCCATTTTGGAGTTAATTTTGCTCCAACCCAACTCTATTTCCAATTTCAAAATGGCAAAATGCCATATTTTTTCCCTAAATGGGGATGATCCCATTTCCATTTCCATTTTGGAGTTGAAGTTTTTTATTTATATATGAGTCCTTCAAATTTTAAATTATTTCAGTTTAAAATATATAATTAATTATTTGATGTTTATTTTTACTCTAAAATATAAATAACACATATATAATAGGAAAATTAATTATTTAAGCTAATAATAAATTTTAAAAAAGAAAGGAAAAATAATTTTATTAGAGATCACATCAAAATGAAATTGTGAAAGTTTTGAAGAAAAAAAATTATGGGACAATTTATAATATATATAAATATACAATGCAAATTTAGTAATTAATAAAAGTTTTTCAAAAAGAATATTCTAAATATGGGACAATACATTGAAGCAAAACCCAAATGAATATAAGGCAATACATTAGATGCCTTAACTCGATAATAAAAAGAGAATTGTTGTTGATAACTTGATATTGGTATTGGTCCGATACAAGGATTTATTTAACACGAAGGCCCATACTATGTGATTTAAGGCCCAAATATGTAGCAGGCCAATTTCCTCGCACGAGAAAGGCTCGTTTCGGCCTCTGAGAGTTAAATTGTAAATAGTCGTTGGCCAAAAAAGAGATGCATAGAAAGTATAAGGATATATGTGTAAATAATAATAATTCAGGCCGCTTCTAAACCCTGTAAACCCTAGAAACACTTTGTATAAAACCTCTCACAGGCGCAGCTTCTTTGTAATTACCTCCCGTCGACATCTCTCTCTCTCTCTCTCGCTAATCGCAGTCTTTTCATTCTAAAAGCCAAGATGGTCAGACCTCCTCTAACTGGTGGTAAGAACCCTAGCCGCCTCTTTTCTCATTTCACCATTGTTTTGTTTTTCATATAGAGATACTCTGTTTTCGTTTAGTCTGAGCTCTCTGTCTTTAGCTGAACTGAATTCGAAATTTGTTCCTTTATGCTTAGAACTGTATTGGGTATTCGTTGTTTCCGTTAGATGTTGATATCTGAGTTTATGGTAGAGATTAGGTAGAACATAGAATCTCTGTTTTAATGGTGTGTTTTGATATTCAGGACGTGGTGGTGGGTTCAGTGGTGGACGTGGTGGAGGTGGATTCAGTGGTGGACGTGGTGGCTCTGGTGGATTCAGTGGTGGACGAGGTGGAGGAAGAGGAGGAGGAAGAGGTTTCGGTGGAGACCGTGGTGGACGCGGCGGTAGAGGCATGAGAGGAGGAAGAGGAGGAGACCGTGGTGGACGCGGCGGAAGAGGAGGAGGCCGTGGAGGAATGAAGGGAGGAAGCAAAGTGATTGTGGAGCCACACAGACACGCAGGTGTGTTCATTGCCAAGGGTAAAGAAGATGCTCTTGTCACTAAGAACTTGGTTCCTGGAGAGGCAGTCTACAACGAGAAGAGAATCTCTGTTCAGGTACTAAGAGCTTGATTGATTGATTTATTTGATTGCTCTCTCTTAGATTCAAGTCTTGATTGGGTTTGTGAATGAATCTGCAGAACGAAGATGGAACTAAGATTGAGTACAGAGTTTGGAATCCTTTCCGTTCAAAGTTGGCAGCTGCTATTCTCGGTGGTGTTGACAACATCTGGATTGTAAGTCTCATTCTTTTTCTTAATCTTGTTGATGATTCTGTTTGTGAGAGACCTCTTTATTGATTGATTGTTTTGTTTTCTCTTGGTTGATGTAGAAACCTGGTGCTAAAGTTCTATACCTTGGTGCTGCTTCTGGAACCACAGTTTCTCACGTGTCTGACCTTGTTGGACCTGAGGGATGTGTGTACGCTGTCGAGTTTTCTCACAGAAGTGGTAGGGATTTGGTTAACATGGCGAAGAAGAGAACCAATGTGATCCCAATCATTGAGGATGCTAGACACCCTGCTAAGTACAGAATGCTTGTAGGCATGGTTGATGTTATCTTCTCTGATGTTGCCCAGCCTGATCAGGTTTGCTTCTCATTTTTTGTATATCTTGCAATGAATAGTTTCAGTATTCGATATCGTTATGATATGTGCTTTGGTTTTGATAAAAAAAGTGGTGTTCTGATGATGGCAAGTGATGATTTTACTTGGATTCCCCTTCAGATCATATTGGGTGATGTAAACTCCAAGCTTCTGATGCTTAAGAATTACCTGTTTTAATGTAGTGATGATTTTATTGTTTTAGCAAACACAATTTCAAATAAAATCTATTATGGATTTGTTTCTACCATTTTTCTGAAACCCAAAAATCAAATTGTTCAGTTTTTAAATTTTCTGGTGCTATTGAGTTTTTTAATGTCAACGAGGTTTTGAATTTTATTGTTATCATATACTAATTTGTTTGTAATCCTTGTTTATGAAATGTTATTTGCCCCCTTAAAATGGTGTTCAGGCTAGGATCGTTGCTTTGAATGCATCATTCTTCCTTAAAACTGGAGGACACTTTGTGATCTCAATCAAGGTTAGTAGCGATACAATACACAAACATTGATCTATCTCTGAATGTTGTTTCTGTTCACAAGGACAAAGATTAGTAAACGTCTCTTTATCTGTATTTTTCAGGCAAACTGTATCGACTCAACGGTCCCAGCAGAAGCTGTGTTCCAGAGCGAAGTGAAGAAGCTGCAACAGGAGCAGTTCAGGCCAGCAGAGCAAGTGACCCTTGAGCCATTCGAGCGTGACCACGCCTGTGTCGTTGGTAGCTACCGTGCCCCTAAGAAGACCAAGGCTGCTACTGCTGCTTAGAGATCTCTTTTCTTTAGTTGTTGTTGGGATTTTGTTTCAGTCTTGTTCGTTCTTCCCTAGTTCTTCAGATTTTGCTTCTCTTACTACACTATTTAGACTCTGTAACCATTTTAAACCTTGATAGGCTATTTTGTTCACTATGCTTCGAACTTATTCATCCATATTTTGCATTTTTGAGAAAATGTTTTTATTAATTTCGTCCACTCTTAGATCATTTTCGAAACACATGTAACAGACTTTACACCATTAAAAACCTTATAATACATATAATCATCATTAACACATAATCTGAATCCTTCACTAGTTTACTGCATTGCTTTAAAACATTGTAAATGTAGGTGGATATTTCATTAAAACCAAAAAGGTACTATCTGTGAATTTATAAACTATATAGTACAAAGTCGCTTGAATTCGTGTGAAAACGTTTGTTAAAAATGTTGGTTTGATACAATTTAAGGCAGATGAACAATCGACAAATGTACCTAACAGTAGGTATGCTTCAACTGCACCATTTTTTTTTGCATTGGGAAGAAAGTAACAAAACCAGCGTTACATCACTGACTCCTAAAGCCTAGATAGAATGTTACTACTGGTGCTGCCAAACCAACGAAAAACAAAACTAAAAATGCTGAGAGAGCTACTGATTCATTCATGTAAGTTTTAGCCCAAAACAAGTAAACCCAATCACGCAATCACTTCTTTCTCTGTGCTAGCGCTTCCTCCCCATTTCTTCATACGTTCCATCGTCTCCTCCACCTGTTCATCACAGTTTCCTTACTTGTTATCATCTTCTTTGTATTCATTCAATCAATCTCAATGAATAAATGTATATATTGAGCCTGATCTGATCCGGTTCTTACCTCTTTATTCCAGTTTGTCTTGTACAGGACAAACATTAGTAACACCGTTTGAAGCGCTGTCCCTGCTATCATTCCAGACCAAAGCCCCTGAAAACATTATAAATTAACCCAAAAGTAAGTACGTATACAAGTTTATAAAGCTATATTAACTATTTTTTATTCATGTCATTCACTAAAGCTTTTACTTACCATCACTCCCAAGTTTAATTTGTAACCAAGAAAATAGCCAAAGGGAAGCCCAAAAATGTAGTAACTACCCAAGTTGATATAAGCCACTAACCCTTGCCAACCACCTCCAATAGCCACACCTAACAAAAAAAACAAACAAACCGGGACAGTTATGATCTGACCGCAACCACAGGTTTAATTTGGTTTTTGATGGATAATTGACATCTTACCGGAAATAACCGGCTGCACGCTGTTGAGAACCATGGTTATACCAAGAAGATAAGCCAGCTTAGCCACCGCACGTTGAAGCCCTTTACTACTTGTGAAGATGACTGCAAAATCGTCTCTAGCTATAATAATAGCCACCATAAAGACAAGACCAATGAGGAGAGACTCCAACACCGTGACATAGACTGAGTATTTAGCTGCTCTTGGACGTCCTAACCCAAGCTCATTGGAGACACGGACACTAATGTAGCAAACAAGTAAGACACAATGAGCTTAATTATCATTTGAATATAAAAAAAAAATGTTAAAGTCTCAGATTGTGATGATGATACCTTATAGCTGCGTTTATTCCGATGAACAACATAGCCTCCAAGCCGTTGATATTCATGCTGAAATGTATAAAAGTATTAGAGCGGACACAAACATTCTTGAGGTAAGTAAAAATGTTACAAGAAACTGACCATATAGAGAGGGAATCAACAGCAATAACAGCGTTGTCAAGATGACCAGTAAGGACAATGATACTCATCATATACCAAAGCTCAAGACAGAGCATAACAGCAGAAGCAATGGAGAGTCTAACAAAAGCCCAAATCTCTTTAAAAGCCAACCAAGACAAACCAGTCCACCCTTCGTTGCACCAACCAACCACGTAAACGATCTGAGAGATCGCCGTTAACCAGTTGGTGATGTTAAACGCCAACGCAGCACCGTTTGTTCCCCAACCAAACACCATCAGGAACAGCCAAAGCATACCGGTGTGTAAGAGAAGAGCTATAAACCCAATCCAAGCGATGGCGGTGACTTTGCTCTGCGCTTGAAGGAACTTGGAGGTTGGGAAAGTGAATGCCATTGAGAAGAGCTGAGGGATTGTTAGGATGGTGAAGTCTCCGGCTGCTACAGAGATCTCCTCGGCTTGACCGAGGAGTCTTAGAACGGGAGTGGCGAAGATGTAAATAGGGAGGAGTACGATGCAAGAAACGAACAAGATGATCCAAGATCTCTGCATGTAGATGCCTAACATGTTGACTTGACCAGCTCCAAACGCTTGGCCACAGAGTGTTTCAAGTGCACTTCCCATTCCAAGCTACAGACAACACAAAGCTCGTTTCAGTTTTGGATAGAAATCGAAGAGAAGAGAATGGAGCTAGAGAGAGAGAGAAGGAGAGAGTGTACCAGGAAGCCGAAGGAGAAAGTGCCGATGACGGAGAGAGAGATGGAGACGGCGGAGAGCTCGATCTCGCCGATATGGCCGACGAAGATGTTGGTGACGGAGGTGACGCCATACTGACAGATGATGCTGAAACCAATCGGAACAGCGATCGTCCACATCTTGGCTGACTCCGTAGCCAACACTCGCTTCACGTCGCTCCATTTCCTCGCCGGCTCATAATCCTCTTCTGTTTCGCCACCGTGGGAGTTAAGCAACGGCGTCGTCGGATCCATCTCCTCCGAGCGTCAACACGATAAACCAAACTCACTCTCTTCTCTCTGTTTCAGACTCTTTCTTTTTCTCTCTCTCTCTCTCTCTCTCTCTCTCTCTGTGTGTGTGTCTTAGAGTCAATGTTAGTTGCGGAATTAAGGGTTTTATATAACAAATCCGTTGAATCACGCACTTGTCTCTTTCTTTTGCATATACTAAACAAATATCCCAGTGTGTATGCTAATAAATAATTAAATAATATCCCTGTTTTGATCCGCTGACAAATAAACATTGAAGTAGGTTTTTTATTCTGTCTACGATGAGATTTCATTTGTCATAATTTTTGTCGCTTCTATTGTTTTGTCTTTGGAAAATTTGTTGAGTATTATAGAAGACTGTTCACCAACGAGAGTCATGACTAAACTGATTTCATTTGTCATAATTTAGAGCATCTCCATCAGTTTAGTCATGATTTAAATTGAATCACTCATAAAGAGACAAGTGTATCTCATGTGTCATGTCACATGTGTGTTATGTTACCTATTAAATATTAATCCTTTGAACTTTATTATCCAAAATTATAGTAGAGCATAGAGTTTTTTTTTTGTTACTCTGTTTCGATTTCGGGAAGAGGGATCATTAAAAGAAAGAAGAAACAAAAGTACAGGAAATTTAGGTCCGCATGAACAAGGGTTAGATTGGGTTGGTTTGGCTATTCGGTGGTGCATGAAACACCACGTTGACATATCAAAAACAAAATCGATAAGATTATTCGAAGAAGCATCCAAATGATATTAAAACGAGAAACGCTTCCGGACATGATGGCGTCGTGTCTCTCTTTAATGCGTTTCCTTTTTCCGTCAATAGACACAAAGTGTACTACTATTCGCTAGGTAGTGACAGTTTGGTAGAGAAAATTAAGTCACATGAAATAATTGATTCATTATATTTCCGTCGCATGAACATGAACTCATCAAAATTCCCAAGATAGCACAAGTTCTCATAGTAGCCATCTAAGATCGAATAGTATTTGAAAGTAGATACCTGAAATGGAAAGGTGTCGCTCCCAAAAATAGATGTCTTTCAGTTTTCGTGATACACAAACGCTTCTCGAAGCCAAAAAGTCAATTACGTAACGTAAGGTAACGAAGAATAATTTAAAGGTAGAAGAGTCGGAGAGGGAATCATTTTTTTTTTTTTTTGCATTTCTATGGAAACTTTATGGTCCACTCGGCAGTAATCCAGTGGTTCAGCTTTCTTTCTTAATGGTTTGTTGGAATTAAGCAAGAAATGAGACAAATATTATATGTCTTTTTCTATGGAAACGCAAATGTTTCTCCTTATTCATCATTGGATTTAACCAATAAGGGATACAATTATCTAAAAACGCAAAGTAAGTATGGCAAAGTCATGCCTTCTCGGAGAGTATTATTAGCACACTTATTTTCATTTCTTCTAATAAACTTGAGGGTGAAGTCATAGTTACTTGTCCAATATCCCAAGAATCTTTAATCTTGGCCATTGTGTTGGATACTTGACCGCGTGCATAATGCATGATCTTGTAACCAGTCTCATTTTGACACAAAACATAGTGTTGCTTTCATGAGAGACCATAAATTAGTTTCTACATGTGTTATGTACACCAATATCCATTTTTTCAGACAAGAGCATGGTTGTAGTCATGGTACCGAAATGTCTTGTAGATGAAGTGTGAAAGCCACTTCGAGGCCGCAAAACTCAAAACAGCCGCCACAACCACCACGATCCTTGCCGCATTAGACAACGTGATTTGCTTCGCCACGGCCATAACTCCGATCAAAGCAACCGATCCGATTTGCAAGAAAACCTCAAGCGCATTCAGATATTTGTGAGCTTTCTTGCAGCTGCTGCAGTTCTCAACATGCGACCAATACCTGAACAAAAAACATCAATACACAAAACTTTTTATGCAAGGTCGCTAAAGATGATCGTTTAAACTAACCTGTCGAAGAGCTGTTCTCGAGGAGGCGTAGGAGGAAGAAGAGATGGATCAAACTTTCCTCTCCAGTCGACTTGAGCATCACTATGCTTGTTAAACCATCTCCTGAACGTAACCACCAGAGCATCTGATTTTGTTGGGATAAAGCAAGCTTTTTGCCAGTTTTCAGGACCCTTCTCTAGTATCTTCCGCTCCTGTACAAAACACAAAATCAGTTGATCACAACACAACAAGGGTGTGGATAATGAAGAAAGACCTGTAATAACCTCGACATGAAGCAAGTGCAAATCTGAGTCTAGAATCTTGTTTTGACCAATGTGGAACACCCATCTAGGCACAATCTTATCAATAGCTACGCCGAAATTCCTCGGGAACGTCCATATAAGCCTGCTGCGACCTGGACTAACCGGAATGCATATAAAGATCAACGACAGTTTGCGCTTTGCCGATGCCGCCTGGATATTGCAAGAACCATACGGTTAAGGGAAATGAAAGATTTGAGAGCCTAAGCAGGAAAATTCCGATGACATGTTTACACCTGACCTTGTCGTCAGATGCAGCTGGTGTGACAGACTCGTTGTCCTGCTCTGTTAACGGCTCTGTCGATGCGCGGTACACACATGGCGCGATAAAGTTAGCATAACCCCATTCTTGTTTTGCAAAGAAGCCTTGGTTGTCTAGTCTTTTCACGGTGATTTCAAGTGGTTTCCCACCTTCTCTGTCAACCTTCTCTGCAATACATGTCTGAGAGTTGGTACATTCATTGATCTAAAAACATATCAAGATTAGACTCTTGGAATTGCAAAACTATCATTTACCTTTTGGTTTAGCAATCCGCATTAGTCCATAGTGTGCATAGGGAACATGAGCCGGGTCCATGAGGTTTTCCACCAATACATCATGCCTGAAAGATATCAGATTTACATAAAGAGAGTTACACACACCTTGCTCTAAAACATGATTAATAGAGAGATCTCACATATAGTTTCTTTATTGAAATCATGTAAAAGCAAATAGCAGCAGAAGGTTTCAAAGTGAAAATGAAGAACAAACATGCATTTATTAATAACTGTAGACTAATCAAAGAAGTTTTGGTTTATTAACCCGTAAGGAATATCTCGATTTGCCATCAACTTAGTGAAAGATGGGTCCTCTAACTCTGGAATGAAAGGAGGCTTCTTCGTTTCAGCAATGTTTTTATATTTCGGCTCACTGTTTGGCCAAAACCAAATGATCTCATGCTGCACCACACTTGGATAAACAGCTACACACGCTTGCTTGAATGTGTGGACCTACAATTTTAATTCAATCATTGATCCAATAAAGACTCACTTTTTGACTTTATCTTCTTAAACCCAGATTAAATATTCTCGAAAGAAATGAGATTTTTAGATACCGGAGGTCCATCAGGAGGTGCTTGAGGTATGAGCTTGCAATCGCCGGATCCGTTGAAGCACCATCCATGGTACACACACTGTAGCCTCCCCTTTTGATCGATCCTTCCATCGGATAACGGAGCAAGACGATGAGGACACGTGTCGTCCATCACTTTCCATTGGCTCTCGTTTCGGTCCCACCAAATCACCAAATCAATCCCCATAACTTTCTTCGCGTGTGGAACCTTCTTGTCCAGATCGCAAATTGGCATAACCGGGTACCAATTAGCGTACCAATCGAACTTATCCGACTCGGATTCGTCTCGGGTTTCGGATTCCGGCGGAGAATTCGTCGGGGTGGCGATTGATGGTGATGGTGATGTTGATACTGCGGTTTTAAATCCATCGGATATAGGCTTCCGGGATTTGGAGATACAGGAAAGTAGAGAAATGGGTTTCGGATTGGAGAAGGAGCTTGTGAATCGAGGTTTAGTAGTGAGAGTTCGCGGCAAAGGAACAGCGAAAGCTGCAAGAGCAGCTTCCATGGTGGACTATTTGGTTGGTGTGTGGGTGGTGGTGAGAGAGTCTACGAGAGAAGGAGGAAATTGAACGGAGCTTGTTTTATTCAGTGATAAGTTTTAATCCAACGGTTCAGATTATTTAGTTTATACTTTACGTACACCGCGAAATTCACATGCAACGATGAGAAGTTGGAGCACGATATGTTTGAATCTCGATCGGATATGATTCACAACTCTCGGTATGATGTCTTGTTTTATTTTTAACATCCCGTGGAGTCTTCACGACTTCACCGTCACTTTTGGACTTTTGGATGTCACGCAACTGGCTGATTTAGAGTTATCAAAGAGATGGTAAAGGTCAATGTAGTTTTTTTTTTGACGGCAAGTTCAATGTAGTTTATATAGTTATATCATTAGTTTCATATTGCCCATTTTACAAGTACGAGAATATGACATCTATCAATTTCTTTAGTACCCCAAAATTTGCTACATTTAATAAAGACATGACCATAGGACTTTATTACTACAAAATTTAGCATGTCCATCAATTTCTTTAACATAGACACCAAAATGCTAGATATATTTATTGCACATTTTACATGTACGAGAATATGTCATCTATCAGTTTTTATTTATTTTTAATTGTGTGTAGAGCTGATACCAGAAACTGGTGGATAATGTGTTAAAAAAAAACATATACACCAAATGATCAAAAACCCAACTATGAGATCATACAGAAAATGCTCATGAGAGACCATAAATTAATTTCTACATGTGTTATGTACACCAATATCCATTTTTCAAACAAGAGCATGGTTGTAGTCATGGTACCGGAATGTCTTGTAGATGAAGTGTGATAGCCACTTCGAAGCCGCAAAACTTAAAACAGCCGCCACAACCACCACGATCCTTGCCACATTAGACAACGTGATTTGCTTCGCCACGGCCATAACTCCGATCAAAGCAACCGATCCGATTTGCAAGACCACCTCAAGCGCATTCAGATATTTGTAAGCTTTCTTGCAGCTGCTGCAGTTCTCAACATGCGACCAATACCTGAAACAAATTACACCACGACCAATAACTCCGATGATTCTTGTTTTTCTCTATTACATTTATCAGACATCTCAGAAAGAAGATAAACTAACCTGTCCAAGAGCTGTTCTCGAGGAGGCGTAGGAGGAAGAAGAGACGGATCAAACTTTCCTCTCCAATCGACATGAGCACCACCATGCTTGTTTAACCATCTCCTGAATGTAACTACAAGAGCGTCTGATTTTGTTGGGACAAAGCAAACTTTTTGCCAGTTTTCAGGACCCCTCTCCAGTATCTTCCGCTCCTGTACAAAATCCAAAACGAGATCGGTACATTGATCACAACAAGGTGTGTGGATAGTTAAGAAAGACCTGTAATAACCTCGACATGAAGCAAGTGCAGATCTGAGTCTAGAATCTTGTTTCCACCAATGTGGAACACCCATCTAGGCACAATCTTATCGATCATTACGCCAAAATTTCTCGGGAACGTCCATATAAGCCTACTGCGACCTGGACTGACCGGAATGCATATAAAGATCAATGACAATTTGCGCTTTGACGATGCCGCCTGGATATTGCAAGAACCATATGGTTAAGGAAACGATAGAAATGTGAGCCAAAACAAGAAAATCCAGATAGATACATGTTTTTGCACCTTGACCTTATCTTCAGAGTCGTTTTCCTGATCTGGTAGAGGCTCTGTGGAGGAGCGATACACGCATGGTGCCATAAAATTAGAATAACCCAATTCTTGTTTTGCAGAGAACCCTTCCTTGTCTACTCTTTTTACTGTGATTTCAAGTGGGCTTCCTCCTTCTCTGTCAACTCTCACTGCAAGAAAGTCTTGAGGGTTTGGTAACATAATCAAGATTCAAAAAACTGTTGGAACTGCAGAAGTTATTATTTGCCTTTTGGTTTCGCATTCCTCATTAGTCCATAATGTGCATAGGGAACATGAGCCGGGTCCATAAGGTTTTCCATCAATACATCATACCTGAAACATTTCACACGTTTCCAAAGTGAAAAACTGAAAATGAAGAACAAACATGTATTTATGATAGAGAGAAGTAGGAATTTTGGTTATAAGTTATAACCCGTAAGGAATATCTCGATTCGCCATCAACTTAGTGAACGATGGATCTTCTAACTCTGGGATGTAAGGAGGCTTCTTCGTTTCAGCAATGTTTTTATATTTCGGATCACTGTTTGGCCAAAACCAAATGATCTCATGCTGCACAACACTTGGGTACACAGCTACACAAGCTTGCTTGAATGTGTGGACCTACAATTTGCATTTATCATCAAAGTAATCAATGGTCCAACCATTTACACAAAAAAGACTCACTTTTTGACTTTATAATATAATCTTGAAAGAAGTGAGATTTTATTATACCGGAGGTCCATCAGGAGGTGCTTGAGGTATGAGCTTGCAATCGCCGGATCCGTTGAAGCACCATCCATGGTACACACACTGTAACCTCCCCTTCTGATCAATCCTTCCATCTGACAAGGGAGCAAGACGGTGAGGACACGTGTCGTCCATCACTCTCCATTGGCCCTCGTTCCTGTCCCACCAAATCACCAAATCAATCCCCATAACTTTCTTCCCGTGTGGAACTTTTTTGTCCAGATCGCAGATTGGCATCACCGGGTACCAATTAGCGTACCAATCGAACTTATCCGACCCGGGATCGGCTCGGGTTTCAGATTCCGGCGGAGAATCCGTCGGGGTGGCGATTGATGATGATGATACTGCGGTTTTAAATCCATTGGATATCAGCTTCCGGGGTTTGGAGATAAGGGAAAGTGGAGAAATTGGTGTTGGACTGGAGAAGTAACTTCTGAATCGGGATTTGGTTTTGAGGATTCGCGGCGATAATGGAACAGCGAATGCTGCAAGAGCAGCAGCTTCCATGGCGGAATATTTGGTTGGTGTGTGGTGGTGTGACGACTACGAGAGAGAGAAGGAAATTGAAATTGAAATTGAGCAGAGCTTGTTTTATTCATGTATTGATAATTTTAATCCAACGGTTGAGATTAATAGTTTTACGCATACGTTATTCCACATGCAAGTATGAAATATGCAACGATGACAAGATGGAGGACGCAGGCAGAGTTCGGACACAATTTGGCCAGGAAAGCTTAATTTATTAAAAAATATGTTTAATCATTCGATCAACATTATTGATACGATCTCATACCACAATCTTCGGACCCACGTTTGTCCATGGATTATTCACCAACAGTCCAACTCTTTTGACATTATCTGGGTGATTTGGAGTTATCAAAGAGAGAGAGATAAATAATCGAAGACATTTTCTGGTTAAATGAACAGAGAGAGAATCGGGTTAATTGGAGAAGAGTGAAAAGTGTCGACTTGTAGAAAACGGCGTCGCTTTGCTCGAACCATAAGTAAGGAAGCAAAAGAAAAAGCGAGGGCACAAGAGTCATTTCGCGGGATCCCCACCACCGGGCGCATCAGTTTCTTTTCATTTCCCACGTCTGGAATTGAAAATATCGGGAGAAGATAAACAAACTCGATTTCCCCTTTCAGATCAAAAATCTAAGAACAAGATTTGTTTTACATATAGCTTTCGGAGAGATCTGGATAGTAGGATTTGTAGAAGGAAACTGGATTTGGTACCAGTCTTTGGGTTTCCTTCTTCATCAAAGCTATAGAGGGAATTTGCGAGCTTTTTGCTCATTCTGGTAGGAATTGGGCTCCGATTTTCTCTGCTACGGAGGAATTATGGCGGAGGTTGTTCTGCACATATACGATGTGACGAACAGTGGATCGGAAAAGACTAACAACACCATTCTTCAGATCAACAGATTCTTCAAAGACGGGATTGGTCTTGGCGGCATATTCCACAGCGCCATTCAGGTACTCCACTGCCTCGATCTTCGTATCTAGTGCATATATGGCGATGATGTCTCTGTTTGGTTATGTGTACGTGAGTGGATTTGATTTGTGTGTATGTATGTATGTATGTATGAGAGAACATTTGGTATTTGATTGCATCGTGTTGCAAATGATGCGTTCTGGATTTTCCTGGATACTTTTTGTTTGATCTGTGAGATTCTACAGGTCTCTGTGAGCTTAAGTTTGCTTTTTTATCCACTCAGAGTCTCGGTTTACTTCGTAATCTTGGAAAGTTTTAATTGGATAATGGGTGCATAAATTCCTGAACGTCTCTGGAGTCTTTTGTCATATTCAATGATGGCTCACGTTTACTTTATTGATCTTTGACCTACGCAAAAGTAATTTATTTGAAAGACCACTTTCACATTTGAGTCATGACAATTTGGTGAGCTTAGAGGCCTCTGAAGAAAGCCACAGTTAATTGTATCGTGCTGAATTGTCAAAACTACCAGCAGTGTGACTATATGTCTTAGGCTTGTGTATATGTGACATTTGTTTTCATGGATTTTGTTATCTTTTTTCGTGTAGATGACTAATTGATTTGCAGGGAAGAGTAATTGACTGGCTTCTCTTATGAATTTTGTGCAGGTGTATGGAAATGATGAATGGTCTTTTGGGTACTGTGAACAAGGAACTGGTGTATTCAGCTGTCCTAGTAGCAAAAATCCGATGTACACATACCGTGAGAAAATTGTACTTGGGAAGACAGATTGCACAATCTTCATGGTAAATCAAATATTCCGTGAGCTCAGCAGGGAATGGCCAGGACACACTTATGATTTGTTGTCCAAAAATTGCAATCACTTCTGTGATATACTCTGTGAAAAGCTTGGTGTGCCAAAGCTCCCAGGTAAAGCCATTATTTGGGAATCCATACTGAAAACAAGTATGTGTGTGTGTGTGATGGTTTTCAAGGCTTATGTGACTGCTTGGGTTCTGTCTCTTAACAGGCTGGGTGAATCGCTTTGCTCATGCTGGTGACACAGCCTTGGAAGTGGCAGGGAACACAGCAATGCGGGTGGGTTCTCTCTCTCGTTTTTACTTCTCTGTAGCCTAAATGCAACTTCATGGGTGTTTAAGTCTTGTAAACTGGGATTTTGCAGATTAAGCAAGCCAAAACTGAACTGATGTCAGCTAGTAAAGTGGCTTATCGCTTCCTTTCGAATGTTACCTCAAACGTAACCAATGGCTCAAATTGCTCTCCACAACGCCCTGGAACTCTCAACAGCTCAGAGAATGGGAACTTGAGAATGCAAGGCACTTGGCTAAAAGGGATGCTTAACACTGCCAAACCGTCCACAAGTACAGAGAGAGAGAACAAAGATGAAGATGCAAATCATGCAATCAAGCAGAAACCAAGCCGTGACTCTGAGGTTCTACTGTTTCAGTAGTAACCGTAACCGATCCACCATAATGCATTCGGTTTGCTGTATATCCATCACTTTGTATCACCATTGGAACCCATTTCTCTCTATTTTGTTCTTTTCAGCAGAACGTGTGATTTTGTTAAGAATATATTTTCCAACACATTGTTACTAGCAAGTCTCAGCATATGTTTTGCATACCGTTCAAAGTATTTGTTAAGAAGATGAGACAAGAAGACTGAAACAAGTAATTATGGATACAACTCAAAATGCGTCTGCATTATTAGTATTACAGGAAAGAAAACAGAGAATAAAGGTCTAACGTCAAGAGAATAAACAGAGCATTCCAAATCGAAGCAAGCAAAAGGATTTTCTGAAACAAACAACAATTCAATACTTAGACCATAACAAATGCCTTCTGTAGCAGCCAAATTTGGGAATCATAGCGCATTTGTCATCCCCGGAACATGCCACTGAACACAAAGGCGTCACCGTCAGTGTTCTCAGATATCTTTAGCGACGAGACAGCCTGAGCAGCAATCAAATCCGCAGATATTCCCATGTTGCTATCCCAAGCATCCCTCAAGAACGGGGACCAACTACGCTCTCCTAGCCCATAACCGATCCCTTGCACCGCATAGCTACCACAGCTTTGGCGAGGAACATAGTTTCTTCTATCACCTCTAAAGAGATCCATTGTGAAACCCTTTTCTTGGCCAAGCATGACCCGAGATGAATCATCAGAATCTTCGCCCAGTAGGACGTGCAGAGCTACAGCCTCTGCAATCGCAGCTCCTTCTTCATCTAACCTTTGTTGTTCTTCCAGTTTCTTTTGCTTCTTCTTCTCCAGCTCAGCTCGAATAGCTGCAGAAGTAGCCAGAGCTTTCTCGAGACGTCTCTTCTTCTTCTCAGCTTGTTTAATACGATCAAATTCATCTTTACCAGGTTTCTTCTTCATTTTCCTAGTGACTGGCTGAGCTTGCTTGCACACAGTGTGATGATCCATACTTGCTTTGCTATAATTACTATAACTCTAACTATAATAACTGCACCTAAACTCGATGATGTCGCAGATGATCTCAAGTACTACACCCACTCAGGTATATAGGAATACCTCATAGTGCGGACGATACAATCCCAAAAAGAAACAACTGGAGACAACTGAAGCGATACGTTGTAAGAATTTGCAGATTTGTCGTTTGAGGTCATTCGTCCTACTTTCCCATACCCCTTAGACTCGCCCATTTTCTGCAATTGAAAACTACTTTATTAGTTTGAGTTGCATACGAGAAACACAGAACCCTAACATCGATCTAAATGAAACAACATGATTACAGGCTAAAACAGCAGCATTCAAACGTGTAGATGCAAAATATGCAGCTAAAACAACACAATTGTTATAGGCACATAAAAAGACACCAAGCGAAATAAGTAAAAATCAAATCAGCCAAAACTAATTTCCCAGAGAAAGACTAAAACTTTCAAAAAGGGAATCAACAGAAAGAGTCAATTCTACGGCAAACTTCATGACCTTCCTTAATAAACAAGCGAAGAGTCAATTAGTCGAATAGATCAATTTACACAACAGCCAGAAACCAGATCTGCCTCAGAAACTCAAGTCACATCAAAATTTAACAAGAACACAGCAGAATTCATCGGATTCAATCGACTAATTAGGTTTGAACCCATAAGAAATCACTAAATCGGATGAACAAATGAAGCTGATCGAAAAAAATTCCAGAACGAAGTCAATTCGGTTCAAATAAAAATCAACGGAAACTGAAGATAAACAGAGCAAAATGACGATGAAATTCGATCCAAACCTCTACAAAATGGCATAGAAGCAGCTGCTTCAAATAACTCCTCTGATTTAATCGGATAATGCAGAGAGAAACGAAAACGCTGAAACAAGCTGCTGTCTGGATGCAGATGAAAGTATAGAGAGAGAGAGAGAGAAAAAAAAATAGAAAATCAGAGAGTCGAACGAAAGAGAAGAATATAACAGATCGATCTTATTAAAAGAGACGAAGAAGAGAGAGAAGAGCAGAAGAGTACAAAGAAGGAAACGTAGTCCGTCTCTTTTTCATCCAATTAATAAAGACCACGTGTCGAATGATCTTTGACTTTATCTGCAGTGTAAGTTTTCAATTGGGACTTTTAGACTTGGCCGGTGCGACTTCGTCTAATCGGACCCAGCACTCGTATCAGGGCCATTCACAGCCGTTGGATTCGATATGGGCTTCCTTCTTTTCGCTGGCTAAAGATTATTACGATATCTACACTAGGTGAAAGCCCGCGCTCGAATGGTGATGTTGAAAGTGTATTTAACTTTTTAATTTATCTTGGTTGTCATGTTAGTGTGTTTGTTTAAAGTCATGTAGATTTTATTTTTTGCACTTATCCTATTGCTTACAATATGTGTAAGAAATTATCTATACAGTGGATAAATTATCTTTCTCTATTGTTAATGAATAATTGTCTATCTCTCTATCTTATATTGCTGTTAACTCATATCTTATACAATACTTTATTTTAGTATGTTGGGTTTTTAACTCATATTGAAAGACATATTATTCTCTATCATCGGTTCTCTATAAATTTTGCGTCAAATTGGAGTTTTCGAGTGGAGAAATAAAAATCTTTATGATAAGTTCTTATTTTTGGAATTGTTGTAATGACATCCACCAGGTTCATAAACATCCACCAAGTTCACTTTCTATTTTTACACATAGTTCATAAATTTTTCTATTTTGTATGTGTTTTGTAACTTTTGTTGATGAAACATACAATTATTTGTTGAGTGAATGAAATTTTACATTTTTTTTTATTCAATAACAATACATCAAACATTAAATACATGTCGTTGGAGGGGTAATGTAAAAAACTGACACAGTTCATGACCATGTACACATTCCTACAGCTTCTTCTCTCTTTTATTTCAATATTCAAAGGCTAATACCCTGCTTTGGAGGAGAAGAACCGGCTGATTCCTATGGAGGGTTTCCATGGTGTTGGATTTCCTGATGAACCTAACCTTGAGAGCCTTGAACCCACTTGTGATGGTGATACCATCACATCGCTAGTCTCTGAGTCAGAAGTGCATTTTGGAGATTCCTTAAACCTAGGGACCTCGTTAACCCAATTGTGAGGTGAATATCCTCTATCTACGGCGTTTTTCTTGGTGCCTAGTTCATCCTCAGAGCAGGATTCACTATGTCTATGTGGTGGCCCTATTTGTTCAGGTTGTGGCCGTAATGACTTCAGCTGTTTCCCCACAGGAATATGGTTTGTTGACATCTGCTAACTTCTCTGCTGCTGATGCTAAATCTCTCTCCTGTACAATATTTTCATGTTAGTTAGATTTTTTGTTTCCTCTCTTTCTCTTTAACTCAAATCTTCAAAGTTGTAAGGATTCAGGAATCAATGCATGTAGAGCCTATAGATGTGTATGCACCTAAAGTGATTGCATGTAGTATTTTGAACAATGGACATTGAATAAGAGGAGGATTATGAGCGATACTTGGATCAACAATCTAGAGGTATGAATTGAAATGCAGAAAAACAGTGAAGATTACATCAGAAATTCTGAAATATAAGAAGCAAAAACATGATTAGCACTGAAATAAGATTTAGAAAAGCATTGCGGAAACATTACCTATTTGGTCCTGATATCACCTTCTTCCTCATCCTCAGCAACCAAAGAAGTGTTTCTGTTTCTAGAAAAAAACGTAAAAAGTAAGTAAACATCCAGGCTACTCAACACTAATCTGGATCATTAAGTGGGAACAATCAAGCTCTGCTCACCGTTGAATATGTTCTTCGAGCTCATGACACAGCACAATGGCTTCTTGGTGGTTGCGTTTTTCATCTCCGAGCTCATTCTCCAAATTCGGTACCTTTTCCTTAAGATGGTTCACATCGATCTCCAAATCAGCTGCAGGTGTTTCAAGTGATCTATATGACTCAATCATACATCTGAGCTCTGTATCCGCCACGCTATTTGACCTCCGAGTATAATCCAACTGTGATCTAATGTCAGCCAACAGCTGCTCAGATTCTTGTAACTGAAAGAATCCAGCTACTCGTCAATATCCATTGCCATCTTTTCTTTCTCTGATTTTAGTTCTTATATTTCCTATAGTTTGGAGTCTGATTCATACTCCACAACTCTGTTTTCATCACTTAGGACCTATGGGTCGTTGTGGACACATCCATTTAAAGGTTATAAGCCAAAAATGTAAGATTCAGTTAGGTAGACGTTCGAGTACATGAACCAGCTACGCCAGCTGGTAGAAACAAACAAAAACATCTCTTTTTGAAAATAAGCAAGAACACCTGGTATTTTAAAAGTGTAAACCACCTGGAGTTGTGAATTCCACTTTTCCAATAGTCAAAAACTTGAAAGTCATAAAAACCCAATCGAATATGCTGCAACCTGCAAAATTTACAAAGGCATTAGAGCATTTACAGTTACAACCAACCCAATCTATGAAAAAACAGAAGATCGTCATCTTGACTCTTTCTCTAAACTCAAAATTGAATATTAATAAAATTTGCCACTATTCACAACTTCAAATTTAAGGAAGAGATTCATAAAAGCAGGCATATATTCATAAACTATCAATTTTTTCTTGATACTGAAAAACATATTAGAACAACATACCTTCACTTCAATCGATTTTTAGACCCACTCTTTCTTTCTGAACAAAACACAATAATAAACCATTTGCTGAATAGGAGACATAAATGTGAGAATTCATTCCATTTCGTAGACTACATGAAGGCTAGAGTCATACGAATATTAGGAACAATCAAATGAGTTACGAACCTGTGTAGAGTTTAGGAGCCGGGACAACCAGGTCTTAACTTCATTATATTCCCAATATATCCAACAATGCAAGAGAAACCAGACACATCAACGTGAAGCCATGCTCCCAATGCTACATCGTCCCCGGTAATGACCTTAGTTCCGACCATATATTTCTTGTATCAATCACCATCTCAATTGCAAGTGAGAAATAACATACCAATCGATTTAGAGAAAGTGGATAGCAGAGCAAAGCATAACACAAACAATTATCTCTTAACTACTCAGGAAAACAAATTCAGAGTGGGAACAAATGACCGGATTACCTCTGAGTGGATCTCCATACCCATAAGCACGTTCCTGGTTTGACAGAGGAAGAATGAGCTTTAGATGCCATCGGAAAATTTCGGAACTGCTTCAGGACGAAGATGAGCTGCAAAGTTAAGATGCATCTCATGGCTGGGAATTTTGTGGGTTTTATAGGATCCCAAAGAGAGGATTCCGGTTACAGGTCCCATAAATTCAAAAGAGAAAGTGGACATTGAAGAGGAGTAACCGATGAGAGAGGAATCGACTCAAGGTGGAAGAAGAAGAGTTTGAAGAAGAAAAAGACGACGCCCACGAAGAAGATGAATCAATTCACGGATTGAGTTTATGGGCTAAGAGATATATGACCTCACAACAAATGACTGAGGCCCAATTCGTTTTTTTAATTTTTTCTTTTACTGAAAGAGGTGACGTGGCAGCAGCGTATGAGAGAAGAAAAAGTGCTGAGTTGGATGCCTTGAGAGGCCCCAGGCACCTCCTTTAAAGTATTATAGATTTTTATCATAAAAGTTTTGGAATTTTGCTATGGGACACCCTCTATTGTACAAGTGTCATGTTTAGCTTACATATACAATAAAAGCTTCAACATTTTCCTTATAAAAAAATTCGGGGTTAATTTGCATCCAAAGCTATCAATTCTGACATCAGCTTCTGTACTGTTAAGATTTTACCATTCAGTCAACCACCAAGATGAAACTCGAATGTAGTTTGATAATACAACAACCATAATAATATAACGGTCATGACTCATGAACAACCGTTCACTATTGTAGTTCGATAATGTTCACTTGTCTTTATAAAAAATCTATAGAAAGATCAATTAACCATTTTATGACTCCATTTAACGGTCATGAACAACCGTTCTTGATTATGGTCTTATTCAGTGACCATGACTTGCTTTATCCGCAGCCGCTCATGAGCACACATAACAATCATCATTGCTAAATCCGTAAAAGGCCAAATTTCTTTAGTAGTAGCCATTTTTGGACAGTGGTTATCACAGCGAACAATCACAACTTGCTTTACTTGAATGTTAACTCGAATTCATATTATAATTTTTTTGGATCGAAAGTGATGGCTCAGTCAAAAAAGATACTACAATCCCATTTTGGACACCTCAAAGTCATCCATGGACCATTGGATTGATCTTAGTCCATCCAGATCCAACACCCTTATCTTTTGTGACCAAGACTATAAATAAGTCATCACCTTGTTTAGTCCACTAGCCCTGGGCACGGAGCAAATATCCGGGGAAAAACAGGTATCCGTGATCCGATCCGATCCGTCCGGATATTTAATTTTCTGATCCGATCCGATCCGAAAATTTCCAGATATCCGAAAATCCGGATATCCGTAATTTTATTTACTATCCGCGGATTATCCGTTCCGATCCGTTTAATCTGGATATCCGTAACTTTGTTTCGTATCCGCAGATTATCCTCTCCGTAAATATAAAAAAATATATATATATATTTTAAAAAATTCAGAAAAATCAAATTTTAACACAAAAAATAATATTAATTAAAAACTATTTTTAAAAAAAATTAGTGTTTAAATAATCAATTTGATGAATATAGATTTATAAAATTTAGGTATAGATAGAACAATTATTCAATTTACATATGTACTCTTATATACATAGGTATATCTATATGTATAATGGAGCGGATCGGATATCCGGCTTTTAAAATTTTAGTATTTGTGATTTGCTCTGGTTTTAACGGATATTAAATTTTAGTATTTGCTTTGCTTTGTAAAGTTACGGTTATCCGGATTTTTCAGATCGGATCGGAATGGATAACGGATCGAAGCAAATATAACGGATAATTTGCCCAGGCCTATAGTCCACTAATATCCTTACTACTAGTTGAGCAATTTTCCGAACCAACGACTTAGTGAAGATTAAATTTTATATAACGACTCGATTTATTCGGATTAAACATTTTGAGTAGTGGAATTGTGCGTGTATGCGAGTCCTAGACGGAAAATAAAAAACTGTTATCCGGTTGAGTGTGTGCAAGTAAAGAAAGATGCAAAAATCTGCAAGAGAAGCGAGGGCAAAAGAGTCATTTCGTGAGATTCCCACCACCACCGCCGCACCAGTTTCTTCATTTCCTACGCCTGAAATTGAGAAATCGGGAGAAGATAGATAAAAATTAATTATGCTTTAAAGAGTCACTTTGTGGAGATCTAGTAGTTGGATTCGTTGAGCGGAAGTGGATTTGGTACGATCCATTGAGTTTCCTTCTACACCGAAGCTACACAGAGAATCTGCTCATTTTGGTAGGAATTAGGGTTCGAGGTTTTCTGGGAAAGAGGAAATCATGGCGGAGGTTGTTCTCCACATATACGATGTGACGAACAGTGGATCAGAGAAGACTAACAACACCATTCTCCAGATCAATAGGTTCTTCAAAGACGGGATCGGTCTCGGCGGCATATTCCACAGCGCCATTCAGGTACTCCACTGCCTCCGATCTTCGTCTCTACTCTATCAATCTACATTTCCTCATGTATCGATGATGTCTCTGCTTGATTTTAAACTTAGAGTAGACTTTGATTGTGTGAGAAAATGGAGAATTTGACGGTATGATATGCAAACGATGCGTTGAGGAATCAGAATTTTTCGTGCTACTTTTTGTTTGATCTGCGAGGTTCTTAGTTTGATAGATTATGGTCCTGCAGGTATCTGTAAGATCCGGAACTTTCCATATCTCTCCACTCAGGAATTTTTGAATTTTTTCTTAAAAAGTCTCTCGAGAGACTCGTCAAAATCAATGATGTCTCACGTTTACTTCGTTGATCTTTGACCTGGGGAAAAAGATCAAAGTCCACTTTCCCATTTGACTCTTGACAATTAGGTGAAACTTAGAAAGTAGGTCTGTGCAAAATCAACAAAAACTTGACTTTTGCTTTCCATGTTTGTGGTCATGACTCTATGCCTTTTAGATGACTTATTGACTTGCAGGGAAGAGTAATTGACTGGCTTCTCTTATGAATCTGTGTAGGTATATGGAGATGATGAATGGTCTTATGGGTATTGTGAACAAGGAACTGGTGTATTCAGCTGTCCTAGTAGCAAGAATCCGATGTACACATATCGTGAGAAAATTGTTCTTGGGAAGACAGATTGCACAATCTTCATGGTAAATCAGATATTGCGTGAGCTCAGCAGGGAATGGCCGGGGCACACTTATGATTTGCTGTCCAAAAACTGCAATCACTTCTGCGATTTACTCTGTGAAAGGCTTGGTGTGGCAAAGCTCCCAGGTAAAGTCATTATTTGGGAACCTGTATTGTGTGTGTGTTGGTTTGCAAGGCTTATGTGACTTTTTGGGCTCTGTCTCTTAATAGGTTGGGTGAATCGGTTTGCCCATGCTGGTGATACAGCCTTAGAAGTAGCAGGAACCACAGCGATGCGGGTGGGTTTTCTCTCGTTTTTGCTTTTTATCTGCAACCGAAATGCAACATATTGGATGTTTAATTCTTGCAAACTGGGATTTTGCAGATCAAGCAAGCCAAAACTGAACTGGTATCAGCTAGTAAAGTGGCTTATCGCTTCCTCTCGAATGTTACCTCAAACGTAACCAATGGCACAAACGGCTCTCCACAACGGCCTGGAACACTCAACAATACAGAGAATGGGAACTTGAGATTGCAAGGAAGTTGGTTCAAAGGGTTACTAAACACTGCAAAACCCTCCACAAGTAGAGAGATGGGGAACAAAGACGAAGATGCAAATCAAGCAACCACCAATCAGCAAAAGAACCAAAACCGTGACTCTGTACCGATCAACCATAGTGCATTTGATTAACTCTGTATATCCATCGGTCCAAA